ATACACACGACGAAAGGACGCCGCACTGACCGTCTTGTACCGTACTTGGAACACAGCAGTGTGGGATGTATGGAACACTGAAATTCACAGAATCCAGCAAAGAAAACGAACCATCTGCTTGCTATCAATGCGATTCGAGGAGTCTACGGCTAACTTCCTTTTTGACACCTCGCGTTCAGTGCAATTTAAGAGGGCGTGTTGGTGGCTGTTGGTCCAAAGCTGATCGATGTCAATCGATCGAGGATTCCAAAGACTCTGGGAACTGGCGTAATCACAACTTGAAGGGTTGGTGAAATCATCAAAAGACTCACAGGGCCAACGGGTCTTTTTCGTCCATACTTTCTGAACCCGGAGGATCCGCGAAAAGTAAAAGGGGCTCTTTCTGGTCCATCCATTGCGTTGACCTTCCCCGTCGAGATTCGAGTCTACCGTACAGCGAAATGCGAGATGTCGGTCGTGACCTCCTCTCCAGGTCAAAATCATTTACATCGGTAAGACCGAAAAGCAATGCGAACCTTTCATGAGAACATGCTGTACAAGCACAAGTGAATTCCCCGCTAAACAACAGTCAGCGCATTGTTTTACTCTCCGATCAACCACACGATCATCAGCAAAAGTGCACAATTGTTACAATGGATTCCGATGATTGTAGTATTCGCCCGCATGTGATAACAGGTTAGAATGTCATCGTAAGCCATTAGAATAATGGGGCTGCATTGTGACCTTCGTAATCCCTTCAAATTCGTTGCAATGCTCGGTAATGTAGATGACTGATTGCAATGCCATTACAATGCACTATAAACCTATGTAAGGCAGTTGTAAGAGCTTGTAATATTGAGCGAACATGGTGATTAATAGTGATTATACTGAAGGCAGAGACTCAAGAAATATTCGACAAGGGAGCACAGAACAACGTCCATGGAATGATCCACTATCACTAGGACAGTCATTTACCTGCCTGCAGACTCCAGCTTGTCCATACCGTTTCTTCGACTCCGAGATCCTTTGCATATCCTCGTTCCGATATTCACTGCCCATTCTATGTTCTGTGGCCGGCAGGAATATGAATAGGACCTTGAGCAAACCAGCCCCTTCACGCGGTCTTGGGTCCGACAAACTTGTGTATGTAGCAAAGTAGTCAAAGTCAAAGGCACATGGTGACGGCCCAGTCGGCTTGCGAAGTGACTCTTCCCAATTTGGAAGCTACTCAACAGTGATGACGTAGTACACTTCTCTCCTCTCGGCCATATAAGAGGCGGTCGGTCTCTTCTGGTGTCTTTCACTGCTTTGATTCCTCCTTGTATGTCGACGCATTCTTGGCGGCACAGCCGCTTTTCTGATGACAACATTAATGACAACGACGCCGCAGAAGCACGCAGTGACCTAACACAAGGTCCAGTCCAGTCACACCTGGAGACATAATTGTCACAGGGAACATCAATGGAGACCCCGTACACTTATGTGAGAGTCATCATATTGTCAAATGTTCTTGCCGTCGCCAGAACCGAATCAATTGACTCATACAGCATCTACGAATTTCCGCCGGAACCATGGTCGTTCGTGGAAGATCTTGATCGGGAGGACAGTAGGTGTTAGAACGTTAGACACTAACACCTTTCAATTGAATGCCAATAGGGCAACCTGAGGATTATCAGTCGTCCTCAGAGTACCTAGTTAAGTCAGATACAGATTTCTGCTGTAAAAGCATGCCTCATTCCTGGACATGCCAGACTTGATTGCTCTTGGTCCAAAGATTATGACGGTATTTTTCATCAATTATTCCAATGCTGTCAGCTGAGGTCATAATCGTCAGGTCCAACGTTGAGGCTCATTGGACCTGACGGTTAAGGCCTCAACGTTGGACCTGATGGTTATGACCTCTGCTGCCTCAACGTTGCGGCAGTAGTCTGGCGATAACGGTTTCGGAAGCGGACGATTCCCTAATCAAGCAATTAGTCAGCCGGACCACCTCTGCGTCGCGATCTTGTGGTTTGGTGGCTGCAGGGGGTTCATAAAATATTGTCGGATTCATTCCTTTCAGAAGTCCACGCAAAAGGATTAATTTTGCTGGTGGAGCTTTTCTACAGCCTCATACTTGCATTGCCAGCCCTTTTTTCTGTTTGTGTCATTTCTTCGGGCTCGGACTATACTATGTATTGATGTGGAGATAAATTAAGTAATCGGCAGAGGTGTTTGCAGCCTGAAGAGGCGGCACGGTGAGGTGGGAATCTGGAATACATCAGGTGGTGTTCCATTTTCAGTAGGTTCCCGCATTAGCTGCCCGAAAGTTGAGAGTTGAACGTTACCTCAGTGCTCAGCGTTGCATCCACAAGCAGAAAAATCGGATAATCTTGAGTTCGGAATGTCTGAATTATGCTGGGAATTGTATCCTACTGTGGGAGTTGTCTCTAAAGTTGAGTAATGCAGTTGCACTTGATTAATTGATGAAAAAAGCCTTATAAAGGATTGGGCCTTAAAGTGTGAGGGGTAGTCTTACAAGTCAGCTGTTCGTACTGTGCCGCGCATCGGCGCCCAATTGTATGGACCATACTTAACGTGCAACTACGTCTTGCACGTAGTGTACATCCATTTAATGTGCAACTGACCTCCAGTCAGCATTCAATCAAAGTACAAAACGTTCAGTCAACGTCCAACCAACGTCCAACTGGGCGCCTATAAGCAATCCTCCAAACCTTGTTCAACGTCTCACCGGCAAGGCCTGCCCATCGCTGCCTGGTGGGGACTGTCCATGGCTTGCTACTTTACCATTACATTGAAGAACAAATTCTTGTGGGGTGAACGGAATTTTTTTGTCTCCTTACAACTGTCGAAGATTGGTTGGAAAATCAAACCCGATTGACTGGGAGCCTAACCCTCCTCCATCCCTCACGCTCACGCTACGACGTGCCGCAGCATCCTGCCAGGATTGTATGACACCTCAATCTGTGCCCCTCACATGCAATCTTTATTGCAGAAGCCAACTCCCCGTGCACATCTCTGATACACACTTGCCCTTTCTTCTGCATTTTTTGAAGAAATCCCCAGATAAAATGTGCACTGAACATTTCGACATCCAAATCAGGTTCCCGATTGCCCATATCGCCACGGCACGCAAGACGGAACTGTGAGGCAGCGCGCTCAAGGGATGTGTTCACTGCTATTTTCGATGGTTTATAATAGTTTCCCCAACAGAAGGAAGGATCGGAGAGGAGGCACCCGATTGATCAACCTTCACCACAGCTGTGCGAGTAAACATTCCTGCCGCTGACCCGCCAACGTTCGCTTCAGCACCGTCTAATGTTGACTACCTTGTTGATTACCTTCTACAGTTATCATCGGTTAAACCACTCGGCCCTCCATGGTAATAATAGCCATGACTAGCTTGTTCACGTGAGTACTCAAGCTTGGCAGAGGTATTATTCCTCTCCAGATCAAGAGATCTTGCAGGACAACAAGTCAGCACGCAGCTGCCGCAAATCCAGCAAGCAGTGGCCGTGTATTGTTGGCTTTTATGCTTCCCGGGGTGGTAGCCGCAGAACCTGGTAGTCGCAGATGACCGCAGTGGTATGTACCTTGAAAAAACACCAGATACAACATCAGCCTTCGGACGCATTCAAAAAGAGTGGTCGCCACCACCGTCGTATTGCATGAGTAAAAACTCCTGCCGTGCTTCAACAACGGATAGCCTCATGAGCTGCGGATGTGAAAAACCTGACGGCTGGATAGCCTTGCTAATCACAATGCGCTCTAATGATTCCTACCGGTACTCCGTAAGGTGACGAAACACAGAACAATTACGGTAGATCCCGCATCTCGAATCTGCACCAACATCGGAAATAAATGTGTTCGTGTCCAACTTACGAGTATCGTATTCAGTAAGGCCATTTGAATGCGCCACATTTGTCTACTCGTCGATCGAGTCAGCTCGGGTCTGTCCAGATCACCTCACCTATGTAGGACGTCCCGTTCGACACCACCGCCCCCATAGCATTGTTTATGGTGTACGGATTGAGCGCGTTGTAGCTACTCATGTCGGCCCTCTTCCGTATTGGATAGGTTTCGATAGCTGAAATTCGGAGTATTTGGGTCCGAATGGACGGCCGTCAGCACAGGTGAAAGCTAGTTCACTGCATGAACTTGAGTACAGTGAAACAGAAGGAGTTGCATACTGTTGTGCAGCGGGATTTAACCAGTCTGAAGCGATAGCCAGTTGTCTACCATGTGAAGAAAAAGGTTCGACAAGTGCCGGCGAACCTGCGAAATGAGATCAGCATTCAGTTGCCTTGGACAATATACCAGACCGTCCGTACCAGGCCATACGACTCCGGAGAAGTCGCTACCTTTCGCCGCCTTGAGCCAGACGTCGGGCGCTGTTGCATCGTATCCTTCCTCAGACAGGTATGCAACAGCAGGGTCAATCATCGTAGCTGAGATGCGGATCAGCGATTGAAAAAGTATGCGAGAATGACCGATTGCCTATGCACCATAATGCTGGTTGTGAGCATGGAGATAATGGAGCCTCGGTAGAGGGAAGTGTTATGTCGTAGATAACGGGCACTTCCCACTCAGAATATACGCGCGTGTTTTGTCTGCGAACGGCTACCTGCTAAGTTTTATGAATTTGTCTGCGATAACACATTGGTCCTGCGCCCCCTCGAGACTCTGTGTCTGTCCCTACAACCCAGCATGCATTACAGAACCTTTGTGTCAGTCGATCGACTTCGGAAGATCGACTTTGGTCCTGATTCTAGTTTTCTGAGCGTTCAATATGCTCACCCTGCACGGACTGCTGCAGCCACTGGCCATGTCTTTAATTCCATCTACTGCTCCTGTGGTGATCAATCCATCCATTGAGTCTTCCAAGAGGCAGTCTCTTCCACCCCAAAGTGTCCAACGTATCTCGTCTGTCCCCCATCGCCAACCTCCTCCTCTGAAGCACAATGCAGACTATAACATACCAGGCCTTCGTGCACATCCAATGAGACCTGCTGGCCCATTTGATGGACCCAGGCTTTTCGACAACCCGCCGGTCGCACACACGCATGAGTGAGGACCGTGTCCTCCTACAGTTGTGCTTCATTAGAGTGAGTATTTGACTGCGCGTTTGCGAAAAGCCGAACCTGTACTCATGGCTTTTATTTTCTCAGGTTTCCATCTCAGTTTCCATGCCACAACAATCGTCCGTACGTGTGATTCATGCTGCCATCACTCCTCATCACATTGCTGATAGAAGTGCCGCAGGGAAGGGCAAAGTCGACGAGAAAGTGAATTCGAAGGTGAAGGCGAAGCCACTGCCCCCAGCAGTAATACCGAGCGTCAGTACTTATAGATCCATAGTCTCTGCAGCGCAGGAGACTGACTTCATGGCTTTAATTTTAGGCGACATGGATTCCTTTCTCGCCCAAGCCGGTGGGAGTTTGTGCAAGCGCAAAACACGGCCGGAACCTGTATATGATAAGCCGAGAACATCACCCCCTCGTGCTACTGGCGATCACAGGGACAGCCATCCAGATTATTTTGATGCCTTATCTGACAGAATTAACGACAATGGTGTCGGACTGTCAAGTGATGACCAGTTTCTCAGCCCAAAGGAGAAGATGAGGAAGGAGGCCATTGATATGACGCCCGCTACCAAGAGGCTTGAACGGATGAACGTCCATAGCGGAACGGACGAAGGCGACACGTCATTTGAAGGCCTGGACATGGACGTGTTCATGGACATCGACGACAAAGACATCAATGGCGACATGTCACTCAAACCGAAGCCAGAAGACTTGAGTGTACGCAAAAAATGCTTAAGTCTATTGACCGAAAGCTCAATGTGCAGGACAAGAAAGTCAAAGAGGATGACACCCCATCGTGGCCCTCTGTCTATGACTCTCTCAGCGTGATGACCGATGACACGCTGGGCCCACTCTCCACTTCTACATCTACATCTCGAGTACATCTGTCCTCGAGGAAGATGGTTCTCTGCGATTCATCTGACTTGATTATCTCGAACATGAAGGGCATCCCTACTTCATGGGAAAGACCCGAGACAAGGTCTTGAAGGCCTGGTTATCATGTTGCGTCACTGTCGAAAACCTGCAGTGTAATCTATTTGTCCTATCCCGAGCGCAGCGCATCGAGGAAGACGAGGCGAGGAACACCTATGAGACCAATGTGGTGCCCGAGATGAAACACGTATATGAGGACTTCGATTGTTTTCACAGGAAGGCCAGCATCAAGCGCCGGAGAGCAAAGTTCATCAAGAGGAAGTACGTGTTCGGAGAGAAGGACGTACTGAAAGGGGAGGCACAATGGATGAAAGTTGTGCATGGCTTCGACGGTACGTCATCCCTCTTTTTGTCGCAATAAGGTATACTCTGAAGTCACCGCAGAACCACAAATCTAGAGTAACGTGTCTAGCCTGAACTTTTCACGCATCTTCGGTACCAACACAAGTGCCTTCGAACCGCTGGTGTTGAAGCGCAGAACAATGGGTCCGTGCTAGCTGCAAATCAAGAAGCCTCACCTGGAACACAAGGGAGTGCGTACATCCAATTCCCTTCTTTGATGCTTAATGCTGACATATAGACATGCAGGTATCTTGGTGCAAAGTCGAAGCAACGGTGTCGGACCCGAAAGACGTCAATGCATTCTCTGATATGGACATCCAATTTCCCAAGGAAACACTGCCATTAACCGTGATGAGTCTCGACCTCAACACCGTTGTCAATCACAAGGAGAACAACCGCGAGATTGTGTGTGCCACGGCAAGGATCTGGTCGAACTGTACATTCAAAGATCTGTCAGCACATTCATACTAAAAAGTATCCTGTATGTAGTGCAAACTGACGATCCTATGCCTCCAGAGGCTCTTCCGTGTTCTGTACATACGTTTGTTCCACCTTTGGACCGCTTCCCGCCAAACTTCGAAGTACGCGCTGGACGCAATGGCATAGGAGTCATCTCTCCTCATGAAGAATGAGTGGATGCTGCTGAACAGCTTGCTTGGTTCGTATTCTCTGCCTCTCAGACATCTCCTGACTGAAATATTCGCACTCCTAGTGACAATTCACAAAGCAGACCCTGATGTCATTGTTGGGCACGAGTTCCTTGGGGTCGCTCTGGACGACCTTCTCCACCGTATGAGAGAATTGTAAGCAGACCATTGGTCACGAATCGGCCAGTTCAGGCAATCGAGATGGCTGAATATCGGTAGGCAAGGGAGCAACCTGCGATTCATCAATGGGAGGTTGGTCTGCGATCTTGCTAGTGATGGTGCGAAGGTGCACAGAGCGTCCACGCATTGAAAAACTACAACACCCACGGATATACTATTAGGGCATGATCTCGTCCACAATGTGGTTGCTCACCGAAATGTGCAAGACTCATCTCAAGAGTGAGAGGCAGGATATCGACCCGATGATACTGCCAGCTACTTCGACAGTGGCGTCAGTTCGCCGGACAGGCTTCTTACTTTTGTCCGGCATTGTGAACTAGATGCTTACTACTAGATGGTGCTGGCGGCCAAGGTACAGATGCATCGTTTGACGAGGCAACTGACGAATTTGGCTGGAAACTCATGGTCAGTTATTTTTGCTATTTTGCATGATTCCAGACTGACCGGCTTTGGTAGGAACAAGACGCTCAACGGTGGACGTGCCGAGAGAAACGAGTAGATCTTGTTGCACGAATTCCATCGCTTGAAGTACATCTGTTCTGACAAGGTGTACGGCAAGATGGCTGCCACTGTTGAGAAGATCGAGGCATGGGATAATGATGCAGAAGGAGGCAAGATGACCAAAGGCAAGTGGGATAAGTCTTCGAACCCAAGCGTGGATTGTGGGACAAGTTCATACTCATTATGGACTTCAACTTGCTGTATCCGACTATCATCCAGGAGTACAACATCGACTTCATGATTGTTGACAGGATGGAGGATGAGGTGAGTGGACGTACAGTTGGGGAAACTGTAATATGCTGATGAATGAACTGATCAGGAGGGTGAAGAAAAAATCCCAGAATCACTGAGTCCTGAGGTTGCCCAGGGCATTCTTCCCCGTCCCATTGCTACTCTTGTCAACAGGCGTAGGCAGGCCAAAAGTCTAATGAAAGACCGCAAAGCGACACAATCACAGTTGCTTCAGGTACTATCAGTCACATCACGGGCAGTGGCATGCCACTGATTATTTTCTGCAGTGGGATATCAAACAGATGGCATTGAAGCTTACAGCGAACAGTACTTGCGGTTGTCTGGGATTCGAGTACTCCAGGTTCTACGCCCTCCCCTCGCTGCCCCCATGACATTCAAGGGTCGTGAGATTCTGATGCATACTCGTGAACTAGCAGAGTCTCCAGCTTGACATGCGTGGGGTCGAAGTTGTACTTGAAGGCTCTTCTGATTACGTTCGCAGGTTGTCTATGGAGATATGGACTCGGTCTTCGTTAATTCCAACATCACTGAGCTTCCAGAGGCACTCAAGATATCAGCAGAGTCCCAAAAAAGCGGTCAATGGTCACTACAAACTCTTGGAGATTGACCTCGATGGTATCTTCCAACGTTTGCTCCTGTTACAAGAGAAGAAGTATGCGGCCATCAAGGTCGAAGATGGTGGACGACCATCCACAGAGGTGAAGGGGTTGGACATGAAGTGCAGAGGGTATTGTGCGTTATCTAAGGTGGTGTCTCAGTATGTCACCATTTCTTCTAGGAATGTGCGTAAACCAACACATTTTCAGATACGTACCAGACCAGATTCTGTCGGGAGAGGCGACCGAAACTGTCGTTGAACGGATACACAAGTATCTCACAACTATGGGTGAGGATATTCGCGCAGGCAAGATCAAGTTGGATGAGTTCATCATCCCAGAGGACCACCCTAATGCTAAGAGCCAGCCACATGTCTAAGTTGCTTTGAGGATGAAGGCGAGGGGCGGCACTGCTCGATCGGGTGACGTTATACGTTATGTATTCTGCGTAGGTGAGAGCGGCGAGGTAGGCAAGACCGCTCAAGCTGAGTGGGCGAAGGATCCCGATGAGGTACGAAGGGCAAGCGACGAGTTGAAGATTGGTGAGTCCGTCGGAGGCCCTCGACATGAAATAGACACTGAAATTGTATTAAGACTACGAACATTATCTGGCACACCAAATCTTGCCTCCGATCGAACGTTTATGTGAAGGGACCGACCGGTCACGATTGGCCGAGTGCCTGGGTAAGCAGTGGAACGAAGAAGAGAACGCTGCGTATATCCATTTCTAACTTAATATGTCCCAGGGCTCGATGCAAGCCGATACCGCAATCCGGATGGGGCGGAAGAACGGCCTTCGGCACTCTGGATTCGTTGATGTCAGATGCCGAGAGATTCAAGGACACAGATCTGTTCGTTGTGCGATGCCGCTTGTGCCAGGGTGAAGTTGCCTTCGCATCTATCAGTGACAGAGAGGTGCCATGCCTGATCCGCCATTAAATTTGGGAACTGCAGACTTATGTCTTATGGAATAAAGGCTTCACTGTTGCTCCCCGCTGGCCCGACATGTTCTGGGTGCCATGGCAAATTAGGGACAGTTAGTTTGCAAGTGCAACTGGAGACGCAGATCCAGGAACACATCGCAATGTACTACGAAGGCTGGACTGTCTGTGATGACCCCACATGTGGTAACCGGACACGGATGACGGGCGTGTATGGGCGAAGATGTCTCCAGCATGAATGCCACGGAACAGTGATGTTCGAGGTGCGTCGCATGGCTCGAGGATGCAAAACTGGTGCTGACGTGTCATAACTGATGAACCAGATCCAGTTCTATCTCTCTCTGTTCAATGTGGAGAAGGCATTGAAGAGTGCAACGGGGACGAGACTAGGTGCGCTCAAGTCTATCGCAGAATAATGGGTCCATGCTGGCTGCAAATCAAGAAGCCCCATCTAGAACACAAGGGAGTGCGTGCATCCAATTCCCTCCTTTGGTGCTTTGTGCTGACATGCAGAAGTGTAGGTCTCTTGGTGCAAATCGGACGAATGGGTGAAAAGAAAATACTGACAATATTCCTTGTCTGTGCCATCCGAGACACCACGAGAGGCAGCGTCAAGCACTGCACTCCAACCAGGACTATTCACTGGCCTATCACCATTCCAACCAGCGACACTGCCATTTGTGGCAGTGGTGCCGTGGCTCGCAGTACCACCATTGAAAGGAGAGGTACCACCATTCCCGACAGATTGTTCGGATTCATCTTCAGCCTCTTCAAGAGGAACAAGCTTAATGACGCTCCATGGAAGTGGGTCATGGGCCTCTGCCTCTCCGGTAACATCGTCCTCGAGATTATACGATGACACGTGTTCTTCAAGTGCCTCTTCGAGTCCAGTACAAGAGACAGGTGAGGACATTTCGAAGGGGCACAGAGGGGAGGGAGTACTGGGGCTGCAAGAGATGTGCAAAATACAGATACCGTGGACATGCTCTTCGGCTTCACCATGGCTCGGACCGCCTTAAATACTCCCTGATGTAAGCACACTATTCCTCATCCATCCAGACAACGGATCCAATAGGCATAGGTAAACCGGTGGCTGCCCAAGTCCACGGGATGATTGGTTAGTAATATAACGAACTTACACTGGCAATCCATCTGCTTGTTCGACCCGTGAAGTAACCTGAAGTAATGTTAGCAGACACTCTAGGACTTCTCCCGTTGACACGTTAGACTCGGATAAGAAGGGAACCGTCAAAGCTTAGGATGATCTATTCGGAAACCCCGTTACAGCGGAACTACTGCATAGAAACATGGAAAGACGGAGGTGCCATCCAAAAAACCAATGACCGCCAACAACGGCATCGATCATTGACTGAGGGTACCGTGCACTGCTAACGCTGCTCACCAGGTCACAAAGGGTGGGGCCATGTTGTAGTCGTCATTAATTCATTAGAGACGACGAGCAACGGCCGGCCCTTCCCCAATGAACGCCCTCTCTTTCTCGGACAAAGGGACTCTACTTAGTCTCCCAAAGCATGTTGTGCCCGAGAGGTGGGGTACGTTTCTAGCTTGGGGGAGAGGATGATTGAAGATGGACATCTGGTACAGGGGAGGACGTATGCAGTGACAGGCGGGCAGTGGCGAGAAGGGAGATCAGTCTCGAACTGTCGAATGAAAATGTCCATGCAAAGGCTCACCGTACGCATTGTGTCACCCGCTCACGATGCATCGAACCAACAGTCGTGATGCCAACTCCAGGCCACCTTGCGTAGTACCCGCATCGCTACATAAAAGCACACACATCGCGCTTGATCAGACACATCGCGCTTGATCAGACACATCGCACTTGATCAGACACATCGCGCTTGATCAGACACATGATGCAGAGCTGCGCGGTGATGGTCCACTTGTCCGTGTGCAGGTTGAACTTGAAAATTGTGCTTCCATGGGTGCAGGTGCAGAGCTAGACTGGAGGACGGCCGCAGGTCAAGCGATCGGTGAGGACGACGGCGCCACTGAGGGTAAGGGCTCAGGGAAGTTAACGAAGGCCGGAGCGGATGTCAAGGACAGGAAGGCGGAGGAGGCGGGCATGTCTGAGGTCGGCGGTGCTGCTGTGGGAGTGGACGTGAGTGACGCGGTAGGCATGGACATCGGCGTGGTAGCAGGGGTGGAGATAGCTGCAGCAGAGTCAGAGTCAGGCCTGAGGGAAGACATATACGTGTTCTGGAAATGTCATTCTGCATGCCATCAATCATCTTCAGGAGATCGACACAGTCGGGAGTTGGCAGCCCCATGTAGTCCAGCGGTAGTCGCAGACTCGAAAGTGATGGGATTGGCGGCATGTTGGACAGCTCCCGCATAGTGGGTGAATTTCCATAACTGAGCGCCTAAAGCAGCCTATCGCTCCAGTCACCGTGAGCGGCACAAAAAGCGAAACAGTCCAGTTGAGGAAACTGCTGATCCTGCATATTGAATGGGATAGTCAATCTGCAGGAGCCATTAGGGAGAGGCAGCAGGCAGGTAAAGGAACGCACTGGTTGTGTCAGTGCTTGAAGTCGATGGTCGGGCCTTTGCGGTCGAATTCGCGCTCGTATGGTGGGAGCTCTGAGATGACCCATGTGACGAGTCATGCCGCTGTGGCGACAGTCCTGGAAGTAGCGTATAATCGAATTATTCATACAGATTTACTTGGAGTGGGGAATGATCTTACTAGTCTACAACGTAGGAGTGGTCGAACTATGCGAATGCATCATCACCAAAAATTTGCCTAAATCCCCTCTGTAGGTTGAGGTCGTGAGCACCTTGAAGTTTCGGGGCAAATGGACGACTTCGAGCAAGTTGCGAACCCGATCTACTGAAATTCAGAGAAAATTGCAGCCTGTATCCCCTCACAGAGCATATGGCCTGCGGGAGAAGCGTATCGTGTGCGTGGCTGCTCTTCTGTGGTGGACCATCCCATACGATTGTTCCATCGCATCTGAACTGTCTATTCGAAGGACCAATCGGGGCCGAGGCCGTCCGTCCATGCAGTAACTGGACTGCAAGTGATTAACAGTAAACGTGGGGAAACCTGAATCCATCGTGCCTGCCTTGAAGGACGAGTGATTACCCCATCGCTTCGCGAATGACTCGGGCATGATGTGGTCCATTGATGCCTCACCTGGTCATCCATGACGCGAATGAGACCCCCAGGCTTGTGCTGCAATAAGCGGAGACACGCGGAGTTGTCGAAATATGGCACCTGGAGAACGAAGCGGGAGATACCCTCTGTCATGTACTCGCAGACGTGGCGCTCGAACAGCTTCTTCTGTGTGAAGTTCTGTAACCGCTTGTTAGCGAAGTTGATGCAGAACTGATCTAGGCCGGCTAGTCATGTTCTGGGGGCCGGGTAAGTCAAACAGTCCAATGAACATATTGAAGTCGTCGTGGCAAAGGCGCTGGTTGATGTGTTTGTTCAACCATGCAAACAGGAGGGAGTATAGCGGCTTCACGAGTTCATCTCGGTTATCAGAGGCACCATCGGGATCCAGGAAGATTGTACATAGTTCCTTCTTCCCCATCTTCATTCTGTACGATAGCGCAGCCTCCAAAGCTTCCGGCTGCACGTCCAAGAAATCTGCGACGATATCGAGGACATCCGTGTTGCCCACGACAGCAGCGTCTTCGTTGCGAGAGCGATCGGTATGGAATTCCAGGTTACCCAGATGGAGAATAGCAGCAACCAGCTGGCACTTCTGTGCAACATGTCTTTTCGAGAATCCCACGTTCTTCAACGCCACCTTCAACTGATCCAACCGCACGGCATCCTCATCTCAGATGCACAAACCATCTCGCAAGGCATACAGCTTGAAATGGCAGGGAGATGGACATCAATTGGACAGGTGACACACATGAGAGAGTCCCTTGCAGACAGTCGTGTCTACAGGGAACCCCATCAAAAGGAATCAGCTGGGGACAATCGTACCCGACACGCCAACTGTCCAAGTCGCAGGGATGCTGAACCTTCATGAACCGGTCATCCAATGGCCAATGGCAAAAGTGAACCGTAAGGTGGGGGTGCATTTAGCGAACTGGATCTATAATGCACGGACGGACCATACTACGAGGTGTACTTCTCGTGGAGTGCCGTGAGCGAGCTCGATCGCACGATCTGCTCTGCACACTGCAAGTCAGACATGTCTTGCGACGTGCATCACGAAAGGTTTCTGCTGAACATAATCCGCAGGCTAGAGTCAGCGAACCCTCTTCGATCTCTCCCGAAAGATGTCACGTACCAGTAACAGCCCGCTCACGTTGACGTCCTAGTCCCTACAGTCCTTAGCAGTCCTGGACGTTCCGTGGTGGCCTCACGGAAGCACTCAACCTCTACTTCTGCTCCCTCGCCACTACAAGTTTGCCTGACAGTGCTCTGATGGTGACGGTCTATGTGGCCACAGCTCATGATCGGCCCGTGGACAGCGCGGTACAGGCCTTTCTTGCAAATGCACAACGACGATGAGAATACATCTGGCAGTTCGAGTTTCACGACGAACTCATTGCATAGTCCACGCACTGGGCCCCCAAGCTGACCGCAGCCATTGAGAATGCAAAGACAGAGGTTCTGGCTCGAACTGAATGATGGACATGTTTGTGCAACACGTCATTTTTGTGTTGAGCAATAGTGGTCTCAATCTCGATCGCATCTTGCGCACCTCGGTAGCAAGCCTACCAACGATAAGTCTTTGCATCGCGTCGAACGTAGGGAATTCTGCATGCAAGGAATGCAGGATAGGGATGAAACTGTCAACGATGAGGCCTGCTGTCCCCCGCTTGTCCGGTGCGAAATCGATGAGTTGAGATATATGAGGCTTGACCGCCTGAGTGAGCTGTGTGGTAAGGCCCTCATAGTCGATAGGTTCGGGCGTAACGCTGCAAGCTGCGGTACCAAGAACTTCGTGACCACATGAACGACGGACTCCTTCTCTACCTGCGGAGAAGACCTCGAGATATCCATCGTCTGGAAAAATGAGACACATGTGAGGAATGTCTACGACTTTGCTTCCGCCATCTTGATCGAGATCCTCATTTGCTTCTTGCACGGCACGCTGGGTGGGAGGGATATATCCACTGCACACCTCCACCTCGGCATCTTCGGCAAGCGGAGGAAGGGCAGTGTCTGCACAGGAGAGTTCAACGTCTATGTGTTGCTTCTTGAAGATCGAGTTCCGAGACACCTTGGAAAGATAATGCGGTGGAAACTCGGTGTCGACGACTTTTTTCGAGATCGACTCTATCACCAGCATAAAGCCCTACATCGAGCGTTAGCCGATGGAAATTTGAAGCTGACGTGTGCGCGTAGCTGAAATGACTCACTACGGGGAGGGCATACAGCTTGCATGCTGACGATCGGACGAGCAGCATCGCCCGCCAGAGACCAACAGGTGTAGATGTCGATTCATACATGCTACGTCTGCGAAACAATCGACGAGGGCAAGTAATCGTCGCCATGTTACGCACGGCACACCAGCTAGTCGTGTCGGCATCACGACCCTCTGGCTGCATCGCTGAGCCATTGGGAGCTACGCACGAGCACAACGAGCGGCAGCTGGCTAAACAGTGGCAGGGAATGGTAGGGAGTAGGGTAAATAGCGGTCAGAAGCGGGGAGCAGGTATTGCTATTTCCGAATATGGATACGGGGCGTGGGAAGTACTCGGCCACCTAAGGGATTAGACTGGCGAAATCAACGTTTTATTACATAACCACCGATTTATGAACAATTTCTAGGATTTTTCTCAGGTATCTAGTTAATAAATACACATGTACACTACCAAATGTGAGGAAACCATGTAAATGGAGGTCACCATCGCGCATCACAAGGCGCATTCCACCTTTTTTCCTGGGGAAAAACCTGGGGAAAACAACAAAGTAAGTCTCCGGGAAATATCCGGGAAAAACTGTGAGAAAACAATAGTGTAAATCCTGTAGAAAAACTGTGACCCAGAAAAAGCAACAGATTTCTTGGAGAAAAAACCTTTGTTTCCAAATCGGGATTTCCGCATACATCTTCATCAGCAAAAGTCAACTCTTGCTTACCCAGGTTATTCCCTTGATTAAGGAAATTGTAAGGAGATCCTCATTATTATTATTCCTTATTCACCTTAATTGGCCAAATAAGGAAGCAGACCTCCTTAATCAAGGCAATAAGGGAGCTAACCAACAGTTGACTTTTCCTGATGTTGCAGAAATCCCGATTTGGAAACAAAGGTTTTTTCTCCGAGAAATCTGTTGCTTTTTCTGGGTCACAGTTTTTCCCCAGGATTTACACTATTTTTTTCTCAGTTTTTCCTGGAGATTTCCCGGAGACTTACTTTGTCGTTTTCCCCAGGTTTTTCCCCAGGAAAAAAGGTGGAATGCGCCTTGTGCGTGATATGTCGTGACATGGAAAGCTCTGGAAAAGTTGAGCAGAAAGGGCGGGAGGTGGCAGTGGCGGGACATGCCGGGACCCCCGCGAATCAACTAAGAGCTCCGATCCCGGTGACGATTAGTCTCGTGACCAGACGTTCACGTGCAACTTACCGAAAATGGACAGAAAGAGAGGGAGCAGAACATCTGGTGAAAGTCGTGTAGAGCGGAGGGGGTATGTAATGCTCTCCCCATCAGGAAATCCATGAGGGTGTGACAAGGCATTAGCTACGATTGTAATGTAAACAATTTCCGCACTATGCATCAGTCTTGCGTTCATTCTGGTCAGGCCTTTTATAGGACAGTTGAGTTGCTGAACATCTAACTGAAGCATCGGCATGCTGTGGGGTTATCGCAGTCAGCACAGCTTGAACTTGTAAGATCATATGCATTTCCACAAGGATCAGGCATTATAATTGATCCCACATAGTGCTTAAAAAGAAAACATATCCATTTTTTGCTGTAATGTAAATCTATCTGCATTATCTACGAAAACCGTGCCCATATGGCTACACCCCAGGTTCCACATCGTAGGTGGGCATGGCGAGCACAAATCCCGAATCCGCAGAGTGTACCGACGCAACACCCGCACCTTATCGCTCGACCCCAGCGGCCATTCCGTGAGTGTCCCGGCATCTTGATGGTCCAGGTCGGCCATCCAAATAGTCCTCATCGTCGGCCATCCACGGTCCTCATCCACGGTCCCCGCAAGTCGTCGTGAGTCATCGGCAAGCCAAGCCCTGCGTGCCCACGATCTGCGGTGCTGGTCAAACATCGGCCCTCCATGGTCTCGGTCAAACGTCGGCCCTCCACGGTCCTGGCCAAATGTTGGCCCTCCACGGTCCTGGCCAAACGTCGGGCCCTCCACAGTTCTGGTCCGAGGTCGGCCTCCTCACCAACGGGGCTAGCCTTCCAAAGCGATCTTCGCGTCCGTTGTCTTCGGCCAACAGTGGGGAGCCCGAGCAGTGCGCCATTCTCAAAGGCAGGGAGATGGAAGCGGAGCAGCAGCAGAGATGAGAGAGGGTTCGAACCACAGCAAGCAAATACTCCACACCAACTTCGCCCTGTGACTTTCGCTAGCCCCACGAACTGTGTTGTAAGCCTGTTCTTGCTCGGAGAGCAAGCTCTCCCGACCCAAAAGTGAAAGTGTCCTTTTTACACAGTTGTTGTGCACTATTTGTTTTGTGGCACTGTCTGCCCTCGTCTCCGAGCAAGTTCCACCGCCGCCTGGCAGCCTTTCGAGTTGTGAAATAGAACTGCATCCATGTAAACCAGCTGGTTGGGTGGTGAGGTTAATGTATGTGATGTGATTTGATTCCGAGACCTTGAGTTTGAACCTTCTTCGTGTATTTATTTTAGACGCTATGGTTTTGAAGCTTCACTGGCAAGTCTTGCGGACTTTGTCATTTTTTTACAATAATTTTGCTAGATTTTAATGTCTGACATGCCCGACAAATGACGGGAAGACGCGGGGCACTCCCGACTTATCCCGAGACACCCGCTTAAGCGCCGAAGTTCAAAAGGTGCGCGGTGACAGAAAAAGTGTGCGCGGGATTAATTTTTTGAAGACCGCGTCATAATAGGCACGAGAGATGATGCGGCTTCGGGCTATGCAAAGTATGTACTAGTTACGACAGGATGGCGGTCATACTGTGTAAGGAGCTCAAGCATTCAACTATACGGAGGATGAAATAAATTATATCTTCAGTTGCAAGTATTTTATTCAAGAAGTATGTCGAATTATCGATACTCCAAGAAATGAGCTTTATCTACAACCCCGTAAACGAATTCACGGCGTCGTCAAATCTACATAGTGTCGCTTGGTGCCAACCTTCGCTGTCGTGAAGTACTCAGAGCATGCATGGCCAGGAGAATAAAGTGCGCGATGCGACATTAACTTCTCGCAGAACGGGCAGCGAGTGAGGATGCGGGTTAATTCTGTGTACCTGACACCTGGGTCCACAGTAGCATCTAGCAGGCCGAAGAGCCGGGAAGCCTCATTCACAGATGGTGCTTCGACTTGGTAAGCTAGAGTGTTGATGCTCGGAGGCGGTGACCAAAAGCGCTCGAGGCTGTCAAGATAGCCGTGGTCATAGCCTGATGAGCAGAATGAGCGATTACATGAGTACAACTAGAGACAAAACTATCTCACAGTTGGGAGGCTGTGGGTCATCCGGACCAAGCTCCTGCCGGGTTTCTTGACGTGCCCCATACTGGCTAAGAGGAGGGGAGCTCATAGAGTTTTGAGTCGAAGATGAGCTGGATGAAGGTGCACTGCAGAGCTCTTGGGGTACTGCAGCATGGAGGGGATGATCACCGCGAACGTAGGGGGAACATGTGGGCGACGCTTGCTTGAAAGGAGGCTGCCAGTCGAATTGACTACTCACTCCACTCAGTTGAGCCAGCAGAGATGGAGATGAATGTTCAACGACGATATCTGCATGGTAGATATATCAGATTATGTGAGGGAATGAAGGCGAACAACATCATGCATTATATCATCGACATTGGAGTAGACATTCATACCTTTGTTGCTAACTGTCCTTATCGCTGAGCCGAATCTTTGCTGCGCGCGAGACGGTGGGGCCGAACAACTACGGGCCATCCCTGTGATCTGGCTGGATGGGCGGTCGGCTGCGCAATAGCCAATTAAGTTCACCATATGAGACAAATCACCGAGAGAAAGCACATACCTTCGCGAAGAGGGTATGTTCTCCATTCCAAATCAGGATTCTCCTCCAGGAGATCATACAGGTCCACTGGGGTTGCATAACAGCAATTGATCAGTAGACACCAAACATGATGAGAAAGGGACAAACCGAACATGGGACAGAGAAAATGGGAGCATATAAGAACAGGATGGCCCTTGTTCAATGACTTGTCGGACTCGGGGATTTTAATCTGGCACGGGTGAGAACTGCGACCGGGGAGGTGTCCGCACAGGCAGCGAGGCTTCTCCCACTCGTACATCTCCGCATAGAAGTCCAACAAATACGGAGTGACAGCGTCGCCATTCGGGTATGCAGGGCTATGAAACGCATCAATACAAGGCACGAAACTCGAATAAAGAGGCAACCACATACTAAGGCATCGGGACCAACTTGTGACTCCTCTCATTATACGTAGGGAGGAAACGAATCCGGCAGAGCTCTGACTTCAGAAGAGCGAACTTAGCCGAGAAACGAGGCCTACGGGGAGAAGTAGTGGATGAGCGTGGCATGGTAGCAGATTTGGCAGAACAAAGATAAGCAACAGGATGGTGGATGTTTGGCCCAGTGCTGGAGGTATCCTCTTATAGTTATACCACATCAGTACCTGCCTCTTCACCAGTGCGACAGAAACCGCAGCATACAGATCTCAGTCGTTAGATTGACATAGAAAGGTCTCCTTTTCTGACGTCGAACATGTGCCATAATGTTGTCACCGCGCTTGTACGTGGGAAGGCGAGAAACGGCAGGCCTCCAAATGGAGCGAAGTCGCATTAATATTCCCTGTTCAAGTGAGCGCCCACATAGATCTGGATCTGATAGACGCTCGCGTCATTACAGGTCATTACAACAACCCGGCGTTCCTGAATGAGGACCATGGCCGGTAACCTACCTAGAACTGGTGGGAATATCATGTAGTCACCACTATTTTTAAACAAGAAAAGCTCAGTGCCTAAAATTTGTCCGATTTCTTATCCCTTTGGCAGAAATGTTTCTTTTCATGAGTGGAGTCGATTGGCTAGAGCGATTGGCGAGAAACTCAAAATTGAGGGAGATAATCTTTTTGTCAAAGAAGAGACTTGTTTGCAAGCGCGCCGAATCTGTCACAGATTGTCATGCTTGCCGACGTGCCGTTCCCTTGTTCTCCCTATAGTCGGAGTTTAAAATAATGTACTTCATTGTCACGCCTGAATCACTCCCGACTTTGCACCCTTTCCATCCCAGTTGGACATCTGGACCCCCAAGTTGCTCGGCCAAGGTATTTGAAATCATACACATCTACTGCATATTGTTTACTGATTTTTAGTGCAGCGGAATGTGGCAAAAGGACGAAATTGCAACACCCGGGTAACGATACTATGGGTTACCAGTTATCACTCACTCGGCAGAGCCTGTAAGTCGGCCCCCATATGAGGGGAAAATGTAAAAAATGTAGGGTAGCCGCGCATCTTCTCAGGTCAAATTCCCACCGCTTAGGACATTTGACCCAAATCTTCCTTATACATGGGAAAACTGCCGAAGTGGTAACCCATAGTAGTAAGCCATGAAGAACTTTGAAACACCCTTCAAACGTTTGCAGAGGGCGGGAGTAAGATAGAAGGTGACGGCTACCTTCCTTATACCTTTCTACCCCCGAGACACATTAAACCCTTATCTTAGGGTTAGGGGTTTTTCGCCAAATCGAAAACTGGCGGCGTCTAATTGGTGCGCAATCTCGGATCGCGATATCGCAGAAGATTTGCGTTGTCCACCTAAACTCCTTTACCCAGCTTTTGCATGAGCGCACAACTCAACCCCTCTTCTTTTCTGAGGTTTGTCTGCATTTTTCCCAGTGCTCGCAAGTTCCAAGCGTCAGCTATGACGAAGCAGTACTAAGTTTTCCCGGGACTTCACGTGGTTCCCTCTCAGGACAAGCTCGCAAGGAACGTCTCTATCGTTAGGTCTGGTCTTTTAACTGTGTCGGAAACGTGTTCTACTTCTTGCACATGTCCCGCTCATGCACTCCATATGTCCGAAGAACTGGTATCGCTTAATTGCATGATAAGTTTAGTTGTCATTCCGTGGAATCCTCACGGCTTTAGCCAGATTCGGACCTTCCATTACTCGCCAGGTACGTCTGGCTGAGAAATTGCATTGTTGACCTGTAGTTCAAAGTCCTCCGGCGACAACAATCCACGTTCGACATGATTAGCTTGGCAATTGAAATATTGACCCTTTGACACGGAGGAAGACGTCATAGTTCCTGTGACAGGCATCGGAATATTCAGATTCATAGATTAATTTCCATGAGCAAAAATTGCTATCAATTCCTGCTAGAGACTGTGGCTCGGGTTCCGACAGTTCATTCAGGTTGCCTTATCCTGTTCGTCTATTCCACGAACCGCCTGTTTTCCACTCAAGCTGGCTCCGTCGAAAACTGTGCATTTGTTGCACATCCTCTCGCCTCAGAAACACCTCAGCTTGAGAGGTAAATCCATCTCTCGTCTTGTTCCATGGTGTCTGATGTATTTGTGCCTGGCGAACGAAATCGTCTACTCTCCAAATCATTGGATGTACCACGTCTTGTATTTAGGTGGGCTGAAGGGGAATCATGCTTCCAGTTACAGTGAGCTGAGAATACGCTAGTGAGATAGCTGTCAATTCATGGTACGTTGCAGATACATTGAACGGGGCCGAAGGCCGTCATGCCTTCGTTCTTGTGTTCTATGAGTCATGACCCGCGACTATACGTTAGAATCTACCTCCGTAGAAGTTATGATCAAGCTTTTCCCAGCGATATTTCATCTCACCGTGGCAGCCGCAGCGATAGGTGCATTCCCGAAATGAGCGTGCTGCGATACTCAATGGCAACGGTCGGACCAGCTCATAAGTATAAAGGGCTCGTTCGCCGCCTTTGAAGACATACCTTCGACTCACACAACCTCGACTCAAATTGGATACTGAATAATGTTGAACTTGCAGCACAACATAGTCATCGTTGGGTAGTCCACCGTTGGAAAGCGCATACGATGTACCAGATAGATGATGACTCACCGCATCCGCTTAGGCTTGTGTATCGGAGATTTCACCACAGTCAGAATCTGGCGGATGTCGTCTGCAGAATACAGTTTTCCAGAATCAAAGCATACACATACGAAGCATCATTGTGGAATAGGCAAAATATACAACAATAGTCTCAAGCAGTGATGGCTCCTGTCCCGGAACATCGCACTTCAGTCTTAGAGAAAAGGCGTTCGTCGACGTTCGCGAGTACATGCAGATTCAGATAGAAACCGGTGCGTACAATTCCACTGATACAAGACCTAAAATCCACTCCAATTGAAATCGAGTAGGCAAGTATACTCCAGTATGAGAAACACACCATTAACCGGACATCTAGAAGTGTAACTTCCGTGACAAACCTCCACACCAGACAGAATAACAGGTATCGAAGTAATAATGGAAGAACATTTATCTTGCACCCAAAAAGCCACTTCAGAGGCTGCGGTGAGGAAGCCGCTGCGTCTGTACACAAAAGGTGCGTCATGAAGTTTTAAAAACCTGTCGTCTCAGCGGTCAAAGCTTATCCTATGTAGAATAATATCGCAAGCAAATCGTATAAGGTTGAGCTCAGAGACTCGAACACGACGAAGTAAACGGTTTTGATAGCAGAGAGTCGTTGGAGGAAGTCAAGCTGGGGATTTCCGTGACCGGCTTCAGAATTGCAGCTCCGCTTTAAAGCGCGTCGCGTTTCGGGCGCTTGTCTGACGCGCCTTGCTCCTCCAGCATATCTCTCGCGACAGACCAGGAAACCTGCGTATTCAACACATATCTGGCGCACGGATATTACAGACAAACTCGTTAGGAAAAAATCTAATCTGGTGTTCTGGCGAAGAGTAGCAGTGTTAGGGACGCTTTCTCTAGGTAAGAAGACAGCAAATTAGGACAGCGTTGCGTGAGTGATAGAAGCTACTCCCTTTGCCAAAAATCCAGATTGTGGCACAGAGGCGATTGTGAGCTGCGCCAACAGTTGGTGTACATTGATCCTGTTGCGCACACGTACCATTTTTTGTATGAATTTGACGGTCCAAATCACTGAACAAAGGGTTTAGACATTCCGCGCTGCTCTTTCGATACTACAAGGAATTGATAAACCGATCACTGAAGCCCTACCAAGATGGCGTTGATGTACGGGAAGGAGAAGGATGCCGATTACGAGATTGGTGCGTCTAATCGTAGCACATTTCCAGCGCAACAACTCACATCACCACAGACAACGTATCTCATCCTGGGTTTTGCAGTTTTTTTGCGAAGCTTCCTCCTAAGTCACCGGAAACTGGAACAGTACGCCTCTTCTTTCGAACTGAGTACTACTCCGTGCATGGGCCGGACGCACTCTACGTCGCTGCGCACGTCTTCCACACCAATACAGTCATCAAATATCTTGGTCCTGGTGGCAAGTCTGGCCTGCCAAGTGTCACATTGAATGAAAGCCAGGCAAAGAGCTTCCTACGCGAAGCTCTGACCTCAAAGCAGCTCAAGGTCGAGATATGGGTACCAGAGGCTGGACAGGGGAAGAAGGCCGTTAAGTTCCAGCTTGACAAGGAGGTACGTACTATCTGTTCGCTTGCTCGCTGTTGTTGATCCTTTGGCATTACAGGCGTCTCCTGGAAATTTGCAAGCTGTGGAAGAGCTTCTCTTTGTCAACACGGATATCCTGTCCGCCCCCATCGTGATGGCGATCAAGATTACGACGTCCTCTGCCACAGGGGCCGGTTCCTCCAAGGCAAAGATGAAAGCCATAGGTGTGGCGTTCGCTGACACGAGCGTCCGTGAGATTGGTGTTTCGGACTTCGTGGATAATGATCTGTTCTCGAATACCGAGGTAACTAGGAGGAAAATCATTGCGTCAAGTTGTGCTCATACGTTGAATCTCATCAGACTCTAATCATCCAACTTTCCGTCAAGGAAGCTCTGATTCCCACCGGCACAGCGTCCGGCACAACAGAACGCGACTTTGAGCTCAAGAAATTAAAAGATGTTTTGGACCGCTGTGGGGTGGTTATTACGGAGCGCAAGCCCAGTTCGTCTGTTTAGTATCTACACGTTCTATAACTAACATTAGTTTCAAGGTGAATTCACTGGCAAGAACATAGGTGATGACCTTGCACGGCTGTTGAACCCGAGTTATATCCCATCTTCGTCGAGTGTCGATACATCATTGACTATACGTTCGTCTTCACGTTGTCCCCTTTCTTGTGGTGTATGGTCTCATACTTGCGTGGCTCTGAACAGCACAGCTGTCGCTCCCCGTCGCGCCGTCGGCACTCTCTGCGCTCATTTCATATCTTTCGTTGCTATCGGACCCGTCCAACCATGGCGCATACTCGATCTACACGCACGATCTCTCACAGTTCATGCGGCTTGATGCGAGTGCCTTGCGCGCACTCAACCTTACGGAAGTCCCAGGAAACATTGTATGTAATGCTACTTCAGGTTTCGCGAGCTCCAATATGAAGAAGCTAACATGCGGCGGTGAAGGGGTCGAACAAGAACACGACTCTTTTTGGACTCCTGAATAAGTGCAAGACTGCTCAGGGGTCCAGGTTGCTAGGGAGTTGGCTGAAACAGCCGTTGGTGAATCTTCACGAGATTCGTGCGTGTATATCTTTTGCTTGTTATCGTCGTGATTGACAGACGCCCATGGCCTCTGTCCTGTTAGACAAAAGGCAAAATCTAGTCGAAACTTTTGTTGAAGATTCCAATGCGCGTAGAACTTTGCAGGTACGACTGCTCTTTAAATGCAAACCGTCGATATTCTCACTTGCCTGTGCAATTCTTCTCTGTTGGTTTCACGGGGCGATGCAGGATGAGTACTTGAAGATGATGCCGGATATGCACCGTATTTGCAAGCGATTCCAGAGGTCTGTCGCTTCACTCGAAGACGTTGTGCGTGTTTATCAAGCTGTACTCAAGGTGCATGGTCCTCTCCTATCTACGTTGTGACTATAGGACTGATACGATGCACTGCAACAGCTGGAAGGTATGATTACTACCCTCGAGGCCGTTGAGAGCGAACATGATGACTACAAGGCGCTCGTCGAGGAGACCTATCTGGTCAAGCTTCGGGTTCATCTTCCGTAATGCCCCTCCCCCTTGACTATACTTATGCGCCGCATAGGAATACGACAATAGTCTGACCAAGTACGCTGAGATGGTGCAACAGACGCTCGACCTTGACGAGCTTGAGAATCACCACTTTGTAATCAAGCCGGACTACGACTCGCGCCTGCAGGCGCTCTCGGACAAGCTAAAGGATATTCGGGACGGGCTTGACGAAGAACATCGCCAAGTGGGCCAAGACATCGGGATGGAGCTCGACAAGAAGCTGCACTTGGAGAACTCGCCCACGTATGGGTATTGCTTCCGGCTGACGAAGAACGTGAGTTGCGCCAGCCTTCGCACGTAGTTGAGTCGGTTTAATCTGACTACTATACAGGACGCTAAAGCGATCAATGGCAAGAAATACATCGAGTTAGGCACTCTGAAAAGCGGTCTCTTCTTCACCACGAAGACCCTGAAAGAGCTCGCAGGGGAGTACCAAGAGACGACGGAGTCATACTCGAGGACCCAGAGCGGTCTGGTGAAGGAGGTCGTTAACATCGCGTGTAGGTGCTGAAGGGGGAAGCGGCTTGTCTAGGAACTAACCTTCTATGCAGCTACCTACACACCCGTGTTGGAGGCGTGGAACAACGTATTGGCGCAGCTCGATGTCATTATCAGGTGCGCTTCATGGACGGTTCTGTCGTATCACTCTGGCTGAGTGTCGAGCTAGCTTCGCTCATGTAGCAGTGAATGCTCCTGAGGCGTATATCAAGCCGACCATCCTTGAAAAAGGTATGTCTTCATGTCTTGTATCACGCAGCGTGCGACTGCTGATACGTCCTCTGTCAGGTGCTGGAAGCTTGGTGCTGAAAGATGCTCGTCACCCTTGCCTTGAAGTTCAAGACGACACGAGTTTCATACCCAACGACGTAGAGATGATCAAAGGTTCGTGTTCTTTCCCTCAATGCTGAACGTTATCATGACGAAGTTCGATTTTCAGATGAGAGCGAGTTCCAGATCATCAGTGAGGCGCCCCCTCACACATGGTCTATTTATCTGACTTGTCACCAGCTGGACCGAACATGGGCGGCAAGAGCACCTATATTCGACAGGTCTGAAAAGCTTGTTCTCTCGAGGGTTATTGCGCTTTCTCAACCCTAACGCATCACAGGTTGGAGTAATTTCACTGATGGCACAGACGGGAAGCTTTGTTCCCTGCTCGGAAGCGAGCTTGCCTATTTTTGATTCCATCCTCTGCCGAGTGGGCGCGGGAGACAGTCAGCTCAAGGGTATCTCCACATTCATGGCGGAGATGCTAGAGACTGCGACAATCTTGCGTGTGCGTACAATGCGTGGTATATAGATCCTGGAATTATTGCTTATGATTTTTGCAGTCGGCTTCTAAGGACTCGCTCATCATTATTGACGAATTGGGTCGAGGTAGGTGTCGGTTTCGAAGCTGACAGAGTAGATGTTCACAGCTTGAGGTCTGTTAGGCACCTCGACATATGATGGCTTCGGTTTGGCGTGGGCAATCTCAGAGTGAGTGGCAACGGACTTCAGTGTCCTGGCAAAAGTCTCATTGTCACAATCCAGACATATTGCTTCGCATATCCATGCCTTCTGTCTCTTTGCCACTCACTTCCACGAATTGACGGCGCTCGATCAGCAAATTCCGCACGTGAAGAACCTGCATGTCGTTGCTCATGTCTCCAAATCCGATGAAGCCACTCGGGATCGTGACATTACTCTGCTGTACAAGGTAGAGCCTGGTACGTAGTATCACCTAGGTGGCATGAAAAGTGAACATTTACTTTGACCCGTAGGCGTCTGTGATCAGAGTTTTGGTATCCACGTTGCTGAGCTGGCTAATTTCCCTGAGAACGTGGTGAAGGTACGCTGTGAGCTCGCGTGGCTGGAGTCGGAATTAACGACACTTGAAAATCTGTAGCTTGCAAGACGAAAAGCAGATGAACTCGAGGACTTTAATAACGGTAAGGTGCACAACTGTCACGATTTACCTCCAGCACTCAGTGCAACGATACTTTTCAGCGGGTGAACCAGAACTTCCTGCAGACGTTGTCGAGGAAGGCACGAAGATTGTCGAAGAGCTTCTGCGCACCTGGGCGTCGCACACGGATAGACGGGATGGCGAGGACGTCATCATGGCCGACGGTGACGACGAGCTTTCCTCTTCAGCCCAGCTCGAAGAGCTGAAGAAATGTGTGGAGCAGTTCCGACCGCGCATCGAGGCGAATCCTTGGGTGCAAAGTGTTCTTGCTTCGTTGTGAAGATACACTGCGCAATGAGCGCGAGGCCTGAGGTGTTTACCTCTCGATTGCTTTGTGTTATGTTTCATTGCTGTCGTTTGCTGAGATACATCTACATTTTAATCTCAATATGTCTGTTCGTCCCATCACGGCCCTCTGGTGTTGACTTTGGTGTTGTGGTTTGCTCTTCTGGAAAGAGTATGACTAACTCATTCCTGACGGCTAGCCAAGGTGTGTACAAATTGGTCATAAAGCGTAATCGAGTCGTTTTCAGGTCGTAATGTAATGCTCCCTTACACCTCTGAGACCCTCGAGACCTCCGATTTCCTATCTGGCTTGGATGCAGACGCAATGTGCTGCAGGTAACCTAGGTAAGCCGCTTGCGCATCTCCGAACAATGTCTTCAACATCTCCTTTTGGTCACTATCCAGGTCGTCACGTTCCCAGTCTTCCCCTTCAAACTGAAAGTCCTTCCTACTCTGCAATCGAGGAATCACGGCCTCCTTCCATATCCTCCACGCCTTTGTGTCGTTGGGCAGCATCTCGTCCAATAGTTTCTCCGGGTGGAGGCAATCCAGCACAAGAAGGACGAAGATAGCCGCTGTCGTCCGCGTCCCCAGAGAATACTTCCTCTTTGAAGGGTGATCCAATACTTGGTCTAGTATCTCCATCTGGACCTTTTCTTTGTCGAGCGAAGAGAGGTACGAGTTATATGCCCAAGAGACTGCCAGCGACGCCAGGAACATAAGCTGACCAAAGAGGTGCGCCTGAGGGATTAGGAGCAGTTGTGCAAGGAATTGCACATTCAGCAACACCGCGGCCATTCCGATGTTCCTGTACTCTGGCTCGCTTTTGAGCCGAAGCGCGAACCTCCCTCGAGTGACCGCCGTAACCGCACCCTCCTCTCCAGTTAAAACCACTATCCCGTTCTCTGTGATCAGAATCCCGTCTCCTTTGGGAGCTCCTGGAGCCACGGTAGAAGCTGGGTGTTTGAAGACCAGTTGCCCCGATCCGATCACGTAACACGCGACTCCGCTCGAGATGATACCGAGGAGGATCATCGAAAAGGAATACCAATCCCAATAGACGGCGCAAACAACGCAAGTGCCCAAGCTGACGATAATGGGGATGCTCGCCAGTAGACCTGAATAGGTCCGGAGCAACTTGGGGTACGCCTCCTTGGGAGGGCAGTAATGCAAGTCTGCGATGGTTACCGCGACGCGCATGCTTTCTCTGCCATTCACTTTCACTGCCTCTAAGTCCTCGCACGCAGTCGCAAACAGATGCGCCAAGTGGCCTGTTTGCTGTATCGTCGTTCCAGAATGTGCAGCTTTGAACCGTGGACCTTCGAGCGAAAACCAAATGTGAGCGTTGTATGAAAGCCAGTTCAAGCGACTTGCAATACCTTTCTCTCCATCAAGTTCAAACAGAGTAGCGGGGTCAACATTGACTCCCGGGAAAAGTCCGTCCCACAAGCGCGAGTTTGCAAGCTGTCCGTACCGCTTTCCAATCTCATAACTCCCAGGTGAGTTATACCATCCCAACCACCTCCTGCCCTCGTACACATGGACGGTTGCCATCGCCGAAACTGCTTCATCACCTCCGAAGAAGCCTGCAACTCCCGACGAGTCCAAAGTGAAGGTCGCGTCTTTCAGTGGAATCAATGGGTGATGCATTTTGAGGGTTCGGTAAACGACTCAACATTCCCAGCTGTGGGCTGCGAGAGGATCTCATACACTTCGCGAACGAGGCAATGATTCTATTTATTCTGACGCTCAACGCTTCTCATCTTTGCATCAATTGCAACGCCCTTCCCATGCCCATGGTTCATCGCTTCCCCATTAGTTGTGAAACGCGGCGTAAGGCGCTCATCTGTGCCAAGCCTTGTGTCGGAGAATTTCTACAGCAAAGATCATATCGATAGGCCCTTCCAAAAAAATCCGTTCACAAAGCGGACCGCGAAATCAAACGCTCCGGAAATTCCGGTGGTGGCGCCACCATGCACTGTGGTGCCACCAAGTCACGCCGCGCTCGCGCCCGGGTGTAGGCGGTTAAGGTCCCACCTATCACTGGGGGCAAGAGTGGATGTTCTGCCTTGGAACAGTGTCTGAACATCCAAGGAACAGATTACATTTTTGGACATGTCACATGTTCTGAACATGGTAAGGAACATCTAATATGTCTCACACAATGTTCCATTGGAGAGCATGCTGGAGACATGTTGCATGTACCATTCTGGAACATATAATATATCTCACACAATGTCTCATTGGAGAATGTCCTGCAGACTTGCTGCATGTTTCATTCTGGAACATTTATCATTTTGCTACTATATTCTGGGCTTGTCTCTTGGTGCAATATGCTCTGTATAATAAGGATTTTCCATGGCCAAACACATTACATTTCTGGCCACTGTTAATCTTCAGAACATTGTGAGAAGATGTTAAGTGCTGCTACTCCAAACATACAAGATGTTCTGGGCACCAAGAACATTTGCAGTACATGTATGATACATACTAAAATTTTACTAAAATTTTACATGTACTGCAGATGTTCTTGGTGCCCAGAACATCTTGTATGTTTGGAGTAGCAGCACTTAACATCTTCTCACAATGTTCTGAAGATTAACAGTGGCCAGAAATGTAATGTGTTTGGCCATGGAAAATCCTTATTATACAGAGCATATTGCACCAAGAGACAAGCCCAGAATATAGTAGCAAAATGATAAATGTTCCAGAATGAAACATGCAGCAAGTCTGCAGGACATTCTCCAATGAGACATTGTGTGAGATATATTATATGTTCCAGAATGGTACATGCAACATGTCTCCAGCATGCTCTCCAATGGAACATTGTGCGAGACATATTAGATGTTCCTTACCATGTTCAGAACATGTGACATGTCCAAAAACATAATCTGTTCCTTGGATGTTCAGACACTGTTTCAAGGCAGAACATCCACTTTTGCCTCCAGTGTATCGGGAGCTTTCTTTTCGCAGACCGCCCAAAGGCCGCCTCCGCACGATTTTTTGACCATGGGCCTAATAATATGATCTTTGCTGTAAGAGGTGTTACAACGGCCGCCTACACCACCAGACGAGCCGGACAACGGCTGGATAAATGAGAATAGGGTCAATGGCCGGATGTCTCCGTGATATCCAGCAGATCATTTCCGCCAGACCATCAGCAAAACTGGATGGAGCAGATAAGGTACGATAACTCCTTGTAAGGTACATAAGTCTCATATCCTTCCGAATTTTTCACCCGGTCTTATAATATGACCATTGGAATTGCAGAGGGTCACAATCTGTGACCATCGCCCATAAGGCTTCCCATTCTTATGGGCCTTCCAGGCCTTCCAATGGTTTGCAAGATCAGGTATGTTGGAGCCCATTATGCCAAATGCTATGATACTGCCTTCGAGTTCACACACAAGTGTAGAGTACTAGCTACAACAAAAATATATTTCGACTACTGAGTCGGAGGTCATGTCCCATATACTATGCTTTGCATTCAGCTGTGAGCTACAACAAACCACAGTGGTGGCTTGCACTGTAGAGCACCCTGTGCGACAGGCTTGCACAGTAGCTGTTGCACGTGTTGGCATTTGCTGCTCAACCTGACAACAGTGTCAGGCCAATCCGTCGCTGAGCTGAATGACAAGTAATGATACCGACACGAGTCGCTACATGCGTATGCATGCCCAATATGTGCATGCATGTGAGCATACTGGCATCCTGCAGCACACTTACAAGAGCGAGAGCAGGCACCAACATGTGATGCCATGAAAAATGACATGAGTAGAAGACGAGCGGAAACATACCTCATCCAAGCTCATCAGGAAAACCCCACTTTTCCTTAAAGACCTTTCGCTCTGAAAACCCTTATTTAAGGCTATAAGTTCTCAAATAAGTCTCAATAAGTTGGATTTCATGCACTTAATGTAATATGGCTTATGCCCTTTTTGTCCTTATTTCCTTAAATAAGAACTATAAGTCTGTTTAAGGCAGTTAAGTGTCTTCTTAAGAGAAAGTTGGGTTTTCCTGATGCTGTGGCCTCCACCTCCATACCCCTAGTTTATGTCACTGAGAAGTGCGAACAAACACTGGGACCCGGTGTTGTTGGTGGCTTGGCTTCTAAGCCCAAGCCAGGCCAAGCCGAGCCATAGAAAGCCCGGCCAAGCCTGGCCAAAGCCGTCTGGAAGCCTTGCCGCTGGGCCTGGCTTAAGAATGCTCAAGCCCGAGCCGAGCCTGCGAGCCCGGGGCTTTCGGCGCTATGTGCAGCAAAAATACAGGACTGCCTAACCCAACGTCCGGCCTCATTCACACCTCACTGCTACCTTTGCTGGCACTCCTGGGCATACCAGAAAATTCCTCACTTTCACTATGACAACCCCTTCTGTGATATGCTCTTTTTTCCCCAAAAGGTAAGTATCTCCATGAAGGTATGATGATATTGAAACCCTTATGAACATTCATAGACTGGCACAACTCACCTATAATGCTATCCTAGAGGCTGCCAGTCAAGTTGAGCTGTCAATTTCTTATTGCTCAACTATCTGAGTAGGTCACCTAGTAGCTACATACAAAATATTTTTTTTCTTCAGCAGGCCCTGGCTTGAGCCCAAGCCAAGCCTGAGCCAAGCCCAAGCCCTACCATCAGGCCTAGTTTGGAGTTTGATGAAGCCCAAGCCTGCTAAAGCCAAGCCAAAGCCAGGGCTTTCAGGCCAAGCCAGGCCCTCAACAACACTACACCGAGTGGTAGCGTCAGCTGAACCTGGCAGACAACATCCGTAAAAGACTAGGATGTATCTGTTCATGTACAGCTCAAGCATGGGGTACTCAGGCATTGACGTGACACATCTGTGGGAGAGAAGATGAGCCACGTCGCAGGACGAGTATGGTGGGAGGAAGAGAGGGGAGATGGCGATGTAGTGAGACAAGCGACATTGATATAAGTTCAACATTTGCGTATATTTGCGAGCTGTATCTTGCGAGGTGGAGACAGGTTGACCAAGAGTTGCCCAGTAATAGTCAGGCATATGGAAGGTATATAAGTCAATCAGAAGCAAGATGGATAATCGTAAGGGCTTGTAAAAGCCTTCTAAGGTCTTCCAATACGCCATCAGCCCTATCACATGTTACAAATGCTATCAGGGCATAGCAGGTTCATCCACTTTTGCTGATGATGTCCGTGAGATAAATGGAACATCCATAGGTTTTTAGCCGCTTATGGCCTTGAGGAGTCAAAGTAGTGGTATCATCCAAGGAGTCAGTTTCTGCACGTCGCCTTTGAGGCAGGGGGCCAGAAATCTGATCAGGAAGAGATGGAGATTGTTCACATGAAGGAGAGAGCATCGGAGAGGGTTGAAAAAGTGGCTGAGCTGGTTGTTGCGCAGATGCCAGCTGGCTGCTACTAGATGCAGAGGGTGCTAAGGACGGATGTGAAAGGCTTAAATTAAAAATTATTAAGCATTCCCTATAGTGACAACTGGCATATGCATGAGTGGAGGCAGAGTTGTCAACACTCGTCACAGAGCAACAAGTTGAAGTTGGGATTTCGACGGCCGATTAACTGACACCCATGTGATCATTTCAATTTCTCAGACACAATGAACTCAGAACACAGAATATGTCAAAAGAAATCAAGAATGTAATCCTGTCTAGTGTAGCTGTCCATAATCTACACCTGTATAGAACCTCCAATTTTCAGCCATCTGCTGACTACTGTTTTGAAGCTTTTGACTCTGAATATAGTGTCCATCTGACTGACTCGGAACATTGCCAAACACTGGAGGCTGGTGCATCTGTGGATGTACAATGGTTATAACAATCCATCAGACTGAAGATTAGTAGCTGACCGTGATAGGAGGGAATAAATTCTGCTGATGACATATTCTCATAGTAATTGAGGTTGTCAAACATCCTCTCGATATCTCTGACGGACATTTGTGTGATATCACTGCATGGACCTCACACAAATAACACATTCTTAATATTGAAGGGATAACCGAGAAACACCGGTGGAATGCCGTGTTGTTGACAAACAGACAAATAGAATATTTATCCCAGGATTGTCCTAGACGGACAATGTACAGACAAATGAGCCATTTATTCACTCGTTGTCTAAGGGACATCTGTCGGAGACACCTGGGTTGTCAGGCAGATCATTTCCAGCTGAATATCGAGCTGATAAATTACTTAAGTGGTGGTGTACTTACATAGAATGGTCAGTTTGCTCCCTCTTGCATCATCATTCACGAGACTCGCACCCAGTACAGTTGCCGAGGGAGGACAGGTCTATTCCCCAGATTCTCGACACAAATCTGTGGCTGTGGATCAATTGTTTGATGAGAAAAATAGATATTTAATTGCTGAGGCTTGTGGCTGGTTGGGCACCTGCCAAGCTGGCTATTTCCTACGTCTACTCACTGTCCCGCCACGGCGTCGCAGTGTCGCACACTCGCACTCATCGTCTTGCACGATGAACAGGTAGAATTAAAATTTTCTGTCTAATTTTGGCTTTCTGCATGATAGAGAATGTGTCAATAATTCAAGCCATTTATACAGTCAACTGATGCATGATCAAATTTTGCTTATCACAATTCTGCAGTGTTGCGTCAGTAAAAGGGTTTCCAGGCTGTAGTACCTAGCCAAACTTTGTAGTGTACTGTCATTGATGTAGCGCTGCAGAGCCTGGCAGGGTGCTATGGCTATGTATTGTTGGCAATATACCTTGAGCTGATACAAAATCAGGAAAACCCCACTTTTTCTTAAAAGGACACTTAAATAACTTAAATGGACTTATGGTCCTTATTTAAGGACATGAAGACAAAAACGGCCTAAGGCGTATTTCCTAAGTGTCTGAAATTCGACTTATTTGAACACTTATGACCTTAAATAAGGGTTGTCAGACCCAAAAGTCTAAATAAGTCCATAAGACAAAGTTGGGTTTTCCTGATGAACAGCAGTCTTCAGTTTTGGTTGTAAGAATTTACATATTGTATGTACCCTATAGAAAAACATGCCTCCTACCTACAGTACAGTCATGGTCTGGCACTGAACACTAGGAGCTGCAAGACCCACCATTATTGGTCATCTGGCCTTACCACACCTGAAGCTGCACACATAGCATGCCTAATACAAAAAATCATTATACACCTCTCACTCACCAGGTTGCAGCCTGTGCACAGAAGTACAAGTACTTCAGTCTTCAGTTCACACATTTGAGCAAAGGCTGCTTATTGGCATGTCTTATTACTGTGCACATGATTTTGTTAAAACTGCCAAACAAAGGACCAAACAATGTTTGACTTTCATCTTCCTTGATCCCTGCTCTTTTGTCTGACTTTCTCTCATCCACAATTAAGAATGGCCTGCAAATGCAAACTATGACTACCAGTAATACACTCCTTGCACCTCCTGGCCTCTGAAAACACATTTTCTGTCAATCCTTCAGACCTCTCCACTTTATGCCTTAGTCTCCGAGATGCATCCGACTCTTTTGCAACTTGCTATGAACTTTTGCAACTTTGCACAACTTCTCTCTGACATTCTCTTGTCACTTATACACCATTCTTGCACCTTCCACTCTGTCGGACACTTTCTACTCATTGTCCTTTGGTCTCATCTGATGTGCCCTGACCGATTCCCTTCCAATTCTGTACACTCCCGATGTTGCACCAGTGTAAGCCTGACACTTACTACTTACGGATATTTACACTTGTTGACATGCAGCCACTGTTTGCTTCCGTGACACAGATGTATATCTTGCTTCCGCTCCCCCATCATCTCGAGATCCTTCTTCCCCACGATACTCCCGTTTTCCCCCCTTTTGATCGCTACGTACTTAGATCTTGTTTCCTCTAGACAGAATACATGCTCGTCTCAATTCTGTCTTCAGTCCGATTCGCTGTCCAGTGTTTCCTGTCGAACGCGACAGGGTTTCACTTTTTTTGAATTGCCAACGAGATTGTATGCCCACCATCAGTACTGATCTCCACATCGTTGGAGATAACTGACCTACCATTGCTGTAAAATGCAGGCCCCGCCCGGAATACCCTTCCAGTCACGGCCCACCGTTCCCACCTGCCAATCACTGCCCCTATCATTACCGTCTTCTGCCAAACTGAAGCGATGAACACCCTTGTCGACTCTGTCACTACAGACTCGAAGCCGTAAGGCTGCGGCTCTAGCTAAGACTACGAACAACATTTCAAACAGAGAGACAGCCTCATTATCTCCCCTCTCCCCTGTTTCTGAACCAGCCCCACTGTCACATTCACTGACACCACCACCAACCCGTGCCTCATCGCTGAATACACCACCAGTCACATTGTCCGAATGTCACGCACCATCCATCTCGTCCTCTGACACCGACACCGATTCCTCATCTACACCCCCAAATTACTGCTGTGCTCACGCAATGGTCAATGGCACCGCCACATCTGTCGAGCAGGATGCTCCCACAAAGGTCCCGATTCTCCTGAAAGGAGACATCACGCCAGCTGTCATGCGTGAATACGAGGATGCCTGCAAAGGCTACTTCGAGCACAAGTCTGTCGATGCTGCGACACAAGTTCACAAGATAATTGCAGGCCTCAAGGACCCATGCATCAAAGACTGGATCACTGGTGACTGCAACCGCATTCAGGCGTTATCGTTTGACGAGTTCATGCACGAATTTTGGTCCTACCTTGACAAGGACTAGGAGGACGATGTTCGTCGTGAGCTCCTTGGCATGTCAATGACCATCAGATCCTTCTGGGATTTTGCTGTTAAGGTCCAGGCCAAGAACTCACTACTCGTAGGCACCGCTTCTCACCTCGATGAGAAGAAACTCCGTCATCAGCTCGAAGCAGGCATGACCGAACACCTTGCAAAGAAATGCAGTGCTGAAAAGGTCAACAAGGTTCTCGATTTCTGCAAGTGGTTACAGGATGTCAAATGAGTAGACAAAGCGATCCGCACCGATTTGAAAGATTTCGAACGCATCGTGCACGAGAACTGTGATGCCAATCGCTGCATGTACCCCCTCTCCGAGCCGTCTCGATGTGAAAACACGGCATCGGCTACTGCGAAGTATGTGCCTACCAAAGGTGGCTCCACATCAGGCCAATCCACTGGTAAATGTCCCCCGCTGAAAGATACAGAGCGTCAGTTCCTCTATGACAATGAGGGATGCCTGAAGTGCCACCGCCTTTTTGCTGGTCACATCTCTCGTGACTGCCCTAATGGTTTCCCAGATCTGTCCACCTACAAGATGATCACACAGAAGTTCATCAACAAGCTCAAAGGCCAGCACAAGCTGACGCGAACCACTGCAGCGGTCTCAGCTGCCACTGTCGAGTCGGATGAGGAGCGCGAGAACTCCTTCTTGCACCCCGTAGTCACCGTCATGAGCAGTTCCCGTATGCTGATCGTGGCTATGCCCAACAACGATTCCTCTATACTGTCGGAGGAGGGCAACAGTGAGAGCTCTGTAAGCCCATTACTGTCCGCTGTCACTCCAATTACCATGTGCACTGCAGTCCGTAGTCACCTGCCCACCCCAGTTGATGCACCGTTTCGAGTGCCCTACCTGGTGTGGCATTACACAGCATCAGGCCCCGCACACTCCTTGCCCGTTACCTTCGATGCACTTATTGATGATGGCTCTCACACAGTCTTAATCTGTGACGACTATGTTGATCACCTCCAACTTCGTCATCGCCGTCTTCCCATTCCGGAACTTATCGAACTCGCAATGGAAGGAAATGGCCAGAAAACCGTTATAGAGCTATCAGAATGGGTTCATTTGTCAGTGTTTGATCCGATTTCATCTTGGTCTGCAAAGTCTGTACGTGCACTTGTCGCCCCTGGTCTATGTGTCCCTGTTATCCTCAGTCTTCCTTTCCTTGTACACAACTGAATTGTCATCGATCATGAACTCCACACTGTAGTAAACAAAGATTCCGATGTAGATTTATTGCACCCTCTTGTGCCTACAACTGTACATCCACCAAAAAAGAAGACTACAGTACAGCAATTTGCGGACATCAAACACGATCGTGATGCAGTGTCTTCCGAACTCAATGAATGATTTGCATGCCCCGGTTCACATTTCGAATCTAGTGAGCTACCCACCTTTACGTGTTCTGTTGTTGCAGCGGTGCGGGGATGATTGGAGGTTCTCACCGCCACTGAGAGACTGGCCCATCTCGGCAAGCAACTCATACAAGAGTTTAGCGATGTTTTCGAGCCTATCCCCCACTTGGATGAGCTTTCCACCGATGTCTACTGCCGCATTCAACTAAAGGATATCACAAAATCGATACACACCCATTCATACAGTACGCCGCGCAAATATCATGAAGTGTGGTCCACCTTGATACAGCGCATCTTGATGCGGGCTGCATCCATCCCTCAAATTCCCCACATGCATCCCCGGCTTTCCTGGTACCAAAGGCGGACCCCACCCCTTTGCCCCGCTGGGTCAATGACTATCGCACGCTCAACGCTAATACTGTATTGGATTCGCATCCGCTACCTCGTGCAGAAGACATCATCGCCGACTGTGCCAAAGGTAAGGTATGGAGTAAAATGGACATGACCAACTCATTCTTCCAGACACGGGTACACTCCGATGATGTTCACCTAATGGCGGTGACCCCTCCTCTGGGCTTGTATGAATGGCTCGCGATGCCCATGGGATTGCGGAATTCACTGCCGATACACCAGCGACATATGACCGCCGCCCTGTGTGAGTACCTTGGACGATTCTGCCACATTTACCTTGATGACATTGTCATATGGTCTGACTCCATGGAGCGACATGCGGAACATGTTAGACTAATCCTAGCTGTGCTGCAAAAGGCCAGGCTGTATTGCAACCCAAAAAATGTGAGTTCTTCGTGCTGACCCTTGACTTCCTTGGGCACTGTATCTCAACCAAGGGTGTCGAGGCACAAACATCGAAAGTGGACAGAATCCTACAATGGCCTGTACCATGGTCTGCTTCAGAGGTACAATCCTTTCTCGGTCTTGTACGTTACATCGCCACATTTCTCCCAAAGCTAGCCGACTTCACTACCATTTTGACCCCCTTAACCACGAAGGAGTCCCGCCGACACTTTCCCGAATGGACGCCTGCACACCAATCGGCTTTTGACGCCATCAAGGCACTTGTCATCAGCAGGGAGTGCCTTACTGTCATAGACCACTTGAACCTGGGTGACAACAAAATTTTTCTAACTTGCGACTCTAGTGACTGGCGCACTGGTGCAACATTAAGCTTTGGTCCTTCTTGGGAAGCTGCATGACCCGTCGCTTTTGACTCCATGCAACTGAAGGTGGCGGAAAAGAATTACCCCATCCATGAGAAAGAGCTCCTCGCGATCATACACGCGCTCAAGAAATGGCGGTCTGATCTTATGGGAATGCCCATTTTTGTCTACATGGACCATCGCATGCTCAAAAATTTTGACACACAGCGTGACCTTTCACGCTGTCAGCTCCGCTGGCAAGAATTCATGGCGCAGTATGACCTCACCATCATATACATCCATGGTGAAGACAACACTGTTGCGGATGCTCTTTCACGGTTACCGCCTTCCTCGTTTCCTGACGAGAACGACACACCTAATAAAACCTTCAATACGTGGCTCACACCTTCAGTCAACGCCGTCCTCACCATCGCCACCGATTCTACTGTCGTCAATGACATCACTGATGGGTACTTGACTGATGATTTCTGCAAGAAAGTAATTGCGAATGCCCCTTCTACCCTAGGTGTACATTGTTCCAATGGCCTATGGTACATCGGGGACCGGCTCTTGATTCCACGCATTAAAGATCTTCATGAAAACCTCTTCTGCCTGGCGCATAATTGCTCAGGACATTTCGGAGCTGACAAGAGCTATGCTATGCTACGTGACCTATACTACTGGCCCAACATGCATCGCGACATCGAACAATCATACGTACCTTCCTGTCCCGACTGTCAGCGCAATAAGAGTTGCACAAAGAAATCCTCCGGACCACTCCACCCTCTTCCAGTACCTGACCAACATGGCAACAATATCGCCATGGATTTCATTGGCCCGCTGCCTAACGATGAAGGCTTTGATTGCATCTTATCCATTACAGATTGTCTCCACTCCGACGTGCACATCGTCCCCACACACATGACCTTGACTGCGTCCCAGCTCGTGCTTCTGTTTTTCGATCATTGGTACTGTGAGAATGGCCTTCCTTTGGACATCGTCTCCGATTGTGACAAGCTGTTCATCTCGGAATTCTGGACTGTGTTGCACAAGCTCACCGGTATCTCGCTCAAGATGTCAACCGCTTACCACTCACAGACGGACGGTGCCAGCGAATGCACGAACAAGACCATTAATCAAGCCATCCGTTATCACGTCCATCACAATCAGAAGGGATGGGTATGTGCTCTTCCTCGCATACAGTTCAACATCATGAACTCTGTCAACGCGTCCACTGGATTTTCAAACTTCTAACTGCATCTCGGCCAGTCTCCACGTCTCATCCCCCCACTTGTTCCTGATCATCTGGAACCGCCTTCAGGTCATGCCGATTTTGACACCCTGCAGCTCATCTCGCAGCTCCAGTCCAATGTTGATGAGGTGAGAGACAACATGTTCCAAGCAAAAATTCATCAAACTCACTTTGCCAACCTTTCGCGTGGGCCTGAAATCGAGTACCACATCAGCGAAAAGGTCATGCTTTCAACCTTACACGACCGACGTGAATACAAGCATAAGGGTGAAAAGCGCACGGCTAAGTTTTTCCCTCATTTCGATGGACCGTATGTTATCACTAACGCACACCCCGAGACCTCCAATTACACTCTGGACATGCCTAACAACCCTAACAAATTTGCTACTTTCCACGCCTCAGAACTCAAGCCTCACATCGCAAATGACAATTGGCTCTTCCCCCAACGTTCATCGCCCGCCCTGGCCCCAATCATCACGTCGGACAGCTCAAAAGAGTGGCTCATCAATTTCATCATCGACTCACGACATTGCAGTCATGGCTGGCAATACCTCGTGCGCTGGGCTGGCTACATGACCTCTGGCTGCCCGGTGCCAAGTTGGACGACTGCGAAGCGTTGGATGTTTGGCTTACGGCTGGAGGGGAAGGGCCAACCACACGGTAGCTTTTCCCACAGGGTTTTTAGCGCACCCGCTGTCGGCGCCCGGTTGATGCTGAAGTACTATTCTTTCTCCAATTTTTACATTACTCACCCACCTTCGCACACTCATACCCGCCGCGAATGTTTCCATCGCCGGAGGGGTGTAAGCCTGACGCTTACTACTTATGGATATTTACACTTGTTGACATGCGACCACCATTTGCTTCTGTGACACGGACGCATATCTTGCTTCCGCTCCCCCATCATCTCGAGATCCTTCTTCCCCACGATACTCCCGTTTTCCCCCCTTTTGATCGCTACGTACTTAGATCCCATTTCCTTTAGACAGAATACATGCTCGTCTCAATTCTGTCTTCAGTCCGATCCACTGTCCAGTGTTTCCTGTCGAACGCGACAGGGTTTCAACCAGCTCTCTGGACATTGCACTGACTTCTTGGACATTATGCCGACTTACTGGTTTCGCTTAATGATGATGAGTGCACACTCAACACAAACACCTAAACCCATCTAAAATAAGAAGGAACCTGAGTGAGAGAGAAGGGTGAAGTGACTGTAATATGATGTAAGTGGGTCCCAGAACCTCGACCAAATCCTAGGGGGATGCTACCTGTAAAAGAACGAGGACTCGTAATGAAAATGCAAAGTTGGGTGACAAAATACAATGAAGTTACAAAAAGTCAGAGAATGAGAAGCTGAGATCGCGTCAGAATTGCCAAACTTGCAGGTGAAGATGAACTAAATCGCAAGTGGAGGGGAAGTATCTGTGATGGAAATGCTATGAGGAAACACAGTATTCACTGATGGTATATCGCAGCTCGAAGTATCGCTATGTCACTATTGCAATGTTACTATCACAGTGTCACAGTCTCTAAACACAGTACACAGTCTCACTATTTCGCAGTGTCGCAGTGGGGGTATATCGCAGTCCGAAGTCACTATCGCAGTAAACACAGTTTCTTAGTGATCTGAAGTGAAAGGGGAACTTCTCCCTGCTGCTTTTCGATGATAATTGATGTAGATACAGCAGGTATTTATTGAGAGGGAAAAAGGGAGGAAAAATGCAGAAGTCATGAAATGTCGGATGATGGATCCTGACATTGGAAAGAGTCGCAATGGTCTGGAACTAATGGAAAAATAGGGAAAGCCAGTGGTGAGGAGAACATTGTATGCAAGAGATGGAGATGAATGGTAAAGTAAGGGGAAAGAGATGAAAACATATGCTACTTGTCCTGAACCACAAGGAACATCCAAACAGCATCTCCGGTCCAGCACAAAGGTAGGGGTCTTGAGAGGGAATGTAACAGGTTAGTTCTGATGACTGTTACTCATTATGGACTGATTACTGATTACCTAAGCAAGTTGCTTTTAATCCTTTACACTCACCATCTAGCTGTACACACTCAGTCTTAGCTTAGTTTTGGCTATATATTGAGTCCACTGCAGCCCTGGTGAGCCTAAGAATTTAGGCACCTTATACTTTTTTTACAGTCTCAGAATTACTGCTGAAATTCTGCTATGACTGGATACTACTGGCTGGATGAGCAGGACACCAGTGGTGGCCAGTATTGTATAACAATACTGCAGGTAGCTGAGCAAGGTGTTGTTCACTACTCACCAGTTATTGTCAATTGTCAAAGTTATTGTTAACAACAGTCTGACAGTCTGAGAGGATTGTAATACAATAACAACCTGTACAAAACAACTTGCACTCAGCCAGGCTTAAACCCTGGTCTTCCGGATACATAATTATATAAGCACATGCTGCACACACAATTTACCAACTGCTCTATTAGGCCATGTATTTCTTTTAGCCTCAATTCTATATAAGGCTACTGCCTTCTCTAATATACATATCAGAATCTTTTGTAATGGCTACTATATTCTGTTGTTACTGTTGCTTCTAACAGTGATTGATGTCTCTGTTAATAAGTCTTTGAGTGCCTAATATTAAGCATTTCCTTTTTAGTTCAGTAAATATTCAAATAATAGTAAAACTGTAATATCAAATTTTGTAGATATAATAAAGCTATTAGAAGGGTGAAATAAATTCCTGGACACGAAGTGCTCCAGGTCTTGATTCACGTATTACCACTTTTCTGTGAGAACATGTTTCCATATATGGAGTTTTATCATATGATGTCACATATATGACCATAGCTCTGATGCACCGACTTGTCAGCTATAATGTGTCTGTTGTGTTCACATATTGGATGTGTCAGTCGCACTCTCATCGCACTCAGTTTTGTTCTTGTCCTTACACTCTGGTACTCAGATTTAAATACGTGCACTATTTGTACACCCATGATGTACTGCTGGCTGAAAAAGCTCCACAACATACCGCAATCTCCACAGACTGTTCAGTGATCATCATGATCCAGATCATATACAGACTTTTACACTCTTAAAGGACATGGCATCATGATGTTGAAGATCAGCCTTTATGAACATGAAAACATCCACCCTGGTGATTAATTCATCCAAGATCCTTATGTGGAATGAATCTAGAAGTCAAGAAGTTTGTAAGAAGATAACGATATACTAAGCCCTAGATGTGAAGTTCCCCATACTTGTGCACTCTTACCTGAGCTACTAACACACCTGAAGATGAGTGAGAGGACAACTGCTGTAAAATCAAGATGCTAGCTTGTAAGACAAATAAATAAATAGATGTGACTCACCTCGAGGGCTCACGACTTCTCGGAGATGCGATTGTTGCTACAACTAACCTTAAATAGCATGTGTGCCCTATAATGTCCACACAACAAACTTCAATGCCTGAATAGCAACCCTGAGAATATACTTGTTGTCGAAATATGATCCCGTCAACAAATTACATACACTGTGCATGCTTTAAAGTCCATGCAAATGAAATGTTGAGGAATTCCCAAGTGACTGCATGTTATGGGAGTCTGGAATGTAAAAGATGGCAATAGAATACGAACAAGTTAGAAAATGAAATTATAACGTACCAGAGGCTACAACTTGAGCCCTCTAACATCAGTGCCCACCCGCTAAATGAATGCAGTCGCACCATATAGACTTGATGCATGACATCCAGTTACCCACCATATTTATGTTCAAAGATTGTGTGCTCAAGTCAGAAACAGTGTACACCGGGAATTGTGCACATGCTGCCTGTAACATACAATGACAAGACGTAGTTAGTAGTTAGTTTCTGCCGTGAGAACAATAGAAACATATACCTTTGATAGTTCTGAGCCCAGTGCCCTCTGTGCGTGCTCATTTAGGCCACCATTTGTTGAAATTTCTGAGTGTTGAGTGAGCACGCAAGCTGAAGAGGGTTAGGGTTTGTCGATCAAGTACTTATGCCATGCTTTCGTGTTTGTACATCAGGAAAACCCAACTTTTCCTTAGGGACTTATTTAGACTTTTGGGTCTGAAAACTCTTATTTCAGGTCAAATAAGTCTAAATAAATCTCAATAAGTCAAATTTCAGATGCTCAGGGAATATAGCTTAGGCCCTTTTTGTCCTTATGTCCTTAAATAAGAACCATAAGTCTATTTAAGTCATTTAAGTGCCCTCTTAAGGAAAAGGAAACTAAAGCAAGATTTAATATTCAGACAAGATAAGAAAAATACTATCAGGTCTTACTAACAATCTTTTGAAGAATAGATTCAACTACAATCTGAACAAGCAATTGAAGCTAGTATAAGAAAACTAGCACAAGCAAGTACACTGTAAGTTAGAATATTAGTTGTAGCACAGTTATTTTTGTACAAACTCTCTGGCCGAGGAATGACAACTACCGCTACACCCAGTATAATTTGGAGCACTAGTCCATTAGCACACTCCTCTCTACAACTAGTTTATTTAGTTGTTTAGTATTAACAGCTAATAAATGATTGTTTCTTCCCCAAGTAACGCACGACATCACCATGAGAATCATGCAGTTTTAAATCCTGAGTCTCAGAAAAAGACAGACAAGTAGAAAGAACATGGCCTCTAGACATTGGAGAGTAGCTGCTGTCCACAGATAGTATATTAATTTGAAAATACTGACTCAGTCACTATAACATGCAAGGAGAGGTTTCAGGATGAGCTGACAGGTATCAGCACTGTTAATAACAATGAGCAGGACCTAATTTTTAGCTATGACTACTGTAAGTTTTGGAACAATTCAGATAAAGTCACCAAGCTTATTGTGTTGTATGAACAATAATGAAAGTTTATGTGACATACAAAATGTTTTTTATAGTATTAGCATATTCAGAATAAGCCCCTTTATAAAGGATGTGAAGCTTAAATTACATCCTGTCACTTCGTGGCCAGGTTTGCCCGAAGGGCTCTTGCTATAGAAAAATGTAGGCAAATAACTATTAGAAGCAATGGTAACAACAGGATACAGTAACCACTACAAAAGATTCTAATATGTATATTAGAAAAGGCAGTAGCTTTATATAAAACTGAGGCTGAGAGAAATACATGGCATGTGCTTATGTAATCATGTATCCGGAAGACCAGGGTTCAAGCCTGGCTGAGTGCAAGTTGTTTTGTACAAGTTGTTATTGTATTACAATCCTCTCAGACTGTTGTTAACAATAACTGGTGAGTAGTGAACAACACATTGCCCTGTTACCTGGGCCATTGTTATACAAAAGTGGGAACCACAGCTGTCACACCGGTGTTGACTCTTAGCCCTGCTATTTTGCTTATTACGACCACCTGAGTCCTTCTGTCCCTATGTAGCTTTAATTCAGTGAATGTATAATTGTATGTGCATAAGATAACACAGACACAGACTGATCAATCTTGTCAAAGAAGGCTAACATTGGCAGTAGAGTGTGCAGCATTGGTACATGGTTTCCTCTCGCTTTGTTATGTCTCAGGCAGCTCACCTTCTATTTACAGATATTCCTCCGGACATCTGAGCATGGCTGTGAATACTCCGTGCCATCCAACACATCCTGTGCCCATTCGTGATGAGGTATGTAGTCAGCCGCTTTCATGTGATTCTCATATCCGATGCCAGTGTGGCCACTTGCCAGACTTTGTGATTCCTTCGCTACCTTGACAGCTCCGGTAAAGGAGAGGACCGTTCTATCACAGTTACTAGCTTGTGTACACGTACCTATACTCTTGTGTCAATATATCTTGTTTCTTCTACTGCCTTGGTGTGCATAAAATGGAACTGTTATATACATCAGGAAAACTCAACTTTCTCTTAAGAAGACACTTAACTGCCTCAAACAGACTTATAGTTCTTATTTAAGGAAATAAGGACAAAAAGGGCATAAGCCATACTGTACCATTTCGATCTATTCGACATGTCATGCATCACAGGCACTTCTGTTGTGTCGAAATTCGGCTGCTGTCACACATCACCAGTGGCAGTGTCGGAAGGTCTTTGCATGTCACCGCCCAGAAGGGCCACGAACATGGCCAAAATAGCCTTAAAAAGGCTGGAAAATGTCGAGATTTTCGGCCGGTCACACCTGGCCGGCCGAGTTGTCTAACTGTCGAATTGGTACCAGGCTGTCACGCGTCACACTGGTTGTCGAATAGATTGAAATGGTACAGTATTACATTAAGTGCCTGAAATCCAACTTATTGAGACTTATTTGAGAACTTATAGCCTTAAATAAGGGTTTTCAGAGCGAAAGGTCTTTAAGGAAAAGTAGTGTATCTGCTTGAATCTGACCAAACTCGTGCCAAATGATGTCAAATAAGTGTGAATAAGTACAGATGATTTTCGGCAGACCAAGGGGGACCAGCCGATGTAGCATTATTCGGCGGTATCACACTAATAAATATAATGATCCTAATACCGAGAATTCAGACAAATTCTGACTTTTGTCACCATATTAGCACAGGAGGTTTTTCCTGATGAGGTTCAGCCAAAAAAAATGAACGATCAGCATACATACACGGCCAAAACAGTAAAGCACCAGAAAATTATTAGACGAAAAGGGTAGAAAAGACGGAAATATGTACCGAAATACAGCCCTCGTGTGATGCCGCTTCAGGAATTTTCACGAGGCCTGAGATCGGACCGGATTTCCAAGGCTATAATGGGGCTTTGAACAGGTGGATTCCTGGGCTGTGAGAGGGTGGCTGAGGCGTTCGCATCCAGCCTGACATTGTTGCTTTGACAGCGGCACCAGTTAGACACCGGTTGTGGGATACCGAAACGACGCTTATACAACCCCCGTCTGGCCCTTGCTAGAGCATATCCCGGTCCTGTTTCTAACTCTGCGGATTACTTGTACAAGCCGTGACTCAGAAAATCTCTAAGTAGATTCAGACTCCGAAGGGTTCGTCAAGATTCTGCTATGCTCTGCTTCGTGCGCTCGTCTCACTCCCTCTTCGTCCTCACCATGATCATCTGGTGACAACCTGCGGCTCCCGCCATCATCTCGGATCCTCTCCTAGTTGATCTCAGGCTTGGCAACATGTTCCCGTCACACGCCGCCTACATTTGCATTGAGAGGAGCTGGTTGCTCTGTCGCATGGTAGGTCAGTATGATTTTCTTCCGTTCAATATTCATTGCTAACTCTGACATTGAGCTTACAGGTTGTTTGTGATTGGTGCAGGGTGGAGGGCATACACTAGAACGGCGTGGCAGGAGGGTTACCAGTCAGAGCGGGGCCAATTTCTGGTAGCGGATGGTTCGTAGGGCAGCATAGCGTAGCATGTATCGAAGTCCATACAAAAAATCAATAATTTTGCGGTATACAGTTTTTTGGTATGAAAATGAGATTTTTTAACTGGTTGGTCATTTGTGAGCCCCAGACGAAGCATCGGACTGGTCCCTTCCTCAGCCATATTCTGGGCTGCTACGGCCCCATAATGACATGGCAGTCTAGGGTTGTTTTGGTGTCTGACTACAAGCCCTGAAATGGGGCTGCACACGGGCTGTCACGGGCCTGTCTACGCGGCTGAATTGACAACAATTACAAGCATTGTATAAGGGTTTTTATAAAATACCGTAAAATCATTAGACGAAAAGGATAGTAATGGGCTGTGGCACAGCCTGGTACGGGGCCTCCGCTCCACGGCCCCATTTTGGTGCCGCAGAGATCTGGCCGTGTACCCGCTGGTCAAGCTAACCAAGTGCGAGGAATAGAAAGAAGCGCCGTGACCGCTCGGTCCGCACTGGTCAAGCAGAAGACCAAATGTTAAGAACCCAGCCGGGCGCTTTCCCAACAACTCGGCGCGCGACTATACCAAATCCGACAGTACAAAGAAGATTCCACAGCTTGAAAGAACAACAAGAACGGAAGAAAAAAACCTGTCCACTCTTCGAATCCTTCATATCTTCGTAAACGGAACAATTACAATATTCGTACAAAGTCGCTGTGCTGTTTCTACGTACGTCGTACACGGTTACACGAGAGAGGCCAACGTTCACTGGCACATGCACAATCCGAGCGAGGGGCAAAACTCAGCCCCGGAAGGATTAACCGCACCATCACTGGCGCGCGATCTTCTCGTCCAGAAGCACCTCCCCCTTCGAATTTCCTCCGCCGATCTCGCCCATAGCGGGGCCCTCAAACGTCTCCCCATTATTCGGGAAAAACCCAGAGAACGGCGTGGCGGGGCTCATCGACGCCGGCGTGCGCGCCGAGTACGTGAGCGCGGGCGAGAGCAGCAGCGGTGACCCACCGTCCTCATCATCCGCCTCATGAGACGAGTGGCGCAACGGAATGGCGCCGAGCTTGTTGGTGTGCGTGCCGCCGACGCGGGTGTTACGGATGTTGACATTGTTCTTGCTGCTGAATAAGTTGTTCACGTTCTGGCCGATAATCCTGCCCCCGTCGCGGGGCGCGATGTTGCTAATGCTGATGCTGTCATTGTTGTTGTTGCGCAGGGCGTTCGTGCTAGTGTACTGCGATTGCTTGCTGAGATGGCCAATAATGTTGTTACTGCTGTTGGCGTGGCGGTTCATGTTCATGTTGCTTTCGTTGCTATTGCTGATCATGCTAGAATTGTTGCTGTAAACCGAGCGGCTGAGAGTACTTGGGAAGCCGTCGCGATTACTGAGGTAGCGGGAGGGAAGGGTAGTCGAACGGGTGTGAAGGGCCTGAGCTTGCGCCTCCGCCTCCGCCCGCGCCTGCGAAGCGTGCGTCTGGTACCGCTGATGCTGCTGCTGCTGCTGAGAAAGCGAGAGCTGGTCGAAGTCACGGGCTAGCCCGGCGGACTGCTCGATGGCTACGCGGTCAAGGCCACTCTGGCTAGCGCTAACGTCTCTACCTCTAGTCAAGTGTGCGAACGCCTGACGAGCCCCCGCAGCGCTCGCATGGAAATCGTCCTCAGACATGGAAGGCAAAACGTCCAGGAGGCGTCGGTGCACTTCCAGCGCAGTCGCGAACCCAGGCGCTCCGGAACCGCCTTTGTTCGCCGCGTTCGACGAAGACCTCAAATCGGAGAGCCCACGAGGCTGCACTTGGGCGGCGAGACGCTCTCTCTGGGCGTTGAGAAGCTGCGTCTGTTGCCTTTGAGCGTGCGCTTGCAAGATCAGCCGCTCCATCGGCGTATACCCATCGTCGGCACGATTCACCATGCCCGACATATCCAACATACCCGCGCCCATCACGGCCTGCAGTTCTGCCTCGGTGTCGAGTCGGAGCAGATCCTCGTCAGAGATATTTTGCCCATTGCGAAGACCTGAAATGAATCAGGTCATTCAACATATAAGTAACTCCTTTAAAACACCCATGCCGCTCACCTTGGCCGATGAAGGCGCCGTTGGCACTGAAATCGCCGTACGCGTCTAGGGCCATCGCAGGGTCCTGCAGATCATCGATCGACTGTCTCAGGAGCTGTTGGCGCTGCTGGAACTGAAGCGCTTCGCTGACACGCGATAGCGGAGGAACCGAGCCGGCCGTCTGCCCGAGCGTATACCCGTCAGACGCCAGTCCAACGCCGGTATTCACGTCGGGGAACGAGCCGAATGACGGCGAGGCAGGCGAGTCAGGATGGAGCTGAGTGCCCTTCAAGTTGAGGAGCGCGGCCTGCGCCATAGTAAGTCGGGCCGGGGACTGTTCGTCTTCGTGGGTGCAGCGTTCCATGCGCTATAGAACAAACGGGCGTCAGATCGATTTTCGTTCGATAGACAGACGTAGACGGTGGCGCAGGAACTTGTCCACATCTCGAGCCACACTAGATCAGCAAAAGCGCTCGAACGCAGAACGCAGTCTTGATGACAGCCCGGCATGCCAACGAGTTCCGCGCCACAAACACCACGCAGCCAACAACCGACGGAAAAAAAAGGTGCAAAAATAAAAATAAAACAGACGTACCCTCAACTCCCGCTGCTCGCTCGTGTCCGCGAACCGAACCGAAATCCTGCACCCCGTATCCTGCCACCCGCGCACCATGCGGCCATGCAGGCGCTCAATGATCTCCTCCGCGGCCACCCGCGTCTCCAATCTGCACAAACGAACTCGACCATCAGCGCTCCCCAACAACCGACCCAAAATACTGCGAACTCGCCTCACAAATGCAATAATCCTCGGCGGACTGCTCAATCGCGTCTGAAAAAAGCGGCTGCTCATAATTCGATACGGCCGCACCAGCGCAGAGAGCGTCGGTTCGTCAATGCTCAGCGGCAAGCCTTCCATATACAGGTTCGTCGACGTCATGTCCTGCAGCTGCTCCATCCGTGCCTTGAACGAGTCCGTCGGCCTAGTAGCCGGAGCGCCTTCTCCCGCCGCGTCGCCCAGAGAGGCATATGGCGTGCCGGGGATTTTGTGGATTTGCTGGTGGTCAGAGTGTCGGCGTTGTCAGGAGAGGAGAGGTAAAAGTCGGTCGATGTGGGGAACAAAAGAAAGCCAAAATCAAGACAAAGCCCATCCACGGGCAGTTCAGAGAACGCACCTTCGAAAACGACGGATGCAAATTCCGATACTTCTTCAAAGTCTCAATGCACCGCTCCGCCGCGTCGACGCCGTCGAACCTGCACAAACAAACGCGCATACAAACTCATCAGGACCGCACCTCTCGAGAGACGTGCGAATGCGGGGACATACAGGACGAATCCATATCCTCTGTGGGAGTCAAGAGAGGGACTATCAGCGGTGTTCGTGGGAGGGAGAATGGGTGAAACAAAAATGGCACGCGTAGTCACCAAGTATACTGAAAGTCGGGCCACAGAACCACGTCACCCAGCCTACACGATGAAAAATACATGGCCACCCACAACCCCAAATGCTGCACAATACATCAAACACGACAGCAACATTTCATAAACAAAAAATCCAGACGAGGCCACCCGATCGTCAAGACCACGGCACGCACAGCAAACGTAACCAAGCCCTAAACAATAATCATACGACCACCAACGATGGGTACATACTCAACCGCCCGACTTCCGCATCACACCGCCGCAAACCACAAAAAGGACACAAATCCAGAACCACCCGCCGGCCCAGAGTACAGATATACGGAGGACGGACAAGCAGGCCACACACAGCCACTCGCAACACCGTGGCAAAAGGTGCGCAGTTTCGCACGGCCCCGAATGGCCAGATGCAGCAGGCGGCGCCACAGCTCACCCGGCACAAAGGACTCGGCGGCACTTGAAAAAATCCAGAAGACATGCAGAACGAGCCCAACAGACGACGACCACGGTCTACGTGACCAACGCAGCATAGAGTGGCCGCGACAACGACTTGGCGCGTGTGGCCAACAACTTGCCAAAAAAAAAATGACAAAAAAAGACCGAAAAGACAAACAAGCCGCTCCTCAACCCCAACCGCACGGTCCAACCCAGACCACAAACCCATCCGCTCGCAACGGCAATAAAACAAGCACTCACGACGGCTTGTCGCTCACATGGCGCGTAAACGTGCGCACGCTGAGCACGGTCCCAAACTCGCGCGTCATCGCGTACAGCTGGTCCTCGGGGAAGCTCGGCGGGAGCCCGTTGATGTACACGTTCGGCGTCCGCAATTCCTGCGGCGGGCGCGGCGCTGCCGCCGACGGCACGAACTCGGGCGCTGCCGCGGACGGGTGCGTCTTCTGCGGGGCTGTGGCCACAACCAAGTCAGCGACGCGTCAGACGAGCAGAAGCGAACAGGCGCACCTTGCGCGTCGGGGCCGGCCGCGGCAGGCGAGCAGTGGCCGAGGTCGGGTGCGGCAGGCGATGCGGCCACCGAGACGGCGGCGGCGGCGGCGGCGGCGGCAGGGGGAGCGACAGTGTCGACGGCCGCGCCCTCGGCTGCGAGTGCGAGGCGCGGCGCGAGCTGGTGTATGTCGATCGGCGCGTCGAGCCTGCTGTGGAACTGCGGCGCCGACACGCTCAGCGTGCTTGTGACGGCGGCGGGCAAGGCGAGGGACGGGAGCGGGGACTCTGCCGGCGGGTCGGCGGACGCGGAGGAGCGGGACGAGGAGTCCGGGGGGGTGAGCGGGTTCGGGGGCGCGGTGTGGGCGAGCGGCGGGGTGGCGGGTGCGGGCGGCGGGGTGCGGGCGGTGGTGGTGTCGCAGGTGAGTGGCTGGGCGGTAGAGAGCGGGGACGAGCGTTTGGGGGAGTGCTGGTGTGGCAGCTGGGGCTGTTGCGTGTTATTACTATTCGAGGGCTGCATGTTCGTTGTTGGTCTAGCTGATAATTCGGAAGACGGAAAGAGAGACGAAATAAAGGAAGAGCGCGGCGAGACGATAGCGGGTGGATATCAGAGTAGGAGTGCGAAGCGATAGCGGGCTGGAGAGCTTTTCGGTAGCTGTTGGAGAACTTTCTGGGAGAATAAAGAGACGTAGAGACTCGGGTGTAACGCTGCTGGACGTGCAATAAGATAGCGGTAGTGGATAGCGGGTGAATTCACGGGGAGATATTGTGGAGGTGGGAAGAGGGAGAGAGAGAAAGGGCCGGGGGAGAGGCCTGGGCGAGCTTTATAGTTGGAAAACGAACAGCGGAGGATCGCAGAGCGTGCACAGGCGCGCTCGGAGATGGCCCGCAGGAGGATCCAAGTGCCGCGAAGCTGATCGCGCGAAGATTGGCCCCACGTCGCAGCACGCTCCAAGAGGCCGCCGCGATCCCTCTCTCGGCTCGACGCTGCCATCGGGCGAGCGCTCCCCGCTGCCATCGCGGTCGGCGCCAGCCATGTCTGCGATCCTGTCACCGCTGTCACCCGTCGACCCATGCAGCTCGAGCTTTTGACATGCGCCAGCAACTCGCCGGTCGCCAGACCCTGGTTCGCGGACGCGACCTACCACAATAGAGGGCCTTCTCCTCTGGGATCTCAGCGCACGGCAGACGATCTCCTGCGCGAAGCGAAATCCGATGCGGCACAGCGTGCTCGCCTGCCGCGTTCTCGGCTCAGCTTCGCCCCCAACGGCAAAAGGGCGAACCGGCCAGCTGGAAATTAAAGGAAGCCTTTGAAATTCCGCATGGTGACAGCAGAGGCTGCATCCGTCAACGACTGCCTTTCTCGACCTGCACGCCGTGGGGCTTTTCGCGTTTCCTCCTCCGCCATCAGCCACACGTTCCCAGTAGTTCTGGGGTTCGTACCAGCTTGCACATAGCCCCCTTTGCAAATTTTTTCCCTTGTGGACACGGAGCGCGAGGCGGTGAGTCCGAAACGCGGAGTGCAGCTTCGTCCAAGCTTCGTCCTTGGACGAGATCCTGACCTGACGCGTGACAGGCTGTGACCCTTCGCTCCAAGCGCCCGCACCCACCAATCAAGAGGGCCGTACTTGGGCGCTAGGATGACGAGGTGTGACACGAACATTGTCTCTGTCATTAATCCTGTCATATTTGCCGCAAATTGACCTACGTTCGAAGTCTTCCGGACGTCTGCCCTCCACGCGGGACGACTTCTCTCAAGATGACGCGAAGCCCTCGACGTGGCTCTAGCAAGGAATCGTCGAGGAACGCGTGCGCACGCCCGCGTGGTCCCCTGCTCAGACTCGTCCGAGGATGGCCAAAGCCCCGTTCGTGCGTCACGCTGTGCCAGCCAGCCAGTCCGTCCGTCCCTGCGAGTGGCAAGGGCTGGCTCAGCGTGCATGCATGCGCTGAGCTCGAGCGAGGTCGCATCTACCAAGTACCGGCAGCATTTTCTCTCCCAACGTGACCTCCGCGCTCAAAATACCGGGAACGCCAAAAGGCACGTCACTGCCTGCGACAGTGCAGTTCCTCGCCACACTCCGATCTCCCACTCAGATCCGGGCGTACGCGCGGTACTGATTCACGATTGATCGCGCCACGGCCTCGCGCGACGTACAAGACCCGGCGCTCGATACCGTCTCTAGCTCCCCGCGTTGTGAGACTCGATCGCTCTGTACTGCATATCGCATTTGCTCGCACGCCGCCAGACGCGGTGCTGCTGTGCGTTCCTACCGCCCGTGCCGGCTTTCGTCGTGTGCAGATGCTGCAGAGCTTTAAATAATAACCCTAGGGTCCGTTTCTCTCCCCTGCGAATTTCGCTCCGGCACACTTGTGGTCCACTCCGTCCGCGCGCGCGGGAATGTATAGCTGTATCGCCATCCATTAACATTCTCCGGCCATATATGCCAATGCCCAGCTAACCCTCACAGACATCTCCCTTTTGACCGCCCGCCCCGTAGATGCTTTCTGTCGTCTGACTGCCTACTGGCAGCCAGTCCGGACATGGATTTACGTTCCCTTCCAGCACCGCCGTCCCCGCGACAGCGGAGCACGACGTGCCGTTCTATCCTGGCTTCTCCCTGCTGCGCATGAACGCGGAAGGTCCCAGCACGCGACGGTTTCAGCCCCGACTCTGCTTGTAATTGCTCTCCGAGTGTACTGTCCGCCCGACACACGGTATAGAGGCATTTCGGGCTTCTGCACAACCGCAGGTGGAGGTTCGCCCCCTCGGTTGAGTGTAGACGGGATCACACCATATAGCTGGCAGAACTCGGCGCAGAACTCGACGAGCCGTCCTGGTGTGGGTGCGCGGTGTCCTAGGCCTCTGCTTCGGCCCCGGGAGGTCCGCCGCAGGTCCTTTCTGTGTCACTGCACGGCGCCGCCGCCGACTCCAAGTACGGCGGGCTAGGTCGGTTGCCGGCCTGTGCGGGTCCCCTGGTTCGCCGTGGCCCGATCTCGGACGCTGCGCGAGACGAACCTGCTTCGGTGCTCCGATTGTCCAGCGCAGGACCCGGTCGACCTGAAGTGGGCGGGTTCCGATGTATGGTAGCCGGGCTGCGGTGCTGCGGGTGTATCAAGAGGGGGGGACGTCACTGTCTGATGGTGATTCGCTCCCGTGCCTTGCGAACACGACTCTAGGATATCATCGCGGGCAGAGATATCGCCCGCGGGATCCCAGAAGACGCGCGACATGCACGCTCGAAGGATACACACAAGTACAAAAAGCTGCCGCGAAGGTTGCGACGTCGAAATGGAGGCTGTTGGATATGCCGACGCACTCATTATGCGGCTTTTGTCGAACGTTCGCACCCTGCGCAGGCGAGTCCGGGATCGTCGAGTTTTCGGTGTCGCTGAATTGTTTCTGCTAGCTAGTGCGCGGGTTTCTGGGGCTGCTTTGACGGAAGCGTGCGACACGCGCTGGTCCCCTGCGAGTGATCCTCCGCGCCGCAGAGGCAGGCGTTTATGCGTTTATGCGTTTATGCGTTTCCCTCCAGAGATCTTGCCAGCGGTATTCTCGAAGACGCCTCTGCGATACGAGTTGCGGCACTCCAGTGCTGGCGACGGGGCGAAAGCTCACGCTGGCCTGCGAAATGTTCTGTCGATACACCTCGCTCGGTCTCAGTTCCTCTTCGCGTCCTTCTCCCGTCTCGTTTCTCTTCCACTCAAACGGGGCATGTGGGAACGGCCACCCGAACGATCCTGCGAGACGAGACTGCTGCGGAGGACGGAGCGAAGGTTGACTGTTGTACGCTAAGAATGTCTATGCGTCCACGTTCTTTTGCGATCTGTCCCCGAGAACGCCGTGTTTCAAACATATGCGCCTGGGACGCTCCGCGCTTGCACCTCCCTATTACCCGGGCGCTGTTCTACCCCTCGTCCGGTTTACCGTCTGGCCACTTTGGACTGTGTTCGGCGGCACGGCCAGATGCGAGTGCGGATAATCGAGCTGGCGACGTTCGAGCGCTGTTGCCTGCCAGGCAGCTGCTCGTCGATGTCGAATACCGATCACTTGTCGGAACTATGCCTCTACCTGATGCTACGTCTCCAGTCGCCGGGTCTGCAGCATCTCTGACTGTGATTATTTGGTCAACCTCTGACTTCTCGTATCTCTCGGGAGCTCCCCTCGTCTGCATCGTCTCCGACTGCGGTTGTCTGTTCTTTCGGTCCACTTTTGATCTGTTCCCGAGGACGTACGCCGAGTTTCAAACGTTCGCACCCGGGATGCTTCACGCTCACAGACACTGTCCTACCCATCGTTCGGTTTACCATCTGCTCGAGCTGGCGATGCTCGAGCGCTGTTGCTGTTGCTGCTCTCGATGTCAAATACTGTGATCACTTGTGGAACATCTACTTTACTCTGCCTGGTGCTACACGCTGCTCTGCGGCATCTCTGATGTGATTACTTGTTAACCTTCGTTCGACTTTTCATGTCTCCCGCGAGCGTCCCTCGCCTGCAACATCTCTGACTGTGATTATTTGTTAATTTTCGTTCGACTTTTCGTGTCTCTCGGGAGCTTCTCTCATCTGCTTTCCCAAAGATTCGATGCGGGCTTGGACCTTGAATGAGATTGGACGCCGTCCCTGAGGTCTCACTATCCTGCCCTTCAACGCCTTGTAGTCTCCGGAATCGCGGTCAGTCGATCGCCGTTGCCCTTCGTCTTGCCCCCGTTGAGGATCTTCGGTGGCGCGTGGGACACTGCAGGCAAGCACGCCGAGCACCGGCCAAACTTGTACCACTTGAATGTACGAGATTGGCGGGACGGGCGCGTGCGGCATTCGCGAGGTGCGCTCCCGGCTGGCGTCGTTGGAAATTGGCATCGCTAAGCTTGCAGCGCTGCATTCCTTACGATACTCGGTCCTGCAAAAATCTGAGGGCCTGCATACCTGTGCATCAGTTCGAGGATTTAAGATGAGGGTGTCGTGTGTTGTGCTTTCGCTTGCTGGCTTGGTGTGTAGCGTTGTGACGGGGATATTAAGGTTGATCTGTTGCTGCTGCTCTCATTTGGTCCGAACCTCGAGTATCTCCGACCATGTCAGTGTCTTACCGACGGGTCTCGCGACACGATGCCGCGCTCTGCAACACCTTGCGGTCAGATATGAGTGAAGAGAACTGTGGTTGCGCGTCGAGGCTCTCGCCGTCAATCCGGCCAATGGGACGCGGGTGGAAAATGTGTCGTGTGGGTGAATGGTGGGACTCGATACCTTGACCGTCCACGCATGGACTGGTTGCGTGCAACGCAATGCTGTTTTCTCGCATGTGCACATGCTGTGCAGACGGGTGCTAGATGCTTCGTCTTGAAAGCTTGGACATCTCATCAGAGGAACAGGTATAATAATAAAGTCTGCTGGATCATCTTTGTCAGTTATGAAAGATAATCTTTTCTATCAATAAGTAGCAAATTTTCATAAGAATTGCTACTTTTAAGTAGATTTATTTGTAGGTGCATAGATTGACTCAGGATAATCGTAATATAATCTGAGGATAATCTGAGGATAATCTTCTGGATAATCTGAGAATAATCTGAAGATTAGCAATAAAATACAATTTTAACTTTGACACTAGCCAGGATTCAACCCTGGACCTTAGGTTGATTTTATAGAATATAATTCCAAGTGACACTTTAGACCACTTGACCATTAGGCCATACATCACAACTATCTTATATTAAATTAGACATCTTTTTCTTGAAAAAGACTTAGCCAAATTCTGTCTATTAGAAAAGAGTAAGTAAAAGACACTTGACTTTTATCATAAATAGACAAGACTTATAGACAAACAGTACTCTGCATCTCATTATAGTCTTGTTCTACAGCTTACAGTTTTTGTAAACTATCATGCAGTACTATAGAGTATCTTAATATAGTCATCTATAATATATAACAAGTTATTGAGAGACAGTATTTTATTTGTTCATTTTAGGCTTATACTCTAGAGTCTATTATATTATAGACTGAGCACTTATATATACAAGATCTTTATAGCTATCTTCTAATTGTATAGCAAAGTTCTGTTTTGCTGAAGTAACTGTAGAAACATATATTCTATTAATTACATATTGTACTACATTATATGAAGGCTGCAAGCATTAGAAAAGACTATAAGACTCAGAGTAATGTTTGTTTATAAGTCTTGTCTATCTATGATAAAAGTCAAGTGTCTTTACTTACTCTTTTCTAATAGACAGAATTTGGCTAAGTCTTTTTCAAGAAAAAGATGTCTAATTTAATATAAGATAGTTGTGATGTATGGCCTAATGGTCAAGTGGTCTAAAGTGTCACTTGGAATTATATTCTATAAAATCAACCTAAGGTCCAGGGTTGAATCCTGGCTAGTGTCAAAGTTAAAATTGTATTTTATTGCTAATCTTCAGATTATTCTCAGATTATCCAGAAGATTATCCTCAGATTATCTGGAAGATTATATTAAGATTATTCTAAATTAATCTATGCACCTACAGATAAGTCTACTTAAAAGTAGCAATTCTCATGAAAATTTGCTACTTATTGATAGAAAAGATTATCTTTCATAACCGACATCACTGGCTGGATTGAACGGGGAGTCTCCTTATAGTGGTAGGGGAGTTAGGTCCTAGTGGAGTTTGAAAAACCTAACCTACCGGCGCGGGTGGCCCCGCGTCATGTGCCCACTCAATGCGGCAGGCAACCTGCCCCAAATGGCATTTCTGATGTAAGCACATACCTAAGGTTGGGCACTGCACTACAGCTATTCAAATTACACACTCTGCGGCATGTTTTAATAAAAATTAGTGTCCATAAGTGAGTGCTCTATATGCTCTCTAAACATAAAAAAATACTGCCTATGTACAGTTCCAGATGAGGACCACAATCATGATAACACTTATGTGCAGCCAAACCTGCACACCGGGACTTTTCTCATATTCAATGCATGTCCTGCCAGTAAAAATTACAACTGGCAGTCCTTGTGATATCATGGAAATTTTTTAAGGTTGCAGGAGAAACTCAGTGCATTCAGATGGCTACAGTGAATGCAACTGCACTGGGCCAAAGTTTTATTGTGCTACAAGAGGGACATACACTCTCGCCTGAAGGGCGAGCAGAAAATTTAAAGGATTTCTGCATGCCGTGAATGTGTAAAATTTACAGGACCTAAGCTTCATTAGTTCACAAGAAGAGTCATCCCTGCAGTTGTGTTCCTATGTCTGACTGTACTGCATGATTTGAATATAACTCTAGAAAATCATCATGGATTATGTGTAAGTGGCATGAAACCCGATATTCATACACCAAGGCACTTTGCACAGGAGTTGAGGACATGCTGGGCATCACACAAAGATACAGAGTGAATACCTTCTCGCTCGCTCGAATTAATTTCATTTAATTTATTTAATTTCCGGCCAACCCTACCACTATAAGGAGACTGCCATTGAACGTTGTGCTGTGCACGCCACGAGACTTCGGGTCTGAGCGCTTCGCCGTCAACGTGTGCAGTAGGATGGTACGAATGTTTTTAGAGTCTAACCTCGACAGAGTCCCCTGCAAAGGTACTGGCCCCGGAGAAGCTCAGGTGTGAGAAAGTTAAACGTTAGATCCTCAGGCCTCAGGTAAATTGCAATCCCGGCCATCTTCTGTGATCTTTCGATCCAGGCCCCCCATTCAACATCGAGTCCCGGCATCTTTCCCTCGTCTAGTTTTCTATTGTCAGGACTCAGACGTATGTTCCCCTCAAGCTCTACACGTACCGCGAAGCTGATTGCATCACAGAGAGCAGACTTCCCATATCATCATGGGCAAGTGCAGGGCTGGAGGTCCGCGTGTTGATGGTAAGCGTTGACGCCCGACTAGGCCGTGCGGCGGCTTCGGCTAAGTTGCTGATCATCCAGCGACGCTTCTTCTCCATCTTCTCGGGAGGATTGACCTAACGCGGATTACAACGATAGACATTTTGGTGCGTGAAATGCCCGTTCTTACCTGAGTCACTTCAGATTGATCTGAATATGACCCCAGATCCGTCTTGATGGCTACGCACCACCCGTTCTCGTTGCAGGAGACTCTGCAGGCAAGTTCTGGTTTCACCTGTACTTAGCACGGTGCTCATAGACTCGCTCTAGGCATGCAGAGGGATGCTTCAGCCAGGGACTTCGAACGACCGCCCACTTCGAGTCATGATTCCCAGCGGAGACGGATCCTACCGTGTTGTCCCATACAACGACCAGCCCTACGTCGCGATCAGCTACTGTTGGCCTAGCGATGGCTGGGATCGCCTCTATTCTAGCAGCCAGACCTCGCAGGTGGCGACGGACAAGGGCGTGGTCTCCTCAGCACACTTCTCCGCCTTCATCAGAGCTGCGGTTGAAAAGAACAACAACGCCCTCACAGAGAAGGTCGCCGTCTGGCAGGACCAGCACTGCATCAATCAGGCAGACGGCCGTGAGAAGAACGCGCAGGTCGCAATTATGCAGCGGATATACTTCGCTGCGCAGTGCACGATGATCATGCTGGACGACGTCGAATTCTCCGCGGACGAGTTCAACACGCTGAAGCAGAGCAAGACCACGGATGTGCATCTCGCTCTCGTCCGCAGGCTATTGCGCGCACGCTGGTTCACCCGCGCGTGGTGCTCACAGGAGTCAGTGCTCAGTCGCAGGGCGATCGTGTGCGTACACCAGACGGGGCGGCCCGACTCGCCTCTTCTGTTCAACGTTGACTACATCTGGCAGTGGCTCGACGTCGCGCGGCGCCGCGATGGAACGCTCCCCTTCTTCAGCGAACCTCGCGGCTCGATCACCGATGCGGCCTGGACCCGGATGGCGAAGACCAGTGCTTGGGCCCTTGGTATCGTCTATGAGATGGGTTGCTACAACCACTACGACAAGGTGCCTCTCACAAATAACCTCCTGCGGCGCATTTATACATTTGACGATCCACCCGAGGCGTTCGGCGTCAACGAGCCCTGTATCCTCGAAAACGTGCTCAAGATGGTAAATGTGATGGCGATTGACCAACGCGACTTCTCGCTGCTGTTGGCGAACAGCGTTCAGCAGAATCCTCTGCGCGGAAAACGAGGATTCGGGTGGGCTGGCTATCCTGTGAGAGGAGATCGAATTGCAGAGATGTGGCACCCGAAAGACTACGAGGTCGCGAGAGACCCAGACATTGCGGTAGATGCAACGGGGCTCACCGCCAGGGGTATCATGGCCAAGATCGTTCTGCAGCATGTTTGGAAGCTGCAGAGAGATAGCGGCGGGCTGCACGTATCCGTCGACGGGGTCCACAAGTTGGTCACGTCGGACTGGCCGATGCATGATGTTTTCCGGTCGAGCCGCCCGCACCAGCTCTTGCGAGACTTCCTCTATGCGCTTGAGGCATTCGACGACAGGGGCGATCCCGAAGCCGAAGTGTATTCGCGTGCGGTGTACGCGTATCTGCTCGAGGAGGACTACAATTATCAGCCGGGGCCGTTTCGCGGGGACATGAAGGAAAATATGATACAGACGTTCGGGATGCCTTCACCAAAACAGCGTCATGTGGCGGACGCCCTGAATTTCATCCAGCGCGACGAGGGTGCGGCATTCAGCACTGTCCTGTTGGACGAGGGGACGGTGCTCCTGGTGAGTGGCAATGTGGAGAATATGCGAAATTCGAGGATCTTCCAGCCGCACGTCGTGCGCCCGAAGCTATTTTCGTATCCACTGGTAATTACTGTGAATTCTATGGTCCTTGACAATGGGAACCCTCACCAATGTAGGGGGTGTGTCAGAGGATTTGGACTGATTTCTGAGAGGTCACTAGGTTCAGAAGTCCGTATCAAGATAACATAAGGGGGAGTGGCGTCGACGAGAGCGTCTTCGTCGACTTGTAGAATAGTGACAACCTTCGGAACATACTAGATAAGTGCGTGTGTCACGGTGATGGTTCGAGCTGAACGTTCCGGCATTGTCGCAGAATGTCCCATTCATGTTTTTGTTTTTCTTCGTCAGCAAACTAAGTACAAACCGACCGTATACTGCTGCTAGCTCCAGACCAACCTATCCGTTCGCATGAATATAAAGAAAATATCACAGGCTCTGCCATTCATTCGTTTCACACACTGTTCCTCCAATCCTCGATTCTGCGCTCGTCGGGCAGTATACGACCGTCCGAAGGATCAAACTGCACATTGCAACTTCTCGCATCCGGAATCTCCACCGAGCCTTCGAGCACAAGCGATATCTCTAAAAGCTCATAGTGGACATAGCGTAGGTTGGGACATTGCGTGCGTAGGGGAACCGACAAGGCGGAAATCATCAAGTTCAGTAATGTCCTGTCGCCGGACATGATACTATACCTGGGGAGCGAAAAATATTCCATGTTTGGAGACGATGCAACTGCAACAAATGCAGAAGACAGCAACTGTGAAATAGTATTACTGAGACGTTAACGCGGAGACAGAGCAAGGAAGTATCTCCTCACCAGGACGGCATTGGGAATTGTCCTTTCTCCCATCAGCTTCAACGCTCTTAGTCGCGGACAGCAACCCAATAATGGAACAATGATATCCTCCCCCGACGTGCCGCCGATCTTCAACTCTAGCGACTCTAGAGACGCAAATCCTTCCGTCCAATTATTGAGTGCAATGAGCACCTCAGAATCCCGCAGAGAAGGACGGTCCCATAAACGATCTCCTGGAGCCTCTGCACGTTTTCCAGTGACAACAAGATGTCGGAGACCACCCTGCTGCAGAGCGTAGAGGCTGATGTCATCCCACATCCCGCGGAACAGCTTAAGTGGGGGTAAACCGCGAGGAGCCACAGGATCGAGGTTAGCATCTGTACGCTTTTGTATCGAGAGATTCTCTATCGAGCCACAGTGGGAGAATATGAATTGCCGCCAGTCGTATGTGGTACCATACGGCCAGATGGTGATGTCCAATGAGCGCAGTGAAGTGAATTTTGCCAAAGCTGTGAGTTGGAAGAGTAGGTCCTGCTCCCGACTACGCCTGTCGGATGATAATTCATATGAATACAAATGGCAGGATAGAGACTTGACATGAGAGGGGTCAGGTAACGGAAGATATGTCTTCCGGATACCAGGATATACAGGTTTCTCCTTGTATACGAGATGCTCGAACGGGAGAATGATACACATGCGACTGTGGTCTTCAAGAGGCATCTCTTCGCCCGCTTCATCCTCCAGCAGAAAGCACGTTTCAGAGGTTAAGGAGTGCAAATGAGTACATACATCTTGCAAGAGACATAGATGACGTAGTCCGAGAGTGACATGGATCAATTCCAGTGCTTTGAGATTTGCCAACTTCGGGACGAGGTCGTAGAAGAATCTGTCAACAATGATACGCTCATGGGTATCCTCTTGGCGGCGATCAATCAATTCTGTCCAATGCCGCGGATACGCTAGAGGAGCAAGAAGACAGCGATGAACCCCGGAAGCAATTCTCTCCTGTCCAATGAAATCGAGTTTCCGCAGGGTTTTCTCTGCTTCCTGGGTGCTGAGAGGTCTTATGTCCCATAAAAATGAATCTGCATAAGAGGGGTATACTGTACCCTCTGGCGGTACGCGTTGCCAAGTACAGGATATGGAGAGAGTGCAAGAGTCGAATAAGAAAGGTTGTGCGAGATGATAGAACACCTTGCAGGTCAATGTCAGGTCTTCTAATGTTCTCTTTGGCGACTCCTCGATGCGACTTCCATGGAGAATGTGGGAGAATATCATACGAAGTAGTTCAACAGGGAATGGCAAAGTCGAGCCATTTCGCGGAGTCTCGGCAACGTCAGCGAACGTACGTTCCCTATCTGTTCGCTCGGTGGTCGGGAGATCTGGCGTCTCTACTACCATCTTGGAGAGATCTTGAAACTCTGCGAAGAAGTGGCCGTCCATTACGATGAAACGATAAGTAGACTGCTGGAAACTGGCAGACTAACCTTGATTCCCTAACAGTGACCAGACCTCAACATTCCTTCATGAAGGCCTATCACGGTAGCCGAGAAAATCGCGCGCTCTGCGTGCAACAACTTCAAGTAGGACGTGAGTAGGAATACGTGTCGACATTCTTCGCACTTACTGTAATAATTACGCAGCAGCCGGGTTTCTTCCGTATCGACAGTATAAACGGCGACAGAAGAAAAATGACGACAGAAGATTTAGGGAAACCACGAGTGACTATGTTCGCTGTCTCGACGAGGAAGGATGTCAAGCGACAGTCTGCGAGGGTGGGCGTTAGCTCGATCGATATAGAATCGATCAGAGGAGCTGCGTGACTCCTGCATGGGCTTACAAACAAACTGCCAATTCGATGGGACGCACCTTCCGTAACAGACGCAACAAGTAGCGTAGATCCGTGGGCAGTGCAGACAGATTCACGAGGGAGTAACCGAAGATTTAATCGTAGCCAATCTGCTGGAAAACTGTGAAGGGATCACAGACGATGTTAGAGTGTGGCCATAAAATATCGTGGTGGACGAAGAAGTGGGTACTTTGCGTAATAAGGACAATACTTACTGCCGTCGCTGTACTAGAATTCAGGGTCTTGGTAGAGCTAGCCCTCGTTTTTTCCCGGTACCGACGTTCATGGCGGCATTAGTAAAAGTGACATCTACGGGCGTGAGCGAACTTGAACGGAAGGCAACCTTTTCATTCGTTAAGTACAAACTCGAAACAGCTGTCTAGCGCGTCTGTGGCGGTCACGCAGTCACGTGCCTCTCCCTGGCGTTGCGCGTGCCAGTAAATCCTACTCATTCACCATCATCAACTGTCCCGCACTTTGTCTGTCATTCGATGAGCGAACCTTTCACTTGCAAACGTCGTGTACATTTCCCACCCGAGGCAGAGCCCCATCCCAAGGAGATGAAGCCATCCCGCGCCGTCGTGGAACGCCTGCCGTCGTCGTTGGAGCTCGTCAAGTCTGTATGGTCCGATGAGGAACACAAGACGTTGAATAATAGCGTTTTGCGGCTAAATCTATTCCATCCGAAGCGATCGAGGAGGATCCTGAGGTCGCTGCCCTCTTACTTCACTCCGTGGTGAGTATTATGGAGTCCGTCTCCAAATGGATGAATGCGGAATATCGCCAAGCGGGAAACCTCGAATCTTTGGTTGAATCCAATAAGGACCTGCGAGTTGTATTACGTCAGGCGAAGGAAGAGAAAGACTTACGCCATTCGATGCTTGAGTGAGTCATTATCTCATCTTTGCCTTCGCGCCAACGTTGAAGGTTCCTTCTAGAAATCCTGCGCCAGGATAGAACACATTGAGTCGATGTCTATCTAGTTCAGCAGCGAGCGGGCGTACTTGTAGGACGCTGGGGTTTTAGGCAGATGTTTGCCAGGTGTTTTGTGTATGGGGTACACGGTGAATGACATTTCAAGCACGATTGAATTGGCGAAATACCTAAGTGATAGGGCAACAGCAGTATTAGCGTTCAGCTGGCTTCTGTACTACCAGGTTGCAAACAATAGCTAGCAAGCCCTAGACTGGTCTGTCGTGGACAGGCTGACCGTGCCACTCCGCACTGACGCTCAACCTTTTGGTGAGTACTTGATTAACCTCCCGTGCCTCAGGTTAGTCTCCACCTACCCGGAGGTTGATTCTGTCCATCGTTCATTTACAAAGTTCTGTCCCCTTCCCAGCATCATTGACAATAACCATGCGCAATCTTCCTTGTATAAATTTGTATTTCAGGTTCCCTCTCAATAGATATCGTCGGATCTCCATCTCCCAATCCTACCGGACGAGCGCAAGACAAAGAAACGTCATTGGCCCATGGCGCTTTTCATCCGGTCCTGGCTAGTGCGACTGCTACTCTGTTAAACGAGTCGAACTTAGCATTCCCTCCTGAGATATTCGTCTGGATATTCTCTCATCTTCTCACCATGAGTCGATACTACGCGACCGTGATGTGCAAGGCGTTCCTTCCCATTACGCAGCCCTATTATTACGGCTTACTTATATCGTCCGTCCGAGAATCTCTCGATTATTTTCCCGCCTCCGTCAGGCAGAGCTCACTCTCAGCGACGTTGTACAGTCGTCATCTTGCGGCTCCAATTAACAATGCAGGTCCACACTGAAATACAAGAGCTTCCAATCATTGGCATACAAGTTCAAGGAAAGGGCCACTGTTATCACGCGAGTCTCCTGTTTTCACCTCTCGAAGATGGATGACGCTTTGAGGATATGAACGATCCAGCGAGGAGGCTTGGATTCGGCGCACGTTAGTTTCGCCGCCGTCGCTACGTCGTAGCGCCGGCGGGTACTTATCCCGAGGGCCACGAAAAGGCCTGCGCCAGGACCGACGAGCAAACGCGCACGTCGACCCGTACCTCAGGATCTTGCCCACCCACCACCTCTTGCTGTTGTTCTTGATTCTTGACAGCTTCTGTCTTCGTTGGTCTTGGCCACCAACTCATGCAGCTCTTCTGTCTTCGTTCTTCTGTCTTCGTTCTTCTGTCTTCGTTCTTCTGTCTTCGTTCTTCTGTCTTCGTTCTTCTGTCTTCGTTCTTCCGCCTTCGTTGGTCTTGACCACCCACCCGCCCCAACTCTTGCAGACGTCTTCAGTGGTCTTGCTCATCCTAACGCTTGCTTGCAGCTGTCTTCAATCTTCGGTCTTCAACCTTTCGTCTTCTGTCTTCATTGGTCTTGCCCCATGTTTGCATACGTTCTCTGTCTTGCCCCCCCACCCGCCCAAAATCTTGATGTTGTCTTCATACTGTCTTCTGCTCTTGCCCACCCGCCCACCTAGCATCTTGAAATCTTTTCGTTGTGGCTCCGGACCCCACCAAAATATGAGGAACACCCCTGGACGATGTGCGGCCGAAGACGTCGACAGATATACAGCCACAAGAGGCATCATGGAAGAAGGAAGGAGAGTAGCAAGAAGCGTGAGACGAGAAGAGCTCGTCGGGTGTGGATGGTGAACGTCTGAAGTCAAGAGTGCGCTTGTGGTTCCGCGTCGTACCTTTGGCTTTTATACCTCGCGGGAACGCTTACGCACCCTCGGCTAATCTTTCGGACTCAAAGCATTACTCAATAAAGCAATTCCTTTGTCCTCCTTGACGGCGGCCGATCGCCGCGAGTTGTGCGTGTTTCTTCTCCTCACCGCCACACGAGTGTCCTTCCAGACTCGGAGGTCGGTCCACATTTCTGAGTGTACTTACCACACGATAACTTAGCCCCGTTCCTAATCGCGCTGGCCAACTCTTTGCAGGCCTTCGGCCTTGCAGTTAGGGTGGAAGCCGACTTACAGTTGCGGTGGCCACTGACGCGCTTTGGTCGACGCTTGCGTGTTACGCGGTCACGTGCGTCTTCAATGGCTTCGCCAGTTCCACAAGTTCAATTTATACATACGTACACCGCTAGCGATCATCATCAACTCTCTCTTGCACTGTGCCTCTCATGTAATGTCCGATCATCTGACCAGGAGCACTGTGTACTCGTCAGGCAGATTTCCCATCCGAGGTTGAGCCCCGGCCCAAAGTGATGAAGCCATCCCGCTCCGTCCGCTCCGTCTTGGAGCGTCATTGGAGCTCGTAAAGTCTGTATGGTCCGATGAGGGACACAAGACATTGGATAACAGCGTTTTGCGGCTCACTAAATCCATTCCATTCGAAGCGATCGAGGAGGATCCCGAGGTCGCTGCCCTCTTACTTCACCCCGTGCTGAGCTTTGTGGAGTCCGTCTCCAAATGGATGAATGCGGAACATCGTGAAGTGGGAAACCTCGAATCTTTGGTTAATTCCAATAAGGACCAGCGGGTTGCATTGCGTCAGGCGAAGGAAGAAAAAGACTTCTATGCCTTCCGGTGCTTGAGTGAGTCATTATCTCGTCTTTGCTGTCGCGCGCCAACGCTGAAGGTTCCTTCCAGGAATCCTGCGCAAGGATAGAACACCTACCCCGTGGGATGGCAAAAGTGTCCCAAAGCAAGGTAAGGAATGTCCTTCTCCACGGCGCTTCCGGCCTGAGAAATATACAGGGGTTGAGTACGCTTGAGAACGAGGTCAATGGTTGGCCGACGGCGCTCGAGGATCTCGATGCAGGCAGAGAAGAAACTTCAAATCTTCGCACTTCAACGACACAGGCTGGGTGTGTATCGGAGGTGAACAGCCTATACGTCTGGATTCTTGGAGGGGGATCGCGATATGTGCATAATTCAGTAACGAGCGTACGTATCTGTAGGACGCTAGGGTTTTAGGCAGACGATGGCAAATTGTTATGTGTATGGGTACACGGTGAATGACTAGTTATATTCCATGCAAGATTGAATTGGCGCACCATCTAAGTGATGGGGCTCGGTTGTCTTGTGTAGTACCAGAACTTCGGCTGGAAAAGAACGCTGCTACTGGCTAGCTCGAGCATGGTCTTCTGTGGGCAGGCAGGCCGTGACTCTCCCCACTGACGCTCGACGCGTCAACTCTCGCTGCAAAACCCCCCGCCGTCGTGCACATATGGTCTGCCATGCAGGAAACTGAATGCACGGAATGACACACATAATAAGCAGGAAAGGCGAAAGTGGCATTATAGTCATAACAATACATCTGACAAGGCTGCTAAGAGATACACAGGGGAAAGATGATAATGGTAAAGATATAAATAGTGTTCGTGACATAGCAGTCGGCGCCGAGGTCCTGGGGAAGAGCTTGTGGACGCGTGGATTTGAATATGATCGTGATCGTCGAAAGGCGGGAACAAGGGGATATGAGTTCGAGGATAATTTGGAGCGACCGTCTGGTCGTGAAGTGTTGCCTGCGCGGCAGGCCAACGTGAGATGTAGGGTGCGAGAGATGGCTGAAGGATGAACGGTTGGGGGACAGAGGACGGGAAGATAGCTGGCGGAAAGAATGGCCTTCACGCTCGCCGACCGAAGACAACGGCAAGTACAATGATGAGAATGAGGACCGCAAGGACAGTCAGCGCGAGGAGGCAGCGCTTCGCCCATCTGACCTCCGTTCGTCGCATCGCCTGGATGAGCTCCAACCTCTCCGCCTCCGTCTTTGTGGTCTCCCAATCGTCGGGTGCGCGGAGAGGGGAAATCAGGATAAACGCGCCGGCGAGCCAGAAAACGGGAAAAACTGGATGGAAAACCTCGAAATTAGATCAACTCTATATCGAGCAGAATCGAAGAAAACTCACGGAATCCGTAGAGGAAGAGATACTGTGCCAGCGTCGGCTGCTCGTCCGTGCGAGTGTAGGCGGGCGGATTCTCTGCAGCATAGGGAGGCGGGACATCGTCGTTTGCACCAGCAGCGTACACGATGTTATCATGCCGACTGTCGCGCGTGCCTGTTCGCGGCGACGAGCGAGCGACGCCGAAGAAGTCGTCGACAGCGTCGGTACCCTCGTCTTCGCTGGCACCCTGGGTGCGAGCCTCGTGAACGATGGCGCGAGGTGGAGAGGGAAGTTGGGTGTCGAAAGATGCTCGAGGCGAAGTCTCGGAGAAGACTTGAGCCTCTATGTCAGTAGCTGGTGCTGCCCTTCGCCAGCTAGCAAAGACGTTGGAGAACGAGGACAAGGGTGCAGCCTGAGACGACATGTCGATGAATGTGAGTGAGGACAGAACTGTACGGCGGGAACGGGGGGGCGATGAGCTGCTTGATCCATGACGATGATCAACTGATTTATACGGAGTCGGTAGCGCGTGAAGAAGGCAATCCGGCAGTGATTGCTTTGGACCCAATTACACGCCCCCTCTGCCAAATAGATACAAATAAGGACCCACGCAAGAGTTTCCTCATCTGGATAGTCGTGTCAGAGTGACAGATTCCCGCGGTCATGGTTGCTTAGGCATCTTGCTTTTTCAAGTTCTCTAGACGATAAACTGGATCTATTCTGTGAGGTTTTTGCAAGGTGCCGTACATATATTCCACGCAGACGTTCGCTGGTTGGTTGTATGAGGCTTATCTGTCATGATATGCCCCCTACTCGAGCGCTTCCTACCGGCGGGTGGACAAAGATCACACCGCCGAGATATGAAGCGGGCAGAGAGGAATGGCGAGAATGCCAGCGATAAAAAGGACAGCACGGCAGTGGAAACGGCAAGCCGATAAGCGGGCTAGAATTGGACAGGTGTAAGAACACGTATGATGAGGGTAGGCAAAGGAACGACATTGTGAGCAGGTCAGTACATTAGTTCTTCGCAGTGTATGTACTTGGTGGCAATCGAAACCGCCTCGCTTGCTCAATAATGGTGACGAGGACTGAAATGGAAGTGCGAGGGTGATTTGTTCACGCGATCCCATCTTGTCCTTCGCTCGTGTGGCACCCTCTCGCATGCCGTCTATTCGCAGGTCATCTCCAGTGGTCCCTTTTACCTGCCGTCAGCCACTTTTGCACACTGCATCTTCTTGTGCGTATCCTTCTCGCACCAGTAGTGCCTTTGCATTTTAGCTCTGCACTATTTGTTGTGCGTTGCGACGTGCCCTGTACCCTGCAGGTGTTATCGTACGGTGATTCTTCGTTCGCCTACACACCAGTGATACACCTGGATGATATCTGTCAACTGTAGTTGTGGCATTCAGAAAGCTACGCTCTCTCCCAAACCTCTGCGTGAGATGATGGTTGAGCTGAGTATCATTGTTGCCGTTTTATAGCAAGTTACCAGCGTCAATTTCCTATAAGCATGTGCTGATGGTGTTGTGGCGCTCCGTGCTCGTTCACTGCAGAGAGCCAACTCGTTCGAGGAGGGGACGAGTATGAGCGACCAGGGTGAGTCTTGCGTGTTGTGCAGCATTCGCTCTTACGGATACAAATTTGGTTAGGCCCGAATAGACGCTGGAGTATTCCATTACCGGCGGAGCTGCACGACCACATCGTGGATCACCTCTGGGACGACCGTGCTGCACTACTCATGCGCTCTGGCGTACCGCGAGTCCCTCCCCGCCACGCGATACCATCTGTTCAAGGATGTCAGGATCGAAAAACGGTCTCGCGTAACTCGTAACTCGCCTCCAAGATATCTTCGAGACGTCGTTACCGTCGCTCGTCGGCATCGCAATGTATGTTCGCAGAATATCCATACATTTCTCCTTATCTGTTGGCGAATTTCGCGTACCCTACGCCCTGTCCAAGCTTGAGAACGTGCATACTTTGTCCCTGATCGGCATGCCGTTGTTCACTCCACCAGACACGCTGGATGGAAGGGATCCGTGTCTTCTACCCAAGGCGTTTCCGAAAGTGAAGGCCATCAACTTCACGCTGCCGGTTACTTACATCTGCGTCAACAACATAGTGGAGCTCCTCCGTGCGTTTCCAGCGCTGTCATCGGTGCGCATGGGCAGTGGCGGACATCTTGTGCGCATGAACGGTTACGCTGAACAATCGAAGCTCTCGCTGTCTGCCGGTAGAGGAATGCCCACTATCACCGTCAGGAGATTGGTGTTGAAGCACCCAGATTATTCCGTCGGGATTGCTGAGGCAATGCTCATGGAGCCTTTCGCACCGCAGATTCAAATGCTTCGCTTGGAATCGATCAGAAGGCAGGACCTTAATGCAATTGGGAGGCTGCTTCATGCTGCTGGGACGTATCTGGAGCACCTCGAGATTTCTATGCCAGCGGTGTATCGACCACGGCCAGATTGTGAGTCAGGCGATGCTCATACAGTAATTGTTGTATTTACCTGGGTGGCTGACAGTTAAACACACTGTCAGCCCGTTTTGTCCCACATATAACACTCACTTGTCCGTGCTCCGTCTTGAGGCGGACGCAAGACAGCTGACTACCAGAAGAGAAGATTTTTTGTGGTTGATTCCGGTCCTTACAGCCACCCGCTCCCCCCTTCTCTCCGTTCTCAGTATCACCTGTACGATGCACACAGAGACCGACGTCAGTCTCCTGGACTGGGACCGGCTAGACGCAGCGATCGTGCGACGGGCTCTCGAAGCTCCCCAGCTGAGAGTGTCCATCCTTTTCATAGTGTACGTGAGACCGGAGAATTGGTCCCCGCGTTTGGGAGAGGTGATGAACGTCGAGCGGCTTGCCAGCCGTCTTCCGATGTCTCGGAGAGCATTGGGGACAGTTTTAAATTTCAGCTAAAGTGCATCACAGAAAAGGCGCGGATCTTGTAATGCCCTTATATAGCAATGCAAGGCCTTTCTAACGGGAATATAATTAATAAAATGGTCAGAATAACCAAAATGAATAAAATGACCTTAGGCTTTAATGATGGAATCTTAGAAGTTGAATAGAATGCCAGTAAAATCGCATAGTATATCGGTTGCAACGGGGCAAAAGTATATTGCTGCTTAGAATGTCCAGAAGACTTTTGCCCACGGCTGGAGCAGTATTCGGGCTGCTCGCGTGATGATACGCACAAAACCATATATATTGTGTGGGTACAAAGTACATACATATACACCCTCATACCGTAGTACATACAGAGTGCTAGGAAGCTCGGAGACGCACTGCATACTGTGTGTGATCCTTCAGAATGCGTCGGCGGGTGACAAATCACCGCAAGCGGGAGGGAACCCGTACACAGCGCAGAATCACTGGCGCCAACGATGCGCGTCGCATGGAGGGGCGGGTATTCTACGTGTGAGTCTTCTGTCAGGATCCACCAGAGAATCTGAAAGCCGTCTTGCGCGCGCGTAGACTGCAGCGTGGGAGCACGGCCGATCGCAGTGATAAGTGGACCGTGATACATCGGTATCGGCAGCTGCATCGGTGCCGGCCAGTGGAATGCCGCCACAGCAGACTTGGTGCAGCGGCGGGGGGCTGCAAAAACCGGTACATGTTAATGTCCACACCGGAGGTACATCAGCAGGAGCTGCATGGTGCACAAGAGACGGCATTGCAGACACGTAGCCGGTGTGTGGAGTATTGACGACGAGCTTCATGCAGAACACGATAGCTTCTTCTAGTCCAAATGTGGGTGACTCGAATCATTGTGGTCTCAGCGAACCGGAGCCGCAAGTGACATCAGCAAAACCGGGAATTTTCTCCAAAGAGATTATAAAGGTGTAATTCCATGTAACTTGCGCAATTTTTTCACCAAGGAATACATTGCATTGTAATCCTGAGTCAGATTGCAGAGTTGCCAACTGGCATAATCAGTTATAAGCTCTGGAAACATTTTACAGGTTATGAAGCTCATATAACTTCCTACAAAATTTATTACGCGCTACATTCAGACTGTCCTAAACAGACCGAAACCGATTCATTCAGATCGGTTTGATAATTCTCAAAAGTGGGAGTATTCCAAATTAATTATGTCAACATATTATTATTACTGCAGCGACGTACAAAGTGCTCTACATTAGAGCTGGTTGGGCCTACTTACAAGCTCCAAAACCCGCGTGCCGCCGTAACGTCCACTTACCACAGTAACAACACCCGCGTGCCACCATAACAAACAAGTAGTTAGGCCTACTTACCGCGCCAACACCTGCGTACCGCCGTAACAACCAATGCTAGAAATCAACATACACTACACGTCCGCCCAGAGGCATAAAACAGTAGAAATTGAAATAGAACGCACTATGCGAGTCGCTCCAACCACGAGAGCCCGATCAAGCACACGCAACAAGGAACCTGGTAGACCTGTGCAATATAGTTAGCTGCGAGTAACAACACTCACCTGGCGGGCATCTGGCAGAGGCTGCGAATTTATACGCGAGTGAGGGTGGCGAGAATTGTCAGCGGATGGTAGTCGTGATGCATCGAGATTAGCCTCAGACTTGCCTCCGAGTTGCCTCGAAACGGCTTCGGATCTTTTCACTGTGAGGGCCTGGACGAGAGCCTTGCCTCAATGCTCGCATTTGGTGTGGTATTCGGGGGCCTGAAAACTAAAACACGACGTAAGAGCCAACTCAGAGCGAGTTCTGCAGAGAGCGCTAGTAGACGCCCAATAGGCGCTCCTTACAACATTACCGAGCGCAGGGAGGTTTCTCCACCCCTGAAATTCCGCAGCAGTATGCAACACCCATCGTACCTGTGAGAATTACGATTGGCTGGGTGCGATATTTGCTTATAAATCATGAACCTTCTGCCATACAGTCTTAAAAATTCGTATATGGCCTTCCGTCGTACATCGCGCTGCGTTTGAGTCATATTTGTACAACGTACACGTTACATTATATTATACACATTAGCACCAATTGTTTAGTATGCGACTGCTGCTCGTGGCACGCATAGGTGCACGGTTTCCTACGTCGTCATTCGTCAATTTGTTCTGTGAAAGAATGATTTTTGTACCTTGTAGTGGCGATAGTTATCGGCGAACCAGAAAAAAAAACGGTCGGTTCCTCGGTTTTGTCGTATTACCATGACGGTAACATTCAGTGAACCAAACATATGTACTTTGTACGATTTTTTTGGTGATAGATAAGAGAGAATGTATATAAAATTGACGAACCGTGTTCTGTATGTTCTGTGCGTCCTATTATGTCTTCGATGATGACAAAGTAGCACATATCGCAGGTTTCGATGATGTGCGCAATCACCGAATGAGCATATTCCGAGACGTGGTGCGAGCACATGAAGTTTGTGGTCAACGAGAGTGGCGTCACCCCTATGGAGATGCATGTATATAAGTTCTCTAATCTGACGTCATCTTTTGGGACTGCCTTTTGATTAGTAATTATCTGCTTAGTAATCATTCACCGTTCAAAAATTTTGAGTATCTAGCGCTGTCCTGCCGCAAGTTCTGACTTCAACAATTCATATGTATTCATCCTGACAACGTGTTGTCCACTACGAATTTTATGTGCTCCCATGCTTTTATCGACTAACCTTTCATTGTTGCTCGGCCCACCAAATCCGCGTTTCTTCATCCAACTGTGCCAGTCGTCTATCCTCGTGTACAAGGTTTTCATCCACGGGCCTCTTCAAAACTGTTGGATCGAAATCACGGAGAAGACGAATAGTGTCTCGTCCGGAACTTCGCGATAAGGCAACGTAGATGTTGAATAGCGAGAGGCTTCCTCCAGTAGGTGGGGTTGCCATGTCGACTACGATGTAAGTCAGTGTTTGTCCTTGTGCGCGAAAATCCGTGAAGGCGTAAGCGGGTGTAACTGCGTATTGCAATCGTGTTACCAATTTTGATGCTGATCCCGTTGAGTCATTGTCTATATAGAATCTCTTCGTCACCGGTTCAATCGGAACTACTCCGTGTGGTAAGTTTGGTAGTGAGATATGTCGGGTATTGTTCAATTTGACAAGTACATATGCAGGTGGATGGTGTAACTGTACCACTGGATCATTTCCGAAGGTCGGCTCATTCTCATCAAGAATGATATCCTCGATTGTTCCTCTACTGCCATTTGCTACGTCGAGGTCAGTTTTTATATTCATCGTCACCATTACTTTCATGCCAATCGCTAATTCAACGACATCTGGCAGTCCTCCTTTTTCATCACGATTGTTTTTGGCAGTCTTTTTGTTGGCTAATCGATATCTCTCCGTCAGTGATAATGGACGCCTGTTATGACCGATGGTGTCGAACGCGGGACATATGAATAATCGATTTCCTATCGGTATGTTAGCCAATTCACATCAGTTATAATACTCATACCTGTTTCCATGCAGTGTCTTCTAACACATGCCGAATTCCATTGTTCTCGGACGGAATGCCTTGGAGTAATTAGACTCGCATCTTTCCATGGAACTGACGAGAAGTCTGTAGGGGTGTTCTCTGGATTTGTTAGAACAAGACTTTGCAGCAATGCAAGATCTTCATCATCAGTTCGGCCATGTCGCAATCTACGCAAAAATTGCATCCAGACCGGATTTGTTACACGGACTTGTTCACGTAGGATGACTATGCGATTAAATTGCTCATACAGATGGCGCCCGATTTGAAAGTCCGGAGGATCCCCTGGCGTGATTGGATAGTACAACGGTGCACTTTTTTTGTTTGCGACTGGTGGGAACTGATGGAAGTCACCGCACAGAATAACATTGATTCCTCCGAAGACAATGTCATCAGTTTGTGTTCCAATTTTTGCAATGCATACATGGCGAGAAAGTTGGGCGAAGAACTCCCGACTAATCATCGATATCTCGTCGATAACGAGATACTCACAAGTGTGCCAGATCTCTTCAAGTTTTTTTTTACTTTCCGCAGTTAGGAGTCTTTTGTAGATGGAGAGGACCCCCACGTTATGCGTGGTTTTGCCTTCTATTAGCGACGCTGCTATCCTGGTGTATGCCGCTTTGAGTAGGAGATAACAAATGCCTCTGCTTCTGAAAGCATCTGTTACTGTTTGGATAACCTTGGATTTCCCGGTTCCACCCTCTCTGTGTATCTGCAATAATAGTTGTTCGGTATGCTTTCCTTGCAATCTGTGATCAAGATGATCTACGATAATGTCGAATCCACGTCTTTGATCTTGGAGTAGAAAGTTAATGTCTGTAGACTCCAGCGCAGATTCTGCCGCTTCAATGCCTTCCATTGAGACATCTCCTGCTGATTCTTCATGAAGCAGAGATTCCAGGTTTTCTACAGTTCCGATAGAGTGTTCGAGATCGGTAAAACCTGTACTGATGTCTCGTTGATTGACAGCTTTATCCATCTCCTCCTTACAATGAAAAAGTTGTTCTCGTTCGGCCGAGGTAAGTGGATGAATACTGTCATGAACAGTGCGCATATTGATGTTTAAATTATTGTCAAACACGCCCACTTTGTGACCGATACGAGTTGCAGCGTGGGCATATTCATAGTCTCGAGAACATAGTTTCTTCGCCTTGAGGATGGCCGTTAAGTCCTCTTCTGTAACGTCAATTGAAAATGAATCAGATGATCCTGCAGCAGGTGATTCTTCTTCTCCTTCCGCGATTGTGACTGCATTCTGATCTGCATCATTTTCCGCCCATGTTTCTGCTGCTGCGTTGCAGCGATGGAAATATTAAATTGCAGAAATTCTGTCCCATATGCATTGTGTGCAATTTTCTTCAAATGCTTGAAATGCGGATGACCACGTAGAAAAATCTCGCTTTAGGTCGCTGATAATTCGCCATGGGTGAAATAAAACCAGCATCGAAGCACAATACAATTCATATGAATCTGGGTCGGTGCGTCGAGGGAAATACTGTCCAATGAAATCTGGAGATGAGTTGTGTCCGACTGATCGAACAACACGGTGTGTTATCTGACTTCTCGGATGTTCTGAACGATAATAAGATCGAATATTGCGAGGTCGTCCATGGCCACTCCATTCGAAATCTTCGACCTGGTTTTTAGGTTCGTACGTATCCACCAAGAAGTTGAATACATTATAGTCATCTAGCTCATCGCCTCGCAATTGGTAGTCCACAACTTGTGACTTTGGTGCAATTGTCCCAGCTGATGTTGGTTTGAAGATAACTGTTTCATTACAATGATCTCCGTCAACTGGGCTCTCACTACCAATGACATGGATAGCGATCGAAGTGCCACTACGAAGATGTATTATCAAATGCAATCTCTATATAATGGAATTAAACTCACTGTTGTCCACCACGCAACTGAGAATCTTCTTTTAACAGATGTGCAACGAAAGATGCCCAATGAATCGATATTGGATTATGTGATCGATAAACATCACCCCAACCCTTATGGTACAGCACCACCATAGGGCCTGCCAACTCCTGTTCCCGATTGACGGTGTTCAATGCCCGAAAGATAAGTAGTCGCTGACGTTCTTGTAATGCATCCACGAAGCGCTGATCACGAAAATGATATGCAAGCCGATCGGCCAATAATGCGGTAAGATTGTAATTGCTGGACTGATTTTTTGTCGCATAATTTGTTGCGTAAAAAGATAAGTTCAGCGTATCACGACCATTTAACAGCAAACTAATATCATTGTTTGCCATTAGAGTCTCCGAGACAGCCGGCATAGATGCATTCATGTATGGATTTGACCTTTTTGGATGCCACTCGCCGGAAGCCGTTACAATACTTTCAGCTGCCAACGGCCAAGGTGCACGTCTTTTACATCTGATGACACCCTTCTTGACATGGAGACATGTCGCCGGAGAACAGGTATGGATTTGCTTTGTCCGATTGACGTTAAATGCAAGTTTGCGTGCCTCTTCCATATAATTTTCTCCACTTGGATCTGGTTGTCTCGAATATCCCACCTCTGGATTTGACGGAATAGCTTGCACTTGTTGAACAGACTCCAAGCCTTCTATGTATGCACGAGCAACGCCGTCACCAAATTTCTGAACACGACGACGAAATTCTTCTCCTTCTAGCAATGCATGCATCACTTCGGTAGATGGTGCACCTGCTAACCATAACAATGCATGAAGATGCAAAGTTCCACATCCTTGACTTTCGACAACACCAAAATAACCTTTTAACTTCCCGAATATACCACGTGTTGACACAATTCGCCCTCCATGAGCAACGCGGATTCCCAGCAAGATGGTGAAGACCAAATCAATGATGAAATGAAAGTATTTTGCTGCCGCATATGGATCTCTTGTGATATTGAACGCTCGCTTCTCCTTTCCAGGACCCAATGTCTTGCAGAAATCATTCATGTTTATCTCTTCTCCACAAAAGATCTGCGCGATAGGACTATAAAGGTCATCGGGATTGATTGTAATCCATAAGCTTGGTGCGTTTATAAGAATCGTCATTCCCCAAATCTGACTGCGAAGCTTGTTTCGTGAAGCATTTGATCCGTCGACTCGTGTTGCTGATGCATACACATGTTTCCGCAAGATTTGTACCGCAGGATCGGATACAGAAACATGACGCGCTTCTTCATCTGCAGCATGTTTCAATCGGTCCAGAGTAATGGAAGATAGCACTTCTGCATCCCGTTCAAAGTCTCGACGACGCATCTCGACTCGTGCTGATATCAGAGCCTCTCACTTTTGACGTATGCTGAAGGCATGATAAAGGAACAATCCGTGATGGCAGAACCATCCATCGTAGTAATCAAGACACCATTTCAGATGTTGTCGAAGGGATATGTTTCGTCGGCGTGGTCTTTCGATTCCGCCAACACCATAAGGAAACAGCGTCGGGTAGGTTTTCTCCCACAAATTATTGTCACCGTCCATACTCGGAAACTCATTCATAGGTCTGTTTTCATGACGGACTGCGTAGCCTCCCTCTTGTCCCTCACTCCACAAATTTGCCAATCCCCACTGGATCATTTGCGAAGATGACATGTTTGTCAAATTCACATCGTGAGAACCGAGAAATCTGAGCGGTACGACATCTTCACTAACATTAGCATTCGCCTACAAATACATATACCCTCTACTCACCAGGATCACACTCGTCCATATTAATTGGTGTTTCTTCATCGACTGCACCAGCACTCTCGCGTTCTATCATATCCATGTCTGTCTCTTGACGAACCACTGCTAAAATCTCATTGGGTACATCATCTTCGGGTAGCTTGCTGAGCATCTCCATATCGATTTCCATATCACCATAGTACTTGCGATTATGCTCCTTCAACCAGTTTAATGCACGTGCCACATGAAACCGACGGACTCGAAAGGTGGATCACAGCCAGTTTTTCGGTAACTGTCCCAGTCCCACGTATGTCACCGATATGACATCTGCCAGTATATGCATCGATCAAGGGAGGATATCTCCATGAAGCATGTCAACGATTTGCTCCGTATTAAGTTCGTAAGTTGTCACATTGCCCTTCATCCCGGATTGCAATTTTTCCGGATTGAAGCCACCTTTTCGATCTTTTGGATACAGCTTGAAGACGCAAGCACGGACATAATTTCGCGCAATCAGGTATTGCTCCGGAATAGTCAACGTCTGCAATGCAAATGGGATATCGCCAATCCAGAGATCATTAGCAAGAGAGAATGATGGGGGACGATTATCTTCATCATCTTCATACAACTCCCCCAAACACTCTCGACAAACATTAACCTTCAACACGTTCTCCCTCTGTGTACAACCTTCCGGGAGAAGCAATAGTCCATCGACCAAATCCCGATTTGCCGGACCGTCCATAGGAACCAGCCGTTGTCTGTTTGGTAATGCAGATACTGATATCAACTCGAAACCGACGGCAACCACCATAAGCCGCCGAGCACAAACACCACACACTCGATGTTCAAGAGCGCTATTTGACGTCGCCTGTCGAAAACAAAACAAAATTTCCTTCAACTCGTCCTTGGTAGGAATCTTCATAAACTCGTCCAATGAATCATCTTCCGTACGCACTTCACCACTGTTGTTATCCTCTAATCGTACCCTCTTTGACCGACATCATTCCAATGCCGCTTGATGCTCCTCTTCCACTCGCTTTCGCTTCTGCATAACCGCCGCATTGATTCGAGATGCAGTTTCCGAGCCCAGATTTTCAACCGCCGCTACTAATCGCGATTTTCTTCGTTTCTCCGCAGATGGAATGTAAGCTTCGAGTCCAATGGCTTCCAGAATCTCGTTCATAGTGAGTTCTTCCATAACGAAGCTAAGTATGATAGTGAGAGATTGACTACAACCACCACAGCCTATGACTAATACCCCATACTATGTAATTGCTCCATATGACGATGTTCCCCTATCCTATCTCTTGAACGAAACTGCCATCATGACTGCTCCCTCTATACAGACCGTACACACATCTACCGTTGACCAGCTCCTCCAACAGCAGGAGAGCTCACTTGCAAAATCTCCTTTTTATCTCGGCAATCCTACTCTTTCGAACCATGTCGACTGGTTCTGCAAGGATCCTTCTAACGATCAACTTATAGTCAAACAGCGAACTCCCGATGATCCTCCCCAATTAGCCGATCTTACATGCATAGGAGAGATTGGCTCCGACCACTACTATATGTTTCCAGGAGGATATAACACTGCGAACGACAAACTCCCCCAGGGTAACACAGAGTTCGAGAGAGTACGCGGCTACTTTCGTCTTCACCCTCCCAGGAAAAAGATAGTACGCGATCTCTGGAAACCCATGCTTGATGGCCTGAAGAAGCTTCAATCCACGGTACCCAATGCACGAGGACCAATCAGATATTCCATCGTTGAAGAAGGTGTGATGTTGAAAATTCGGCATGATTGGTTCGAAGTATGACAATTTCTTCTCGCATTTTTGTACCATCCTCGCTTACACAGTTTCAGTATGTTGTGCAATCTGACGAGGAACAATCGGACAACAACGACAGTCTCTCGCCTTCAGACAAGGTCTCTGAATGCTCCTCCACTACTCACCTCACTGCCGATGAAACAGACAGTGAATCTCGAAAGAGTGTGACAGGTATGTAACCCTATCTTTCAATCACTACCTCATGCTCAAATCCCTCCAGAATTGGACACAGAATTCGGTATGCAAACCTGGAATATGTGTTCTCGATCCGAATGGGCCACTGAACAACTCCAACGCGTACGCAGCGAAGGTCGAATGCGCGGCGTACCACTTCCTGCATTTGACCTTCGTACTGCTCGTCCCATACATCCTAACGACTGTGAAATGTCTTTAAAAGGAGCCCTTGTCAAGATGACGATCAACATCACACGCCAACACACTTGGATGAATGGTCGTGTTGCCGACTCCTTTTTCGCAGACGTAGCTCAGATAACCATACTACTCCCACCCGGTTACGAAGACAAGATAACTTCCTCCGCCAAACAGCGCGGTATGAATCTTCCCGACGACGTATTAGCCATGAAGAAGACCAAAGCTTAATTCCTTTTCGTTTCGTCGCCACTGACGATGTATTGTATTTGTTCCATACGCTGTAAAGTACCATAAAAACTCCCAAAAAAAGAAGGAAAATAAATTAAAGGCAAACTTCGGTTTGTCGCTTATATTATAGGTTGATACACCTAAGTCTTTTCCATCTCATTATCGCGAGGTAAGTGCGTGCTGGTATGCACGCGCTTTTCGAGTTATATTTAGTGTCTAGAAGTTCTTCCGACTGTGTAACCTGGTGAGCAACGTTTGACTCGGGTTACATTGCTCGACAACTCTTTGCCGACATGTATTTTTGTTATAACTTGTGTATCAATTTCTATTCTATGTAATCTTCTTTATAGACCTCTACTACCTTTACTTTGATTACAAATTGGTTTAAACATCACTAGTCCTGTGAAACTTACACAATGCTTGCTACCCCGATGTAACTGGTGTAACCTTACATAAAAATTTCCCGCTTTTGCTGATGCAATGAGCAATGGGTCACGGCCTTCGCCGCCAGCGACTTGCACGGAGGGGCGGGTATTCCTTGCATAGGTCTTCTGTCGGGATCCACGCAAGCGCAACACCGCAGAACTTAGCCGCTGTATAGAACGTTGACGAACAGCCTTGGGCACAATGCGCCGCGCCTGAGCTCAATCCTCATGGGTGGGTTTTTGCTTCTAACATCTTCATAATGTGCTCAGACCTCCAGCAAACTGCTTGAGTTCGACCCCTGGGCATGAGTCACCGTGAGAGAACACAAGATACATGCAGATCCAAGGAGCCCCGAGCCATGCCAGCATCAGAAGCAGACACTACATCACAGCCAAGCAACGTGAGAAACAAGATACGACAGGAGGCCAGCCCACGAGCACTCAGAGCCTTGCATGAGCGGAGCCACCATGCGAGAGACAGGGTGAGATGAGTTTGATGGCGGTGTCGCTTGAACGAGAAAAACCTTTGTAGGTTGAAAATTGGAACGCAAACCCTGATGGTACGTAAAAGTTAGAACGTACAGCACGAACCGGCAACAACGGCGAGAACTAATGTTGAAGGGGAAAGAGGTGCACCGGGCAACGGCAAGAGATGTTGTGGATTTGCAGCTGTACAGTTGCCGGAAGTAGCCGAGAGTTCAATGCAAGCTGAGGCAGAAAGAACCAGAAAACTTTGGAGCATTGTATAGTAATCGCAAGGAAGTCCGAAAGCAAATGTAACGAGAGTGCGAGTCCCTTAGAAGGTGCTAAAATCTGGCACTTCGATCGGAATGTGTGACATTATTTGTTATGTTGTAACATGATCATAATCTTCTTGTACTTCGACTACAATCTAGTTACAATGGATAAAATTCTTGGGTCACTCAAAATAGATAAAATCTGGCGGCGCTTTTTGTGACGGTTCGTCCGTCGGTAATCGATGCACACTGGAATCAACTCAGCACTGCCACGTCACAAATATGCATGTCTTTTAATCCTCATGTTGTACTCTCAATTGATGTGTTTGTTGCGAACGAATCTCAGTCATCTTCGCGTGCTATCTCCGTGTTCGCTAGATGTGATTCCTGGATAACTACTTCCAGTGCCACGACTAATTCACTGAGGGCAGCACTCACCGGATATATATGATCTCGCGAAGCTCCACACCTTGAGTGTATTTGTTGACTAAATCAGGTTCGACGGATTCCGTCCTACGATTCCAGTACGGTTCCGTCCTATACGCCTAGATTCCGATCGATTCGATCGTCAAGTCACAGTGACTGCCAGGTCAGCAAGTTCACGCTGTTCAAAGCAGTGCGGTCAGCTTGCGACATCATGAGTCCTGAGGCCTGAGGGGTCGCACTCTGACTTGTCATCACGTAGATTACCGTCGACTGTCTCATATCATCGTGATTCGGATGCTCGAGCTCGCTCAGGTATCGTGGGCGCATTGCGACGCCTGGAACAAGATCCTTCAGACCGCTTCATAGGTAAGTTATGCTGGCACTTCGTTGTTGCAGACCAAAACCCGATACTCTCCAGGCCATATAGGGCGCCAGCCACTCCTCGACATCGTATTTGACGAATACCCAAATTCTGGACCCTTTCCCACCGTTCCAGCTTTCCACGACTATTTTTCCAATCTGCCCTTTGAATTCAACGCTTCCATGCCGCACCCTTTCCGCTCGAAGCTCATCGACGATGTACCTATTGTATTCACGCATTCGGATCTCCATCCGAGCAACGTCATCGTATCGGCAGAGGGCGACGGAGCTCCTCGAGTCGTCGCCATCATCGACTGGCACCAGTCTGGCTGGTATCCAAGCTACTGGGAATACTGCAAAGCTCGATTAACTGCGGAAGTCGGCAGCGAATGGGAGACAGGATATTTGTGGCGGATTCTGCAGCCAACAGAGCAATGGGAAGACTGGAACTATTTTTGCCTCAAGCTTGGTGTATGAACTTCCCTTCGAATACAAATCATACATATCTCGTACAGTGCGCACCAACAGCACCTGAGTCATAACTACCCATCCGCGTCCCGCCATTCCTCGATATTCTGCAGATTCTCCCACTTGCTCCTATCGACCCTCGGGTCAAATGCTATCCTTGCGCTCGAGTGACCTGCCGTCGCCAGAAACCTAAGTTCCACATACCGCAATCTCGGGCATCGCTCACGAAGAATGGGCGAGACTGCACCAATCATCGACTTCAGCAGCTCTTGCCGCCTGGGGCCACAGCCTGCGATGGCACCAGAGGAATAGTCTTCGGTGGGGATGCTGAGATACTCCATGTTTGGCGAAAGCGGAAGCGCTCTCAACGCAGACAACGCACTCTGCGAATCCAGGACCGAACATCAATGATCGCCAAGCAAGTTAACAGAAGAGCTCACCAGCAAGTCGTCGTGACCCCGACCGGGGATGCCGTCTAGCTTTAACGCCCGCAAGTTGGGCAAGTTGCACAGTTGCTCAAGCAACTGCTTCGTGTAGCCCACAACGTGGATCTCCAAGGATACGACTTGCCGGAAGACCTCCCGCAGTTCTCCGAACCTCGCAAGCGCTTCGCTCTCCTCTAACACAATCATGTCTCGCCAGTCCCTGATGACGAGGTGACGCAACGCCGGCTGGTCCTCCGCGAATAACTTCGCGCCGCTCCACGAGCCGCGGAAGAACTTTAAAGAGGGCAAGGTGCACGCGAAGGGAGGCAACGGCAGTAATAGCAAGCCAGCGTATACGTTAATGAGAGAAAGCCGGGTGAGGGAGGAACAATGAGATGCGAGGAAGGGCCGCCAGTCGCATCGAGAACAGAATGGCTCAAAGATGATCTCTAAGGAGCGGAGAACAAGAAAACTTTGCGCCGCACTAAGGCGTTCGAGGATGATCGCTTCGAATAGGTAGTTATGAATCTGATAAGTCGCGAAGTCGGTATGCTCCATGTGCGGTAATGGAAGATATGTAGTCACTAGAGAGCTGCAAGAGTCGACGGTCACCGAAAGGTGGCGTACAGGAATCGGCGCGACAACGATCTTTCCACCACGGACAGAGCTGTCCAAACTCTGCTCTGCTTCCCAGAGGGAACAGGCATTGAAGTGGATCGACAGCCATACAGGGAGCCCCGGTTGTGAAAGAGCGCGTAAGTGGGAAGGCCTGAGTGCGATGCGTGCCAGCTCGACATGCTGAAGCTTGGGAAGACTTGGCAAGAGACTACTAAAGAAAGCACCGAGAATGAGCTCTTCCTTCTCCGAGTCTTGACAGTCATCGTGGAGAAAGAGTGGTCGCAGATAGCGCGGGACGACGTGACACGTCTTTACACCTCGGGCTATTCTCTCCTGGTTCACAAAGGCCAATCTCTCCATAGTCCTTGCGTGGCTGTCCGGATCGAGTGCCCGAGTTCGTCTCTCAGAGCCATTCCAGGAAACACATGTTGCAGGGAACACAAATGAAGCAAAGAGAAAGGGCTGAACTAACTGACGGAATGCCTGGCAGGTCAAAGTTAGGTTCTGCCACGTCGTCATTAAATTTGGCTTGTTCTCGAGAGCGTCTCCTTGCAACGCAGAAAATATCGCCGACCAGACTTCTGGAGGGAATAGAGTACACGCGCGTCTTGAAGGGGGTGAATCAGATGGGCGGTCATCATATACCGGAGGGGACACATTGACACGTTCAGTCAGAGCTTGTGTTGAAACAACCACCTTGGATGGTTCAGCAATGCACTGGCGATCATCAGGATCACCTGTGGACTTGAGACGGAAGCTTCTTGGCCTATGAGAGATATACGACCCCACCTTCTTGCTACAAGATTAATGTATTCAAAAAGACAATTTCAAACTAAGATATCAACGCTGACGTACCTATGGCACGCCACGAATCGTACGAACCTTGAGCAAGCCATCTTGAATGATCCGTGACTAGGATAAAAGATATCGTCAGACGGATGATAGTCACGATCAATCAAGTGGCAACTTACCACCTGAGCTCGACCTCTCGGCCTTCGAACGGAACATGCTGAATGGGTGCTTGCCTCTCGACCTTTGAAAAAATGACAGTGCGTTGGTGAGAGCGACTGCGGGAGCTGCCTACCTCGGAATGCCATGCCATGGCAGCAGGAAAAGCCTTCGACATCGGTATCTCACTCCATACCTTAAGTCCTCTTGAGAGGGATCGTAGGGGTTAATTGGTGAGAATCGAAGCTCGAGGAAATTATGGACGGCCTCCGCTGAACCAGTTCAAAACTGGGGATGTACATTATGGAAATGGTCGTGTGTAAAACCTTTACTTCGCGTCTACAGAAGCAAGCTCAGTCGCTTCTACAACTGAATGAACGGTTACACACGTGCTTTGGGGCCGATCCTACGGCGGATGGGCATGCCCCGCAAATTCCGAGATGCAGACTACCTAGCCACACAAAATCGTAAGATCAAGCACCAAAAGACAGCTGTATCCACTGAAGCGACATACCATCTACAGTCGGGAGTCCCGCGTCATCCAATGACATTTCCAGATCATCGTCGTTGGATTACTGAACGCCGTTCGGTAAAAGCTCGGTGTTTTTCCACTTCGTTATAGACATCGTCTGGATCAGCTGAAGGGTGTTATCACCGCCAGGAGCAAGTCAGCAGATTGCGGCGCGGTCAGCCGTGCAAGATTGACATACCCATAAGGCAGCGGACGACATCGCTGTGGGCCTCTCGCACTTGGTCAGAACCACCAACACACGTTGAGGATTCCCAGCAGCCATGTCATTTGCACCAAACAGAGGCCTAGGTGTCCCCATCGCAGAATTCAACGCCGCTCCAAAATCTCCGCGGGTAGTTGTAACTGGAGGATCAGGCAAACTTGGCCGCTCAACTGTCCTTGACTTGGTCGCTCATGGCTGGAATGTGGTGAATTTTGACAAGGCGGCACCGCCGAAGGATGGGCATCAAGAGGTGGTCTTCGTGCGCGTCGATCTGGAGGACATGGGGCAAGTAATGGAGAACTTGGTGGAGGTGGACTCGGTGCGTACGCATACTCAGCATGAGGAGCTCGAAGCTAGAACTCTCCAATGCGGTGTAGCGATACAGAGGTGTTGATGCCATCGTGCACCTAGCAGCTCTCCCGGCAGCGGGTTTAGAAGCCTCATCCCACCAATTCCGGCTAAATACCATGGCGTACGTGCCAAGTCGATAGTCCTCGATCTGCATCCTTCGTTCATCTGGAATTGCTATCTCAGGACATACAACATCCTTGAGGCCTCGCGGAAGCTTGGGATCAAGAATCTAGTGCTTGCGTCGTCTGAGACGCTCATCGGGCTGCCACTTGATCCCTGGCTTCCGGAATATATCCCGATGGACGAAAACTCCGAGCGGAGACCAGAAAGTGCATACTCCCTGAGTAAGCTCGTCGGAGAGGTGGGTGAATCGTCGAATCTTGACCCTTGAGCTATAACGGTGTGCGGTCTTCGTTCGTAGGTCATGGCAGACCAGTATTGTCGCTGGGATCCCACGACAAAAATCATCAGCCTCCGATTCTCGAACGTCCTTTTGCCCGAGGATTATGCCAGATTTGAATCCTGGCAGAACAACCCGAAGGTGAGGCGATGGAAGTGAGTCTATAACAGCTTTCGAAGACTTGTAAGGTGGCACACTGACCTTTCCTCCAGCTTGTGGGGATACATTGATGCTCGTGATGTGCGTACTTCGTCACCGCTCTTTCTGTTCACCGATTGATCAGTCTATGTTCCTAGGGCGCCCAAGGTATTCGCAAGTCGCTCGAGTACAAAACTACTGGACACCATCAGTACATCATTGCAAACAATGTCTGCACCACCTTTCCATTGGTTGTTTTCTACTGAGCTGAGCTAATGTACACAGAACACGGTCATGCGCGAGCCAAACAGCGAGCTCCTCGCAAAGGAATTCCCCGGTGTCCCTTACAAATCCACGCCAGGCCATAACGACACGTTGTTGAGCATCGAGAAGGCCAAGCGGGAGCTCGGATACGCACCCCAATTCGACTGGAAGCCGTGAAGACTGCAGTGGCGATAGCGGCGTTGTCCGGTCATCGTAACCTGTATCTCTGTAAACTTAGCAGGAATTTAGAGCATTTTCTTGGAGCGCACTGGATGATATGACGCGTGGAGCAGTTACGAGAGACAGCTGCAATTTTATAACGCCAATTCATGGAGCTTCTGTAAGGACGCTTTAGAAATTAGAGACCTTCAGTAGACAACCTACAATCCCTAACCACGCAATCGCACGTACATAGCCAGTGGCCCACTGGCTATGTACGGACTCGCCGAGAGCTTTCTGGAGAATTGTTAGCCTCTGATATTACTGTCGCAACACGATGGGGGATGAGAGACTGATCGCTTGCACAGACAGCAGCAAAATTCAGCAGAAAGAACGTGTGAATCCCTGAAGAAAATGAGGTGCATCATAGCGGAATCCAGTGTACGGGCGCTAATATTGTTATGAGGAAGCTTCCCGGCGCTTATAAGTACTACTGATCTACCTACCATAGCGAATTTTGGGACGAACGGTTTCTCTGTTCCCTAGTTTTTCAGGTATGACCTGCACCCTTACCTTTCCAGTCGTAATAGTAACGGCTCATATCCGATCTCTGATGAAAGAGATTTTTGGAATTTAAGCTGTCGGGTAGTATCGCTCCTCCCGTGAACTCGATTGCAAGGTATGTCGTATTCATACGGATTGACTGCATTATTTCTAAGTGCTTATGGCGTCCCGTACGCCGTGGTTTGCACCCTGTTGGCGCCGAGGCCAGCATTGTAGTTAAAAGGCAGTCGTGCTGCATGGCGGAACAAGCGGTACCAAGATAATAGTGCAATATGCGTAGGCAAGGCGGCGCGATCGCCCATTGAAAGTAATCCAAGCATATCTCGTGGTCCCTGTCCACCAAGTAAGTATCAGACTGCGGTGCATCAAGGTTCTGCGACATTTATTAATAACCCCGGTAGACAGTAGCTTGAACTGCGCTTCTTCCCTCTATCTTTCATACCGTCATGACTCGCGATGTCTACCTCATAAGCTACGACTCTCCTCTCTTCCCTGCACACTGGAGCCTCTGGGTTCCTCTCGCGACCGAACCGACCCTCGGTAAGCGAATCCATGTTGCGGGCGATGTTTTCACGGGCTTCGTCCATGAGTTTGCCCGGCAGTACAGTATAGCAAGCACTGCGCGCAAACATACTCTCGTGTTCCTCGCGCAAGTCCAGGATATACACGTCGGCGACGTAATCGACCGAGAGGGTTGCGATAACGAGCCTGTCGATGATATCGAGCGCGCGGCGCTGAGCGTGCCCGCTCCAGGAAAGAGCCTGAATGTGGCTGGTGCGGTATGTATTGCTTCTCGTGATTTGAAACCATGTGCTAAGGGCGATTTTCGTTCGTATATGAGTAGGAGCGGAGGAACAAAGTACACATCCTGAACTGCCAGACGTGGATGTTTCAATTCATCGAGGCCCTTATTGCTGCCGATATACTCCCAGAATCGGCACTGGAGGTGCCGAAGAAGGCACCGAGGAATTGACAACTCGTGTGATGTTGTGAAGTGTTCGTCGAATACGTTGTCACAGTTGTGTCTTTGGTACAGGTGATCAATCGCATTACAGGCAGTCGGTATGTAATTATGCACAAGTAGAACACAGGCTTTTCCTCAGGGACCGAAATGGCGGGACAGACCTAATTACTCATCCAGCCCGACTGGAACGTCTTCCTCCTGCAGATGAATGGAGGAGCAGCCAGACTTCTCATCTGCATCCTCCACCTCCACGTGGCCACCGGATTTCGTCCCGAGAAGCATGTCCTCCTCTTTCCACTTCAACTTGTTCCAGTCATCGTCCCTTGGCTTCGCCTCGTGCACATCTCGGGCAGACGGGGGGCCACCGCTCTCGTCGCTGCTGTTGGTGAATAAATATGGCATGATTGCTTTGTTCGAACTATGAGGAGCCCCGGGATGGTGCTGATTCTCGTGCAGTTTGAGAGCGCTTCCGGTGCAGTACCAGCTATCGCACAACGAGCAGAGATAGTACATCTCCCTATGGGCAGTCTGCTTATGGCACTGCAAGGGCCACTTGTGCTTGAATACCATCCCGCACTTCTAGCATGCGTGTTGGGTCCCGGGCTGCACCACACGCGAACACGGAAGACGGTGTCAGTGCCGTATGCATGGCGAACGGGAGCTCACTTTGGTGTTAGGCTGTGCCTTTGCGGAATCCAAGACGAACGCGAAGAGGCGAGAGGACGGAATAATGACAAGGGGTAGGACGAAGGAACATGACCGAAAGAAAGTGACAGTAGATGTTGAAGGGCGCACCATCCAATGGCCTTATAACTCAATAAAAGAGGTCACGCACACGCATGGCCAAAGACTCCATGATCATTCAATTGGCTCTTCAACGCTGCTCCTTTAGTTCGTCTATTCACCGGATCAACGGCCATGAATAGGCACTGCCACCAAGTTGTTTGTTATAGATTCAAATACGTTGTTCTTTGTGAGGTCTCACTTACCCATTCTGGTCTAATCGTGTCTCATCGTGTCGACACGTACATCTGTTAAGTAACTTAGCCAATGCTGATCCATAAATCCGGGGAGAGAAATAAGGATGGCGCTCGTCGAATGGTTTCACTTCGATTTCGCCTTTAGGAACGCCTGAAGGACCTGGGGGAAGAGAATAACGGAAGTCAGGGCACTGAAGTGACTCGGATGTAGATTGCCACTCACACTTACGTACGAAGGTGTCTCTGGTCTACTATAGGGTAATCTATCATTCTCACGTCTGGAAATACACTTGACTGCCCATGGATATTGGGGAACATCCGTACAATAATGTGGCGAACTGGAATCACCACGGGTACCCAGAGCTGGTATACCTGAGTTCGCTTGCCGGCTGGCAAAGGATCACTGCACGAAAACAAATGAACATCGCCCAGAATCGGCCAGTGTTGATTGAAAACAGTAGCGCATTGTCGCAGATGATAAGAGACGGTTCGGTCGACAAACAGTATCAACAGAGACAGACCATTGTCAGCTTAAAGGTGCCCAGAGAAATTTCTAAGAATTCCAGAATCCATTCCGCTATCATGATGGTGCACAGTGATTGACCAGTGCGAATGTATGGAGACAGACTAGCAGTCGAAGAATGGGCCAAATTTGAGACCGCAATAGTACTGACCCATATGTTGCGATCAGCTCAACCCCAGAAACATAGCTGGTCAGGACGAGCTAACTTGGCAATAAAGGTTTCACCACACATAGATTTAGCAGACCTCCGAGTCGAACGTCGAAACAGTCGAGTCAGAGAAGGCAGGCAAGACCTCAGGCTGCATTCAGGGCGGGCCGAGCTTCCCGGATAGGTGCTCAGAAGTTGGGTTTCGAATTACTCTGCCGGATCTTCAAGCTTCAAGTTGGAATATACTGCTTAAAGGCTTCTCAAAAAAGACGAGACAAAAGCGGAAGAAACACAAAATAATGATACAAACCGATATAGTGCCAGATGGTACAGAATGAAGGCCCAGACACATTCGGGGAGTGATACAGTGGACGAATCACTGAGACACTGGGCGGAAGCAGTGAGTACCAGAGACTAGAATGAATGGGGTGCTAGCTCGTGGATGAATGTGGTCAGGCAGGGGCAACGGAAGTCATTTGCCGCAATGACAAGTAAGGAGTTGCATGCGCTGTAAGCTCGCGAAGGAGAGCGAAGGATGGAAATGATGGAAAAGGGGAGAGAGCGCCAGAGTGATCGACTCAAAGCCTCCACACGTAGATGACAGCGAGTACGACCACGAGGATCACGACAGCGAGAACCGCGGGCGCAAGGATGCAGCGCTTCGCTCACTTGACCTCCGTCTGTCTCATCACTTGGATAAGCTCCTGCCTCTCCGCCTCCGTCTTCCAGCTCTCCCAGTGGTCAGGCACGCGGAGCCGGGAGTTCAGTCTGAGGCCTCCGGCAAGCCAGAAGATTCGGAAGACTGCAAGAAAGGAACAGAGTCAGCAAAGTGCTTTCACTAAATTACTCACAGACAACTCACCAAAACCGTACATGTCCTGCGCGAGCGCTCGCCCACGCGAGTGTACGCGGGTGGGTTCTCGGCAGATGCATATGGCGGCGGATCGTCATCGCAAGACCCGCAGTACATCGTCGTGCCGGCTATCGCGTGTGTCCGTTCTCGGTGAGGAATTAATGACGCCTTTGAAAGAAATCGTCAACAGAGTCTGTGCCCTCTTCTTCGCTGGCAGCCTGGTGCGAACCTCGTGGACCGGCGCTGGGAAGAGAGGGAAGCTTGGTACCGAAGGATATACGAGGCGCAGTCTCGGAGATGACTTGAGCTTCTACGTCTGTGGCTGGTGCTGCCCTCCTCCGGCAAGCGGAGACGTTGAGAATGCGGAGGACATTTAGGCGAATGCGAATGGAGACTGAGGTTTTTTGGCAGGGAGTTCACGTCGATACTAAGGAGCGGTAATTTACTGGGTCCATGGCGATAATCCTAGGTGATTATACAGTCTGTTGTCAGTGGAAAAATTCCGAAGGAAGCGCGAATTGCTCGTCAACGTTTCAACGAATATTGCTGGTGGAAATATTCGACTACGACCAAATAAACCAAAACGTGGTCTTACAACGACCATATTCGCATGATAAATGCGTCCACCTCGCCGCTTCGACTTGGACGCCAAGTATCCTGGAACTCAAGTAGAATGTATGTTTCTTGTCGGTGTCAGGAAGTGTATACGAACTCATCTGATGTGGCGGCGATATTTACCTAGCCCTTACGCAACCTGCCGCAAGTAGTTCGCGCTAGCATGGACAATCAGTGTAGGAATTTGTCTCTTTGTGGCACTAGACGAACATCCTGACTCACTCGGTGCTCGTTCCATCACTGGCCTCTGTCGGACGGCTCGAATTTCCGGCGGAGTTGCACGATCGTATCATCGATCACCTTTGGAACGACCGCAGCGCACTGCCACGTGTATGCGCACTGGCATACCGTGGATTTCTCCCAGCCACGCGACTCCACCTGTTCAACCATGTCTATCTCAGCGATAATTTGGGCATAAGCAGCCTTGTACACTTATGTGACAGCTCCCTTCCCTCTCTCGTCAGCGTGGCGCAGTACATTCGCAGCTTATCAGTACATTGTCTGTTCCGATTTAACCATGAATACCGATTACCTTCCACTCTGGCGAGGCGAGAGAACGTCGAATCTCTCTACGTCTCCGGTATGCAGGAAGAGAACGATGGGACAGGCACAGCTTCTTTGTCCATGCTGTTTCCTAAAGTGAAGTCTCTCGATGTCCAACTATGGAACACCCGGTTCGCCGAAGTTGTATCTTGCGCGTTCCCGAAGTTGTCCAGCATTTCACTCCAGGGGTCTTTATGGGGATGAGGAGAGAAATCTGAGCAGAATTTCTCATTTGTACTTGAAGAATCCCGACGCTATATCATAGATCCGTGTTGTTCAGAGGTAAGGACAGGAGACTCGCGTGATAACAGTGGCCCTTTCCTTGAACTTGTACGCTAATGACCGGAAGCACCTATCGTATTTTGTTGTGGACCTGTGTCTTTAGTTGGCACCACACGTTGACCACTGTACAACGGTGCTGACAGTGAGTTCTGCGACACAAACGTGAGGTTGCGACAATCTTTGCCAATGGTCAGAGCAAGAGAACTGGGAGTTTGGGACGGCGTGCCAAACCCTCTTGATCTCGGACGCTTGTAGACAAAAATAAGCAAAGGGGTGCTATAGCATACAACTGAGCAATTTTGTCAATTTTGTGAGACCACAGAAGGCCCGGGATTTGAGTATGTGTATCTCCCAGCCAAATTACCTAAAGATACTCATCTAGGTGAGTACGTAGCGGTTCTCGGGCGAAATCGGCGTGTCCCATGAAGAATAGAGATATATCGCGACTTAGCTTTCATGGGACACGCACTTTTTGGCTGACGGCCCATCGGGCTGCGTGTCCCAAGTCAATTTCGATTCCGAGGCTTCATGGGACACGCAGCCCGATATGGAAGGTCTCCGGGAACATATCACATCTATTCGCCTAGCGACACGAGGGAGTTCCGAATCGACGTGGGCGCGGCTCGCGCTGCCCGTCGGCTAGATGGCGCGCACGCTCCGGCCATCAATTCCGTCGCTCCGCCCCTGCCGCTCACCGCGGGGCGCGCTCTACGACCCAGGGTGCGCGCCAGTGCGTGTCCCGGGACACGCATTACGTAAGCGATAAGCCCCGATCGGGCTAGGCTTGCGTGTCCCATGGCTACAAAGCGCTCTGCTTATAGTCTCCCGAAGGCAGATGGTAGACACTCTGCTTCAACCTTCGTGCCTCAGGATATCCGTGTCTGAGCTCTGCTCTACTTTGCTCTGCACTCACTCTGTCTTGTCCTGAAATTTGCTTGAGTATCAACACACACGATAATATACATAGGTGTCTAAGTTCTCTAATCCGTCCGTAGCATATCTGAAAAAGCTTATAGTGCAACCGCAGTTTGTTTCTGGCTTATGCATCTTTGTCATCGACTTGCGAACTTAATTCAAGTAGTATGTCAGTCGCCTTGAGTCGCTGCTATTGCTCGAACGAGTTAAGTATCGAGATGTGTCTCTGTTAATTTCGTGCTGAAATCCTAAGCCACGAGTATTAGACTCCCTTCTGAAACACATCTACTATGCAGTGCGGCCTACGTAGGATGTGAGGACGACCTGCGAGGCTGATCTACCCACGCTAATGTTCCCAGTCGAGCATTGCAATATTCCAAAGTGCTTTGCCGATCGAGCCGCTCTGCAAGGTCAGGGACCACCGGGCGTGTGCAGGGTTCATGAGTCGTCGACGTTTTCCATGGTATTCAAGCACTAGTCAATACACTCAATCAGCTGGGATTCTTGCTCCTCTTGCTTGGCATGCGTTGCTGTACTAGTACGAGGATTGCACAGGCACATGCCTGCGCCTTGCAGGGGTATACAGATAGCTGTATACCCTTCTTACGTATGGCATATGGCACACAGCTATATCTACGCCCTATACCTGCCGTCATTCAATCGCTTCCGTTGCCGCATGTTCGTCCTCTCGTATGGGGCGGATGACACGCGTTGAAGTGCCTCCTACTTGCACTAGTCGCTCTCCCGCTCCCGCGTGGTGCGCAGGACTGTGTACGAAGAACACCTTCTGTCGGCTCCTGATCTCCGGACATTATTGGCTGGCTGGAGGAGGCCATGGTATTAATGACCGTGCGCGGGCTTCCATCCAATGCGACTCGCGAGGGTCGTGAAGGTCAATAATTGCCATTCTGACCACAAGATTACGTTTATACGCCTCCCCTCCGTAGCGTTGACAGACATATCTTACAGCGACTGGTCTCTGAGGTCATTATTCTGTCCGAAAGTTATTGGTCACTGTTGGATGTTGGATACTTTCTGTGATAGATATTTGTCATGCTGGCAAAAGGTGTTCAACGGCCTTACCGGCCTGCCCTACTCCGGTAGGAGAAAATTTTGAACTGCGTATTCACTGGTGCAATGTCCTTACTCCTCGATGATTGCTTCCACAGCTTTCGACTACTCTTCGTTCTCTGTCCGCTGGGCCAGCGCTGACGTCTCGGAGCTTCGTCCAGTCTCGTGCCTCTTCATGACTGTTGTATTGCCATGAAGGTTGTGTTCAAACCCTGTTTTCAGCGCTATAATGGTTGCGTGAGTCAGTCCTTTCCTGTGAATAGTGATCGCAATTCGCTCTGACGCAAATATGATGGCGGGCCGATGCACCACGGCGCTATGAGCATGACAACTGACTGCCTCAAGTGTTCGCGCCTTAGCTTGTGGCGAGCTTCCTGGTGCGTTTCGGTGACGAAAGGTGCGCAGCGAATCCGGCGAAGTATAAAGGTACTCCGTTCGGTTACCTCAGACAACACATATCTTTTTCGTCACTCGTACACCTTGTTTCGTTCCATCCCATTGCATCATCATGGATCCAGAGTCCACTGAATCCTCGCTCGACCCGATCTCTGATAGTATGCGCACTTTGATCCCATTGTTCGAACGTCTTCCTCGTACGATGTGGCGCATAGAACAAGGACGGTTTGTGAGTAGCCACAGTTCAGTCATGCTCCTTACTCCTCATAAATCTATTCTTTTACAGATGCTGTTAGATTCTCCCGACCTCACATTTAGTGCTACTTTCATCTCTTCCGCCAAGCAGATCAAGGTTCTGAAATGGTGTTTTAATGGAGACATCACAGCCGCTGCGCTGTGGTATATCCTGCAGAGGTGGCCCCCGCAGAATGGCCCCTTGCTTCCGGAGTTGCGCGAGTTGGAGTGGGTAGACGAAAGAGCGGAAACAATTCCTTTAATCTCCAAGTTGCCTGGTTCCCGTCTGCAACGGTTCAGCTTGGCCACATCGCATATCGAGCAAGCAGAAGGTGTGCTTCGCAAGGTGTTGCCGATGTGTCCACAGCTCGAGTTCCTCTCCGTTTGGGCTCACAGCTCGAGAATCATTCCGGGGAAGAGGAAGGATTTTCTGGGGTCCATTTTCCCTGTGGGGAAAAGGACCGACTTGTCTTCAATTCTTCGGGCGACTATGTCGCTTCGTGTACTGTCACTCATGCCGGGAATTTTGCTCTCCCCAGAAGAAGTCCTTGCGCTTGCAGTCTTGCCGCATCTGACTGAGGCAAGCTTCTTCGTGGGCTCCGACGGTTCCAGCATCCCACGAGATCCGGTGGCGCCAGGTGGTTTTCCCGCATTGAAGAAGCTTGCCTTGTACTCGGATACGCTCACCGAGCACATACCGATTTTCCTCGACCAGGCAGGTGTAATCCATCTCAGCGAGATCATTTTGGGTGTCTGTAACTGCCCTTCTCCCGACTCACTTCATAAGTTTTTCGACTTCCTCGCACATTCCCCATTCAATCACGCCCTGATCAAGTTGAAAGTGGACGTTCTCGGTAATGAGCAAACGGATCCCGCCCATGCAAGTGAACCTGTTGGCGAATTCACCATTACGCCGCGTCAGCTGGAGCCTCTCCTGAGAATGGGGTCGCTCAGCTGTTTGGAGATAGGCGTCAATCACCTTCAGCTGGACGCATCCTTTCTGAAGTGTCTCGCCCTGTCCCTCTCCCACATTCAACGGCTCGTCATCATGCACCACAGAAACCATGTTGATTGCAAGTTCGTCCCGCTCACCGATCTGGTCCCCTTCACAGAACATTGCCCTGACCTCCGTTACATTGGCTTTGACGTTGACAAAGAGACGGAGAACGAGCTGGGCGAGACCTGGAAGTCCAATTCGCGGGTGGAGTGTATCGATTGTGGCATTCACAATACGCAGATGTCAGAGTTCATGCTGCCGAATCTGTCCCGATTGTTCCCCATGGTGAAGAAAGTTGATTGGGTCGTATGGAAGCCTGAGTCCTGCGCCTCACGTCCTGGAATCTGTCATCTTTAGGAAGGTACCGGAGTCGCGGTGCTGCGCAATGATTTGTGCAGATCCAAGTTTTCTATTGATCCATGACATTTATGCTTCTTGGCACGATGTTCTATGACCGTCCTTCACAGTACTGTATACTCGCCTGTATTATTCCCGCGTACTGATTCCGAGGTAGTCACAATATTTACAGCCTCCTATATACTCCTGATTTACTCCCGATTTATAAGGAACTTATCTTGAAATACTGTCCTCGAGCTTACACGTTGAGAGATGCAGAGCGAAATGCCCGCATATGCAAGGACGATGAACTTATCCATGCAGATAAGCTGGACTCCGTCTGGCCATTCGGCTGTAGTTGCTGCCGTTCCCCAAAGGGGGGGACGTACAAATTCATACAAATATGGACCCACAAACTACGCCGGTGAGGGCTTTGGCCGCAACCACCGGCGAGTCTGTCCCCGCAATACGAATTCACCAATTGCTGCTCCACGTACATCTGTCTGAGTGGCTTTTAGCTTTCAAGTTATCACTGCGGTAACCCAGTTCAGGTACCCCATAGAGCCAACGAGGATGGAAGAACAGTGTACGACGGTCTAGTTTCCTTGTTACGTGCCAATCGCTCGAAATCGCTTATCTGATTTCTACGAAGTTACGGCAGGGACATCAATATTTCTTGACCTTCCAGCAGAGTTGATCCATTATATACTCGATTACCTCTGGGACGACCGTTGCACGCTGAGGGCATCCGCTCTGGTGCATCACAGTTTTCCAGCCTCGCGATTCCATCTCTTTCGTAACATCACCCTATCGAGTCGTTCGCGCATGCTCATGCTTGAAGACATGGTACATCTCTGCTGTCCCTGGTTGGCATCGCACCATTTGTCCTTGGAATATCCATACAATTTTCTATGTTCTGGAAGACCTTTCGATTACCCTCAATCCTAGCGAAGTTGAGGAATGTTGAATCCCTCATCGTGGATGATACGTATCAGGTGATCGTACCAGAATACTCTGAGGATTCGGACTCAAGGGACACGTGCACTCTGCCCACCTTGTTCCCGAAAGTGAAATCTATTCGTCTCGTGCCACTCGCGACAACTTCACAACAAATGAAACACGTCCTATCCTTCCTCGGCTCGTTTCGATCATTGTCTAGCATTGTAGTGGAATGCGGCATCGACCTTTGGTACCAAATTAAGGACTCTCCGTCGCTGCCTCTCTCGGAAGACGAAAGAGAGCCTATCACAATTACTTCATCACATCTCAGGACGTCAATTCACTCTGGTATTATAGTCTCTCTATTGCTGAGCAAGCTGTTCGTACCCCGACTTCGAATGCTTCGACTGGAGGGGATTCACCCGCAGCACATGGCTATAGTCAGTGCTGCCTCGCGATATCTTTAACCTGACAGTTGCGCAGAGCCGCAGAGGATGCCTCAGAAGCACCTCCTGCCCATCACTGGGCGCGACGCCCTGCTTGGGACAGTTCCACCAGAAAGTCAGAACGTCCATCAGATTGTTCCAGGGGGTAAGCGTCCATTCTTTTGCGCTCTCCCGTGCTGTTTGACCCTGTGTTATCTTCGCAGAGCTGTACTCTGATATCCTCGCAGCGCGCCATGCGCGTGGTCTGGGTGAGCCCACCCTACCGGCACACTTCCCGCAGGAGCCGCTCCAGGTTCAAACACGGTGATTGACTGCTCCCCGTTCGCGACGCCCACCGCCGTCTGCGACACGCTCACCGGTGCGATGTCCAAGGACGTGCATACCGGACTGGGCCACCCTGGTTCGGGCATGTCCAGTGCGGAGATGCACCACAATGGAAAGCCGCATCGCAAGAGGGACAGGACGGGGACTGGACAGTATGGTGGGGCGGATGATAACCGGGATGTAGACTTGAATTTGTAGGGCGGTGCCCCAGGGTGCAAGCGCATAGTGCGCTGCGGTCGTCCCACAGGTAATCAACGATGTAATCGCAGCTCTGCTGGAATTTTGAGCGGTCAGACGGAGGCTGGGACGACAATGCATGTCGTGCGGGTCAGGATCTTCGTCTGCGTGGCACAAGAAGACGATACTGTACCTCACACTCACCGTCCATTCTACTGCGAACTACTTGCTCTAATGAGCGCAAGACGCAAATAATTTATTGGGCACCATGATTTCAATACACTTGATAATGCGGCGAGAAACATAATATTCTCGAATCTACTTGAATTCGAGCATACTTGTTGCCACAATGCTACTTGCTCAACTTGGCGCGATGATCCCAATATGGTTGTAGGGCCATATTTTGGTTTGTTTGGTCCCGTAGGCGAATATTTCCACCAGCAATATTTCGTTGGCAAGCAACGCACTTCCGGAAGTTTTCCACCCGCAACAGACCGTGTATAAATCACCTCGGATTATCGCCATGGACCTAGCAATTTATCGCCTCAGTCTCGACGTGTTTTCTCGGTCAGAATATCTCCGTCTTCATTCGCACTCGCCGAAATGTCATCGTTGTTGTCGTCGTTTTCCCATGTCTTCACTGGCTGGAGGAGGGCAGCACCAGCCACAGACATAGAGGCTCAAGTCATCTCTGAGACTTCGCCTCGCACATCCGTCGACAACCAGCTTCCCTCTCCTCCCTGTGCCATGGTCCACGAGGCTCGCGCACAAGCTGCCAGCGAAGAAGAGGGCACAGACCCTCTCGACGACTTCTTCGGCGTGGATCACTCCTCGTCGCGAAGGGGTACACACGATAGCCAGCATGACGATGTCACATACTCGGGTTCTTATACCGACTTACCGCCGCCGTATGCATCTGCCGAGAATCCACCTGTGTACACTCGCGTGGATGAGCAGCCTACGCTCGCGCAGTATCTGTTCGTGTACGGCTTTCGTGAGTTGTCTCCGATAAATGTATTGGAAGCATTCAGCTGACTTTGTTTCTTGCAGTCTTCCCAGTCTTTTGGTTTGCAGGAGCCCTTATCCTGATCTCCCCGCTCCGGGCACCTGACGACTGGGAGAGCTGGAAGACAGAGGCGGAGAGGCGGGAGATTATCCAAGTGATGAGACAGACGGAGGTCAAATGGGCGAAGCGCTGCCTCCTTGCACTCGCGGTGCTTGCTGTCATGATCCTTGTGATTGTACTCGCCGTCGTCTATGCGTGGAGACTATGAGTCGACGTTGTGGACCTTCTTTCCCTTCCTTTTCGCCCATCGCTTTCCTTGGCAAGAAGACCATAGTCATCACTCCCTGACTACATTCACCCACCAGCTTGTACCACGTTCATTCCTGTCCCCAGAGCACCACGCGTACGCCTGGCTTCCGCCCAGCATCCGAGCGATCGACCATTCATTGTATCACCACCTGACCGCGTCCGGGCTTTATTTGTTCTGTATCAATTGGCACTGTATCGGATTGTATCATTATCTTTTGACTGTTTATCATTTCCTTCTTACGTGGTCTGAAGCGTGACACCTCGGGAACACGGCACAAAATCTCCAATAACTTATCGAACAAAAATGGGCGAAGACGCGCGCCGCGCAGTGGCAGCACAAGCTGTACGGTTACTGCGACATCGTCGAGGGCGACTTCGCCGCCTAACGTGACCCGGAGGACGCATTCGTACAGCATACAATGTACCCGTTGGTCTCTGACGGCACGCGCGACGACGGACGGACGGGCCCTGCGAAGCTCATCATCGCACTGAGGGGTCATCAATTGTTCAACCCACCGTCAAGCACTAGCGCGCTTGCCTGATATCGGAAGCTGAAGGAGATCTCGCAGACGGAGGTGGAGCCAGTGCGACTGGCACTGAATGTTGGCAATACTTCACCACATACTTTTGTGGAATTTCTCCGGGAACCGCGACAGTTCAAAGCTTTATGTGGTCTTGTAAAAATACATCAGCACATCTCCCAATCGACAAATTGTGTTACAATAATAATCCACCACATGAGTGCTGACTAGATTCCCCCGGAAGAATTTGAGTACTCGAACGACAAGTCGGACACTGTGAGCATAAATTCACCAGTGCTAAGCTTTACTTTCCGCATGATATCGTTTCATCGGTTGAACGTCACATTAATACCTGTTTGTAACCCAACAGCAGGTAGAAGCACGCCAGCGGAAACAGAGACATACCAGGTTACCGACCTCCCTACGGCAAGTCGCAGCCAGAGCATCGTGTGTTCGCGAAGAACAAAATGAACCAAAAATTCGTCGACCAACACAGCACGAGAGTAGTCTGAATCGAGTTTCACAGAGGCTCGAAAGCCCCGAAAACGTGAGCCGCGAAGTGCGCTGAAGGACGGACGCGTCGGCGGCCATCGCATGCTCCTCACTCGCCTCGGAAACTGGGCGCAAGGAGCGTGTCACGCATCCCTCGCCGCTGCTGCGTTTCGCACGCCCCAGCGCGGGGCACCAAGAGGTGAGGAAAGAGAGGACGACCACGACCGCTTGCCCGCCCGATCTCCGTGACATGTCCCAAAGCTGCGACAGCGACGTAAAGGCTCTCCCTCCTTCGCAGGGTTCGTCCACTGCAAATTCGTTGGGACCATCCCGAGATGGCGCCGATGAGGAATTAGCGTACATCTCGAATCGGCGGAGGGCGCAGCTGCATTGCTGGTGCGTCACGCAGCTCTTTAGAACTGGACCCAGCTAGAGTCGATCGGGGAGACAAGAAAGTATGCTCAGACCTTAGCCCGCTCACGAATGTGGACGCTCGAAGAGTCATCCTGTACGGTGAGAGCCTCGCGGCTTTCGTGCTGTAACGGTTGATCAAAAGGAAGACGGGAGCAGAAAAATATTTCCTGCTTCGCTGTGCGACGCATGTGATCGCGGGATGTACAATTTTATTAAAAGTTAATAAATTTTACATAAACAAACGTGTATTTTTCCTTCGCCTGGACAGAGTTCCGCTCTTGTCTATTCACCACCACTATCCTTCTTCAAATTCTATGGATGCATGGCTGTCAACAATCATGTAAACGAACCCGCTCGCTGGACTGACTGGCAGTAGGTTTCCCTTAACAGGCCCCCAGACACCCTTTCAGCACTCCAAGTCCGACCGGTCGCCGCGGCGTCCTCCACCGTTGCCCTCCTTATCGAAGGCGTTCATCTGCCCATCTTCCTCCGATATGTGAGTAAAGTATCCGCGTTATAAGCTTGGTCCTGTGCCAGAAATGCACGCAAGGTCTCTGCCGACGTGGCTTTGTTCTCAGTCCTGTCTCACTGACGTCCTCATGATGGCTGTCAGAACTCCCGTGCGAATGCAGCACTCTTTCAGTCCGACTTCACTCTATCCTGTGGGTTAAAGTGATATTTTACGAGGGCTGAGGCTACTTCCTGGACCATAAATTCGAGGCCTTTGTGGATAAACTCTATAAATTGTACTTTCTCCGTGTGGAACATTAGAACTTACGGCCGTGGGCGAACCTCCCAAGGGATCGCTGACCGTCTGACAATTATCGAGAGATAACGCACATGGACGAACCTCACGGCTACTATACGCATGCGTCTATCACCGTTCCGTGTCAATCGCGACTTTGTGTGATGGAGGACACATGGAAGTCCACATCAGACGTGCGGTATATTTGGTGTCTTCCAGGATGTGGACTTTGCGACGTCAACCTTCTGGCCAGGAGAACTGGTGAGGGAGAAGCCTTTATAGACACACCAGTCTATATAAAGGCTTCTCCCTTACCAGTTCTGCCTCGGTTGCTCCTTATCCACCGCCATGTCCCTTCCCAGTGTCCGCCGTGTTCTCCTAGCATTCACTTGTCTTCCCCTGGTGTTTGCTCGCTCTGTAAAAAGAGCAGACACAGGGAATGCGCGTGTTCTGATTCTTGGCGGTGGCGTCGCTGGTGTCATCGCGGCGCGCACGCTTCACAAGCAAGGCATCACGAACTTCACGATAGTCGAGGCGCGAGGTGAGTTCATCGCGTGCCTTGATATTAAGCCTATATCATGTTTCCAACCCGGGTAGGCGAATTGGGTGGTCGCTTGCAGACTGAAACGTTCGGCGCTCCTGGGAACGAGTGGAACATTGAGCGAGGTTCGTGACGCACGCATAAAAGTACGCGTAGAAATGCCGACTTATTGCGAGCAGGAGCAAACTGGGTGCAGGGTACGCAGACCGACGACGGCCCAGAGAATCCAATTTGGTACTTAGTGCAGAAGCACGGCCTGAAGACACAATACAATGACTGGTACGGAAGCGTGTGTGCGTGCCGCTTGCGTTCGCCGTCTCGTACGAAGACCTAAACGTTCTGCGCAGCGACATATGATGACACGGGACCTGTGGACTACCTTGACGTGTTCAACGACTCGTCCGACGAGTACACGACGCTCACCGTCGTCGCGGGTGCTCGCGTGCCCAAGAAACAGGTGGACTTGACCGCTCGTGCGGGGTACTGGCTAATCGACGCGAAGCCGAGGACGCCGGCAGAGATGGCATGCGAGTATTACCAGTTTGACTGGGAGTACGCGCAAACGCCGGAAGAATCCTCGTGGATCGCGAGCTCATGGGTGCGTCTCGAGCGCGTCGTGTACGCGCATCTTTCGTTGATTTCGGGTCCGGTCAGGGAAACAACTACACGTATGACACGGACGTGGGCGGATTCTCGGAGACGAACCAGATGTCGATCGACCAGCGTGGGTTCAAGTACTTCATCCAGGCGGAGGCTGCCGAGTTTCTGCTGCCAAGCCAGGTGATGTATGACGCGACAGTGCAGAATATCACCTACTCTTCGGACGGGGTCGAGGTTGCCCTGCTTGACGGGACAACGCTCAGCGCGGATTACGTGCTGTGCACGTTCAGTCTCGGGGTGCTGCAGAACGACGATGTCGTGTTTAACCCTCCGCTCCCCGATTGGAAACAGGAGGCGATCCAGAGTATGGTCATGGTAGGTTTCGGCTATTTCCGCGATGAGGACGGCCGTTCACTGTAGGTGTTGCAAGGCCACATATACGAAGATATTCCTGCAATTCCCGCAGAACTTCTGGTTCGACACTCAGGTGAGAACTCTCGGGAGACGCGCAGCAAGGTGCCGTTAACGACTGGAGGCCAGATGGCCATCTACGCCGACAGGACGCGTGGGGCGTATCCTGTATGGCAAAGCCTCGACATCACGGACTTTTTCCCCGGGTCCGGAATTGTCTTCGTGACCGTCACTGTACGCCCCTCTCCACACGCTGATGGGCGACATTAACACAGCTTACCCAGGGTGATTTCTCGGTGCACGTCGAGGCGCTCTCTGATGGTGAGGTGCAATCCGAGGTGCTGGGGGTGATGCGCGCGATGTTCCCGAACGTGACGGTCCCTGACCCGCTCGCGTTCTACTTCCCACGGTGGCACAGCGACCCGCTCTTCCGTGGGTCGTACTCGAACTGGCCCGCGTCCTTCTTCAGCGGGCACCACGAGAACCTGCGAGCGACGGTCGAGGAGCGCCTGTGGTTCGCGGGCGAGGCGACGAGCCAAAAGTATTTCGGTGAGTCGCTGTCCTTGCTCGCCGCGACGCATAGACACGCTGCCGGACAGGACGTGACCGGCAAGCCATTGTCATTGTCACCCACGACGATGGCAGTGGATTACCCGCATGTTCTTCTCCAGCGCTGCGGTGCACCACAACTCCCCCAGCGTCATGCTGATCTCCCCGTCTAGGTTTCTTGCATGGAGCGTATTTCGAAGGTTTGGACGTGGCCACCACCCTGGCTGAATGCATCAATGGCGGTGGTTGTGCGGGCCTGCGCCACGTCCCAGAGATCACCAACGCGTATCCGTATGTGGTCTAGGCTGGCGGATGGTGTTGCGTGGGTGCATCAGTCTGATTGGTGGCGCTGCACTGGCATACGGAGACGTCTCTGAATCCCACAGTTGTTCGGAAGCGGCTGGTCACGGGAAAATTCTTTCCATGTTCCATCTGCGCTCCCGATAGGGCGCGTTCTTTCCGTGGCAGGAGCGCGATCAAGTGATCGAGTAGCAGAATAATTTGACCAGATGTCCATAAAGTCTACATCTCGATATGGCGGCTTCGCCGCCGAGCATTACGAGCTACAAATTACACTAATCTACAGCAAACTGGCACAAAACAATACCTGCATTAGTCCCCAAACTTATGATATCATGGCACGGCAGCTCGACTTGCAGTCGTGCGCTGCTACACAACCTCGTCTGCATCTCTATTGCGCCGTCGTGGCTGCATGTCGTGCATTTCGACGATCTCCACTTCCCGGATCTCGTCGGGGTCTGCGTCGGGGTCGTCGTATGCGTTCCGGTCCGCGCCTTGTAGCGCGCTCTCCTCGACCTGTGCAGCGTCGATGGCGAAGCGCGACGTAAAGAGGAGCGTCGTGGAGTTTTCGGTGGAGGGGTTGAGCGTCGTGCTGGGCGCGTAGATCCCCTCGTGGAGGTTCAGCATCAGGCGCGTCATCATAGTCACCGAGACGCTGCGAGTGCGATGTGAGGGCTCGTCACGGGTCTGAGAAAATAACAACTGACCTGCTCGCGAACGTGGATAACACGCCGCGGAGGAGGGGCTGGAGGAATAAAGGTCTGTGAGATAGCTTGCCTTGGGCGAATTGAGTCGGCATACCGTGAGGACCTATATCACGGTCAGCCTCCTGTGCACATTAGAGAGTGAACAATCTTACATAAAACGTCACTACGTTCGCGAGGTTCACCGACGCCATGATCCTGCACGCAATAAATACCGTGAACGCTAGAGGATGCGAAATGTACACGACTCACGCGAAGTACATCGCACCTGCGCTAGAGGATCAGCTAAATTAAACCGGGTAAGGTTGAACACTCACCGTCCCGGAAGATTAGCGATACGACGTCGAACTTCCCAACCGTGACCACGTTCCTGGACCGTTCCTTGAACGTCTTGAACACGGTCAGGGAGAATATGAGGATGTCGTAGATGAATAGCGCCTCCCAAGCGACGGCAGTGCCTATAACAGCTCAACCATTACTCTCGGGGGAAAGAACATATATAGCGCGACGCACGGATTGCTCTGTATATCATCCACAGGCACCAGTGAAAGAGGAGGGTTATTCCAACAATGAGCACCCAATGGAGAGCAACAGTTACTGGAACGTACGTTACTCTGGGGGCAGCCGTGTGACATCCACCGTTTAGGTCAATATCCTCTTGTGACCCTATGACAGCCCACTTTGCCTTATGTCAGAGTTTCACCCGGTGATACGGAAATTATGAATACTGACACAGCTGAGACCCAATAATGTCAAGCCTGTCGCCAGGATCAACGCTAACACGCGTTTGTCTCGTCGGTAAAGAGCGTACGTGCGTAGCAAGAGATTGACTGTTAGAGAAGTGATCAAAACACGATTCGAAAAGCTGAGGTTAGAGACCTTACTGCAAACAATAACTTGCGCGAGGATGAGGAGTAGTTGCCGGTAAAGGGCGTATCTCTTACAACTGGCTCAAGGTTAGCTAACGGTCAATGGGTGACGCCATGCATGTATGTATAAACCTCTGCGAGGAAAAAATAACATCAGAGCTCAGAATGTAAGACGGAAATCTGCAGCGTTGGCAGGCTTACTTCATCGGTCTTGAAGTGGTAAAAATTGCCCCAATTGACAGCGATATCCTAAAACTGACCTCAGCACATATGCTTAGGCACAGTAAGTGAAGGAGCGTACACCAAAGAAAGTGACATAACGATTGACAAAAAACATGATGGAGACTTTCGACTTTGGCTTTGACCAGATCCTCGAGTATTCGTCTCTAAAAGTGATGAGGTAATCGTAATAAAATATGCCTGCGCCAAGTTGAACTACGTCTGGGCAGAGCAAACGTACAGACGCGCACGCACTGATGCCAACCAGATGCAGGTAGTTGTGCAGATACCTGAAGACCATGATCAGACATCCGCCTCAGCAAGTATTTTGTTAACCTACACTTCCTGCATGGAGAAAGTCTCGCTCATCTTGAGCCACTAGAGTCCAAGCTCTCGCCTGAAGAACGGCCAACCAACTTGTGCACGGACTGGAAGGAGTTAATACCGAACACGAACCCGAGGAAGACTATCTACAAGCGAACCAAATGGTAAAAAGAATGAACGACACGCTTCAAGTTAACCAGGACCGTGTATATGTACGCACGGATAGGCGCTGCTCCAAATCAAGCAGATCCACGTCCGCGACGCGAGTGTGCGGATAGGCCAAGCCCAGTATTGTTCCGGTTATGGCCAGCCGGGGTTCGTTCTCTCACAGCCCCAAACCGTCTGCGAACAGTGTCCTGATGATCAGCCAAATGACAGCTGGCGCAAAGCTGGTGCGTCCCTGAGCCTCACTGGCAAAGTGAAAATACTCACAGACAAATAACACGGAGGAACATGGGAATGTTTTCGTCTTCCGCAATGCGCACAGGAATTATTATTGCATTGAAACAATGAAACCTACGCGATCATGATGGAGAGTCAGCGCAGAAGTCTTCCCGCAGGCGACATCAAATCTAATAATTCTCTTCGGAAGCCGTGAGCACCATTCCTCGGCAGACGTCTCGTCCAATCGTCATGGGTATAGACCGACCAAAAAGGAAGGTCTCGTGCTCCAGGTACGAATGATCTCTCGAAAAACGAATAAACCATCAAGCCGTCTTGCGGCGCCGACCAATGGCTTGTGATCTTCCGAGCTCGAGGCAGCGAACAGCATCGTGGTACTGGAACTTCGGTGAACCGCTTGCGTTCTAGGGCAGTAGGTACAATACAGTCAGTGCCAGGAATAAGAGTACCTGCTCCGCCCAGCTTGGATCGGGTCTATGTAGTCTCACATTTGCTCAGGAATGTGATCTCCATGTTCGCCGAGACCAGCCTCCGAGGTACGCAAAAACATCCTTCGACAATGATACCCACCCCTCGACAGGTCGAACGCTCCCTAAGTACAAGGCGTACGAAGAGGAGAACGGAGGATTGATAAGCGGAGGTACGAGTCCCTGCCAGTGCTTCCCTTGGCAGAATTGGAAGTTCGCCGCGATTGCATCTGTCATCTTTCACAAGACAGCGACAGCACGGCGAACGTGTGTGACCATGACATACCGCAGGGTAACGGGACGGCGGAGGAAGTGTAGTCACTTATGTATTCCCCCCCTTGGCGAGTTCGCAGAAATCCACGGGCGATCAATAAAAGGTAGGCTATCGCACTCCGACGGGCAATCGCATTCTAGAGGAGGTCGCCCGAGGAAAAGTGTTCACTCATTCCGGACCTTCGGGAAGTAATTCGGAACTCTGTGGTCATTCTGTCGCGAGATTTCATGCTACGTACTCACAATCCATCGTGGTTAGAGTGTTCACTCTGGCAACTGCGATTTAGAAATCGGCCATGCCGTTATGGCTTATCCTGTAGCCCCTTCCCATATGCACGCGGAGTGAGTCACGCCAAGCGTAGTAGACAAATCCTGAAGGCGCGATTGTCGCAGCTGTCCGGCGAACGTCTTCCACGAAGCCACCGCACGAGAAGGCTTGGACTCGCTGTTGGCGGAGATAAGAACAAGGGTGACCAGAGCTACAGACACTGCGCCACGTCAAAACCCACATACGAGGGCGTGCGATCCGCAAGATGAGGCACGTTAGTGTTACCTGATCAACTGACCAAGTGCTCGCTCCTGGAATGAAGTGTTGCAAGTTATGAACGTTGGTGCAGGAAGAGTGTCAATGTCAGCGCCCGATCGGCGTTGGGCCGTAGATGGGAGATGGGAGGTTGGCTATAGTGCGGTCGCCGTGCGACGGACGAGTCGGACAGCGGAGATGCGTACGTGGCTGTGCACCCGTCCCGTCAAGATGCACGCACGAACATTATGACAGTCATACAGAGTTCATACACTCGAAGAAGATATGACGGCGTCGCGACGAGAACTTAGCTTCGTGATCGTAACTCCACTGTCGCGACGGTGACAAGGAAGTCGATCGATGATGCACATATGGGGCCACTCTGGGTAAATTACTGCAGGCTTCCATACCACGGTACCACAAGAGAGCCACCCTTTTCAGTCCTTGGTCTCGACGACCTAACCACAGTGCTGTCGTGACGGTGGAGCGGAATAACTAAGTGCACGTCGGGACGGCCTGAACAGCAATAGACGTACGGATATCCTGAGTCACGAAGGTTGAAGCAGAGTATCTACAACTGCCTTTGGGAGACTACAATCGACATCTGAAGGCATTGACGAGCCATTACTCCGACAGAACCACGACCGAGTGAGCCTTCACGGTCATCCTTCAAGAGCACAGTGAGTCCTACCGAGCACCTACTGATACACCGATTGGGCATCCTGCGTCGACACCACACCTCCCAATGGACTTGTACGCGCTGTCCAGATTAACCACAGTTTCATGGTCAAGTCAACGCCTGGGGGCATGAGCATTGTGTTTGTTCGACGTGTACTTCCCGTTGTTTTGCTAAAATAGTTGTTGACATTCGTCACAGCTCGTCTGCTGGTCACGTGGGGAGAAATCCTGATGCACGAAGGTTGAGGCAGAACTTTGTTTACCATCTGCCTTCTGGGCCGCCGGGATCCTGCAGCACATCGCTCCCAACGTTCATGGTGTAGTCGAACTTGAGCATGGCGTAATATTCTGTCTTGTTTACTGCTCGTCTCAGGCTGCCCAGTACATAGTACACAGTGTGACCTTTGTGTTTACTCTTGCTCTCAGGCTGCTCCTAGCTAAATTCATTCACCCTGCATGAATATGCGGTCTAAGGATGCCTAAGGTCTTGGGGGCTATTTATGCACTCTTAGCGCTGCGATTCACAGATCGTGGCATATGCTGGCATACGTGACACTGCGGCAGTCTTCCTATTATAAAGACGTCTTGCCTAAGAATTCATGAACGAGTGAAGGTGCGCAGCATGTATGTATGTCTAAGGCCATTTCGAGAGAGCAGCAGTTTCCCGTCATTCACTTTCCATATTAGACGAACCCATACGCAGCCTCAGTGGACTAAGGCCTTCTGACGGCGGAAGCGCCGGTAAGATGACAGACTGTGGATGTTTTCGACGACTCAGTGTGACATCGCTTCTGATCTTGATAGCAGTTGCCAGCTGCGGTCCCTATATATTACACCTCAAATCAGCCGCTGAGCCTCGCAGCCTACTTCCTCGCAGTTGGATCTCATGCTCATACCTGCGAATGCAGCTATCCGAGTCTCTCGGTCTCACCTCGACCTCTTTGAGCAGAACACAACCATATCAACATCAATTGTGCACGACTACCACTATATATGTACGCTCTGTGTGGAGTAAGTGTTGGAAACATACCAGTTGTCTTGGAAAATCAGTGCTCATGATCCCCCTTTCCCTAGTTGTGGCGCTTACTATTGTCGTCTACGATTATCGTGAGTTTTTATTTTTAGCTGTTTTACATTGTTGGCTGACGCGTAACCTATTGGTGCAGTATTGACTCTTGAGAGTGAGGTAACGACGGACGTTGATCGACGATCCGCCAATACTTACACTATATCGACTGACTGGATAGCTCAAGTATATGTGGCGCGGGCCATTCATCAGGTCACGATTGCTCTTCTGGCTGGTGGGTGCCGTTGGTTTAATGACTGACGTACTCACTGACCGCTGGGCTACAAGAGTCGTTACTGGTCGTAAGGGTCTTTATTTATACGGTCCGTCAGAGTTTGAGTCTGATGACTGAGAACAGCCTAGGATATCTAATGTAGGTTGAAGAGGGCCCTACGCGAATATACTGTATTGATCTGATCGTTTCTCCTTTGCATTAGACTTGGTAATATAGGTGAGTGAGAGCGTACTTACCTGGAATCGAAGAGCTCTCGGTATTAATGTCATTGATAGTCATGGCGGTCATCCCAGCTTCGCATACAAAGGTAAGTCGCATGTCTGGCAATCTGAATTCCATGTACTGATTTCGTGGGCGGTAATGCAGTGGTATGTGTTATCCGACAACTTGGTTTTGGTGTTCAAGGAATCAGTGACCCAGGTGCAAGATATGGTTCAATCTCTATACAAATCTTATGGCACCTCTTCATCTCACATTTTTTGGTTCGTAGCGACTGCGTACCTGGAGGTTGTCTGAGCTAATGGCAAATCCACTTTGTAGCAATTGTTCTCGGAAGGCTTCATGCTGCCTTCAATTGCGATAGGCGACTCTTAATCATTGTAGGGACGTTTCTGGGCCTCCAACTCACGTGGATGGTCGTGGTGTATGCTATACTTGCCGCCAATACTCAAGGCAAGTAGGGCCGTTTTGGCAAGACAAAGTGCTCGTCCGTCGTAGCCATCGAACTGCCAAAGTCGTGGACGGGATGCATGCCATCACATTTACAGGCGTATGAATGGATATTGTGGATTCCAAGAGCCAGCACTGAAGGCGCCTTCCTTACTCTCCTACTCATCAAAGGAAGACAAATTGTTCATCAGGGCATTCCCCCCCCCCCTTCGAGCTTTGTTTGTCATACTACGCGACACACTTCTCTATCTTGCGGTCATCCTTGGCTTGAGCCTGGTGAGCACTCTTCGGTCAGAAGGATGGGTATGTTATGTGATCTTTCATATCATGGAGCTCTCATTGATTGTCCGATCCCTATCTAGGAGACCATCTCTGTGACCTTCCCTCCGTGAGTCCGAATGCCTTAACATCACATAACATTTTCAGAACTTACTGTTTGTATAAAGGATGTGGGTCGCGTTGGTGTCTACCAGCGGTTGCCGAATGCTAGTGAGCAAACAATTAACCTCATTGACATGCTTCCATATCTTTCAACAGCTTAACATCCATCTGGCTCTGGAAGCAAACGGATCGCAACATTCTATCAACTTCATTTCGATTCGTATGAGCAGCTTACGGTTCGCAAGTAGCGAGTCCCCCAACACTGTTGATGAGCATTAATTTTCCCGTCGGCATTGTGTTAACTTTACTGACGAGCAACGCAACAACTTTTTGGTCTCATGTATTTATTGTCCGTGACGGCGGAACTAAGTGCAAATGTGATGTGGAAGTGGATTCCGTGGAAAACATAGTTCATCCTCTCGTGCCAAGATGCTTTGTCCGCCAGGGCCAACGGGACGTAAGGCATGGATGAGCCCATACTGGGGGTGGAGGACACGATACTCCAGTATGCCTTCAAACTGAACTACATGTAAATACTTCCGGACGAATTTGGGAATGCAGTCATTGTGATGTCCTGGACGTCAGCAGAGCTCCGTACGCGATTCGATGATTGTAAACGAGTATTCCAGGCAGCAAGTCTCGTCGTACTGGTTATTCGGTTGTCACAGCGCCGGCTCCAATCGGCAGTTGGACCTGTACCAAACGAGGATGGCTTCAGTACAGAAGGCTATCGGGACGCACCTACTCGGCGCTTGGAGTTTTTGCTCGTGTTGGATCGTGGTCCTCTTTCCTATAGCTACCTGCAGCCTGGAAGACAGAAGACGCATAACCGCATTGATATCGTATCGGAGGTAAGTCAGCCCCGAGCTACAAATCTGGACGAGTATACAGTAGTCGAAGCAAGGAAGCTGTCGAAACTGCTGCACGCAAGCGGCATGGCTCTGAAACTCAGCGTCTCGTCGACGCGTGCATTGATCCATAACCTGTCCGAGCTTGTTTCTTGCAGCGCCGCACAAACTTGGGGAAATCGGAACGCGCTTCGCAGACGACCGAAGGCTGTCCCATGGTGATTATCATTGTCGCGTTGAAAGCACCACTTTCATGCCTCAGCAGGTGGACACGAGGATCAGAATTGGTCTTGGTCACTGCGAAAAGGAAGCACGATGGAGCGCGGACTTTCTTCCTGCAGATCACTGTATTTATCCCAAGCAGGCAATGCGGTCGCTATTAACCGACATGTATACAGTATATCGAGAGTCAATCTGTGTGGGTGAACGATGATATCATTCAGAGCGTTAGTACTTTACTCACGGCGAGAAATGCATACACCCCGTGACGGCGAAGGAATTGTAAATGTGGAGTGTGCCAGTGGCAAAAACGTCGCAGCGCCAGGCCAGAGGGAGTCTCGACAGACCAGGGCAAGGCGATGTATGTGGTTTTTTGCGGAAAAAAGGGTCACGATCTATCGATTGTGACAGTTATCGAATCAAGGAGATCTCATGGCTGATGTGCTCTGATCGGCAGTTGCCGCCCACTCATAAGCGTTGCTCCTCTGCGGTCATCAACTCCTCTCTCCTCTTCATCATCCTCCCGCCATGTCCAACGTCTTTGTAAGTGCTCTCGTTTAATTTCCTGATATTAGTCACTATTTTTTGCCACCGTGCTGTCGAGTTGACATTGAATTTTTATAGTTCGACATCACCATCGATGGCCACCCCGAAGGCCGCATCGTCTTCAAGCTATACGACGATGTAGTCGCCAAAACGGCGCGAAACTTCCGCGAGCTTTCTACGGGACAGCACGGCTTTGGATACAAGGGATCTGCGTTCCACCGTATCATCCCCAGCTTCATGCTCCAAGGCGGCGACTTCACCCGCGTAAGTTGCTTCACCATCCCTGTCACGAAATCGCGATTTTTGACGATACGTGCAGGGCAACGGAACCGGCGGAAAGTCAATTTACGGCGAAAAGTTTGAGGGTAAGCAGAATTCGAGAGATACAAGCAGAATGTGTTTTGAGTCGCGCGTATAGACGAGAACTTCAGACTCAAGCACACTAAGCCCGGCATTCTCTCCATGGCTAACGCCGGCAAGAACACCAACGGCTCTCAGTTTTTTATCACCACTGTCGTCACCTCGTGGCTGGACAATGCCCACGTCGTCTTCGGTGCGCCACACATCTATCCGCCCACGCCACACAGTCCTCGCTGACGTTTTTCTCAACAGGTGAGGTCGTCGAGGGCATGGATCTCGTAAAGAAGATCGAGAGCTACGGCTCGGCCTCCGGCACACCCAAGGGCAAGATCGTCATCGCCGACTCTGGTGTCTGTTAAATTACTCGCAAGTGGTACATCGAGGGGTTTACGTGGAGGGGGCGGATTAGAAAAGAGAAGATAAGATATTGTGTATTTTCATTCGCAGTGTACAGACCAGTTTTCGCGTTTTGAGAGGCGGAATGCTCGCCTTGAGTCGCGCAAGCGGAACGCGGAAGAAGGCGCTGTATATTTGGCGCTAACGGAGAAGTCTCGCTCCGACTGGCAAGTGTAAGAACCACTTCGACCACGTCGAACCTGGTCATGGTACTGAATGCAAGAACGCCAACGCGAACGTCGCGATATTTTTGAATCGAAGCGTACTAATTTTCCCGGTCATCCAAATGGCTGAATTCCACAAACATAACGAACAGACAGACGGCAAAAAAAATCAGATATCCACCACCTTACTCGGGTCGTAGTGCGAGCCGCCCTGTGCGTACCCCCGCTGGTTACTGTACACCCTAATGTCCGCCCTCTCGAAGTCGCAGCTCCAGTGGGTGTGCCCGAACGCCCACAGCTTGACGCACTCGCGCGTCCAAACGTCCTCCCCGGAGAGCTCCGTCGCAAATGCAGAGTTGGTCGGCTGACCGATATACTTGGGGTCACCCGTGCCCTCGATCGTCGGTGCGTGGTGCGTGAACACGACGATCGCGCGCTCTGGCTCGTCGAGCGCGATCGCCGCGACCGTCGCGCTCAGCCATGCGAGTTCCGCGGTGTGCAGCGCGACGTACTTTTCCGGGTCGAAGGACGTGATCCGCCGGAAGTCGGTGAGGGACCATGAAAGGATGTCTAGGTCCCCCGGGTTCAGCGCGGACCAGAGCGTGCAGCCGAGGATCGTTAATGTCGGGGAGACGTCGTGCCGCGTGCGGTTGAGGAAGATGAAGTCGCCTAGTGTGGGGTCTGCCTCGCACTCTTGGGCAAAAGCACTGAGTCTTTGATTAGACTCATCCTGCATGCACCAGGTGAATAGGCATTAGGGGCATCAGGACACACATATGCACTTACAATGGAAGACCTGTACGGCTCTATGGACGTTTCGAGTCAGATCAGCCCAAGTGCACAGAGACGGGAGCATACCATGGTTTCCTGCAACGTAGTAGATAGTCTTGAACAACCGCAGCTGCGCTCTGAGCCACTCGAACAGCCTTTCGTCGACTGTCCAGCCGATGTCGCCCAGAAGGGCGAGGTGTTCTGCACAGACTGGGATATCATAGTGATAGAATTCCTGGCCGGGGGCACTCCCCGGCCTCTCCATCTCGAGGTGGATGTCGCTCAAAATCTGGATCCGCATCTTAGCTGGTGCAAGACTCGCGATCTGCTGGGTGATCGAAGGTAATGAGAACTGCTTCGAGGTCGAACGGACTCTACAGTACTTGCCTGTGCGCCTTTCCGCCGTTTGCGAAATCTTAAAGCAAATATCGACAGGGGTGTTCACCTGGATTCCGGACTTGAGAGTATTATTTACCAGCATAGCTTCAAGCCCAGTGATACGCGGGCGCTTCAAGCTGGAGATGTGTTCCCTCGAAGACCGTCGACGTCGTATCTCCGTCTCATGAAATATTGACGGCGTCAGTCACTGACTCCGAGCGGGCACGGAGAAAGCTGTCGTTGTATTGTCCAGGTACGCGGGGCAGTGCAGCTTGGCGACTTGGGCAAGCGCTCACTCAGGCCTATCCATTGCAGGACGATTCCCGTTTGTTCAACTCGGTAATACGCAAGCTCAATTGTATGCATACATAAGTAGACAGATGATTCTGTAGTCGATGTGCACCGCTGGAATCGCCCCAATTAGCTCTCCTTTATAAAGAGTACCAGCGTTCTGCTGTCGGTGGTCACTCGCTCTCAGGGTGAGTCCGATTCGAAGTTTGCGAAGAGACAACTCTGGGCTCACATAGGTCTAGTTATCATGACAGTTCGTCCATCTTCCGATAGCTCTCTGGACGACTCAGAGGCGAAATCGGGCCCGCCAGTTTCCGCTGAGCTCAAACTCTCCCCGTCAGAGCACCCATGGCCAGCCTGCTTCTCCGCTGCAGTATCCAAGGTCCTTAGCGATGCTGAGATTCCAAACTTCCTCTGGGGCGATCTCCTCAACAGCTGGCGCGGCCACCCGCATCTGCCGAACGTGCGACCCCATCCGTCTCCCATGCGCATAGAGTGCTCATTTCTAGATTCCTAACAGGTGTGCGGATTCGTGGTCCCCAGCGAGTCTCTCGACAAAGCAGTAGACGCTATATCTCACAGCGGCCTCTCAGCCTGTCACTGCGAGGAACCCCTCCATCTCGCCGACCCGTCCTCAGGCACGTTCCTCCCGGTGCACTTCGCCGTGCCCCAGCCATACTCGACGGTCTACCTCTACCTCTGTCCCTCCTCCGTTTTGCTAGATCTCATCCCGCTCACCCCCACCCACGCGAATCCCGCCGCGCTGGAGCACGAGCGCTTCAGGGTGTCCCTGCGCGACCAGTACTCTGCCCCGCGCGCCGACACGGGTGTCTCGGCTGGCCTCGTAGGGGACACCTACGCGCTTAACGTGCTCACAGCGTCCAGCCTCGTCAAAGCCCTACTCCTGCTGGACTGCCTGTCACCGCCAGAGCGCGTCGGCGTCGGCGCGATGTACTCGTATGTTCTGCACATCATGGCTGTCAGTGATCCCGGGCCATATGATTTCGGGTCGCCCTCCTTGCAGAGCCTGTGGGAGAGGGTCTTTGTTCAAGGGGATAGGAGTGAGGAAACTAGGCGGCCGTTACTTGGGGAGATCTATGGGGAGTGGAGGGAGCGGATCCCCGCTGGATTCTATGCAGAATGATCGCTTCGAAGGAATTACGCACGAAATTTTGTGTCTAGGATCTGTATTGTCCATGTCCGTGTAAAGATATCCGCAAATCAAAGTGTACGTTCTAGTCAGAAATCCGTGAAAACCGTACAAACGTCTGTAGTACTCTACTGTCGGTCTCAGCTTTCCGCCTCCTGCGCCACGAACGTCTTCACCCTCTTTACCACCCTGCGCGGCATCCCATCCTCCCCTCGTATCCATTCTCGCACGAGCGCATATCCTCCGCGCCGCGGCAGCCACACGAAGCAGACATACCAGTATACCACGCCCACTAGGGAAATCGACGACGACACCAGGACATGCAGCTATGCGCAGGATCCCGGTTCGTCAGCAAACATACCAAGTCCATGAAAAAGCGACGCACCCAATACGGCAGCCGCTCGTATACCGTGAATCCCGGCGCCGGCGGTACGAGCGGCGCGCAGACGAGAAACACGTTCGAGAGGAAGAAGAGCAGCACGACGGGCGTGGGCGTGCGGAAGGGCGGGTCCCAGTGATAGCGTTCGTGGACAGAGAATTTCCATGGGGAATGGAGGAAGAGCAGGCCGGCGGAGACGAAGGCGTTGATAAGCGCGAACGGGTAGGCGATCACTGCGGTGCGTGGGATGTCAGCGTGTGAGATGCACTACAGGCGAAATGACTAACTGTTGAGCATGAAAAGGTAGGCGTCGCCCGGCGGGACGGTCACCACGAGAAGACAAGTGATGAACCATTGTGCGAAGAGCCCAGCAAGAGGTGCATCGAACGGCTTGTTACTCGCGAAAAATGAAGAAAATGGTAGAATCCCTTCCCGACCTAGCTCTTGGATCACTGCCAGCATGACTCGTAAGTTTCTGGTCTCTCGCCCAGTACATAGTTCTTGCCTCGACCATGCGTGAACAGAACAGCTAGCACATTCGCCAATGCAGACATCGACACGATCGCGCTGAGAGCCTGCGTAGCTCACATTCTCAAGATCAGCGCATGCAACTGCTTACTGCAGCACTCACACTCTCCGCCCGCACGCCCCAGATCTTGCCGAAGAACAGCGCAGCGACGATGCGGCCGCTGCCGAGGACCTCTTTCTTGTCCACAACGGCAAAGTACGCGATGTTCACGAGAAAGTACGCCACGGACGTGACGATGATAGCGCAGGGTGCCGCGGTCTTCATCGTCCGCACAGGGTCGCGAATCTCGGAAAGCGCATAATTTGCGTTCGAGTAGCCCGTGAATGACCTGGGCGACGGGTACGTTAGCGTTGCGACCGAGTGGTGTTCGGGCGCTCTGACCAGACTACGGTGAACAGCCCCGTCACGAATGCGCTGACTCCGCCTGTGAGTGTACCTTCCCACATGTAGTCCCACTCGAAATTTCGCGGTGGCTGTTGTCCAATCTATCGGTCAGACGTTACAGGGACAAATAAGCACGTACGTCAGACAGCTCGAAGCCAGGAACACGTGCGAGGACTGCAAGGCCGCTGGCAATGATGACGACTAGCACGAGCAATTTGAAGACACCCAGGACATTTGACACGTGAATTCCCCAGCTCGGGTGCGTGCCGTGTAGGACGAGCGCGAGTGAGATGCATAACACGCCCGCGAGACGCGTCGCCGCTGGGGCGGGAGGCACCGATGGGTTTAGTGCGTGCAGTCCATCTGAAGCTGATGGTCAGCTGTGCAAAGTGATAGTCAAAGAAGCGGAACCACATGCATTCCCCGAAGATAACGCTCGAGGTTGTTTCCCAGCCCTGAAAAGATTGAGGAACGTACCCGCCAGAGGACTGGGGTGAGATACGCACGATGAACACGGCGTACATCGCGTATACGCAAGTGACCAGAAACCTTGGCCGTCGGTAGATGAACTCCAGGTAGTTCTTCTCACCACCGTTCTTAGGCAGGCCCTGTAGACGTGTTGTTGCATATGGACATATACCAGGTGCACGACTCTACTTACCGTTCCGAGTTCGATGAACACGGCAGTACCGCACATTGCGAGGATCGCTCCGAGGACCCACATCACTAACAGCAGGCCGACGCTCCCGGATGCACGTAAAATTACGCTCGGCGTGGCAAATATACTGAATATGCGTAAAGAGTTACACCACTCAGTCCGATGGCTTTACGGGGTAAATACTTACCTCGTGCCAATGATGCGGTTGAAGATGAGAAACGCAGTACTCGTCATTCCTGTTCGTCCTCTCAACACAGGAGAACTAGATGACAGATATTTTCAGCGTACCCAACCTTCGCTTATCAGTAGGAACGTCGTCGATTGACTCTCCATTTACTGTTCAAGGTGAAACCCAGCGATGGTGAAGTGCAAATCATTGACTTACAGGCAAGTAACTGCGGCTCTTCATAATCTCCTACCCAATTTTCCGAGTCTGCGCCTTCTCGGGCTTGCACAGGCAACAGCGGCTCGTCTTCAAATACTTGTGAAGTATTTCCGAGCGACGAAATGTTGCGATCCGCCATACTAACTTCCCTCAGTTATTTGGACGGTAATGGTGACTTCGAGAAGTTATCCACCGACACCGGGATGCACCAGAGAGAGGAAGATATCGACGCAAAAGTAGCACAGCATATCCATTCTGTTTCTCCATAAGCAACCGGGAGATAACGTCGAATCTTTATTAGCTCGCGCGACCACTGGCAATGCCCGGCTCACACTTTGTGCCGGCTCGGCACGCAAGACGCCTTAGCCTACCGGTTAGAATTTCAATTTTGTGTGTTTCACTGCTAAGTGCAAAGTCAGAAGTAAAATCGGTAGATGGTTGTCTTGTCTCTCCCGAGCTCCATGTTGTTTGTGTTGCGGTATATATATTATAAATACCGAGTCCGCGGGAGTACCTCATGTGCTTGGCAAGCTCTAACAGCCGAGTGAGTAGTAGTGTTCAGCCTCACCATACACTAACAAAAATGTTTGTCGCTTTCCTGCCAGTGACAGCGCGCTCGCAAACTTGAAGTCGGTGCCTCGCTGAAAACATCGATGAAGACCAGTGGGGAGGAGAATAGCTTGCATTCTTGCGGGTCAGCTCTACCACCATCCCTCGAAGTTTGAAAAATGACTTGTCGACCGCTTCTACGATCATATATACGGCGTTCTACAAAGCATGACCATCCTAGAAGGATGAGCCAGGGGCGGTCCGTTGTGTGCTGAAAACCGCTTCCTTGAGGTGCTTGTCACGGTATTGCAAAGGAGACTCGCAAGAGTTCTTCAAGACCTTCCGAAGGCCGTTAGATGCGATCGCTACCCTTACATCTCCGAGTCTTCGAGGGCCATGCCAAGTATCTGGCGGCATGGACGTCACTCGCGTTATTCTTGGGTTTCTCTGCGTGATTATCAACTTTTCTAGGTGAATCGTTCTTATTCTGCAATGCGATGTAGGATAATCGGGATTCCCTGGCGTCCGCAACTCCGGTGTCTATCGGTGTTCGTCGGGCTACGATGTTGGGTTGCCAAACAAACGCGAATTTGAACTTCGAGGTATTCGGACAATTTTAATCTGGCTAAATCAATGTCATTGATTTAGACAAGGCAATTCCCATAACTCTGCGATTTTCCTGAAGACATCCGGTTCATTATTTCCGGATTAGTCTATTCAGAATCCCGGTTTACACAGAAACCCCCCCTGCTTTTGGTAATTTCGTGATGGCTCTGAGAAAATTCGAAGACGCTCAATGTTTACCAGCGATCTCCCGGGTCCGCTGTCGAACTCAGCGAGGGCGCACACATTCGCCGCGCGCTGGCGTGCGTCGGTGTCTCCGATGTCATTCGTCGGGTGCCGCTTATCGCCTATTGCGTCGAGTAGTGGTGTCCCATTGTTGTTAAGGTGAGATGAAAAGGCTTTGTATCAAGTGGGCATCTTGACACACAGAACCAAAGAGATAGCACACACCAAAATTCAGCGGCTGGTCATTGCTCATCGTCTCCAATGACGATGCGGACGCGGTCCGCCCTGTCAAGGACGCGCGGTACTCGGTGTCAATGGTTGGCGCCGTCGTTGGCGTCAATTGATCTTTTTTTGATGGTATTTCCATCTTCGCATTTTTCTCTTCAGCGGTTCCGGGGGAAGGTGGGTTTATTTTCCCCCGGGGGGTTTCTAAATAGACTAATCCTTGATTTCCTGGTACCGTTTTACAGTACACGGCGCCACAACTTGGCATGCCTAGCAGGCTCTATATGTATCTAACACATTTAGCAATCCAGCCTCTGCAGAACATCGCCAATACACAAGGCTATATTACTTCTTCCGTACAAGTCCTCGAAGTGCCACCTTATCGTTCCGCACATGTCACATTCTGGCAGTGCACCGATGTCGGACTCAAGAGCTTGTGCGACGCTAACCTACTGAAAGTACGTGTCTCCAATACAGCTTGTGCTGAGAAACTGTCTAAACAATATCATATGACAGTCCCCATCACTGCGTGTATGCCTCAGAGGGGTGCCGCATGATCACACTGCACTGAAGTTGGACGACATATTTGAATAGACGACAAGGTTCATCAATGACTAGGCCCGATGGAAGTGCCACAACGGTGCCTTCCTGAGTACACCGACATCGGAACCTTCAACTGCATACAGGAGCGCGCTCCGTGCCGTCTGCGTCAAGCTAACACATGACAGTCCGATGCCGCGGAAAATAGGGCCTCGCAATTGTCAATATAGGCTCGTTTTGGCATCCTCAGGAGTATAAATCGCAATCCCGCTCTGCTGGGAATGATCAGCAACTTCAATGTCCAACCCCAACCGCAAGCCCACGCAACACGACCTCGTCCTCGCCGCCCAAGAGTTCAACCAGTGGTTGAAAGAGGCAGCAGCCGGTGGGGTCGCATTTCTATGCGGTGGCCTCGCACTCTCACTGTACGGAAATGTGAGACAAACGGAGGTAAGCCCGCCTAGCCTGCTCAGATTCAAGTCTGACCTAGTACAGGATGCCGACTTGGCTCTCGACCTCTCTCTCACCCACCGGGATGGAGACCCAAAGAAGCATTACGACACGAATCAGCTGAAGGCCCTCGCTGCACACGATCCCAAGCATCGCTTCATCGTCGGGCCCAAAATCTATATCATCTTGTACGCCAATGATGCGGCCAAGAAGCTCTATGTCCAGGTCGACTTCATCGACGCCGCCTTATTCTACAGCCCCTGGGATCCAGCCCAAATGATTGACCACGACCCAAGGCTCCCTGTTCCGTGCCTCACCCTCCCCACCCTCCTCGTGGGGAAGATCAAGAGCGCGCCCGAGCGGAACCAGCCCAACGAGAATGAGCGCATCATGAAGCAGGCGAACGACATACAGGATGCCAATTTCGCGGTGGGAGAGTGTCTTCATCGCGAGCTCATCCTCGTGAAGGCTCAGGTGGAGCATCTCGGGAGGGATGAGAAATTAGTTATCGCAGTGCTCGAGGACTTCTTCAAGCTCACCACGAAGCTCGAGAAGGAGAGACGCCTGCCCAGCATGGCTAAGCTCCGCTCGAACTGGGCAGAGATCGTGCACAAGAGTGGCCTCCCCAAGGCTTACGGCGACGTTGCAACAAAGGTTTAGGTATGTCTCACCATCTAACTCCGGTAGCATATATTAATTCATGACGGGAAGGATATAGGGGCAATGCGAACTTGCATTTCAATCGTTCGGGTGCATTGTCGTGCACCACCTCTCTTTCTATCTGGGTGGTAGCTTTTTACGCTAAGCTTTGACGTACCCGCATCTCCCTCATCCTGTTGTAACCCTACTACCATTGATTCCCTTCTGAGAGATACAGTCGCCGTATCAGGTGTATGGACGAGATGCTTCTCGTACGTCACACCTTTCTTGTTGACCAACATGTAATTGTATACGATTATGAGCTCGATTGTCATACTACTCGGTACTTGATTTCTGAACCTCGCGATCTTGGCACTAGGTCCTGTACTATGCTGCCCAGCGCACCGTTACACATCGCGGTCACATGCTGGCTCATATCCTTGCACGTGATCGCGGCGAGCCGCAGAACCCGACCACTTTCCTCGCACTGGTAGTTTAAACGCGAGAACGACTGTGCGGGAGTGCTGCAGCGTAGGCACGGCGACATGTTTTAGCAAGTCACAAAGCGTCAGCTGGCGAAGCGTAGGAGATGACGTACTCATAAACATCGTCGTTGACAGGGATTAAGGACTCAAGATCTGCATTACGCTCATGGCTAGTCGATAGCGGAATGAGTCAACACTTGTGATTCACAGCCACACCAGGTAGTTCGAAAAGCGTTCCCTTCGTTCATGCGGGACATGAAAGTCTGGAGCCATCCGGGGCACCGCACAAGCCTCTCATCATATTGCAACCGCTTCCTTATCGGCCATTTCATAGATACGCTAAGCTAAACACAAGCAACTGTACGACGTGTCGGAACGCGAGTGCGGCCCTCCCAACGTCCAGTTAGAATGAGTAGTCAGCTGGTGAATTGAACGTTATGATCTTGAACTCATTCATGTTCCTCCTCGTCGCCCTCTTCCACGAGATCGAGGCCCTGTTCCTTCGCATCTTCGAGCGCATGCATCTCCATGTCTTGCGCGAACTGTATAAGAGATTGCAAGATATCTCGTTGGCCTAAATATATCGGTAAAACAAAAGTCTGCAACGATCGACATTGAAAGCGTACCTTCAAGGTAGTGCTCCAGCATTACTGCAACCTCCGGTCTTATGGACCCGGCCTCCGCACTGGGGGAGGATGGCAACCGTGCAAGCAGGTCCTGCGCCATGCCCAGCATCTCCGCAGCGTAAAGCTCGTCCTCGACGTCGACATCGTCGTCGTCAGGACCTGCACCCTCGCGTACAGCTCCGAGGATGGCGTCCCATACAGGCTCCGCCCCGCGCGCGCGCCTGCCCACCTCGAACTTTGTCTGCAGAGCGTTCTGATTTGGCGTTGGTGCAGGAGCCGCGCCGCCGATTTTTAACACGATAGTGTCATCCGGATTTTGGGGGAGCGAGAAGCCATAGCCTAGGATGAGCTCTGCGTTAGGCTTGGGCCCGTAGTTGTTGCAGAGCTCGGAGCCGCGCGGGGTGGAGTTATGTAGAACCAGGGAAATTTCTTTCCTTAAGGGCGAATCAGCACAAGAAGTATTCTACCTTCACTGACACGTACTCGTCAGGAGCATGCGCCCACGAGACAACCCACGAGACCGGCAGAGCGCGAGCATGGTTGAGAGAGTCGATGCCTGGGAGAAGAACAGGATGCGAGGACGGCGTGGACACAAGTGACGGGTTCGTCGATAGAAGCGCTGAGGGGAATGCGCGGGACGATAGATATGTGGATGCGGTTAGATAGCGTTCCCTGTATTTAGTGATGTCAGTCGGTAAATATGTTACGCGAATGACATTGGTTGAAACAATAACCAGGTAAATTCATTCCCCCATGCTGAGTTCGCAGACATAGTTGCCGTGTGACATTGCGTCCATTCCGCCCGCCAATCCCGTTGGCGATCAAGGGTTGCGCCAAATAGATTCGATCCCTTGAGGGCTTCCAGCTCGGAGGTTCGAAAATGCAGCGGAGTGAAAAGCTTAGTGGGAGATGGCAGTGTATTCAGGTACGGCCAATGACCTAAGACTAGCGGAGAGCTGAACGCGTTCAACGAAATGAACCACGAGACACAGTAGAACATTGTCACCTTGACTGACCGAAGACCCAATGCATGCATATGTACGCGCAAATCAGTTGTCTCTCAGACCATTCATCGAGGGTGTTCGTAGGCCCGCTTGAGCGAATCAACTCATTGAGTGCGCGTTTCGACAATTCAGGCGTGATGGCTAACGAGAATGGGCATGACACAATGGTCGTATCGGCGGGGATATCTTCGCGGGCGATGACCGAGAATCCAGAAGGCACTGTTAAATATCGTCATCTAATCAGAGGTCTCAATACTCTGGTTCCAAGAAGTTCAAAGGTTGTCCACGGCATCTTTCGGCCGTAAAAGAGGAAGATAAGTTTTGTCGCTCCACCTCCACTGCGATCGCTGCAACCAGTAGCGCGTCTCCAGTTCGAAACAAACTCGATGGAGCACGGATACAAGGCGCAGCGGCCACATATATTTCCGATACATTCTACGACACTCCAATTAGTAGTCGTAAGTTCACTCACCCGTTGCGAAGAGGACATCGGGGTGTAATCGAGCGCCGTTCTGAAGCAGCCAGGTCCTGAACTCGATCACAATTTCGGGTTCGGGTCCAGTTGGATCCATTAAGGATCTGAGCAGAAGAGTTAAAACCAATGCACGTTAACTGCTGTATATCAGTATACCTTAAGAAGGCGCTTCAATCCGTAATCAACTTCACAAATATCGGGTTCTACCACTCGGACAATTGGCTGTTTTGGACGTATGCCATGATCATTCGGGCGCTTGAAGGATAGTAGGCGCTTCTGATTATACACGTGACTCAAACTTGCACCCGTAAAGAAATATTGACCTTCATACCCTCCGCCATGCCTCGAGCGACGTCTGACCGCTTTTCCCGCGCCCATCAGCCCTCACCGAAGGCCAAGAGCTCAGCTGATTCTGCCGGCTCTTCGTCCGGAGTGCGAAATCCGATTTTTAATACCGAGCGTTTCGGCCAACATATCCTCAAGAACCCACAAACCGTCCAAACGTGCGTCTGCTGCTCAATCATTCTGCGTCAGCCTGAAACTCATATGCTTGGCTAGAATTGTTGACACGGTGAGTGCCTAGCGCTTAAGGGTTGTCGAGATATTGACGTGATTGGTATGTGCACAGGCGAATTTGCGTCCGACGGATAATGTGCTAGAAGTTGGTCCTGGTACTGGTAACTTAACGGTGCGAATATTAGAAAAGGCAAAGCATGTTACAGCGGTAGAGATGGATCCTCGTATGGCGGCAGAGCTCACGAAGCGAGTGCAAGGAAAGTGAGTCGCGTCTCCGTGGGCTTGGTTCCCCCTCCCACATTACCTTGTAGGCCAGAGCAGCGCAAGCTCGAAATCATCATCGGCGACTTCGTGAAAGCTGACCTGCCCTACTTCGACGTCTGTATCTCCAATACGCCGTACCAGATCTCGTCCCCGCTCGTATTCCGCCTGCTCTCGCACCGCCCCCTCTTCCGCATCGCGATCCTGATGTTCCAGCGGGAGTTCGCTGCGCGGCTTGTCGCGCGCCCGAGCACGGAGCTCTGGTCGCGCCTTTCCGTGAACGTGCAGCTGTATGCCAAGGTCGACCTGGTGATGCACGTCAGCAAGAACAATTTCCGTCCGCCGCCCAAGGTTGAGAGCAGCGTCGTCCGCCTCGTCCCCCGCGACCCCCCGCCGCCCGTCGAGTTTGGCGAGTTCGATGGCCTGGGACGGATCGTGTTTTCTCGCAGGAATAAGACGATACATGCGAATTTTATGGCGAAGGGTGTCATGGAGATGCTCGAGAGTAATTGGAAGACATGGGCCTCGCTCAATAACGTAGTGAGCACGGTTACTGATCGTTGTTCTCATATGTCATTAATACAGAGACCCCCCAGATCGTTGAAGACAAGGTCAACATGAAGAAAAAGGTTGAGGAGGTTCTTGAAGAGACAGGCTATGCGGAGTGCCGTGTCGCAAAGATGGACATCGACGATCTGCTCAAGTACGCCTTACCTTCTGCTATTTGTTCGCCATCTTATTCACTTCGCTCCCTATTTTCACAGACTGCTATCAGCATTCCACGATGCCGGCATCCACTTCGCGTGACGAAGCATTCCCTAACCCGAAGATGTGCTGTGAGGAGTTCTTCTACTAACTTATCGCTTTTTGCTTCCTTGTGGTGTGTATGCAGCCTCAAAAATATTCCAGCTTATGGGCAACTCATGATGATATTACATCACAGCATTTTCCGCAGATCTTTCTCAAACGATTACGTTCTTAGTCCTTCGCAAATCAAGGATCACCGACCAGTTCTGCCTTCGAAGGCCAGAATGCCACATCCCCTTTGGACTTTCCCGTCATTAAAAATTGGATAGTTGGACGGGCGAATGTACCTTTCATCGGCGTCACTGGAGCTGCTATCACGCAGACGCTTTCTCCTGCTGTGCCTGGTACTGCGTCGGCGTGAGCGTTTTCTGTCCAGCAAAAACAATCAGCTCAGGCTTTCTAACCGCGACACGGTGCCCACCTGAGAAAACGCGTGCATCTGCGAGATCTGATCTTTCAACAATTCATTGACTGCGACGATTTCCCCGCATCGCAAGAATCAGCATGAGTCACACAAACCACGGACGATAAGTTGAGAAACGAAAAAAAGGGAGGACGCACTGAAACGATGTCTCGCGAGCGTGTTCTTCCCTTCGAACGCCTGCGCGAAACGATGGGGTCAGCTTCTACGACGTCGAGGCGATCGTGCACGCTATGGCGCGTGACATCAGCCCACCTCGCTCACGATGAAGACCGCATAATTCTCGCCACATCCGCTCGACTGGTCAGTGATCTGGAGGTGGGTGACTGCGATGGCGGAGCGAATAGCGCGCTCTAGGTCGGGAGAAGAGATGGGCATTGGCCAGAGCTCGCTGAGGGGGGAATATTGGGGGCGGCTGGTGGGGGTTATCTGATAAGTGCCAACGTAATCTGATAACATCTGCCTACAACCTGACAGGACAAAAAGATTATCCGATACGAATGTTCCTAGAGGGATTCGAGCCCTCGTCTTCACGGTTTCGTCCCTTCACAGGCCCACAACGTGATGATCTAACCACTAATCGATAGGAACCGATATTCCAATGGATTCTGCAATATATTAATGGCCCGTAAGAGTCAAGTAAAAGTGGAAACGAACGTGGGCGTTAAACGAATGACAAGGTATACAGCACACGCGGTATAGAAAGTAAAATATCGACGAAAAATGAGACGTAGTCCTTGTGAGACCCTAAAAAATGATAACGGTGACAACGGAGCGGGAGAAATGGTGCACGACAATAAGTCCACGACTACCCGATAGATCTTTTAGCCCTGGACGCTTCTGCAAGCACCGCCTAAGCCATCAGCATTCCGAGCGCAGCTGCAATCGCGGCGATTCCACTGAGGGATGCGGTCAGGCTGACAGCGCCGCTCTTGCTGCTGGTGGGGGTCGATGTGGAAGCGGACGAAGAGCCACTGGAGGTGCCCGTGGCACCAGAGCTCGTAGCTGACCCGACGCCGCTAGGGGTAGCGGAAGAAGCAGGGTACGCAGAGCCGAGGGCCTTGATCTCGAACGGTTGAGAGGTAGCGTAAACCTAAGACGCGGCTTAGAAATGACTAGTCTACGTATTGAATACGCGTAGGACTCACGTTCGTGTTGTTGAAAGGATCGGCGAGCTGGATGGTGTAGCCGGTCGCGGCAGGCTGGGCAGCCTCGTTCTGGGTTATGGTCTCAGAGCAGTCGTAGTTGTTCTGCTGGGAAAGGATAGCCAGAGGCGACGAAAGGATAGTAGGATTGGAGTTGGCGATGCTACCAAAGAGGACACAGTCAGACCAAAAATCGCATGGCCAAAGGAAATCCTCACAGGATTGTAAAATTGGTATACGGCGAGGTCTTGCAAGTCCACTCTAGGGTATTGAGCGACTGTGCAACTTGGGACGTTTGTCGTTTCAGCGAAGCGAGTGCGAGTGTAGAGATAACTCACCCCACCAGAGGCCCGGACCACCTGGAGTGATGATCTCGAGCTGGGCGGCAGCTCCACCGACAAGGGCAGCGAGCGAAGCAATGGATGCAACAGAGAACTTCATCTTGAGGATAAAAGAGAAGGTGAGTGCTTGCAGCGGAGGAAGGGACTTGCTAACGATAACAACAAGTGGGAAACCGGTTCGACACGGGGGAAGATGGCTGGCAAGAATGGCTAGTTCGAGCGGAGATCCAAGACGGCTTCGTGCCGACTCAAGCCTGGAGTCCTCCTGCAGCCCAGGTCTTCCCGACGTACCGAACAAGCGGCGCGCAATATTTGATCGCAACGTCTCGTTACATGGACATCTTCAGAGTACCGTCACGGTACGTTCCATCCAATGTTTGCAGTACTCGCTGCGCAGGGTGTGAGCAGTGCTCACATGGCCTGTTTCGATCGACTTGGTTGCGGTCGGCTTGCCTGAGATCGACGTATGCTCCTCTCCCTTGTCGATGAGCACGACGATCCACTCAAGTTCATGGCGCCCTGTGCCTGTGCTAGATTCCTGTGCAAGAACCTGATTTATCTCTTCTCTGCGTCCGCGTGTGCGATCGTGGTCTTGTTGAGGGCGGTCTTGTCTGAAACCCATGCTAACGTTCACTCTCTCCAACAACCACGGAGCAGCGGTGTCTGCACTGCACTGGCGCTAAACAGTTGTCCTCACTTGGTCCGATTCACATCCCCATGTCTCTCTACTCAGTCAACCCCCCCAACATTTCCCATTCAATTTCATCACCCTCGACTCGGAGCTCGAGGGTAAGTTGCACAGGATATCCTCAGTATCGGACTTCTCTTGGGAGACCACATCATTGACCTTCATAATGCCCTCATGATCGCTTGGAAGGCAATCGTTGGGCGCTGACTGGGTGTGTGGTTGCGTCCGAGTTCTCTGTGTTCCGAATTGCTTCCTTCACGCCTTGACAGGATTCTGTATGTCTACATGCATCTGTGGCTGCCCTGAAGCACGGACTTTCTGTTGCTGCGAAGACGAATATTGTCACCTCCATCTATCTGGCTGATGATTTGCTTATACTTGTCATTTTGCTTCGACGAGTGGAGCATGTATTACCGTAGCGTTCGTCCAAGCTGGACGTATTTATTTTTATCAAGTTTTCTTCAACTCGTTGAAGACTAGCTCGACGCACTAAACGTCTCTGATCTCTGACAAGTGCTTACTGCTTGCCCGAAGAACTTGAGAAGGTCTCCCTCGACATGATCCTGAACGCATGACCTTTTCTGAGATCCGCAGTGCGTACCACCTTCCGCATGTCTTTAATTTCCTTCTGATCCTTCCACTGTACGGATAGATCTGCACATTGGAGGCACAGGTCGAGCAGAGGAAGGCTCCATATTTGCCTTCGCCTTTGTGCAGACGCCGGATCCCGCCTCAAGGCTTCTTGCTGTTACCTGCTCAACGGTCATTACCGACTTCCCAGCCCCTTACGGATGCTCTGGTCAATGTATTGCTGCACCCTTACACGTGTGCAAGGCTCTGATAAGGCCAGGATGCTCTCTCCATGACCATCGTTTGCGCTCAGACCGTACCACTTAAACTCGGGCTCTTCAACTCTGGTATCTGCGTCGATAATGAAGGTTCCGCAATATGTGAACGACTTCGAGCACCATGAAAATGTACCAATGTTCTGTCCTGATCCCTTCGATGTGGACGTTGTAGAAACTGTCACCCTCACGGAAAGTGGAGAACCTCGTGTACTCCAGCCGATCTCCAACGCCAGGCATGTCACTCTGCGCGAGCGACTGGCCGCGCGGGCCAAGAACCTTCCCCTACCTCGGATGTGAGCTCGTCGTTTCCCTCGAGTTCAGAGCTGACTGCAAATAACAGGCACATCGGGGAGTCGCAGAGGCCCCACAGTAAGCTGCCCCAGATCTATGACAGGGTCGTTGGGCGGTTGTTTTCTCGTAGGCCGAGGGAACGCCCACTACCACCACTGCCAGCCACGCTCCCCAGACACGATTGTGTGATCTGCCAGAGTCCCATCGCAGACATCGAGATCCATGCCCCGTGTGGGCACTACTTGGACCCACAGTGCCTCGTCGCTCTGGTGGAGGCGTCGACGGGGAATCAGCTGCAATTCCCTCCTCGCTGTTGTCAGCGGCCCATCCCCTTCACCCAGTTTGAGCCCTACCTGTCTCCTTCCCTCGCAGCACTCTACTCAGAGAAAGAAGCGGAGTTCAGCACCCGCAGACGTGTCTACTGCGCGAACCCGGTCTGCAGCCGTTTTCTTGGACCTCGCACGAGAGGCCCTTCCTTCCGCATCATCTCCTGCCCGTCGAGATGTGGCACGCTCACCTGCAATTGCTGCCGCGCCGCCGTGTCCAACTCGGAGCCTGCGGCGCACCGCTGCCGCCACGACCGCCGCGAGAGAGCCGTGCTCGCGCTCGCGAGCCGCAAGAAGTGGGCGCGGTGCCCCGCGTGCGAGCAGGTGATCGAGCTGCACAGCGGGTGCTACCACATGACGTGCTTGTGCGGGCAGCAGTTCTGCTACCTCTGCGGGGCGCCGTGGAAGACGTGCGCGTGTGTGCAGTGGGAGGTGGTCCAGCTGCGCGACGTGGGCGAACATCTGGACGTGGGACCGGAGGTTAGGCATCGGGCGTCGGGGCGCGGGCGGAATGAGCGCGCGGATGTGTTGTGGGAGGCACCTCGCCCTGTTGTTTGTGATGATCGACTTCGACCATGTCCCGAAGTCGTCCGCATTGCGTCGGAGAAAAGGCCTGCACCGGAATTTGTGGAGAACGATCCTGAGACTTGGGACGCAAGTCTCGTCGATGATGACGTTGTGATCCGAGGATTATTGGCGCAGCATCGGCGGAGGAAAAGACGAAGGGTAAACACGCAGGACGAGAACGTGTATATGGCTTCTGTCTCTGGTGGGCATTATGAATAGCGATGAAGGTACTTAAATATGCATGAGGTGAGCAAATCCGCGAAGTCCTGCAATAGAAAAATTGGTCCTCATTTTCTGTTATTCTGCAGCTCCTAGCCGATATTCTCAAAACAAATCAAAGCTCGTCCGTTGTTGAATTCTGGTCTGACATGCCGTACGAATGTGTATTTATCAGAGAGGTACTGGAAAGTGATCTTAGCACATAAATTTCCCTGTCACTATTATCGCTGTTCTCTAGCGGGACGACTCCCGTAATCTCCTGAAACGTTGCATTGTGCAGTGAGACGGTGTTCACGGTCCATATTTCAGATCTAGAAGACCCTAACCGTCACTTTTTTTAACACATCGGCTTGCTTCTGATGTAGTCAGGAGACTTCCAAAACTTGTAAGTTGCGTTCACATAGAACTCTCCCCGCTCATTTAAGCACAGCTCCTCCATCAGAACGCGTGTAGACACTAGAGTTTCTCCGATGGTGAAGGCTACGCCAACTGCACCAAGTTATGGATCTACTCATACAAGGTGAACTAGGTTTGTCTGAAGCCAGTTGACTAGCTAAGTACTTCGCCCCAGATCTGGCTTCTTCAGCTTCTTGTTGGGGTCATGTTTTACTACGTCTGACACTCATGTACTTCGGCAACGTGTCCTACTACTAACAGTCCAGCCTAGTCTAGTTTTTAACGCGGGGGGCTTATCGGTAGGTCCCCAATTTCGTTCGGAGCTTGGACTTGCAAGGAAGGAATTACGTGACCGATCAACTCGCCTGCAAGAAAATGAGTCGGAGCTAGAAATGAGAGAACAAGCGCTCCGCAAGCTCGCGGTGCGCAGATACTACTTCATACTCCAGGGAAGCGGTCGTTGTTACATTCGAGATGTCTCAGTCAAATGGTATGCCTTTTAAGCTGTAGGCGACAAGCAAAAGAAACAGATCCAATAGGTAACAAGAGAAGCAACTACTGAGGATGGGTTGTGAAAGTTCTGGCTTGAACTTGGACACTGTCACATCCCAATAATTTTGTTACTCCTTCCAGCATAAGACAGTTGAAGAATCTATAAGGCTAATTGGGAGTCACTCTGGCTACCACTACCAAAGTTGTAAACAGTGCAACATACTGGTATCCCCACCTAAAATACAGTACTAGTGGATTTAGCTGTTCTAAGGGCCCTGAGGCATAGATTTTCTAAAAAAATATATTCACTCTACAGACAGTACATAACAGGAGAACACCCTGTGCACCAGAGAACTATGAGGATGCGTCAGAAACGCGAGACTTGCATGGGGAGATGAGAACGCGTTTTGACGCGTCGCGTGCACGTGATGTGCGGAGATGAAAATACCCAACCTACCGATAAGGACCGCACAAGGCACATTCCACCTTTTTCCCTGGAGAAAAACCTGGGGAAAACAACAAAGTAAGTCTCTGGGAAATATCCGGGAAAAACTGTGAGAAAACAATAGTGTAAATCCTGGGGAAAAATGGTGACCCAGAAAAAGCAACAGATTTCTCGGAGAAAAAACCTTTGTTTCCAAATTGGGATTTCCGCAAGCTCCCACCACATACCTCTTGCGGAAATCCCGATTTGGAAACAAAGGTTTTTTCTCCGAGAAATCTGTTGCTTTTTCTGGGTCACCGTTTTTCCCCAGGATTTACACTATTGTTTTCTCACAGTTTTTCCCGGATATTTCCCAGAGACTTACTTTGTTGTTTTCCCCAGGTTTTTCTCCAGGAAAAAAGGTGGAATGTGCCTTGTGCCGCCTTATAGATAGCAGACACCAGACACGGATATCCTGAGGAACGAAGGTTGAAGCAAAGTGTCAGTCTGCCTTTGGGAGACTAGTCCAGCCGGGAATCAACGGCCATCTGCAGCTACCACTCCCGTACGAGCACCCGACCCACCGCCGGAGCTGTAAGTCTTGTATCATCTCATGTATGCTGACACGGATCCTGACCGGTCACAGTTGTGTCATCTGCATGGACCCAATTCGAGGCGTGGAAATGCGAGCTCCATGTGAAGATTACTACAACAGAGCGTGCAAAGTTCTGGAGCTCTTTCAGGCAGCGACCAGGACGAATCGCTCTTCCCTCCTCGCTGCTGCAGGCAGATAATCCCCTCTCGAATCCGTGCAACAGCACATGACTGCAGAACTCCTGGATCTCTTCAAGTTTGAGATGGAGTTCAGCACATTGAAACGTGTCTACTGTGCTCGCCAGTCTTGCAGCCGCTTCCTCGGTGCACAGATCGAGAGCTCGCTGCAGTGGGTCTTCCGGCCGATGTACAAGTGTCGTGCTCCAGGATGCGGTACTGAGACATGCTCCTGGTGCCGCATCAGCAAACTCGCAAGAGTCTGGGGCATCTGGCGCCAGACCCGCCATGCGCCGCCATGCACCGCCATGCCACCAGAAATGTCTATGGTATTATAAATGACCTACGAATATCCATGATATGTATTTATGGCACCATGCAACCACCACACTTGCTACGAATCCATTCACGAGCCACAGATTAGACAGACAGGAGCCATGGTTTCGACGAATTGCCACAATTCAATATTCATTTTATGGTACATGATACTGCGCTACTACTACTTGCCAGTCAGCACCTCAGGCAGTCTAATGACAAGCTTGCAATACCGAGCTTCAAGTTGACCCTGTCGCACGGCTAACTTCTGCACGTTGATTCCCTTCTGCGCAATGCGCACCTCCTTCCTGTTTTTGGTCCTCGGCCACTGCCTCTCAAATTTCCCTTCTATCACTCACTTGATTGCTTTGAAGCTTTCTATGTTAATAAATATGCTGATCATCACACGAACGAGATTGTATTTTAGACTGTAGATAGTACAATTCTATGTCCGACTCATTCGGGGTATATGGCTTGCGTGGGTTGTATGGTATTGACACGACTTGACTGTGGTGACATCTGGCGAAGAAAAGCCAAGCATGGCACCATAACTACCAGACATTCCATACGCACCAGAGCGTGCCAGACTTGTGCGAGATTGCTGAAGTGCAAGGAGGAAATCGCCCTCTTTCACGTCTGCCTCGACGTGCTCGACGTGCTTGACGACCGCCGTGTGCTGTGGGCGCGCTGCTCGGGCTACGAGCAAATCATTGAGCTCAAGTACAGATGTTTCCACATAATCTGCAGATGCCGCCCGGAGTTCTGTTACTGCTGCCGTGCCAAGTGGAAGGCGTGCCGGTGCCGGAGCGTCGCCTGCTTGTTGTGGCACCCGTCGGGGAGAATCCGACTGCCGCACCTCAGCGCACTCGGAGAGCCTCAGTGCGTGCCCTGGAACTGCAGACTTGACACTGCGGAAAAGGTGAGGGTTTCACACCCCGGAATCGCAAATATAACAAGCACCGCAGTCTCCGGACAGGGCAGTGCTCATTAGGACCTGGGTTGCAAGATTGCCTGCGCAGTGACCACAATTGTAACCATGCGCATTGGCAGTACCGACGAGGGGAGGCGCTGTGAATCGAGCCTCCATAGACTTCCAATCTACCTGCCACAAAGTGATCCTAGCATGTATAGGTCCATCACAAAAAAGGCGCGGAACTTGTAATGCCATTATATCGTAATAGAATGTCATTAGAATAGATAAAATCATCAGAATGACCGGAATGGATAAAAGGGCAATCTGTCTTAACAATGAAATGTTAGAACTCGGATAAAATGCAGATAAAATCACATAGTGTATCGGTTGCAACAGGCACAGGTGTATTACTGCTTAGAATACTTTTACTGCGCCGGCTGCCAGCATTCAGGTTGCTCGTTGCAATTTCCTCAATGTATCACATACAATGCATAATAGTGTGCATAAAAGATATATATTGCGGGTATAATGTACATGTGTGGGCATCTGCCTGCCGTACATACAAAGAAACGAAAAGCGGCCATGGGTGCTGAGGGCGGTGGTGAGCGCTGAGGGGCCGGAACTGCTAGGGTCACATCGGAGATCTCATAATAGATGAACGGCATCCTCGGGTTCAGATCTGTCGGGCGTCGTGAACTGGAGGCGTGCTGCATAACTTGTGACACTTTAGAGCATGTTGCGGAGCGATAGGTTACCACAGGCAGGGGAAAGCCGTAGGCAGCGCGGGGTTCATGACATTGGCAACGAGTACCATATGACGGAGCCGGTATCCTTCACATAAGTCTCTGTCAGGATCCACCAGGAAAGGCACTGGGAAACCGTAGCCAGCGTGCAGAATGTTGATCATTCGCGTGACGCAGAACACGTAACATGGCTTCTTCGCATTCATGTGTCGGTACCCAGTGACTCTGAGAAATGTGGTCTCGGGTACGGGAAGGTGCGACGAGCTTTGAGTCACAGCAGAACATGTAGGCGATGCAGGCTTGCCAGCGGTACTTGCGGGGAGTTGGATGGATACATACACATTCTTCTCTGCGTAAGTCTTCTGTCGGGGATCGGGATCCACCTGAGCACAACACTACGGGACCGGAGCCGGTATATCGAACATTGACGACCAGATTCGAGCACAATGCACCGCACCTGTCCTTGATCCTCACAGTTCGGTTCTTGCTTCTAGCACTGTGGTAACATGTACAGTTCTCCAGCACAATGCTTGAGTCCAACCCCTGGGCACGAGTCACTGCACGAGAATACAAGATGCTTGTGGATCCAAGGAGCCTGAAGCCACACCAGCATAAAGAGTAGAGACTACATTGTAGTCAGGCAACCAGAGAAAGAAGATGACACAGGAGGCCAGCCGATGATTGCCACAGGTCTTGCATGATATCCGGGGCCAGTACGCGAGCAGGGTGCGGTGTGATCTTGATGGTGACGTCTGAGCGGGAGAAATACATGACAGTTGAAATGTCGAAACCTGCAATAAAAACCCTGTGAAAAGAAAAGGTTATAGTAGTGACCACGGATCAGTTATGGCGAGAGTTGAATGTTGAAGGAAGGAGCAACGAGCGATGGAGCCGGACCCGCCACTCATGTTGTGGAGTTTGCAGCTGTACAGTTGCCGGAAGTAGCCGGAAGTTCACGACACTCAGGAGGCAAAGCCTTGTGTCACGACCAAAGGCGAATGGAATGGGAGCGCAATACCGTTGGAAGGTGCAAAAATGTGGCACATCGATTAGTTGGTGTGACATTATTTCTCACGTTGTGACACGATCGTAATGGTCTCGCATTTCGGCTACAATCCTATTACAATCAATAAAATTCTTGGGTTACTCAAAATAGATAAAATCTGGCGGCGCTTTTTGTGATGTCTCTCTGTCACTGTTATCGCTCTTCTCTTGCGGCTTGAAAGGTTGCGCAGTATGATGAGACGATCTGCACTTCAGAATTTCAGAGGACCCTAACCGTCATTTTTCTTACGTCGAGAAACCACGTTGGCCAGCTTCTGAAATTTGTTCTGCAAGTTGCTTGGGTATATAGCGAGGAGACTTCCAGAAATTGAAAGTAAGTCACGTTCAGATCAAACTCTATGTGAACGGTGTCCCACTGATATAAGTACCTCGCCTCGGCAGTCACGTCTTTCTTATCCTTTCTCTCGCATGTCGTCCGCAGCAAGTCCGTCCCGCCGTCCAGCCCGGACGGTCGAGCAGGATTTGCGTGCATCTGTTGCACGACTCAGCGCAGAGGACATCGCTATCCTACGCTCAGGTGCGAGACGCCCAGGTCAGCAGAAATCGGATCGTGAGTTGGCGCTCGAGCTCGCTGAAGAGGAAGCTCGGCTTTTTGCTGTCTTCGAGGGGGATCATGCCCTTGCATTAGAACTGGGCATGCGTGGAGACGCTAATGTCCCTCCCATGGCTAGGCCTACACCAATTCTACCGCACAATCGATCTACTCGTACAGGGTGGGCCCGAGTTTATCTGAAGTCAGTTGACTAGCTAAGTACATCACCCACTAGATCTGGCTTCTTCAGCTTCTTGTGGGGGTCAGCTATCCCCGGCACCAATATGCAAACACAGAGGCGAGTCGTTGTTTTCACTACGTCTGAGAATGACACTCATGTACTTCGGCAACATATCCTACTACTAACAGTCCAGCCGGGAATCAGCGGCCACCTGCCGCTACCACTCCCGTACGAGCACCCGACCCACCGTAAGTCTTGTATCTTCTCATCACCTCATGTGTGCTGACGCGGATCGCTCCAGTCTGACCGGTCACAGTTGTGTCATCTGCATGGACCCAATTCGAGGCGTGGAAATACGAGCTCCATGTGGAGATTACTACGACAGGGCGTGCATTCTGGAGCTCTTTCAGGCGGCGACCAGGGACGAATCGCTCTTCCCTCCTCGCTGCTGCAGGCAGAGAATCCCTCTCGAATCCGTGCAACAGCACATGACTGCAGAACTCCTGAATCTTTTCAAGTCCAAGACAGAGGAGTTCAGCACACTGAAACGTGTCTACTGTGCTCGCCAGTCCTGCAGCCGCTTCCTCGGTGCACAGATCGAGAGCTCGCTGAAGTGGATCTTCTGGCCGACATACAAGTGCTCTGCTCCCGGATGCGGTACTGAGACATGCTCCTGGTGCAAGAAGAAAGCAACCTTCGGTCACCGGTGCGACGGCGACGACGGCAACGACCAGCGCGTCCTGGCACTGGCGCGTGCGCAGGGCTGGTCGCGCTGCCCAGGCTGCGAGCAAATCATCGAGCTCAATCACGGATGCTTCCACATGACCTGCAGATGCCGCACGCAGTTCTGCTACCTCTGCCGCGCCAGGTGGAAGACGTGCGCGTGCCCGCAGTGGGACGAGCGTCGCTTGCTTGCTGCTGCGGAAGCGCGCGCTGATGCACAGCTGCGCCGCGGCGCTGCCCCCGCCCCCGCCCGCGCGGTAGCTCAGGATTTCCGCGCCAATCCAGTCGCTCGTGCGCGTCCTGCTCAAGCAGCTCTCGCCCCCGCCGGTGCAGTGCCTGCGCCTGCGCCTACGATCCGCCCAGCGGCGAACCCTGTGAGGCCGGCGGCGGGACCCGCTTGGTATGTCGACCGCCGTCCGGTGTATGGCCAAGTGCCCGTCGGGAGGAATCCGACTGTTGGGTCCGCACCTCAGCGCCCTGCTGCAGCTACGGCGAGCCAAGCACATACAGGACGTCAGCCGGCCACAGTCACTACCCCTCGCAACCAGCCTTTGGCCGTACATTACCGGGCAGTTTCCCGATCTACAAATGTAGTAAATGCTGCAGTGGTGCCGGACAGGGCTACTCTCATAAGGACCTGGGTTGACCGCCTGCGGGACGACCACGATTGTAACCACGCGCATTGGCAGTATCGCCGCGGAGGAGGACACTGTGAGTCCTGTCACGATAGACTCCCAATTTACCTTCTCGTAAGTAGGATCTTTTTGTTTGGATGGACACCTTTCACTAATGCAACCATGCTCCACATAGCGTTGTACAGGTTGCGAGATGCTGGCCTGCAGGAGATGCCGGCAGAACCGGCTGTAGCTCGTGAGTTTGCCATACATCTGTTTTGATCGTCGCCGCCCAGAATACTTCTCGAGCCACCTCCGTGCGTGTATCATCACCTTGTCCTGCTCTGAAATTGTATCCGCTTGTATCGCCATCCAGTTTGCATGTGCAGGTTCAATGCGATTTCTGCCCTTCCTACAATTGAAATGGGAGATTGAACATAGATTGCGAATAATAATCAATGTACTTGAGCATTGGTGGCAACTTGCGGTAACTCAACTTGCTCTGATTCCTGCAGCATCTGGGACAACAGGTAAGGACGTCGTCATTCAGGGCTTACCGGTGTGTATGTGGTCGTTGATGAAAGCGAGATTACAGAGTGTATAGCGATACCTTTCTGTCTCCATGCGCATGAGAGCTTTCAAAGCGTGCAGGAGCAAATAAGGGATGATCTTAGATCTTCCACAGTTGCGTCTAGCTTCGCGCCACTCATTCCGTACAGGTATATATACTCGTCTCTGCCGTCTGAGAATCGCCACCTCTTCGCAACGGTCACCGATCCTTACCCATCCACGAGCCTACATCGCCAAAGGCCCTGATTACACTTCATCTACAAGTAGGTTTCCGGAGTCTTCATGCTTACGTCCTGTGCCGTCGTTACACCTAAGCACTCCGTTTCCTGTCCAACAACGTCCAATATGGCAGAACAACGAGAAATAACCAAAGTTAGCTTCGTGAACGGTGCGCTAGTGGCAACTACCTACAAAGTTTCAGATCCATGTGCCTGTGGCCATGATTGGAAAGGTTGCTACATGGTTCTTCGGAAGTTTTGTGGCGCTTGCTCAATACAGTACCCACTGTGGATCCGCGTGAATGTGAGTGATATCCATTGTTAGTCTCAGACTCGTGTCAACTGCCATTTGTGCATAACAGCGTTGTAAACGTTGCGGAACCATCGTCTGCAAGAGATGTGCAAGTAGACAGCAGGAATAGGCTGTTGGCGCCTCAAGGCTACTCTTGTGTTTCTGTTTCTCTGTTCATGTAACATACGTTTGGATCACGTTTTATTCAAGTAAACGTTTGTTGCCGAGTGGGTTGTATGGCACATAGTGGACTCTGGAGAAATACTACGTCGTACAAGACCTATCAGTTCTGTGATAGCCAGTATAATCGCTGTAATGTACTGTGCGTGTATTGCTTGAAGTTATGCCAGGTCTCCGAGAAACGAACTTAACGCCACCTTGCCGCCACCGCCGCGTCCAAAAGGAGCACATTTCAAACTCAACCAAGATCGCAAACTCTATTTCCACTGCGACGGTCCTTAACGTTCTCAACCCCATCCATCGACAACGTCAGCAACAACGGAGGTGAGCCGGCCGTAAAAGTGAGTAACTCACCGTTCATACCAGTACAGCCTACATCTCGTTTCCTACACCTCGAAAATGCGTGCATAGGGGTGGATTCGAAATCGATCGCTTGGATGGTGCCGAACATCTCACTTACTGACCACTGCCAATTGTGCAGATGCCCATCATAGAATATCAGGTCGTCGGGCGCCATTTGCCCACGGAGGCTGATCCTACTCCCAAAATCTATCGCATGCGTATCTTCGCACCCAACGAGGTGGTCGCCAAGTCGCGTTTCTGGTATTTCCTCCGGTGCGTCTACTCACTCCGTAAGCTCCGCACACGAAATTGACTCCGTTCCAGACAACTGAAGAAGGTCAAAAAGGCCAGCGGTGAAATCATCGGGGTCAACGTTGTGTGTATTATCCCTTGCAGCCGTTCAAATGGCAGGCGGAGCGGGAGCTAACGGCGTTCGCGCGACGCGTCCTTCAGATTCATGAGAAGAAGCCCTTGAAAGTCAAGGTCTTCGGCATTTGGCTCCGCTACGATTCGCGTTCCGGTACACACAACATGTACAAGGAGTTCCGTGAGCTCAGCCGCGCTGATGCCGTGAAGAGCCTGTACCAGGATATGGCTGCCAGGCACCGTGCCCGTTTCCGGTCTATCCACGTACGTTCCCTTATGATCAGCTACTCCGCCCGCTGTCAATTTGCAGTGGATTTGGTACTGATCTTCTGGTTCTGTAGATTCTCCGTGTTGTCGAGATTGAGAAGACCGAGGACGTCCGCCGGCCATACATCAAGCAGCTTATGGTCCCCAACCTCAAATTCCCTCTACCTCACCGCGTCCAGAAGGTTCGCTCGACATTTGTCGCGCACCGCCCGTCAACGTTCTAGATGTGCTTTTGCTCGCGTGTTACTGTGTTGGGCTCGTCGTGTGATGACGTACCGTATCATGTTGGACTACATGCATTATGAGAGTATGATTGAGGCATGCGTGACTTTAATGCGTTGAACTTTGCTATTCACTACGTTATTAGACTCAACAGTTAATCGTGTAACAATTGCCAGGTAGTGACAGGCCAGATCCGTGGCCTTGCACCAGGCTGACCGCGTTGAAAATACGAAGTGCTTCGGGAATCCACCTCGGGACCCTCCATGAAACGGTGCGGGTGCGCCATGAAGCCAATATGGATGCAGAGCATGTGGAGGTGGTGTCCACGATGATAGACGTCGACCATATGCCCGTGGGCATCTCTCGCAGAAGTCAACTATCTAGTCCAGTATCCTTTGATTACAACAGAACTTTACGGAAGTTATCAGGGGCACCACAAACGTTATATACTGTTTGCCGGCAGCGAGTTCACATTCACAGTACTAGTGCGCGTTAGTTCGTGCGAGAATCTTTCATCAGGAGCTTCTGCGAAGTGTGTCAGTATTGTGAATTATAGTACACAGCGTGCCTTTGACGTACACATTGCAGGAGAACCGACATAAGCGATCCACCTAGCACTGTAAGTCTACGAAATTTGCTCACAGACAGTGTGTTTGAGCCTTTATGCACAGCGCTGGATCTGCAAGTTCGTGAGTGGGCAAAGAACGTTCTCAGTCGCAGAGCATGTCTTCGCAGAATTTTCGGGATATCCGAGTGCGGGAAGCTCCCATCTATCGTCTCTCAGAAGATGTCCTGCAAGCCATTTTCAAAACTGGCTGGTCGAGCGGGCGCTCTATGGGAGGAAGTCCTGTGTTCACTCTTGCCGTTGCGTCCGTCTGCCGCTTCTGGAGAGGAGTAGCAGTCGATACTTCTCTGTTGTGGACAACGATCGTCGTGAATACCACCTCCATGCGTGACCCAGGATTCCTTCATTCTTTCATTGCGCGTTCAGGTTCCCGCGGTCTGGACATCGTCCTTGCCAACCACTCTTGTGTTCCAATAGATCATGCTTACGAAGTATCGATGGCGATGCGGCACTTGAAGATCCTGCTCGCATACGTTAAACGATGGCGCACATTCTCGTTCTCCACAGCATCTGATTCGACACTGGCGCGGATCGTCTCTTCTCTGCGAGGCAGTGCGGATATCCTGGAAGAGCTCCAGGTTACCTATTCAAAGGGTGGCCATCTCATCCTCCCCCAAAACACGCCTTTCGATGTCAGCTTCACAGCACCAAAACTGCGCCAGTTGATTCTGGAGAATGCCTGCTGTCTTTCTCATTATTCAGGACAGAACTTTCCTGTGCTGGAGCGACTCATGCTTGATCATTCTGTTTCTCCGCCCGGCGACTACGACGAGATGTACGTAGCAGAACTACTGCAACCTCTGCGAAATCTCCGATACCTGAACTTCGAGGAAGATGTTGGCGTGCAGTTCGATTGGGAAGGCATGGAGAGGGTGTCACTGGAGCCTCTAGAAGAGATTGTATTCACACGCATGCGCGTCTGTGCCATCTCCAACCTCCTCTCTGTTCTAGAGGCTCCACGTCTCACGCGAATATCTTGCTGCAACCTGGAGGACATGGGTGATCTAGGCGAAGATGAAGAATTCATCGCACACCATGCAGTCCACTTCCCGTCTCTTCGCACACTGTCTCTCATCGGCTGCCTCCAAAATGCTCACGACTGCGTCAAGATTTCTTCCTTGGCTCGCGATTTCGAGCATCTCAATATCTCAGGGCTGAATATCTGCAGCATCAACAATGTCGTCGATTATGCTGGAACCGACAGCGGTCCTGTTGCATGGCCTTTCACCCGGCTCTCGTCCATAAACATTCGAAGTGATGCAGGCGTCTCAATCAGGGGGCTTCACAAGATGGTTGAAGCGCGGCATGAAGCCCGTGCAAAGGAGAAGCCGCCTGCCGTGATCGACGAACTGTATGTTTACACTTCTCAGCGTATATCTGAAGAGGATCGTGCATGGTTGGAGGGCATGGTTCGAGTATTCGAATGGTCGCCGGTCGATGGTAAAGTCGCAGACGGATCGCTCTCTCTGTCCTTCGTCCCCAAGTGACGGAGCCGTGTCAGGCAGATCTTGGAGACATTTCTCTTCTTCAGCCCTCGTGCATAGCCACTGTAGTTTGCATTTCTCACGTACGCCATGAGAGTCCTACATTTGAAGTCAGAATAATCGGCCTCAAGGTGATACTCAAAACCCCCCCCAATGAGACAGGAGAAGGAGAGGGGAGGGACGGGTCATGCAGCTCCAGTTCTAAGTCGGGCATGTACCTTGTCGTAGCGAAGAATGTCTAAACAGAACAGCGGACATAGGTAACGCATGGATAAAATGTTTCGCCAAATATTAGTCTGTATGAGCACACGAAGAAGTATCCGTCTAGATCTACATATATGCTAAGGTTAACTTGAGTCCATATGCGAGACAGCGACGAGGAACTTAGGTTTGAATCGACCAAACCTAAGGAGATATAAACAGAGGGTAACGAGCGGAGCCACACTGGTTATGTCTGCAAGCTGGCAATGCGAACGAATGAGCGACACGACCTTGATCAAACGGAATAATCACGAGGTAATCGAGCGACGAGACCGAACTTGCTAGCCTGCACTGCACATTGCGGAGGACAACCATGACGGCCAGCGCGTCATCATAAGCGATCGGGAGGACGGAGAACAGAAGGATGAATTCAAGAAAATGGACACGGCTCTTGTTTGGCGCGCATATTCGCCGTAGGGGCAAGCCTGCCGAATTGGCGCGCCGGCCGGCCTCAGAGGCGCGCCCCACACGCACACGTCTTCCGCACTAGGTGACAAAGTTGGTACAATGTTGTGCGGAATCTGCAGGGGAGGCCGGGTTGATTACAAGCATACATGGTTGAGCTCGATGACTCACTCGCAGGAATACCACAAAATGCCCAAGCAGCGAATGCGAACAGAACCAACAGCTGCACATCTCACAGGAAGGAATGAAATATCGTAACGAATCTCACGCACCCTGCAACGTCCGCGAGGATGAAGACTCATCGCTTGGGGACGTCTTCGGCACAACACTGATTCCCTTGCGAACATGCAGATCCGTGGTTTTCTGGCAGCATCATTCGAACTGTCTGCAAACACGACAGCCCATAATCGGGCACAACTTGACACCGAGATCATTGCATCGATCCCAGAGCCGAAAACCTCGGTAAGATGAGCAGTAAAGACCGATAGGGCAGGAAAACGACGGGAGAAGCGTCAAGTCATTAACGAACGTGTTGTTGCTCACGAATTCGAGGCGAATAACGGACTCAAAAAATTGGAAGCAACACTGCTTATTCGTCTCCCTTAACGCCGCAAAGCATTCTCTGATATCCCAATGTCATGTTCATTCCATGCGCTGAACACGATAGCCGAACGAACTCACCTATAAAATCCCGTCGTAATACCTCTATGTCCTTCATCAACCGAACATCGTTCGCATCCCACATCTGCAGCTTCAGCGACATAATTCCAAGTTGACTCACATGTTCAAAATGCACCTCCTCTCACTCCTCTCTCTCGTGCTCGCCGGCGTCGGTGCCTTCGCAGCACCGCAGAGCTCCTCGGCGCCCACGACTTGCAACGGCGGGGGATCTATCGACTGTTGCACGACGACGTACGAGCCCGACTCGTACGAGGCGACCGTTCTCACCACTGCGCTCAACCTGGACAAGTCAAACTTGCCCGAAGGTCAAATCGCCACGTCTTGCGGGGGCGGTGGTGTCAACGTCGGTGGAGGCAGCACTTGGTAAGCGGTAATTGTGTTGAGCGAAGGACGATAGAGCCGATTGAGGTTGTTGTATTTTCCAGCGAGAACATCCCGGTTTGTTGCACGGATAACTACTTCGGTAAGTATTTGGCATCTTTGCAGGGCGTACGCACTCAACTGATGAATATTGTTCCCAGGGCTAATCGGTGTGGGCTGTTCGCCCATCCCAGTCTCGCTGTAATCCATGATGTGGAATCTCCTTTGCTTAAACATGGTACGCATGCAACTTCCGCCCATATTGACTTGCGCTCAGCAATACACGATGTCCGTAGATACTTTCGTGGGACATTCGCCAATTTGAGTCAGATTAGGGTGAAGGCGATGTGACGAGGGCTAGATGGGCCGTATACCCCAGACAATCTTGGTACTATAGATTCACATGTTAATGATCACAAAATGTCATTCGCATGAATGCACCTACGAGTCAGAGTTTCGTGACCGATTTTAGATATTTGGATGTTATGGGAACAAGAAGTTTGCTGATAGCTGATCCGCACCACAGAAGCTCTGGTCGCACGCACGAACGGAATATTGCATAGAACTTGCGGGCATTGCACCCGACATGAACCGGATAACGTCTTCTGATGCTGTACGAACGATGATGTAACACTTGCTCCCATACTCATAATCAACAATGCACATGCTTTGAAAAAGACGAGTTCAACTGCATGAAAGATGAATTCACAGTATGATGGGACGAATGAGCAACCGTGACATACATATAGAAGTAGATGTCCATTTTGTGTTGTGGACAGAATACAGCGAAGTCACCGGCCTCTTCACAAACGGTATTCACAAGAGGCACAGTAATCTTCCAGTGTACGTGATGTCTTCAGACTGAATGGAATCAGTCATGAGTGGGCCGAACATGAGTCAATCTCGTTGCAACTGGACACGAATGATGTCCGGGATATGCAAGGTGTCTGAATGGCCGAACAAGACTGCTTCCAAACGGTCTCATAATTAGATGATTGATAGCGAGTATCGCTCCGGTCTCGCGGTCGACGTTCACGTCACAATTAACCCCTTGACGTTGCCAAGAATACGGAGAGGAGAAACTAGAGCATAAGGGAGGATAATTTATGTGTCAAAGAATGAGCGAACAAATACGATGGAGGGAGACCAGTAAATCTCTGAGAAAACGGAGAAAAATGCACGCGAATTGACGCTACTCGTTTCAATACATGTCGCAGGATACTCGCTGACAACGACACAACACGTCCATTCCATAGCACGAACACGAAATGTCGAGAACTTACCTATAAAGAACATCCGTTTTGTCCTCTAGCTCAACAGAAAATTGTCAAGTACCAGTTCCAACTCACCTACATGTTCAGCCTGCGCATCCTCTCCCTCCTCGCCTTGGCGTTCTCCGGCGTCAACGTTCTTGCAGCCCCACAGAGCTCCGGCACAACCTGCAACGGCGGAGGATCTATCGATTGCTGCACAACCACGTTCGAACCCGAATGCGACGAGGCGAACATCATCATCGACGCGCTCCGCATAGACAGGTCAACCTTGCCTGATGGCATGATCGCCACAGCATGCGGCGGCGGAGGTGTCAATGTCGGTGGTGGGAGCACCTGGTGAGCTACAGCGTCTTGATGAGACTATGATCCGTGCTGAATGTGATTCCCCTGACATCTAGCGACAACATTCCTGTTTGCTGCACGGACAATTTCTTCGGCGGTTCGTCAGTGCGAATACACAGAATTTCGTCCGTATTGATGTGTTCTCTTCGCAGGTGCTGTTGGCGTAGGCTGCTCACCTATCCCAGTCTCAGTCTAGTCTCCTGAGTCAAATATGCTGCCAGCAGTAAGTTTGCCGCATCTCCCATCTCGCCCCTCAGACTGAACATCCATACGGTGCTCTTAGCTGTTCGTCGTCGGTAATTTTGTTATTCTCTTCCAGAGCACCGGATGATACAAGAGTAGCCACGGGGGTGTGAAATTCCCGAGATGACCCAGTTATTTGTCATGCTGTGTTACAGACAAACTATTGCGAGTTAGAAATTCTGTCGTCAAAACGTTGAAATGCATGGATATAAGTAGCACACCTGTAACACCACCCAGACATGCGCTCAAGGACAGTGTCGCTAAAGTCAGCGATCAGCCTCGTGTTAGTCGACAAGTTACCATTGAGCACTGGAATACAAATAATGATAAGATTGGCGATGTTGTAGATGCACTGTGGGCCTCATTTATCCCGACCTTACACAAAATCCGACTCATGGTGCTGCTGCTGTCAACTACTCCCACATGGCAGGCACAAATGAAGATAAGAAAAGATCGTTTCCTGTCAGGCGGCCCGTCAGACCCAGGACTCGGAAGCGACCTAGCGTAAACTCGAGAGATTCACCTGGGTACCAGAAAGACTTTATTTTGAACAGATAGCTAGTCACGATGCATGGACGTTTGAATGCTGAGCGCTGAGCGCTGAACGTCAGCGAAGTGTCGATTGAGCAAGTGAACATGATAACATGACATTTGAATGACATGTAGGAAGACGCGGTGGCTCGAACTTCTTCGTACTCTAGGCGCCACCTCCGAGTCACCCACCAATAACCCACCCATGAGCCCACCAATAGGAGTCTGGGATACCCCGCAACACGTGACTTGCTAGTGAACGGGAGTCGGGATCGGTATCGTATGTCGCCGTTGTAATAATTCACAGAGGCCCGGCTCTCCACCAGGAGACAAGCCGACATATAAATTCTGTCTCTACCTTTTAGAATCTCTGGCACATTTCTATTCTCAGTCAGCGCGTTCAGGCATTTTGAAACAGTCGAGGTACGAAAATGTGGAATCGTTGCTAGAGGCGAATCTGGAGTGCGCTGAAACCAGTCTTGTTCAAAAGTTTTATTTCAGAATGTCGGTAGTGCACGGTATTCGGACGCTTGGTGTCCTCGGTGCAGGACAAATGGGTGAGCTGACTTTCTGAGCCAGAATCGCGTAATTTCTCTTACTTTGCATCGGACACAGGTCTCGGCATTGCCTACGTCTCCGCTCTTCATGCACGAGTGCCGGTGATGTTGTTTGATCGCTCAACGGCTCAGATTAAAAGCAGCCTTGCGCTCATGGACAAGCTTCTCACCAAAGACGTGTCCAAGGGGAAAATCACGTCGGAACAAGCGTCCGTCGCGCGCGAGCGCGTGAGCGTGATATCCCAGGAGGAAGGAATCAAAGGCATGCGCGACGTGGATATGGTAATCGAGGTATGCATGCCTTTATGAATCGTATACGCATAGGAATATTCCACCGCTTGCGCGCCAGTCTACGGACGAGCTATCACCGCAATATCAACATGCGGCCACTAAGTTTCCAGTTCCGCCTCAATCGACTTCGGTGGGAAATCGCTTACGGTTGATATCTGTATAATGGTAATAGGCGAGCAGCGAGTTCATTGTCTGCAGCGATGTGTACTCATAGCGTGAGCCACGCTGACCGTGTTCGCGCATCAGCGATGGGTTCGCTGACCTGACTAGAGTACCATGGCAAGGACGACCATTTTATCTAATCCATCATACACGCGGCATTTACAAAGTAGTGTCACACCCTCAACTGACGCTTTGTGTATTCAGGCCGTCTCAGAGAATTTACCCCTGAAACAGACATTATTCCGGACACTCGCCGCCGAAGTCTCTCCAGAAGCCATCCTCGCCTCGAACACATCCTCTATAAGCATGACAAAAATTGCAGCTTGCATTGTTGCCGAGGGCCAGGCTGCCTCTGTGGAGGGGAAGAAGAGTGCTTCTCGAGTTGTCGGTGAACGATGCTCTCTTTCTTCTTCGCGTGGAAATACTCACTTGTCCTTCAGGCCTTCATTTCTTCAACCCTGTCCCAGTAATGGTACGTGATACTCCAATTCATCTCTGTCATTCTCACACGCTCATGATATTTGCCTGCTCGACGTCACGTGGACATCGTCTGACCCCATTGTGCCTCCTCCTTGCCGAAAACGCGCACGCCAACCCCCCTTCTACACGTAACCAGAAACTCGTTGAGTTGATCTCGGCGCTTCAAACGTCGCCAGAAACCCTGGCGCGTGCTAAGAATTTTGCAGAAGCATGCGGGAAGGGTGCGTAGGCGTCAATTAAACTCTGCTTCACGAGCTCTATTCTACATCCACCCTCGTCTGCCGCTGCTATCGCATAGGGCGTTTGTGGAGAACGCCACCATCTTGCAAGCTCCTTGTTCCGTGTCATTCAAAAGGCCGTTATTTTGTCTCCTTGAATTGACCTTGAATATTCGTCGCTCTTCTGATCCGATCATCGTGCATGTCTGACCCACTTGTTTTCACCACGCCGTCCTTTGGACGCCCTGCCATCTTCTCTTCAACTCGGCTTACGCAGAAGTAACAACGTCCAAGGACGTGCCCGGCTTCGTCTCCAATGCACTTCTAATGCCGTTTATCAACGAGGTACGCGCTGCATTACTGCCCTCCACCCTAGTCACCGCCTAACATGCCGATCAACGCATGTGCAATTAAACCATCCACTCCTATATTGTTGCTCCCACTTTCACTCATCTCCGGTCCATCGTGGCTTGGAAACTCGGACTGCTGTGATCGACCACTTGCTGCGCTCAGGCTATCATGTGTCTCGAGAAGGTCAGTTACTCCGCCCACCCTTCTTCCCAACGGCGTGCGAGCCGAAGGGGTGGGTTCGTCAGATCTCTGTTGACGCCAATCTCTGACAGGGCACAGCGACACGCGATGATATCGACAAGACGCTCAAGCTCGGGATGAACCACCCAATGGGGCCACTGCAGCTAGGTTCGCCCATCCTATCTGATTTCTCATCGTCTGCGACTGTTTCGTACGCTCCCGCTGATCACTGCCCCATTTGTCTCGTTTGAGTAGCCGATTTGTGAGTCCCCGCTACTTCTCCTTGCGTCCTCCGGACACTGATGATGCCTTTGGCATTGACAGCATCGGCCTGGACACATGCCTTGCGATTCAGCAGACGCTTTACGCCGGAACTAGTGACTCCAAGTACCGCCCAAGTATCCTTCTGGAGCGCATGGTTGACGCGGGTTGGCTGGGCAAGAAGAGCGGGAAGGGCTTCTATGAGTATCCGCAGTGAGCTAGGGCTATTTCATAGGTGAATCTGTATCGCTATTTTCGTTAACCATCTTTCATAATTGCTTGGTTCCAAGTCTGGACGATGAAGACTTACGGTCTATGATTGGATTATGTGCGATGTTCACCTTCTGTCGGAGTTTGCTTCGCCCATGCTATGCTGCGCCGCTGTCTATGCTCCAGCAGCTGTCGTTCGCTGTCAACCAGACGGCGCTGACTCGGTCTTATTGTGCCCACATCTCACTAGGCGCGTCTAATGCTCTCCGATCATGTTTCAAGCTCGAATACATACACACCGTGTCCACCTCTGGAAGCTTTACACGGCTTTACATGCAAGCTTTGCATCCCCACGAAGTGTGCGCCAAATCCACTCCCATTGCCAATCGATTATCGATGTACACCGCATTGCACCAGCTGCGAGTGGTGTGATTTTTCAAGGTTATATTATAGCAATGCAGAAGATAGCTTAAGACAAAAGTCAATCACCGTGACGCTTGCGGCTTGCACGAATCCCACTAAGGCACGTCTTTTAGCGCTCACAGCCACAAACCGTCTTTTTCAAAGTCCGAGAATGGCAACTTTATAAGAACGTCGCTGATGGTAGTTCCTCTGGATTGCGCTGATAGTCTGCGATGTAATCACCCATACAACCCGCTACGAGAATGCACATGGACTGGAAGATTGGTGGGTTCAAACATGATCACAGCCGCACTATGCCGGGAAAGACAAATCTTCTCGGATCCTTCGTGTTGCGTGGCACGTCGGGCCGGGGTCTTAATTGCACTTGCCCTCTGCAACGAGGCGGACTCTGTATGCTCGACGGTATGGATTTCCAACGAAAGCTCTCCTCTGAAGAACATGAGCCACTGCGCAGTTTCATAGAACGTGCAACGAGATCGGCCACGCCGGCTTCAATTATTCAATCATTACTCTAGCTGCGGCATTAGTTGTGTGTCCCTCGGAAGCAGAACTATCGTGAACGTCCCTCAGTGGAGTCACAAGGCACGCGGTCTCGTGGCTTTGATGCTTTCCGGTGCCCACGCTTCAAGATCGGAGCCTGCGCCTCGAGGTAGACAAGCCTATTGGTGATATGCTACTTCCTTCAACTTTACTGTGCTGCCTCCCGGATCTCCTGCGCTCTCTTTAATGCTGAGAGGGGTATATAAACCTACTGCTACTCCATAGATGCATTTCAACATCCACCCTCACGAACATAACGACTACTTCGTCGGTCCTCGTATCCCTCCACTCGATCAACCGACGTCAACCTCTTGTGAGCATTTCTCCCAGCAGCGCCCTACCTGTATAACTCACCCAGTATCTAGACTTTCAAGATGTGTCAAGCAGAGTGGTCAGTTCTATCTCTTCGAACCATTGACTCATCCTCGGACGGTATGCTCATACCTCTGGCAGTTTCGGAAACTTCCACAGGAAGTGCCAAGTGAGTCGCTCCCCTTCCTCCATCGACCATGTATTGCGACGCTGATTGCTACGTATCAGCATTATGTCAAGCTTTACGAGTCGGGGAATAAGACAGACTGCGGATCACCGACGTGCGGACTCAGTTCGTCGCATAAGCATACGGCAAGGAATTGTCCATGCCCCAAAGTACCAAATTCTCTACTTGCATGTGATGAACCTATACCTAATTCTGATACTCTCTAGGTGCGGCAGGAAGACCGTAAAGTTCTCAACTTAATTCAAGATCGTTGTGATGCGTGCAAGACGGCAGCGTGGGCCTCCATCGAGCTTGAATCAGGTCGAGTGTGGTGACCTTACGCGAACATCTCCGAATGTAACATATGGCCCGAGGAGAGGGTTGGAGCGACGGGAGTGGTGATGACCATAATAATGATAATATTGTTGCTGTCAGTTTCAATAACGCATTCTGCATGACTGATTGAGGGGGAAGTGTGACAGATGCGCTCTCCGACATACTACTTGCTCTATTCCGGCATACACGAGAACGAAGATAATAAGGATATGCACTACGACCCACCGATGTATTCCATGCCAGTCTAAAGCCATCCTAGACCCCTAGCCTTCCCTCCTGCTCCGATAAAATTTGCCCATCTCTTTCATGGCTTGTCCAAAGCCATCGGTGACGATCGTATTCTTGCCGATCCAATTAGGCAGCTTGTTACGGATACGGGGTGAAGTGTATCTACTGTCGACAAGCACTAGAGATGCCCAATCTCCTCGATGCCGGATTGCACGTCCTGTCAAGGGGTAAGAAGCATATTGTCGTCCATATGAAGGCAAAGCACACCTATACTTTGGTTAACCGCGTTCATGCACATGTTCTCGTAAAGTTCGGTCGCGGCGTCTTTCGCACCGTTGGGTGCCTTCACATGGGCTCCAACGCCACCCCCACCAGAGCGACGCTGTTCCAACCTATTGACATAGTTCATCCGCTCGCGCAGCTCCGGCGACGCGAGGTTAGCGAATGGCAGTCCAATGATGATCACGGCGCGAGCGAGGTCGTCCGTGAAGTTCAGTCCCTCTGACAGTTTGGCACCGATCACTGCGAAGAGCATCGCACCGGCCTTGCTGCTTCTGGGCTCGGCAGATGCACAGGCGATATTTTGCGGCTGGAAGACATTCGGTTAGGCTAAGTGTCTAAAAGTGACCTTCCTCCCCCACAATCGTGGAAGAGACGCACCCAATCGTGGATCTCCGTAGCGTACTCCCGCAATACGGTCTCTACCTGGCCACTTTCCTGTGGTTCCGAGAAGACCTGATAACAAGTCCTTATCAGGTAATCGCGCAGCACTAAACAGCATACCCTCTTTTTAGCAGCGATCTTCACCAGCAGACCACTCTTCTCCCATGCGATCATCACCGTGTGCAGAAAAGCATACGAGGGAAGAAAGACGACCATCCCGCCGGGAATGATGCTCGCGAAATTCACAAGCATCTGACCGAGTTCTGCAATCTAGTTTGCACCAGAAGTCGATTCTTTCAGCCCAGCACCCACGGGCGATGGGAAGGCACATCAGGACACGTACAACTTGCAGATCACTGCGCTGCTCAAATTTGAACTGCATTTCATGTCCACGGGGGCCCCTCTTTAACACCAGAGTTTGCAAGTTCGCCGGTGGTATGATATGCCCACACGAGAAGGTGGACATGCGCTCGCCCGGTAGGTCGGCAAACAACTGATTAGTCATGTCCGAAATCTAACGAAGGTCATGCCTCTGGTGTCTCATGCAGGGAACAAACTACGCCGAAATACTCACCGGAGACATGGTGCCACCGGCCAATACAACCGACCTGGCTTCATCGATCACCTCCTGGAAGTATGTTGATGGATTCAAGTGCTGGTATTTAATCTCGACCTGGCGGTCCACCATTGAAAAAGTCACGCGGCCATCTAGGTAAGGTCTCAGAATCGGTCCATCAACAGATGTTCAGAAGGACTATACCATCACTTGCGGCCGTCAGCGCCGAAATGAAATTTTCTACTGCATGCAGAGGTGGTGTGTTGCTTGAGAGTCGTGCTAATTTGGACAACTTCGCCGGATCTAGCAACTGTCAACACGTCATGGAATACAAACATATCGACAGAAGCATACCGTGACCGGCTGCCTTCTCTAACGCCTTCAAGGAATACGCAGATATCTTACGCGCAATCTGGATATGAGTTACTTTGACCTGACTTGTGAAAGAAGTTCGTTCAGAAAATGTACCTTGCTATTCCGAAGATATCTCTCGACTTCTAGCAAATTGACGCCCTCTGCTTTGCGGCCCAATCGTCGGAGTAACTCATCGGAGGTGATGACCTCTACACTCGAGCAACGGTGCTTCGACTCGGTCTTCCTGGCCGGCTCCTGCCGATCTTCGCCACCTCTAGGAGTTTGCATATCACGCCACTCCTCGGCATACTGCGTGAGAACATCCAACAGGCCCATGAGGCGAGCGAGATGCAGAGCGTGCGCGGTAGCCAGGCGAGTCCGGAAGCGCGAGAGGTAGATCGAGAGTTGATGCCTTGCAGTGGATAGCGTGCGTAGAGGTAAACAGGTGGTTGATAGGGATAGAAGCGTAGAGATGAGGTCTGAAGGAACGTGAACAGGTGAGATCTGATTCCGTGTTTCATATAAACAGAACGTGGAGTAGACGACTGGGGACAACAAATGAGACACGTACTGTGCGCTTCGTCGATGATTACAACTTGGTCCTTCAAGTTGATTCCTAATGCTTCACGAGCAGTCTTCTGAAGAAGCAGATTGTATGGAAGCAGCACAAGCTGCCGTCAAGTCGACATCAGCAACAGTGCTTTAGAAACTGAACGCGCTTGTGACAGATACAACAAAAAAAATCGTGCACCTGTGCTTGTGGAATTGCCCGTCGCGAGCCAAAATACGGACATGTTTCTGCAATTTTCCCCGTAAGAAGTAAATCTTCAATATCCTTCGGTGTTGCCTGTGTGCACCAGAAGCAGGTTCAAGTGGGTTCTCTAGTCAATATCGTAAAGACGACAAAACGAAGCAACATACAAGGATCTGATCTCGTAAATCAAGCATATGGATTTCTTCGTCCTGTGGAGGGAGAAACCCGCAACGCTTCTTTCCTTTCTCTGCGATGAGACGAAGATAATAAATCAATCCGGGGCATGAAACCAGGGGTCACTGGCACCACGTACCACTGAGCATCTGTCTGCATGCTTCATCAAGATCCCCCACATGCCCACGTAGTGATTGGTTGATACAAAGCTGTTTACGCGAGCCTAACGACACTGCACGAACATTGCATGAGTTGTCGCTGATATCATCTGCAGAATCCCCATCCTTATCGGCTTCCAGGTTAACTGCTAAGATGGGGCGCTTCGTGTGAGTCCCTACGGCAATGGAAGGTAATGAAGACTGTGGTGCCCCCGGTGAAACTGCTACAGAGACATTCAGCAACAGTTGGAGTTTCCGAAGTTCGTGCAGAACTTGAGCTAGCTGGGAGTGTGTACGAGAAGCGTAATAGATTTTTGTACAAGTTGGCTCCTGATCATGAACGTGTCTCGATGTTGACGCGGTCGCGCCTTGCTGCAACCTAGAACGCGTGAGACACGCACGAAAAAGGCAACGCAACGCTTACTTCTGCATAAGTGCACGAACAGCAGGGGAGATATTGCTCTGCTCTGCGTTGTCATCAGAGAGCGCTTGGGAGTCAGGCAAGAACGCGGCATCTTCGTCACCCAGTACATCGTTCGACGTATCCTCAGTTGCTACTAGTTTCTGGAGGCTCAGTAGTTAACGCTCGATTAGCATACTTGAGATAATTCGACGCGAGATGACCCACCATTCGTTTGCGTACGCGGCCGTTGGCCAACATCCGCATCGCTGCTTCTTTCTTTCGCGCTTTGGCCAAAGCTGCAGCATACTCGAGCTCGTCAGCCTCCAGTTCGCGACGACGCCGTTCAACTGTCTGGGAAAGAACCCAGTCAGGGCCTGCTGTGTTCAGGGTGCGTAATTAATCAACGCAGTGTATGTCCAGAAGGTAGACGTACCATCACCTGCCAGAGCATCCAACTGTCCCTGTCGTGCTCTGTTCTGCTCATCTCTCAACCATGTCAACGAGGCACATAAAAGACTGAGTGTCTTTCCCTGCACACAATATCGTGAGCCACATCACTTCGACAATGGGAGATGTATGTGTTTACATACTGTGCCAGTGGGACTTTCGACGATGCTAACTTTTCTATCCTCGATAGAGGTATATAGGTGGCGCATGAGATCGAGTTGGATATGGTAGGGAGTGAATGGAAACGCAGGAAAAGCCTCTGGGGTGGTGAGTTTCAAAGACATGGGGATGCGCTCTTGCGTAGGTTTCAATGTAACGTTTTTCTGCTTTGAAATTCTAGACGACGTTTACCAGTAAGTTCCACAGCAGCAAAATAATATCGCACAGCAATTTCTGGACGGTCGCTCGGACCTAGAAGTTCCAACCTGACCTTACCGCAACAACCTGGCTAGGTTGCACTGGAGCAATTTCCCAACTCTATGTGAGACGCTTCCTTTCCCCCCTCTAAAATGCGCAACACGTGTAACAGTCACTCACATTTCGGAGTTCCTCCAACGCCTCCAAATTCAAAGCGAATGGTCCGGTTCAAGCTCGACCCAGATATCTCAGAGCTAGCACGCAGAATGCAGATCTACAACTTATAACATCTAGTTGGAATATCAGCACAAGTAGATGAGCGTCGTGGTGGTCATGAGAACAGTAGTCACTAAGACAAGACCTTGACTAGCGTGACAAACACGATCACGTGAGTCGTGCTCCAGCATGTCACACCGGTATCATCACTGCCAGGCATCGCTGTGCATCAATTCACTATGGCGGCCAATATTCTAAGTGCATACAGGGTCATGCGCGCCATTGCACACTGTGCATGCAGGTGCACGAATGTGAGTGGATAAATTGCATCGACAGTGTTGCTACTAGTAAAATCCATTTAATCCGTGTACCAGCATCTTTGTGCGCCACTTCTGAGCATACTGCTCTTATACCTAAGCCTGCTAAATATATGCTTATTTAGGTGGACAAGACTGCCTGCCGAACGATGTCCTGTCCTCTACAACTCAATACATCGAGAATTCACCGTGTGGAGGGATTCAAATCTCTGCATTCCGGTGATATATATTATATAAACAGACAGTAGATGACAGCATTTGTGCAAAACAATTTATCGAAACAAACGATGATGCATCGGGGTGATTTGCCAAAACAAGAGGTAAACTGGTGCATGTCAATGTACGACCACGCACGATGACGGGGACGCCATGTGCATGATGCATTTTAATGTGTGCACCACGAAAAGTAAAAGGGCCGAACGTTGTATCTGATCATTGTCCAGTGCCCCCTACCATATTACGCCCAAGTCAAGTCAGACTGTCAGAGAGAGCTCCAAGATCTGTGAAAGATTACATATACAAGAAAATCAAGAAAATCTGTTTAATGGTAAATAGTGCGTAGACACAGTCACTCCAAGTCGGGCAGAGTTGACAGAGCCTACGACATTGACAGGCTCTTGGACTAAGAATCAGCGATCAGCGCGTTACTAACATGAAGGAAGGTAAGATGCTCACAAAGTGGTCATATAGGCTTACCACCACTGCAAGAGTTCCCGCGAAAACACAGCCTCATCGACGACGACGGAGCAAGTAACGGACATCCCGATGCGCATCTCTCTAGCGCGTACCTGGGGCAACCGCGCGGTGATAGCCGTCATCACGTACTCATTCATCACCTCGTCTTGTCTGCCAATCTGGAAGACTATGGCCAGTTGTGGAACACGCTCACCCAGCGCAGCCAGGGCTTGGTCCGTCAATTCCCAGTCCAGGAATCCGACGAAAATTTCCTGGAAACCACAGGAGCCAAACACCATCCGTACTTCTCGGAATTGAGTCGAGTTGATGCGATTCAGGAGCATCGGTACCCAAGCGCACTGCACCATGGTGTAGCCATCCCTGGGACAGACAATCTGCAAATTTTCGAGACGAGTGTTGGCCAGTAGGTTGAGTTTGTCGTTCAGATACACTACGAGTGCCACGATGTTACACGGTGAAGGGGAAAATACGCATGTCACGTACCTTGCTCATCGGTGCGAGGATGGAATGATATTTTAAAGGTTCGTAGGGACGTCCCTGCCTCCCGTAACAGCCCATTCAGGATGTTGCATTGTTTATCCGACGCATGGGAGGACCATTCTAAGTGGCGAAGAGAGAATTGGAAGGGCACTCCTGCGCGGTGCCTGTTCGTGATGGCCTCGATCCCCCCGTGACTCCGATGTCGTTCACTATGCAGCATTTCCTCCACTACAAGCTTGTGAATCTGGATTTTCCCCTCAGAATTGGACGCTGTCTCCAATCCGTCCGTGGGTTTCTTCCAGTGCTCCCAAGTTACTGATCGTAGGGATACCGATTCCAATCTGGGGAAACCGAACAACAGATGCCTGAGTACGATACCGGCTTTAAATTCGACGGACTCCATGTGAAGAGTATGGATGGAGGGGGAAAACGTGCCGAGGCACACCCGCGCCTCTATATCTAGATCCTCAGGTTGGAGAGACCGAAGTGTTAGGCATTCGACCTGATCGAGATAAAACAGAACGGAGAGGAGCGATTCATTAGTCCAATCGTCCTCGTCTTCGGAGAGGTAGTCCTCCAAGGGTGGCGGTCTCTCCCTACTGATGACGAGCTCGTGGACGTACGGGGCAACTGCAACTGGGGACAACGGGGAAGTCTCCAGGAGGTCTTGGAAGGTACGGCATCGCGGTCCGCAGTGTACGACAGCGCGGCGGAACAAATGAAGGCGGCTGGTGGGCACCCATTCGCGGGATGTCGCGCCACAGGCTGCAAGTGCCCGAGGATTGTCCCAGAGATAGTCTATGATCTGATCGCATAACTCGAGCGGAAGTGCGGGATATGGTATTTTGTACGCCTCTGCGAGCTTTGAGGAAATGCATCAGGAGCCCACGCTAGAAGACTACGAAAAGCCAAGCCGTACCATTATGTTACGTTCTCTCTGAGTTATACAGGCAAATAGAGCGATTTGTGAAAACTTAGATTGACGCCGAAAGAACCTAGCAACTACCGGAAGCCATTGTAAAACGGGAAAATTCGGTTAGAGTCATGGAGCAGACGGCAATTTAGACACCGAAAATACCTGCGTGCAGCTCCCGAGTGACGACGAAGTAACTCTTGCAGTTGTACACAGCATAAATAGCTGGTAGACACGCGGCAACGTAAGCTGATGATATCGATGCAACCAGTTCTTGCATCGATGTCATCAGAGTTCAAAATGGACGCTGGGCAACGGCACAAGCGCAGTCGGCGGCTGTCCTACTCCGCTTGAAATTGGCTGCCTGCAGAGCTCCCCAGCACAAACTGGGTTTCGAGAGTTACGATTCACGACGACGGGTGCTTGTTCTACTCGACGAACAACACAAAGTAGCCAGCCCACGAGAACAATTGCTTACCCAAATTAAATATTCATCGTGTTCCAATTTTTTGCAGCCTCCTGCTACACCGCCGTTTAGGCCAAAGCTCGGGTAGATAGTCAATTTCCGAGATCAGAAGACAGTTTACAAAAAGATCAGATTGGCATCATACGGACATTTTTGGGACATTATGAGCGGGATATCTCCCGGATAACTCGCTGCTCTCAGCCTGATATCCTCCGTTCACACTCCTGCTGAGCTTTGCCCTCCATGAAGACTTCGCTGAGATTTCCCCCAAAATCTGCCTGGCGGCGTCAACCGTGGGAACCACTGGAACGCCACGTCTTTTCCCGGCATGGTCTGATGTCAAAGTCTGCTTCTCTCCTTGACCAAGCCTCCAACTTCTCTTCTTGTCATTCGTCCTGGTCGCGCCCACGCGCCCACGTTCCAGCGCAGTCCTTGTTCTGTTCTACCGCCCATTGCACATTTTCAAGCTCAAGTGCCTTTCTTCTGCAGTGTTTTCTCTGTTGTGCTGGACTTCTTGGTCTCTGGCAAGTTGGGCTGTGACCAACTGCGTCCGTCTGGCCTTGGCTGTTGTGCCGGCTCCTGCACCAATGTCATCTCTGCCCAAATGCGCAAATACCCTGTACGAGGTGCCTTTCGGTGCATACCCCACCTCTGTGCCCTGCTGACTACCCCGCGAAGGGTGCCTGTCGCCGAGGTGTGCACTTCTACTCTTCCTCGAGTTTAGCACACTTGCTCGCTAGGTGATGGGGTCACCATCTCACAGAATCTGACGGGCCGCGGAGAGTGCTCCACAGTGTGGCACGGTGAATGCCCATGCTACACCGTATACAAGTGTAGTACTGTAGCTCCTACAATAGCGTCCTGTAGTGTCCTGTAGCATACAGAAAACCAATATATTTGTTATTTACACCCTTAACTGCAATATAACAAGCCGCGCAGCTGTTATGGAAACAAACAACGATGAGGAGCCGTGCCCTGCATGTTCCCGAGCTCAGCGGGAGATCACTTGCTGAGGTCTCACAGCTCTCGCTCTCCCCGGAGTCTCCTGGGATATGATGATTTCTATCTGGGTGATATCCGTGCCAGATCCGGAAAGAGTCGTGGGATCATCACGCGATATTTGGACCCGGATCTCAGCCTGGACTCTGGCCAAAATGGCTGTGTAAGTGGTGGGACCATGGTATATGTCTCATGGCGTTGCCCGTGAGAGCCTGCGTCGTGGAATTTTGAGTGTGAAGACAGGGTGATGAAATCGACTCGGAGCGGACCTAGCCGAGTCTGAGGCTACACTGCCGAGTGAATGTGTGGTAACCCATAGTATGTCAATTCGTACGGGAACCATAATGCAGCTCTGGAGACATCCCCGGAGCCGAGACTGGCAAGCTTCTGGAGGAGGTAGGCCAATGATGAAGAAGATGATCTAGTAGAAGGTGAAACGCAGAGTTGATACTGGCAGTCGCTGATAATACGACCTTCAGTGCCATAGATGTCAGCCATGCTTCGAGCACGGTGGTGCGCCAGCTATACGCAGTGACTTTGTGCTTCAAAGGTTGGTTGAAGATACACAATCTCATTCGAGTTCAAATTCATACAAAATACTATCCAACCGCCCACGTATCTTACGCCAAGCAGAGCCTACGATCCAACGAACAGCTGCAGTTCCCACCTGCAAACATAGAAATTAGATCATCAGTCAATCACATCTTCTGCAAACAAGTCCCACTCCTCCCCAGGCAACGCATACTGGTCCTCAAAGAGCTGGTCCTCCTCGTCCTCCTCGGACTCTTCCACATACAACGATGATCCAAAGTCAAGCTCTGGTGAATTTTCTACGCGCGGCCGCGAGGGAGCAAGATCGAACTCGGGCGAATTCTCCTTCTGTATCTTCTTCGCCTGGCTAATGCGGCTCCGCGTGATCGACGACTCGGTCTTCCGTACTCTATGTTCCTCCTCCTTCTCATGCTGTTGCTCGCGCTCGAGCTGCTTCTGATTCTCTTCCTCTGCCTCTGCCTCCAGGTCTCCCTGATCATCGTCCTTCAACTGATCCTCCTCTTCCTCCGAGCTCGAGCTCATATAGCTCAGCCCGTTCCTCGTCAGCCGTCTGAGCCTGCGTGTCGCGCGCTCGACACGGCGACGGTGCAGCGGATGAGTCGGGTACGGCGTGAACGTAGGGAGCGCAAGCGTGATGGGCGTGGGGTGCGGGAATGGCGAGGACGCGGTAGACACCGACGAGCGTGAGGATAGTTCGTGGATCGAGGGGTACGATGCTCGGTGCGGGAATATGGAAGACCGGAACGACGGGCCTGCCACGGCACCTGAGTCAGACGGGCCTTCCTGGGGCGAGGTCGGGGGCGGCGACGAGGGTGGGAGCGTATCCTCCCGCCCGACGCTGCGGAAGTACGGAGTCAGGGGGCGCCTAATACGCTTGGCTGCTACAGGAGTCACCAGAACTTTGTTGGGCTTCGTGGGTGTTGACGGAGGCGAGGGTATGATCGGATGGGCCGGCTGTGGTTTCTCGCGCTCTGCCTCGCGCGCGAGGAAGTGCACGAAGGTATCGCGCCTGTTGAAGCGGCGCAGGCGCGCCTCATCCGTGTGCACTTCCCAATCCTCTTCGTCCTCGGGGTCGTACTGCGGCAGGGTCGTAGGCGCCGCGACGTGGGAGATGCGGACAGCCCCGAGGGAGCTACCACGCGTGCGGAAGACGAAAGGTCTGTTGCTAACGCCTTTTCTTATTGGCAGACGTTGCGTATTCATTGTGATATGCACAGAGACGCCCGGGACGTGATGCTGAGAGCGAGTCAGCACCAACGGTCACGTTTAAAAAGAAATGTGGTGGCGTACATAGATTATCCCGCGTCGGGCGTCGGGTCCTGTGCGCCAGACGTGTCCAATAGTATAGTCGTCTTCCGCCTCCCACATCCACCCATCATCCTCCTCTTCTTCCTCTTCAACTTTAGTTTTATTGTTATTCTCCTTGCCATTCTCTGATTTCTTCTTACCTTTATCGACTTCCTTCCCCTTCCCCTTCTTCCTGTTCTTATCTGCAACACGTCCTACATCCACAGGAGTCTCGCCTCCACCAAAGATATCCTCTTCGTCTCCCGACCCCGCGCATTCTTCCTGTAACTCTGCAAACAGCTGGCGCTCGCGCAAAGCAGACAGGCGGGCGTACAAAACTCCGCTGCCTTCTCCCTGCCTGATCAAGCCGCGCTTGTAGCCACCGCAGTAAGGGGCGATACCTTGCAGGACATCAAACGAGTGGCCCTGCCAGACAGGCTGGGCGGCCTTCTTGCCCTTCCCGCTCTGCCTGGGACCACCCACCAACACCGGCGGAGCGAGGGCCAAATGCACAGGCGGCCGGTGCTTGCGCTCACTGCGGCGGTGTGGAATCGCGATCCTGCCGGGGACGGGCGCCTTCATGCGCGCGTCGGATGCAAACAGGAAAAGAATGAGCTTGTGCAGGATGCGGAAGCTGTAGTTCGTGGGCACCTGCACGATGCGGAACACGTCGTCGGCATCCTCACCACGGCAGACGAGCTGGAAACGGAGGGCGAGGTGCTTCCCGAAGGGCAGAGGACAGGGCAGAGAGAGGGCCTGAAGCGCACCGAATGGGTTCGACGGCGAGTCTGAGGGAGGAGAAAACTTGGAGTACTTATGGGCGTGCGAGTGGGACGATGGCGTCTGGAAGGTGTATGTGGTGTATGGAGTAGACGCAGGAACTAATGGGAAGGGTGAGGTGTTCATGATGAGCCTCGCATGGGATGGAGAAGAATGGATGCTTGGGTCAAAACGAGCACGCTTGCGCGGTGTCGCGGCCACAACGCCGTCGTCGGCCACAGCACGGACGCGCTTCAACATAGCGCAGAATATAACGCTGCGTTTAAAAGCAGTCAGCAACCATAAAATTTGCTGAGAGATACGCTGCAACGCACTTCTTCTGATGGTCAGTCAACCGCTTCGAACCTATTCAAGAGACGAGCCGTAGTTACCCTCGGCAAGGAGGCTGCTAAATTCTTCACTGTTTCGCGAGTAAGAAGGTAGGATGGCTCCGAGAACGGCTCTCTAGAGAAAGATCTCACGATTCAAGTGAAGGCTAGCAAGGTCCTCGTTGCGACGATGAGAGCTGAGGAAGAAGGTGAACCGGCGGAAGCCGAGTGTTGGCCCGGGTTTATAGGCGCGTGACCGCGTTCAGTCATTCAACACGATCACGTGACCGTGTACATCTGAAGAAGAGTCAGGAAACCGGAAACACGATGTACTACATGCTACAAAGCTTCTTCTAGAATAAATAAAATTGAGCCAGCCATAGTACGAAATTTTAGAGGAAGTAACGATATACGTACATGACCTGCATATATACATGGCATACAAAGTAGTAGTATTCTAACCAAACGGACATGGATGAAAAGTGTAGCAAGAAGGATGTGTTTACGGAAGGCGATATAGCAACTTGGTATCCGACCTTTCGCGCCGCTGTGAATAGAGAAGAAGCCACCATTCCTCGCCAATATCACAATGTCTTCTTTTTTATACTGGTCTTGCGGAAGCATACCGAGTGGGGAGAGCCCTGGCAAATATCTATGCTGTGCTCGTGCCGGCAAGAACCAAGTCAGTGATATGTCTGTACAAGACCTGCGACGTGCAATGCAATCACAGTCCTATATCAATTTTCTGGTGCGCTACTGCAGTAGTAGGGTTCAAACCTTTAATTCTGACTCTCGACGGCCAGATAGAGGACTCCCAAGCATGGCCACACTGTTATCACATTCAATTTACTAATTACTGTGCCAATCATTGTTCTTTCTCAGCATAGTCATCTCCAGGTAATCACCATACATTGCTACACAGGTAAGTGGGATTCAATGTACACAGCCAACCCTGGGGTGTGTTCGCCCTAACTAAGATTGAAAGTCGCCTTCAGGAATGGTGATTTTTTTGCCCAGTCTCTCAAGTTTTCATCAATTTCCTCCTAATTCATGTCTTCCGCAGCCTGCTGACCATGTATTTGAATGCCATGATTGGTGGTGTGATGGTTGTCAATCATTACAACATGAATTTCCTGAAAACAGCTGGAAGTGGCCTGCAAGAGTACTAGAGGCAACCAATCTGGCTGCCCACTGCAACAATACAGGCACAAAGATGCAACCCTGGTGTTCTGCATAAGGAGATCTGCAGGAACACCCACCACAGAAGCTCTCACGAAAGGAACTGCAAAGAACTCATATTAGTCAGTCTCAGTGTCAAGAATCATGCACAATGAGTCGGCCTCAGAGTTAGGTGCAATACTAAGTGTTCCAGCCATGCCCCTGGGCAGTGAAGAAGTTTTTGGAGGATGTCAAGGTTGCTTGGAGTATGCATTGATGACCAACTAAGATCACGAAGCTGTAAGTTGAACGCAGACAACAAGAGTAAGGGACAACTTGAATAGAGTTAGCTGAAGAGAGCTTTCAAATCACAATGTCCTCCAGCTATGTTGAGTTCTCCAATGTCATCGAAGAAGTTTCCGCGTAATGAGATGGTTGCACGAAATTCATCACCTCTACTGAGGAAAGACTGATTGAGGTGAGCTGAGGAGACCGAAGAATGCTTAGCATCTCCGGGCTGGTGTTAATTAAAGACACTGCATCCAAGCGTTTAGATTGCATGGATGCAGAAATTGTGACGATACTCTTCTTCATCTCTTGTAGCCCTGCTGAAGTCCAAGACATGACTTTTAACATCAGATATTCAACATTTGGGAGTTTTGCCAACAATTGACCATAAGGGAGCTCTACGTCGAGCCAAAACCTTCTGACGATTTGAAGTTCTCGGACATCATAGCCGATGTTGACCGATGATGATGATGGTGTGCAAACCAGTCTTTCACGCAGCTGATAGCGCGATTGACTATTTAAGTCTGCACTGTAGAATAGATCCAATCGGGCCGATGGCTGCCATGCATGACACGTTGCATTGCACACGGCGAGAGTGTACCAGCTATACCAGAGGAAGTCGATAATTTGGTCATACATTTCAGGTGGAAAGATGTCGATCCGCAAGCTTCGCTCGGTCATACTTGAGTCGCTGGCATCAAAAAATCCCGAATAACACCGTCATCTGCCATCAGCAAAAGTGCACTTTTGTTACCATTGGTTATATAGCATTATAATCTACAAAATCCATTACAATGATCAAAATTATTGAGCAGAGTTGTAATGGATAGTAACTTCTCTATGGTGGTTCCGAACTTTTCTCAATGTCTTAAATTATTTGGTAATCCATTCGCAATCAACATAATCTATTCCGAATGCACGGAATTCTTGGGACTTATTATAATGGATTCCGAGCTTTATAAGGCATTGTGATACTCTTGTAAGCAGTACCAATGGAGGACTTACAACAGCTGTATAAACAGACTTGCTCCTTGCAGGCAGGGCGAGAAATGCAGTAATCATAGTACAATATTACATACGACAGGTGTGATTATCAATACAGAGCCCATGAAGCCCACATGAGCCCATGGAGATAACAACATGACACCGAACAGAGCAGGAGCACAGCACAAAAGCCGAAGAGAGCACGAGAGCTGAACATCACAAGCTGGGACAAGAAGAGCAAGACAACCACGGGAAAGTGAGCATGGAGTCCGAGAGAACGCAGGAAAGATACGAGTGAGTGAGAGGCAGTGAGAAGGCACCTTTAGCGAGTGACAGTGAACCACAACCAGAGAGACAGCGAGAGGGGAGAAATATGAGGTTGGCAGTCTGCACAGAAGGCTGTAAGATGTCACAGGACACGATGCATACATCAAGGTACTTACTGTCTATAGTGATGTTGAAACGGAGGCGGACAGTAGTATGTGGCACCGAGTTCTCTTGCCAGACCGTTGCGACCATTCCCGGTTGGCAGTTTGTGTGATCATTCTCATCGGCCTCGGTTCATGGGATTTGACTATAACACAATAATTCAGTATGGTGGCGCAGGCATGAACACGTACTCATTCCACCACTGAACAGCAGAATCCGGCTATGTGCGTGCATTCCCCAGTTCGTTGAATAGACCGACAAAGTTCTGGAAAAACTCTGCGGTGCCAAAACTCGCCATCACACTCCGATGCATCCGAGAGTTCAGCCACGGCGCACGCTCTGGAAATTTGCGGAGGCACTCACAGGCTCACATATCTAGAGTATCACCGCACGTGCAACGCCAACGCGATCGAGCACCTAAACGCACGGCTTGATGCCACTGTGGAGGAGAGGGCGAAGAGGACAAGTGCGATGCATGCAGGCTCAACTGGGCAACAAGGTGGGTGTGCATTGCTGTAGACGACACTTCAGGATGAATGAACAGACGAGGTTGCGTAACGTCACCTTCCCCGAGCAATAGCTATGATGTCATTTCGGAACATCACAAGTAACAAGAACTCACCGCCACGAGGAACGGGCTTTGTATCTCCGGTATCCACACAAAGGGCCTGTCTATAATAAAGGAATCCATCAGCTACATTATCATGCAGACAATGATACATACTCATGATATCCCCCACAGTTTCTGGGGATCGCACGCCTCCTCGCTGTGTATTGATGGTGCCTAAACTCGGTATATGCGCCCTGTATGGACACAAAGCATGAAGTCAAGGCAGTTAAGGGAGGCTGTACATCGGAGATACTTAGCACCTACCATACTCGGATAGGCATGCGAGGAGCAGAAGAGCAAGAGTGCATCACTTCGGAAGCAAAGCTCATAGAAAGTCTCCTGGAGAAGGGTCTTTTGGAGAGCAGCAGAAGGACAGGAAAAGTCGGTCATAGGCGGGAGGGGAGCAGCATTGGCGGGAACCAATTCTACGGAGTTCTTGATATCTTGAAGTCGTCAGTAAAGCGAGAGGATACAAGGAGAAGGAATGAGGGAGTATTTGACGCCAGAGGGGGCTCGCCGTCCATTATATACGTCAGGGTTAAGGTATGCAAGGAGAAACAAGCTACTACGTCATTGCTCTTACTTCCAAATCGGGAAGAGTTGCTATGGGCTTAGGGCTTTGGATTTTCACCACCAGAGTATGGTAGCTGTAGGTAATTAGCTAGGTAGGTAGATTACCGGCAATATTGAGAAATTTGACGTGGAGCACCGGATGCCTCAAGATCCTATCAATGTATTCCCAGCACATCTATACAGTGACGGAATGCAGAACTCGCAGCGAACGTAGAGATTTGAAGGTGGCCCGCAAAGGAAGCAATACTAATCTCGGAGGGCGCGGTGTGTCCAAACCGTTCAGTAGATCACTCTCTGGACTTTACGCTGTGCGTGTGCCAACCAGTCGATCAACTGTTTTTGGGTCTCCCTTCGTAGTTGCTCCTGTGATTTGACAAAAATTCGCTCAACATTACAAGCACTTTGTACTCCTATATCTACCTTACATAGCATTGCAGCACATTGCAATGCCATTGCAATGAATTGTCTATATTACTGAGCGTTGCAATACATTGGGAAGGATTACGGAGGTTGTAATACAATCCAAATATTCCAAGGGCTTGCAATGCCGTTCTAATCTCTTACTACGTACAGGCAAGTATTACAATCATCGGAATCTATTGTAACAATTGTGCACTTTTGATGATGGCATTACTTGCATGTATGTCGAGTAAGAGTCGGGGGCACCGACCAATACACTCAGATGAGCGGTGAAGTTTAGCGACCTCCAATATCAATCCTCATGCCTGGAACTCGCAACTCCAAAATTGACAATCCTCGGCAAAGACAGCGAACAAAGTCAACTAAAAGATTCGAGAGGGTTAGTGGTCAGCGCAAACATCGGGGAATTCGCCTGAATCTTGTTTGAGCTTGCAGCGCTGACAAGTGTGACCAAGTGTGACACGAGTTTGTAACCGCGTGTAAGAGCTTACAATCGACGCGTCGTGCTGATACACAGCTTGTGGGTCTTCGTCGCCCTGGTACAGAGCATGTGCACCGGCCATCGCTGTTCCGTTTCGATCTCCGGAGCTACTCTGTATCCTATACATCTTGTAACACCTTCCCGACCGCAGCCAAGCCTGATGTTCGGCTTGCAACATGTCAGACTCTCCTCAGCTTGACTCCTCTGGACAAGAGATAACCGATAACGCGACGCGCCGTGCCTTCCCCTTTGCCCTAGCTATCGTATGAGTTCCTACGGCTGGCCCTAAAGTGGGCATGTTGAACTTTCGGCGCGTGCATCTTTCTTTGTATTGTCTCTCTTCTGCTCTACCCACCACCTCTCGCATGAAGTGACGTGACTCCCGAGCTGTATCGTGCTCCGCAGACATGTTCGTCTGTGTCATTGTATGGGGAGATATTTGTGTGCCTACATTCCTGATCCTCAAGCTGAGAAGCTCCGTGGGTACTGCCCACGTTGTTGTGTGCAGGGGATGGATGGTGTCCACACCATTTGACCATTATATTCACACTCACACCTTATCCTACACAGATCTTCTGTGAATTTCAGTTGCGATACGTCATGGGCAGCTGTGGTTCCAGGATACCAAGGGTGCATGCACCAATATTTGATGGTCATTGGTAGTCTGGCCGCCCTCATTGCATGTTTGTCTGGATTGGGGTGATTCCATGCCACGTAGGCACGTATATTTGGGAGTTGGCTTTGGTTTGGTCCAATATATTTGTTGACTAGGTATCTCATGTCCGTGGTGAGCACTGGGGCTAGCAGTATAGCCGAGATTTCGTGCATAGAATGGGTGCTGTTGCATCTAACGGTGAAATGTAAGGTCTTACCAGAAACATAAGAGCTATCATCCTGCTTGAGTTGCACGAGAATTCCGGATGTTCATAATTCTTATTGTTCTTGGCAGAAGCTGCATAGTCTTATCTGCGGTTATACTCAGGGCTACAAGCCTTCTACACCTTCCATATATTTTACACCTTGTAATGACTTACAATTGCCGATAAGACCCGTACCAGAAAGATGCAAATTCCCCGATGAAGGAGGCTATGCGGCGAGAGGATACGGCACGTCTGCGGCACTGCCCCGATTCCACGAGGCCTTCCTTACTTGGACGCAAACCTTGTTTCCTTCAGACGCTTGTAACCGTGACTTTACTACACTTTATCCCATCTTTTTTTCTGGGTCAGCATCACGTCCAATGACTGTAAAGCTGGAGGACACATGTGTTCAGGAAGAAACAGAATCTGCTGGCACCAAGCTGGTATCCATATGGCTCTGGCTGAAACAAGAACTTGCTGAGCGCAGCCAGACAATTGGCGGGGTAGACAACATGTGGATACTTTTGACCGATGCTACTGAATTCAACCCGGTATGCATTATGTCGTAATGCGCACATTCCAACTACTCAAAACACCCTCCCCGTGCACTGACACTTGCGCTGCATTATCCGAAGGTTTGTGCCGGTACGTTCACCTATCGCGGAAAGCTTACATTTGAGATGGCCGAACATGTGAGCTGGTACACGTCTGGTATCGCAGATGTCGTACGACATTACATTTCGTCGTTGGAGTAGGCATCGAATATTCAAGCGAAGAAATTTCCAAGGTATAGACAAAGACTTACATCTCTCGGCCGCAGGCTGCATGGTGCACGTTTCGAGGATGACCCTGACTTCGATATGCGCAATCATGTCGAGGTCGTGACGCTATCTGAGCCTGCCGGGAAACGGGAGCTAGAGGATCTTGTACGTGTTCTCTCAATTGTCCAATGCGTGTTGCGTGTGTCTGCAGGACTCGCGATGCTCGAATAGCTTATTCGTATTGATGGGCATCTAGCATGATTCTTTCTCTCCCATTCTTGCAGTCGAAAGCACCAATCCCTCATCGTGCAAAGGTACGGAAGCGCTGAACGGACGAGTCAGCGTATAATCCAGAGTAGTACTGCTGTCGAAGACTGCAACTGTTATCCCTTTTGTCACTAATCTCAAAATTACCTTTATTTTCCATGTGTACACGTATCTGATATGTTATTCAGATGGGGGAATTCCTCGCCCGTGGTTGGGATCTCAAACGACCTTTATGGGATATGATCTTGGTCGAAAATTACCATGACGAAGACGGAGCTGAATCTGCCATGATTATAAGAGGGTGTGTACCACCACTTGGGCATGAGATAAGAGTTCATTCTATTTGTCCAGTCACCATACTCTCGCAGATGGTCAAGGTAATCTCATTTTTAAAAGCGTCTCGAGATGGCTCCTTGACAGTAGTATCATGCGGCAGGTTTTGTCATCAGCGAGCTCTACATGAGCTCCTACCACGATGAATTGGTAGAACTGATGACAAACGGCGCAAACCAGCTGCATGCAGCGCGTCGCGGGCACCTGCGTCCTTCCAAGCTACATCCTGCCTTGCGTTGCCTCGACCAGTTCACCAGCAACGTGGACGCTGCTCCCCTTCTCACGATCTTCCTAGCTGCCCTTTTCTGGCTCAGCTTTGCCGTATCTATGGCAGTCTCGCTATTTTGGAGCACCTACCAAACCGTGCACCAAGCCATCCTCTTCCTCCTCACCTGCTGGCGTGTCGACATGATCACTGGAGATCAACCTCGCCGTCGTACCCCCTTCCGAGAATACTCGACGTCCCGTGTGTTCAGCATCGACGACGTGAAGTTATGCCAACAAGCATTTTCGGGTCCACGACCTGGTAGTGCTGTCTCCGAAAGGGAGCGCGGCAAATCAAAACACGTCACGCTGAATGATGTCTTGTGTTCCGTCATGGCCGATGTCCTCGGCAAGGAGATCGCTGCAAAGCCCGTCCAGTCAGGGCGGTGGGGATGGGTGAAACGACAGCTGAAGAAAATTCTCCCGTCACCAGTTGGCATCATCATGTGCGTACGGTCTCTCCGACGAGTGGTTGTGCGCGACTAATCCGGCCTTTTTTTTCCTCCGCTAGACCCGTCAGCGTTCGGGAACCGGGGGACTGGTCCATGCGCAACCTAGCCACAGCTTCAATCACATACCTATATCCATTGCGCACGCTGTCTTCTGACATATCCACGAGGGAGCTCCACGCTCACATACACGAGTGCCACAACGAGCTCGCTCTGCTCAAGCACAGTTCTGCGCCCAAATTCTGGTATCATGTCCTCCAACTTACCGGCCAAGTGCCCTTTCCCGTGCGTATCTTCCTTCAGTCGAAGTCGGTCAAGGGTCTGCGGCGGGTGTGGAGACGGCTTGTGACGATTCCTGTCACTAGTATGTTTCTGGATACATGTTGGTCGCGTCTTACGTCTTTCCCTGCGTGAACGCGGCACTGACGTTCGAGCGCAGACGCTGCAGTGCTGACGAAGTACGCAAACACCACCGCTCTATTGGAGGTTACGTGCTGACCACGCGAAATCTGCAGCGTCCCCGGTCCAGCGAAGAATCGCGTCTCGATGGAAGGCATCGAGATGATCAGGTGGACGGCGCTTCCGCCCCAGGCGGGTAAAGGTGCGCCGCCGCCTTACTCTGTTTACGTACATCCTTATACCCACGTACTGCACTCTGCTATTCAAGGAACGTTGGGCATTGGCATCATCTCCTATGCTGGCGGCATTTGCATCTCCGTCGCGGCGGATGCTGTCCCTTCATCCCAAGGTGTCGCCAGGCGGATCTGTAAGAGTTTCGAGGAACGCTTCGAGCTCTACGTGGAACGCGCGCGGCAAGTAGTAGAACATCAAGACTGACCATGCGGATTTCGAGCTTCTTTCAGCAGTCCTTTAGATCAGCAACATTAACGATGCACAGCCGCTACACTAAGTTATTGATTCTTTCCGAGGTAGTCGTTACAACGTAGTTAGTAATCATACATCTCCAATATGATCCAACTCATTTCCCTCGACCATAATGCACACAGGCGCATGCGCATTTCACAGATATAATTCCATCAACGGCGTCGCGTTCGCCTCCCCCGCGAAAAGCCCGTTGAGGATGGCTGCGAGACGGATGCCCGCCATCGCGAGCAAACGCTCAATGACCCAGCGCTCTCGCACTTGGCCAGCATACTCGGGAGTGTCGAGCTCAATCATTCCAGGGTGCGGGCGTGGCTTCCCTCCCCACGCAATCGAATCGAAGTCGGGGTGCGTACTCAAGTCTATGTGGTCGTATCCGTCATCCCGCCGACCGACGGCACCGGTGACGGCACCTTTGGGAGACACGCGTTGCGCAACTGTCTCAAGCTCCTTCGGCCAGATAGGAATCTCACAATTCAGCTGGTGAATCGGCACCGCCCAGGCATACGGGCACAAAACACCATCATCCCAGCGCTCCTCGTCCGGTCTCTTCGGCCGTCTGCCTCCCAGGCCGAAAAACGCCTGCGCCTTCTCTAAGAAAGACTCTGGGGATGGGTCCTGCACAGCTGGACATGTCAACCATTCGGTGTAGGCACCAAAGCGGCCATCGTGGAGAGTCGGAGCACCGACGCCGAAGCCTTCGTGCATAATACGGCGCACGTAAGGGTCATAGATCGCACCGCGGAGGTTGCGCTCGACAGTGGATGCGCCGTAACCCCGCAACGGACGCGTGTAGTTCTGCGGGATTGTACGCAGAGCCGACGCGATGAGAAGCGTGTCCCAGACGGAGTGCAAATCTGGCCCAAATCAGAGAAAGATCATTGGCGCAAATGCGAATACTCACTCGTAAGCCGACCATCGAACAGGACCTTCGCGCCATTTCCACCTCGCTCCTTGCCTGTCAGGTGCAGGGGCATGTGCATGTCTCCGACCCAGTGCACGAGGAACTTCAGTGCCTCCTCTCCGTCTGCTCTGCCATAACTGCCATCACCGACGAACTGCTGCAGAATTGTTGAAGCATTGCGCATGGCGCCGAGGACATTATGATCCTGCCTCCCGATCCAGCCCTTCGGGCCCGGGAACGCGCAGGTCGCTCCTGGTGCGTCATCGTGAGCGCCGATGTAGTGTAGCGTTCCGGTACGAGAATACTCCGGCGTCCTGCGCACACGGTCCGCCCAAGACGCGGTTGAAGCCAAGTTACAAGAGGGTGCTGAGGTAGCCGGCACGGCATCGGGCTCTGGGGGATAGAGAATGTCACAAACAACCGGAAGGACGGACGGATGAAGATATATCTGGGCTATGGTCGCAACGATTTCGTGACCGGCGGCTCCCCAAGCATGGACAGCGGGTAGGCTGGTAAGGCCGACACCGACACTGAAAGCGAGTATACGCATGCTGGCTGCTATGGGACAATACTGAAGTGGGTTGACTCATTTGTGATGAAACTTAAGTATAAATACCTTCTGTCCTGACAGCCGAGATAGAATTCGAAGTGTGCTGAACGTTCACAACAAAAACAAAGGTTGCGATGCCGACAGCAGCCTCCAATTGTGAAGTCTGCAGCTCAACTTCAATGTCTCCACATAGTATAAAATACCTTGTAGGCGTACCGTCGCAGCACAGATGCCTATAGCGACACAACCGACAGCCTCAGTCGCGCGTGGTGCAGCGAGAGATGGCACGGAACTGTTTTCGGCGATCTGTCAGTCTAACCAACAGGTCCGCATTAGGAAGGCCCCATCCAGATACGGGCATATAAGATCGGCTGCGCAGAACCAGTGATTGGAACTTGGAAGGAAGAGTGGATTGGCTTCCTGATGACAAGCTTTTGCCACTATGAGTAGTAGGCGACTGAGGAGGATCGACGCGACACACAGCTTTAGGGAAGGGTCCAATGCCTGTTTTCTGAGTGAATAGTACTTGTCGAGAAGTTGACCGCCAGGTCTTCCAGGAGTGACTCACCGCTTCGAGTTCGAACAGGCATGACGGAATGTACAGCAGTCTTATTTATATTGTGTGGCAGCGAATCAGAATGTATCCAGTGTGGTGCTACACTAACCCTACCAACTATAGCCTCCCACCAGACCGAACCATACTCATGCGAGTTCGCTGATGACTTTCGTACGTTTCATAGGAGAGTGGTATCATGCTGGTACATCTGCACAGTACTGTAGACACGAAGTCACGAACAGATGAGTTGCCATTATTTAATTTTGGCAGGAAATTAATTTTAAAAAAAAGACGGAGTATTGGGGATAGTATTAAAAACATAGCGGATAGGGTGTGCATAGTACAATGGTGACTCTAGTCGGAGGATAGTATGCGCTGCAGAATCATGAGGATGTATAGTCAATGACAGCTGAAGATCTTCGGCGGCACAGACATTACCTAGTGCGTGATTCTACCGGAGCCGAAGATGGGTGCGGGCTATGTGCCCAGCAAGGGCTTTTTGACTCGGCCATGTCCTGTAGCATTTCTCCGTTCCCTCTACCCATTTACAAATATACCCACTTGGGTCATTTGAGTGATGAGCCTCTAGGTGTTGTTCAATCTCCGCAGTGCTTATTACATTGATTAGGGTCTGGCACCCGCCCTCCCAAGCACAAGGCCTTGACATAATGCTGAGGAAAGTAAAGTGTTCGGGCACAAACGACGGTCATGAGCCAATTTGGATATTGGTTGATTATACTCACTGAGTAATTGGCAAGATCGGTGCGTCTTCAGGAAAAATTTGCGATGCAAGTTGGTCGGACTGCATTGCCGAACAGCCTCAGAGCTTATATGCCCCTGCGTGCCGCTACAACTGGAAGGTATCTGGCGAGTCATAGCACTCACTGTCCAGAACTGTCCAGATATCCAAAGAGGCAGATATCGAAGCCAGGAGTGACATTCCATACATCCGCATAACCTGGTATGTCGATTCCGTGAAAATAACGTATCTGGCCACGCTGTGATGAGCTTACAGTCGTCATCTCCACTCGAGAGGGCGTTTACACGCCCCAAAAGGGCATGGCCGCTTGCTGGCGCGGAGTCTAACTTCATTCAAGTTGCTACCTGCATAAGTAGTCACGGTAGTTTTCAGTCTATACATGCACTTAGCTTGCATCCGTGTAACTGTCGTCGACTAGCCAACGACGTTGGCTCATGTTTCTCGCCCGGTGCAGGGGCGCGACCCACGGAATACAGATTAGTACTTGTTAGGTGGAAGAATCCGGTCTCCTGCTAACCATGTGACAAAATAGGCATGGCAAATTTCATAGCGGCTCATTCGTGTCAGGTTTTCTGCGCGCCCTTGAGATCGCTTCGGCGCATGGCAGGAACTCGTGCTCATGACAATGGCCCCATATCCTCGACGCAGTCGCCGCTATGTTGGATATCCTGAGGCGCAGAAGGACTAATGCTGGCAACCTTGAACGGAGGCGTCGCGGCAAAATTACGGTTACGATCGGCGACACAGTCGGATGTCCCGACATGAGGAATGGCGCAAGGGTGTCGGCACGCTTCAGCCTCCAGAATCACAAGAACGTGGTTCATAGTGGATTGAAGCGTGATAGATATCAAGCAAGAATCGTTGTCGAAGATATCTCGAAGCGTGCGACTCTTGTGACCACCTTGTGATTATCGTCACGGCGGAAGTGTGACCGTTGTGGGTCCATTTCGGTCACGCCGCACGCGTAAACTTTTGTCTCCGCTCCTTTGCTGTAGCTACTTGTAACCTCCCAAAGTGCTCTCTCTCTCCACGTAGGGTGGCTTCCCAGTAATTATTTATGTAAGAACAGGAAGCCGAACATTAGCCGATTTCAAGCAACGCTGTGAGTACCTAACATCCAGTATTGTTCGAAATGTCTCATGCGGCGGAGTGCAGCATATAGGAGACCGGTGTCATTTTGTTCAATTTATATGACGCGTTAACGCTTGACACAATACACAGAAGCCTTCTCCGTGGAATAAATCTTGGGTCGAGTATCTTCATCGCCTTCATCCAACAAACATCCTGGCGCTGGCGGTTCTCAAACACTTTCTTCCTGCTGCTGTATATCTCAACAGGATATTCAATGCTCTTTCATATAGTCAGATTAAGATCTACTACGTGGGTACGGAGCGCCTGACTTTGCTAGATTGATGCTACTTCCGAGATTATGAGGCCGCACTTGTACCTCGAGAGGCTGAAGTTATCGTTGTGCGACCTGGAATCCACAGCAATAGGCGATATCACACATGAAAACCCCGAGGTGGGCGCCTCGGTCGTTCTTGCTGCTGGCTTTTTGTGCGCGTGGTCTTTGACGCGCTTAGCCTTTGGTGCGCTCACACATGCCGTGATTCTTGTTTTTTTCCGAGCAGATCGGTTGCCACACCCTGTGAAGACGACTTCGATTCTGAACTCAAAATTCGAGACCGGGGTATCCTTATTGTTTGGACACGGAGATACCCCACGTTGTCCGTCCGAATTTGACACTCGCGGAAAATCTTCTGCGCTCATCGAGCCTCTATGTTGGTCCTCGCCTGCCCACCTCGTCGAGATGCTCTCCCTTTTGTTTGTCGCGTGTCTGTGCAAGATCTCCCCTGCTGGTTCTGGACCTGCGAATCTAATCACATCTGACAGCATCTGTTCAGCACCCACGATCTCGCAGGATCAGCACTTACCGACGATTTGGTACTTTGATTTGCACGGTTTCTCTACAGATGCATCTGAAGATTAATGAGAAATACTGACATGTGAAGCGCTTGGTACGACTTTGTGGAAGATAGAGTTTGAGAGGCGGGTATGCCAAATTAGGCAGGTGTCTACGGATGTGTGACGAACTTGAAGCCCCCCCGCCTTCCATGGAGGACGACTTTGTCCGCAATAACGACTGCCGTTCAGAATTCGCGAGCCTCGAGTGGACTCATTTTTCGTTATTTCTGACTAGTGCGAAGCTGAACTATATCGGGCAATGCCGCACGAATGTCCCGACCTCCTGAAGTGCATCCGCCCTAGGCATCGCTTGTTGGTGAGTCATTCTCGTGTATCCGAAACACCTTATATTCCCTGAAGTGACGTAGCAGAATATCTTCAACATGGATCATGAGATTGAGGATTTTGGAACCTGAGCCAGTGACGTACCGTCAAGTTCCCGCACTTCCCCCACCTCAGCCGCGATGCTTCCGCAGTTCCGCGTCGACCATGGCCATCCGGTTGATTCCATTCCGTGACACTATAAGAATCATTGCTTGGCTACCAATAATGCATTGACCGGCAACCATGCATCATTTAGCACTTCTGTTCGCGCTTGTTCGCTTCGCAAGTGCTCAAACTTCGTCCCCCACGGCGATTGCGTCCCATTACTCTCTCTCAAGCAGCACAAGTCTCAAGATGCCAACTGCCACTCTCGCACCCTCCTCTGCTTCAGCATACATCACATCCACTTGGTCCGTCCAGGGTAACATCGACGGAGCAGCTGATCTCGCGTTCGTGCCAGACCCATTTCCCTCTACCACGTCCTCTGCGACTTCTACCGCCAAGACGACAGCCAAAACGACCGCAAAATCTACGTCGAAGTCGACCTCGACGCCTACTCCGACTCCTACCCCCGTCTTGCGAGTGACCTACCCCAATGGGAGCTTCTCGCACCCGGGCACAGCAGGTGCCCAATTTTACTCGTACTGGTCGCCGCCAGCGGGTAAGCAATGGCAGTCGATGCTTCTCGCGTACGACGTTGCATTCGATACCAACTTCACGTGGGTGCTTGGCGGGAAGCTGCCTGGGCTCCGTGGCGGTGCGAACACCTCGAGTTGTTCAGGTGGATCTGCAGCAAATGGTTCGAACTGCTTCACTTCACGACTAATGTGGAGGACGGGTGGTGCTGGTGAAGGTGCGTTTGACGATTCGCAAGCATAATGTTGCTAAACTTCCTGCGCAGTATACTCTTACTTCCTGTTGCCCAATGGTACTTGTACAAACTCCCACTTTATATGCAATTCGGATGGATATGGTACAAGTATTGATCGCGGATCGTTCAATTTTAACGCTGGACAGTACGTACTTCCATTGACGGCCTTCGTCTGCTGAATTTGTGACTAATTTGGTTGATAGATGGAATCGCATATCCTTGCTCGTACGGATGAATAGTCCTGTGAACGTTACTAACGGTCAGGTGGCACTGTAGTACGTCCTTATCTTTTATGAAATTTGCGGGCACTCATTGTGAATAGCCACAACGACGTGCAAGCAATCTCGGAGAGCAGTTTGCAATACCGCAACAACTCAGCAGTCAACATCGGTGGAATATTCTTCTCGTGTGTCTCTCTCCCCTGACGCATGATTAACAGATATACTAATGTTTTGCTCGTCTAACAGGACATTCTTCGGAGGTATGTCTTGCCTGATCATTCTTGGTGTCATAACTTATGCAACGTGTTCAGGCAGCACCTCGTCGTGGGCTCCGCCAAATACGACCCACTCTTACTTCCGCAACTTCCAGCTGTGGGGTAGTACTGCGCCGGCGTGATGACGTTGATCCGCGAAGTACGGTGCTTGGCCACCAGGATGGTGTCTTTGCTGCATTTTGGTGATATGGTAACGGCATAGATTGTTAGCGGAACCTAGTTTACGTGTTCATCACTTCAGATGTATCTACGTCGTGCGGTTAGCAGCGGTCGTGCCTTGTCTGTGGCATCAATCTATTGTAAGATGGTTCGGGCACTTTAGGACGATTCGGAGTCGTTATCTCATGTGTTCATTACATACGTACATGTACATGCACAACATCAATCACGCATAGAGGTCTCGAACCAGTTTATGTAGTGCGTTAGCTGAGTCATTAGCAGCGGGCGGTTGCTGATGCGCTGAGGGATCGTGAGGCGTCTCCGAACAGAGTCGGCGAAAGGCACTTGATTCAGAACAGAGGCGAAGCACCCCAGAAAAAAGGGTCCGCAAGCAACGACAATCACAAAATCCAGATCACCAGAAATGTACATGACGGCAGCACCATGACATGTCCGAGCGACGCATTTCATGCCAGTGGCTATGACGCCAGCATGAATCTAACCGATCGTCTAGCTGCGCGTGCCGCACGAGAAGCATGCTTTCTTGTGTGTACCTGTGGCTGCAACTTCCGGCCGGTAAGTCGCAGCGGGTGCTTTGCTGGAGCAATCTTCTCCGATGTCGGGTGAATAACATAGAACTACGCTTCTATTGCCTGCAGACTTTTGTAGTCGCGTGATGCAGTTACTCTGAAAGATAGTGGCGCTGTACGCACCTCAGACGCGTTTTGCGCTACGGGGTTGGATAATGAGTCCCGTGCCTGCAAAGATCAAGGTCCACGGCAGTATTACTACATCGTTGTGCATCAAGCCCGTGTCAAAGCCCTGCAGCCCGTGATAAAACTGGCGAATAGCACGGAGTTCATGTATCAGTCTAGCACAACAAAATGGCGACATAGAATGTGACCCTAAACCCATGCCATGCTGCTGTAAGTACCATATATCGTTGGTGCTTTGGAGACCACACTGGCCGGCCCTAATCAACTTCTAGGCGCCACAGAAGCTGAGGCCGAGCGCTCCGACGTCGTACCGGGCTGGAACGGATCTGCCTCATGTTGAACGATGAGGATTTCGGTATGTTTTCCTCGGGCTTGACCTGCCAGAAACCTCCTAGTAATATATCTCAGTCAGAATCAATCAGAATGCTGCATAAGGATGAATGGGCTGCTCCAGAGGAAGAAATGACCCTTGAGGATTGGATCCTCCCTGTGGCGATTGATGTGTGGCGATTCGGAAGGTTAGCAAGTCTGGAAGCTCGGTCACCAGATGGTCCCTGTTACAGAAACATGAAACCGAGATTGAGGACTCAAAGAATGCACCAGGTGTATGCAGGATGCATGATTATGAAGGACGAGTCGGACTTGCGGATAGCCGTTGGATGAGAGCGATAAGATGAAGATGAGTAACATCAATCTATGTAATAAACGGACCTAACGCATGCTCCCGCGATGCTACAGGCAAGCGATTAATTACAGTTAATTATGAGCCGTCAGCGTGTGAGTACGAAACGCACTCGCTCGGCGGAGCACAGCGACAGCCCCTGCTGGCGAGCGCAGACTCGTCCGAGTCCTCTTTACCCATCGTTGTGATGGTTCTGATAATTCTCCGCCCAGTGACCTGTCCGCCCACGCATCGCGCCGGTCGGCTGCTCGTACTACACACAGGCCCACAACAGAAGCACTCAGGATACGGCACGAGGAACCGTCGTATCGAACCCAGAGCCGGAGATTAGTACGTGCTAATCCACAAGCAGCAGTCCGCTCTGTACCAGTTTCCGGGATTCGATCCAATCAGACATGAGGCGGCCCCTTCCTGATGCAAATAGAAATAGGCCGAGTTTGCTTCGAGTTGTGCACTCGCCCCCCCCAGTCGTTCGAGCTCCCAAATTATCATGGGCGCACAGTCTCTCACACTCCTTGGCTCTGTGAGGCATTCCCTCTGGGAATCGCTCGTCCAGTATAGTTCGTATCTCGTTCATAGCCGTCGTCATGCCACATTGACAATTTTCACCTTTCGTTAGTGCGGGGGTTCATGTTGCGCTCCCTCAAGAACGGACTCCAGCACGGCCATTTGGTCATCACGGAGGGGGAAAATAAACACTCCTTTGGCGTTGTCGGCGACCGGCCCATCTCCCTCTCCGCCGATATTGCGGTAGAGAATGAGGCATTCTGGGTCCGAGTATACCTCTCCCATGATCTAGGCTGTGAGTGGCCGTGCTTCCCCGGCTTCGTGTGATTTAAATTGTCTGTTCCCGGCAGTTTCTGAGGCCTACATGCATGGTGATTTTACGACATCAAATTTGAAAGCCATTCTCGACGTAAGAATACATTATCTATTCAGTCATCTTATCACTGATTTTGTCATAGCTGTGGCTGGCTAACCGAGATACCCTGACGAGCCTGATGTCCATGTACAGTCGCGTAAGCTGGATGATCTCGTCTATCGCTGTCAAGAATTTTGGGCAGACACTCGTCAAGTCCATCCCGAATGTTGTACGTCCTGCACTCTACTGGGCTCATCCGGGTATCAGACTGATGGGCGCCCCGACATAGGTAACCGGCTACGACTGCAGCAACACATTTTTCCAGGTTCGTCTTACCCAGTGTCTTGTACACTACTCCACGCGCGGAAGCTGATAAGGTCGTCAGGCCATCTTAAGCAAGGAGATGATGTACTCGTGCGCGCTTTGGACGGATGAGACCGGCGGAGTCCGGGGTGATCTGGACGGCACTGTGAAGAAGTTTGATCTCGAGAACGCGCAACTGCACAAGATTCATTATCTCCTGAAGAAGGCCCGCGTACGGCCCGGCGACAGGCTGCTCGAATTCGGGTCCGGCTGGGGCGCGATGGCTATCGAGGTGTGCAGACTGCGGGAATATCGTCGGTGTATGCTAACGAGAGGTACAACAGGCGGCGAAGATGGGATGCACGGTAGACACTCTCACACTCTCCATTCAACAGAAGATTCTCGCGGAGCAGCGCGTCGCCGAGGCCGGGCTATCCGACAAAGTTCGCGTGCATTTCATGGATTACCGTAATCTTCCCCCAGAATTCGAGAAAGCCTTCGATGCGTTCATCTCCGTCGAAATGCTCGAGGTATGCCATTGTACTAAAGCGGTCCAATACCTCGATCTCACACCATATTCAGGCCGTCGGGGTTGCGTACATGCACCAGTACTTCAAGATCCTGGACTGGGCACTCAAGTCCGACCGCGCTACCGCGGTCATGACTGCTACTTCGCAACCCGAGTCACGCTGGACAATGTACCAGTGAGTCCAGTTGCCTGCGAACATAGAACTTAGTTTACTGATTCGTGATAGGGCGACCGACTACGCTCGCAAGTACCAATGGCCGAACACCATCCTGCCATCCGCAACGTACCTCGCCAACGCGTGCCAGGAAGCGGTGCCGCGGAGGTTTGTCCTGGAGGGCATCGAAGACAACGGCGTTCGTGAGTATCACCCTGAAAGCACTGCAGCCATAACATTCCGATTCTCACCCTTGGGTCTCTACAGACTACCCGCGCACACTGAGAGAGTGGGGCAGGTGAAATAGCTTGTATTTTTAACCTCCAAAAGCGATGACCAACCCTCTGTTCCACAGGCGCCTGCAGGAGAATTGGACGCCTGAGATGATCACGGAGATGCTCAAGGACCGCCCTGAGCTCTCCAACGAGCGTGACCTCGCGATCTATAAGCGCAAGTGGGAGTACATGTGCGTGTATGCTGAAGTCGGCTACGCCCGCGCGTACACCTCCATGCACTACTGGACGTTCGCGCGCCCGGTATGTCCTATACACAACTTCTGCGCAGACTATTCACTGATAGAATATTTTCTTCTCCGTGTATCAGGACAATCCAATGCTGGTGTGCGACTAATGTATATATATATAGGCCCGCTGCTGTCGTGCCGCTCTGAAGCCCAGTGTTGTAAGCTCTCGTTGCGATATACGGACCGATTACTAGGCTTGTGCTACGCTCTGTTGTAATTGTAGTACAAGGCAAAGGCGCTCACGGAGGTCGCCGTCAATGTGTACCATGTGCTACGACATAACATATTCTTTTTTACCTGGTGTGTTTTCACTAACACAATGTACACCACCTATACACGCATTCTTGTTTATTTTCCTCTCGTGCAGAAAAATGGAGAATTTCGTCTTCAACCGCTGCAGTGTCTGTTGCGGATGTCGAGAATGCCATTCGGGTGCCGAGCGAGGTTTCAAAAATACTGTGCCTGCTGTCCCTCGGACGTCCGCGTCGTGATCGTCGATCGTGTTGTTGCTGTTCGATCACGAGGCTACGAGAGGAGGACCCTGACAATTGGCCAAGATGCCTGATCCAGAGGGGCCAAAAATGTCCGCAAAAAATGAGGCATCACCACCATATTTTAGGTCCATGTCCGCGATTTACCTCAGGCATGGCGTCGTGTTTGACCCCAAAAAAGGGAATTTTGGGCGATTACGGGAAGGCGGCGAAGCCGCCACCCCTTCCTCCCTCTCTCGCGGTGCCTCGCCAGGATTTCACGCGCGTTTGTCTGGTCCCGGATTAGGCCCCGTAGATTCAGCCCTCCGATGTCCGCGAAATGGCTGAGGCCATATGGTGGTCAACCCCTTGGTTTGTCCGTGAAAAACCAGGGCTCTCGAAAGTCCAAATTTTGTCCGAAATCGGCTCAGGATCCTCCCCAATTGTCAGGGGTCCTGCAGCTGTCCTGCTACGAGATCTCCATATTCATCTGAATTTGGATGTAGCCGCGCACTGACCCCGCGAGTGCAGCTTTGCAGCAGATGAAATGACCGGCGGGAGGGGGGTTGGATTGAAATTCGCCAGTGGTGTCTGAGGCAGGCACAGGGCTGCCGATCCGCTCGGACAGGATGTCTCTATACACGGCAGAGGTTACAAGGGTTCTCGCGTGAACTCCTATGGACGTGACAACAAAATCTAAGTCCGAAAGTACAAGCAACAAGAGCGCAATGATACATATCACAGCAGGTGAAGTGGGCGTCCGTCATACACTCATCTTCATCACAATGCTCGGGTGGGAGTCGTACCCCTCAACGACAATATCTTCGCTCGTGAACTCGTCGATGCTCGCCACGTCTCTGCGCCAATGCACTTTCGGGAATGGCCGCGGTTGCCGCAGCAGCTGCACCTCGAGCGCATCGACGTGATCCCGGTAGACGTGCGCGTCGCCGAGCTGGATGATCAGCTCGTGCGCGTCCGTGCGGGTGACGTGGGCGATCATGTGCGTGAGCAGCGCATAAGAGGCAATGTTGAAAGGAATACCAAGCCCGAGGTCAGCGGAGCGTTGGAACATCAGACAGGAGAGCTTGGGATTCTCGGACGGGGCGGTCGGGAGGTGCACGTAGAACTGGCACATCATGTGGCATGGAGGGAGTGCCATGAGTGGGATGTCTATGAGGACATTGTGAACGCGTCAATGCGAAAACGAGAATGAGGCAAGCGAGACGACACACTCACCTGCGGGATTCCACGCGCTCAAGATGATCCTGCGGTCAGTCGGGTCCTCCTTGATCTTTCGTATACACTCCTGCAGCTGGTCTACTCCCTCTCCCGTGTAGTCTGCATCACAGTCACGGTATTTCGCGCCAAAATGTCGCCACTGGAAGCCATAGACAGGTCCCAGATCGCCCTCCCGCCGGTGCCCCAATCCCCGCTTCTCTAAAAATTCCTTCGAGCCGTTTCCGTCCCAGATCTTCACCCCCTGTTGCGAAAGCAGCGTGGAATCGGTCGAGCCGCGCACAAACCAGAGAAGCTCCTCAACAATGCCGCGTAAAAATGTGCGCTTCGTGGTGAGAAGAGGGAGAGTCGCGTCGGCGAGCGAGAAGCGGAGAGAAGGAGGTGCAAAAATGGAGAGAGTTCCCGTGCCCGTGCGGTCTGGGCGAGGTGCACCGGCATCGAGTACGCTCCGAATGAGTTGGAGATACTGATACTCGTCGTGCGGACGGTCGTGGGTTGTTGTGCTCACAGTCATGATGGCGCAGAGGAGAACCCGCCGTTGTCACCGACGCGGTGTGACAGCGGGCAAGCCTCGCTGTCACACGTTCGGAGTCACGGGATCATACGCGGAAAAGCACGCTCACCAAATTTCATCCTAAACCTATTCCAATCGCCGCCAAATCTTATTCTGTCGACTCCTTGCCTCGGCTTGACTTCTTCAATGCCTGCACCTGCTAGGACTCGTATCCCAAGGACTACCGCGAAGCCGAAGACAGAAACTGCAAATGACCTCGCCACAGCACTCTCTACGAAGCTGACCATCTCAAATGCCAAGAGGAAGGGGAAGGCGTCCCTGTCTGCGGTCGAGGTTAACGCAGACACTATTGCTACTGAACTTGCGACAAAGCTCATTATCTCGAAACCGAAGGGGAGAGCCAAGGCGTCGCTGCTCTCAGTGGAAGACCGTCGCACGAATGCCATGCGTGCTGTCAATGCAGCGTCCAGAAATCTCTCCACCATCATTGACTCTGGATGGAAAGCGAAGCAGAAGGGTCGTTCGGAATCTAGTGTGGCCGGCTACGCTTCTGCAGCGAAGAAGGGTCTGGAAACTCTCAGAGAGCTGAGCCCTAGGGAGGTGGACATCGAACGAGCAGCATCGGCTGTGGTGGGTAAGCTCGTCTCCCTCGAGATGGTTCGTTCGTCAATTCTGTGTCTCCAGGCTGGCACCTGATATCTCTCTCTAACAGTATGACACCGCCATTTCTATCCTGGCCGACATGCGTAATGCTCTAATCGCGCTATACTACGCGGACTACCAATTATCAAGCAAACCTCTGCAATTTTGCGCTGTTTACCTCCCTCTTGTGGAAACTGAGATTCCTGAACTAATACTAACCCTCATCTCGACGTATCTTCTTCATTCCATCGCCGTCTATTGTCAACCCAAGTTCGATCTCGCCGCGTTAGCGGATGTGCTCGACTCCAGTCCTACATTACTCGCTTGGACCACCCAGCTAACGCGTCTGCCCGAGAAGCAGCACGACTCAGTGCTTACTCGTTCATACACAGCGATCGCGACCTGTGCGTCATCACCAGGAATCGCTCCTCGGACGGCGTATCGTTTACGCACTTATGCGCTGCTATGCCTTGCGCACACTCGCCCCTCTATCATTGTTTCGAATACATTTTGGGATCAGGCGGTCAAATTCGCTGCGGCACTCGTTGCGGGAGAACGAGGCGGAGAAGAAGATAGTCAGTGTGAAGTGGCAGAACATGTGCTACAAAGCTATGAACGCGTGGTCGCCGCTGTGCAAGGTCGCCCTGACAAGACCACATTCATGAGCGGCACAGGCTTTGTCGCGTTCTGCGAATACTGGATTGCTTGTGCCAAGGAGGTACGTTCAATATCAACTGTGTTTGGTGGTTTTAGTGTCAATCATGTTTTTAGGCTGGCGATATGAAGGCGTTGGATAGAATCAATGGAATGATCGGTGGGAGCGAACCTGCTCAAGCGGGACGCGAGAAGTTCATAGTCGATGGCACGAAGATATGTGCGACGCTTGCACAGGCTCTCACCGTCTTCGACAAATGGGACGGTGAGTCACTTCACTTGGCAGGAGCAGCCGGTAGATTTAATCAGTTTACGCCCTTGTTAGATTGCGCCAGCGATCGTGCTTCACGCTTGCATGATACAGAAACGGCTATCACACGATGCGGACTGTTCCTGAGCAAGAGGAACGACACGGACGAGAAGCGCACCGCCGATAAGGTGAGGCGTGCTCTGGAACGCTTGCGGCGGTCCGCTATCAAGGTCCTCGAATCTTCGTCTCCTACTGAGGTGCAGAATTCGGCGAAATCTGTGCTGGAGAATATCATTGGTGTCCTTGCAGAGGCTGTCCACGAGGTATTTGCACCATGATCTTCACCTCACAACAGCTGACACTGCCGCAGACGCACACGCTCAGTACTGACACGGTCACGCCGGCTCTGGACACGCTCTTTGTGCTCGCCCGGACATCTATGTGTGTTTCGAATCCCGACACATACGCGTATGCTTTTGGATGCCTTGCTCGTGCATCGATGCTGGTCTCTGGTTTGAGCAACAACGCGTCCTCTGCGGACGCGATGGGGTCGTGCGCTAACTATGTACGATGCGTGTCTGGCGCGTTCCACCATCTTGCAGGGGTGTTGTATCAGGCAAGTCGGTATTCACACACCGTGCGCTTCCTGAACGAAGGATGCGTGCTGGGCAGCCGCGCTCTGGAGATGTACCGCGAGGCAAGACGCGGTGGGTCTGATGCAAGGAAGCAGGAGGACGCGTGGACGCAGCTTGAAGACCAATTGTATAGGCGGTGGGAGCTTTTAGGAGTTTGTCAAGCGAAGACGGGTGATCGAAAGGTACGTACCCAGAAGATAATTTGCGCTCTTTTCTGATGGTTGACAATCCGCTCTGTAGCTCGCGTTTGACGCTTTTGTGATGAGTATTAAAACCTTCCCCTTTTCTCAGCCGTCTTTTGTTCAAGCTGTTCGCACCACTCCTAGCGGCGTGTTCGACACTTCATCGTCACTCAAGCAGATCGCTAGTGTCCTGGATCGTGCGACGTACATGGGCGCGTGTGATCTGTTCCTCGAGCCCGATAAGCTCAGCACGAAAGTGTGGCTAGCAGAGACCGCGCTCTCCGGCGGCGAAGGCGCTCAGACGTGGAACTGTGTCATCGGGACACTGCTGGAGAGACAGATAGAAAGCCTTGAGAGCAGCCGGTGGAAGGCCGGGGTGCGTGCGATGATTGATGTTCTGCTGCGCCATGCGCTCGAAGTGTACTCGCCAACAGAAAGACCCGTACGGAGGGCACGCGTGCTACTTAAGTGTCTGGAACATGCTTACTATGCTCCTGCTGAAGGTAGCGCATCAATAGCGGGATTGTCTCCGACCGAGATCGCTGCGGAAGCGCTTGAGCTGCTTTCACGCGAGGTATGTCGCACTATCATGTCTGATTTGTTTGGGTCCTCATGACAAGTTCTAGGACCCTAGTAGTGACAGTGGCTTAGTCCAATATCGCACACAGTATCTCGCAACGACCCACCTTTACATGGCTTTGCACACTCATCGTATAGCGGGGGAGAACCACGCTCACGTCGTTGTAACAAATGCGGAGCAGGCATGGCAAGTACTAAAGAAGATGATATCGAACGTCCCTCGTCAATCGCTTGCCAAGATTCAGTCACCTCGAGTAATCGCCGCTCCCAAGAAGAAACCTGCTGCAAGAGCCGGTGCTAGCACACGAGGTGGGCCAACAAGGACGAGAATCGCCAAGGCTTCGGCGAGACACAATCCGCCAGTGACGCCCAAGCCTCGTCATGGTATGCGTTTTCTTCTGTGTTCTTGTCGTAGCATGGGCTCAGGATGGGATCGTTCTCACCAGCCTTGAATGATCATCCCGTCAACACAGCTCTTGTCACACCTCCAAAGCCAGCAGTGAATCACCACAAATCGGCAGCCGTATTTGATGACTTCCCCAAGTTCTTCAGTCTACTCGGTGAATTTTACTTTTGTTACAAATTTGCGACCATGACTTATTATGCACCATATACCCATCTTGCAAGTAACGACATCGCACTTGGTTGGCTTACTGGGGCATGTCCTGGTCAAGATCCAGTTACTCAACACTGCTCGGAGGTTGAGTGAGCAACACAAAGGAGCGACGTCAGATGGTAAGAACATTTTCTCATTTCCATGGATTTAACGCTGAGTTTGGTTAGAATTCATCATGGCATCCCTGGAGCTTGCCCACGAATACGTCAAGCTGGGAAGGGCGCGGAAAGCAGCAAGCGTTTATAACCAAGCGCTTGCATCTGTTCGCAGTGGAGAGGCGTCGCCAGAAGTGCGAGTGATGTTCCTGTTGCGATACGCTGAAGCCCTTGCTGCCGCAGGGAACGTGCTGAAGAGGTGAGTTATGCATTCAGAGTATGCTGAGATGATCAGCATGCTTAGCCCATTGTTAGTGCGAGTGCCTACTGCGAAGCCTTGGCACTGTCTGAAGACCTGGCGGTAGACGAGAAGGGGATGTCTACTGCACAACGAGTGCGACTACGTGTTGCAGTCTTAGAACGGGCAGCTGTCGCAGCATCTATCTTCTCTGTGATGCAGTATTCACGGGTGGGGGTTTTGCATTGTTTCCCTTTGAGGTTGACTAACGTGGCCCCGTTATACAGGACGATGCAAACACGTCTCTCGATGGTCTTTTGCAGTCGCTGAGACTCTGGAATCGTGCCATTGACACGATGGCACGATTGCATCCTACCCCTCCGTCAAAGTCTACCACAGAACCGTCCAACCCGTTTGAGGTTGCCGAACCCTCACGGTCTTCCGAACAGGTCGCACCGAGAAGGTCATTCCAGCAAAGGTCTTCTATGGATGCCGTTGAATGGCGTATCGCCGATGGACTGATGGACACATTGCTGTCCTTGGCCCAGGGCTACTTCACGCGTGGATCCCCAAGGGAGGCACAGTATTTCGCAGAACAAGCGTATGATCTTGCGAACTCTCTGAAAGCGCCCGCGATGATCAGTCGGGCATTGGCGCGCAAGGGAGAGATCTTACTACATCTCGGACAGCTGGAGGAGGCGCACAGTGCCCTCATCCAAGCAGCCGATTTGGTTACGGACGTCGCTGGTACTGATGCTGCAGATGTCCATCGTTTGCGCGGTCATTACAATCAGCTGAACGCACATCACCAGGATGCTCAAGAGCTCTACGAACGGTCACTCGCGATGCTCGATGAGTTGGGGAAGTTGTTCTCGGCTTATGATGGTGTCATGAGTGGGTAAGATGGCATTTCATGTACAGAGGTGAAATGGTCGTTGATGTTCTTGCGTAGTGCAAGGAAGTCTCTTGGCGTCTCGCCCAGGTCGCCAAGAAATCAGTCCGGTCAAGATGCGCTAGCACCTGCCCTACTTGCAGTAATTCTGCGGCAACAGAGTAAGTCGTAGAGAGCTCTGCTCACGTATGATTCTATCATCTAACTCCTCCGGTTCTCAGTTGGTCTCTTGCATGACACTGGCTCAGAGTACAAGACCTTGCTTGAGCGATTTGCGTCTCTTCCCCCGACGACAGAGACAAAGGCGGAGCATAGTGCGCTCATGGCGAAACTGACCCTCGACGATGTGTACTCTCGATTCCGTGCCGATATGTTCCTCAGCTCCCTGGCCGAGTCCGGTACGTGACAACGACCGGCGCATTCCTCGCAATAAGATCTGATGCCAAACCTGCACAGCAATCACTATACCTATGGGGATGTCGACCCACCGTGCAATTACGCTGACACCGGCGACGCAGGACATCCTCGGCACGCTCACTACGGCTGAGAAGATGTTCTGGTCGGATCTCGTTTCCATCTCGCATCGTGGGAACGTACCGCACGTCCGGAGCGCGGCGATATCGCTGGCGTTGATCAGGACTCTGCAGACGTCTCTTGGAAAGGGAGGAACCGATGCGGCGGTCCTTGCTGCACGTCTCATCGGTAAGACGTGCAATACAGTTCCGGCATAGGTGATCTCTAATTTTGCAGCGTAGATGCCTCGACCTCAATCACATTGCATCGAGAAATGCTGGAGGCCGTTCAACACAAGTTCCGAGATCCACTATCGTTCGACGACCTTCGCTGGCCGGTAGTTACCCCCAATGGTTCACCGTTGCCACCACCTGTCCAAGTCCGCGTACGACGACACCGAGGTTCCCTATCATTCGACGACTCAGACGAAGAGCCTGACGGCTCAACAGACGAGTCTTCTCTCCAAGATTATTGGAAAGAAGTGCAGAAGAAATATCAATCCGCGATATTCGATGCTCCGAGCATGTCGGCGCCCCGAGTGCGCCTCCTCCCGGCCAACTGGACCGTCGTGAACATCACCGTCACAGAGGACAAGAGTACGATGTTTGTCACGCGCCAGAGGGCGAGCCAGAGCCCGCTCATCTTCTGCCTGCCGCTGAAGGGGCGACGGGAGAACCAGGATGACGAGCACCTGGCATTTGACGATGCCATCGGCGAGCTTAAGGAGATCATCCGGCTCAGTGACGAAGGTACTAAGGGAGCTGCGAACATCAAGAAAGACGACAAGAGCGCACGTGCCGCTTGGTGGGCGGACCGGACCGCGCTGGACAAGCGTTTGCAGGAGCTGCTCGACAACATCGAGTTCTGTTGGCTGGGGGCGTTCAAGGTGAGTGACCTGCCACATCCGCACTCATGAGATTGCCTGATCGCGCACTGCATAGACTATCCTCAGCCAGTCGATGAACATGACGCCCGACGACATCGCGACGCTTCGTACGCGTCTAGACAAGGTCTTCGAGCGGAGCCTCGTGCTGCAGGACAAGAAGCAGAAGACGCGCGTTCGCCTCGACGATGCGCTCACAGAGTGCTTTGCCGAGCTCCCGCCGCACTGCCGCGACGAAGAGCTCGAGGACCTCGTGTACTTCGTGCTCGACCTCTACCAATTCCACGGCGTTCCCGTTGCGATCGCCGAGGTCGACGTCGACCAGGTGTGCGTCGACCTCCGGAGCGCGCTCGAGGAGCAGGTGGCGCGGTTGCGGAGCCGCGGTCCGGCCGGTGCCACGGGGCACAACGATGCACACACGTTCCTGGTGCTCGACAAGAACGTCCAGGGCATCCCGTGGGAGTCGCTCCCGGTGTTGCGGGGAAAGAGCGTGAGCCGTATCCCGAGCATGGAGTTCTTGCTCGACCGCACCGAGCTGGCGCGGCGGCAGACGAGTCCCGAGGCGTGGAAGGGCGACGAGGCGAAGGTCGATCGGGCGGTTGTGGACCCCCGAAAGACCTACTACGTCCTCAACCCAAGTGGAGATTTGAAGAACACGGAAGCGCGTTTTTCGCCCTGGCTCAGGGGCATGAAGGCCGTGGGCTGGAATGGAGTCGTCGGTCGCGCTCCCAGCGAGCAGCAGCTGGTGGATGCGTTGACGAGAAACGACTTGGTGATGTGCGTTTTCGATGCTTACACCCGCCGGTCTTCGACTGCTAACTGCTTTTGCCACATGTCAGCTATTTCGGACATGGTGGCGCTGAGCAGTACGTCCGCTCACACAAGATACGGCACCTGCCGCGCTGTGCTGCGACGATGCTCTGGGGATGCTCCTCCGGCGCGCTCAAGGAGATGGGCGACTTTGATCGCGTCGGCACGCCCTACAACTATATGCTTGCCGGCTGGTGAGTATCGAGGATTATTTGAAGACCGGCCTGGCTGACCGTGACCGTACACAGCCCGACCCTCGTCGCGAACCTCTGGGACGTGACCGACAGGGACATCGACAAGTTCTCGCAGGCGGTATTCGATAGCCTGCGGTTGATCCCTTCTGAAGTGAACCGCTGGCGGCCAAACGAGACTGTAGACGCGGGCAGTGCGCGTGACGGCGTCTCCGCGGTGACCGCCGTGGCCAAAGCCAGAGAGTGCTGCAAGCTGAAGTACCTCACGGGTGCGGCGCCTGTTGTCTACGGGATTCCATTCTACCTTTGATACGATTATAGGCTGCTTGCGTGCTACTATTTTTTGCTAATTCTATCATTATTCGCCCTTGGAAACATGTTTGTCGCAGAGGCGTGAGCGATTTAATGGGGCACAACTGCGCCGAAGGATGGAAGTCTGAAGTCTATACATCAGGGCAGAATTTCTGGGATAATTCTATCGACTCCCCAAAGCGGTTTTTCTCAGCCACTCTGGCGGTCGAGTGACACAAATATTGGTGGCCTTCGCGAGGAGCAAGAGGAGGATGGGCTGCGTACGAGGCGGTTTCGCATAACAATTTTTGAAGGCCTTGACACAATTTCGCGCCTTTCTCTGGAAGCTCCTGAATTGCAATATTGAAGTTCCTCGGGTGGACCGTTGAACGCATCTGCGCATAGCGGGCCACTCGCACGGGGACGAAGACACACACTAGCACGTACTGTATCCCAAACTCACGTATTTACTACACGCGCTGGCCCGCACAGGACAGTTCCTGTTCGCCAAAAAATAAACAATAGTACTGTACTATTTCGACCAACTGTTCAGGCATTGTGATGCGTGACGCTCAGTTCGGCCAGTTCAATAGTTCAGAGGTCGCTGTGACTGGTGACGAATGGTTCAGTTCAGGTCGTAGTGGGCGCTTACTGGCTTCATAAGGCGTGGGAAAGCGGTGAACTGACCTTAGGTTGAGTTCGGAGACGTGTGTGATGCGTGACTTCTGAACTCAGAGCCCAGTTCAGAGGGTTGCGTGATGCGTGACTGAACAGTTGGTCGAAATAGTACAGTACGCGGCGATGCTCACTGCAGCTGCAACCCCTTCGATACTGACGCCCGTCAAACGTGGCTCCCGGGTTACCCGCCTCGAGCTCGCCATCAACATGTGGGGGTACATAAACAATGCAACAGTCCATGTGCCCTCCTCCATCCTCCGCGCCCGCCCTTCTTCCTTCCCTTATTTCTCTTTTCCCGCTGACGATTCTGCAAAATGTTTTCTAGCCTATCCCAAAAGTCTTCTTTGCTGTGCGCGGCACTTGCGTCCAGTTCCCTCGCCTTTAGCATTCCTTTCCGCCGCGAGATTCTCCCGCGAAAGACTGCCCATTCTGTAACTGCGACCAAGCAGGCGGCGACATCCGTCGACACCCTCAGCGGCTTCGATAATGTCGCGAATGAGCGCTACATAGGCGACATCACTGTCGGGGGTACAGCGTTCGAGGTGTGTTCCGATGTCCAAAAATGACATTGACGCTACATTGATTGTGGCTGAAACTCTCTGCCGCAGGTCATCCTTGATACGGGTAGTAACGATCTTTGGGTTGATACCGCTGGAGTATCTCTCGACTACTTTTACAACACCTCCGTGGCCGGCGAGATTAACTACGGTATCGATGGCCAGTATTCCTTCGCCGAGGGTTTCATCCTACAGACCAACGTGACCTTTAGCAACTACACCGTCGATCAGGTATTCAGTAAGTGGCAGTAAGGTACCCTTATGTTCGTATTCATGACACACACGTTTCACGCGCAGTCAACGCGCTCAACGTGAGCGCGACTGGGGTGCTCCTGCCCGGTGTCAGTGGCTTGCTCGGATTGGGCCCGTAAGTATCTCTGCACCTGGAACGCATGGCTGCAGCCTATCTTACCTTCGTCATCCCCTCCAGTCCTACTCAGCAGTCGGTTGCCTCCTCTCAGCTCCAACTTGGAAGCTCAGCATTCAGCGGATTGACCGTTCTGGAGAACGTAAGCGCTCCATCGTCATCGGTCTTTTTCTCCAGTTCACACGAATCGCCTTGCAGATTTTCTTGCGGAACACTGACATTCCCCCACAAATCACGATTTACATGTCACGGAACACTGGTACTGGTGAAATTGATGGCGGAGAGTTCACGATCGGTATGTTCCGCTTCTTCTGATTCTCATGCCTAGAACTGGATGGTCTGACCTTCCATTTCAGGTGAAGCACTTCCGGAGTATGCTCAAATTGCGGACACACCACAGCTCCCGGCGATCGACTCCCCCCTCGGACCCCTCTGGACGATTCAGTTCGACGGCCTTGTGATCAATGGGCAGACTTACCAGCAGACGTGAGCACCGATCGTTCTTTTCCGTGTGTCCACCGATTACATCTGGCGTTGTAGTGGTGTTGGCTCGACAAACTTCACGGCTTCCCTTGACTCTGGAACCCCGACAGGTGCGTTGCAGGCACAGCATTGTGTTGGGTGAGCGCGCTAACTTGCTGTATATCTAGCGTTCATCGACTCGTACTTCTATGACCGGATCTACGGCTCGAACCCGAATAGCATCCCCTGCGATACTCAGATCAATGTCAGCCTCATTATTAGGCATGTTGTCCCTCCGTCAATTCCCGTTTTGCTCTTCCTTTCATGATGTCTCGAAGGGCGTGCTAATGTGGCGCTTTTGGTTGACAGCGGACAAGAATTCCCTATTCATCCCATTGACCTGACGATCCCCGAATCCGGCACCTCCGTTTCAAATGCCATCTGCAGTGCCGCGATGTACAGTCTGCCAAACTCGCCCGGAAGTAAGTACTGCGATCTCCTCGCCTTATTGTTCTCAACTCGCATGATTTTATACAGTGTTCCTGCTCGGCGACACTTTCTTGCGGAACGTCTACACACTGCACAACTTCAACAACTATTCACAGGTCGGCGACCCGCTGCCGTACACGCAGCTTCTTAGCGTACGTCGTGCCCCATTCACTCGCACTGTTATGCGGCAGCGCTGACAACTGTAATCACAGGTGACCGACGCAAACGCCGCCGCCATCCAGTTCCCTTCGCTGAACATTGCCCGCCTTGAGGCGTTCAACACGTCCGACTCATCGTCCTCGGCCACCGTCAGTGGCGACCTCGCAGAGGCGTCGTCGACGCCCTCGCCCTCGTCGACGCCGAACCTCTCAGAGCTCACACGTAACACGTACATCATCATGGGCCTCCTCGGCGGCGCACTCCTGCTCCTCATCGCCATCGCCATCATCTCCATTCGCAACCACAATCAGACGCGTGGCTACCGTCGCGTCGGCGGCGGTGGTGTCGACATCTTGGCGTCGGACAAGCCGTACAACCCGCAGTACCGCGATTGAGTACTCGGCTCTTGGACGGCTTATCGCCGTATGCTATCTTGTGTACTTTTGAGGGTTTGAGGTTCTTGGACGATGCACTCATTTATCTATCATCTAGTACTTATCTAAACTGACGCGCCCACTCCTTGTTGCCATACGTAGCTATTACATACTCGCCGTATACTCACTTGTATACACCGTCCTTATTGCTGTCTTGCAACTCGCCGCGTTCGAGCTGTTGGATATGTTTCGCTCCGCTAAGAGTAAGAACGCGAACGTGTGCCGGCACGTGATCGTGCCAGGCCGGGTTCTCACCGTGTTTATGGGGAGGGGCAATCCCTGTTGGTGTCACGGCGGCTGACTAAGCAGCACGCCACTGAAATGTGGCTGGAAAAAGTGACGCTTCGGCAACGCCTCGGTGAAGCTTGAAGCTGCTAGTCAACGCTCGAGTAATGTCTTCCGACCCCACTCCCATCCTGTATTGCTAGAATTCAAACAGTAGTATTAGTTGCTGTGTCAATGTTATCATCTGAGAGCAGAAGCCTGCACTAAAAATCCCTGTATGGGTGACAGAGTCATTCATTACATGCCTGACATGCAGATGAAATAACACACTGTAAACTTATCCAGCCATTGCATGTCAGGGAGATAAGGTATTCAGAACATCAATATCTAGACATGTACGTATGGCTTTAGCTCAATTTTTGTTTGTCACCAAGTTACAGCCTGAACAGCTGCACTACACAGGGTGGTTACACGAGGACATGCCTGTAAGTTCAGTAAAACTACAAACTTTCCAAATTCCATCCGAGAGATTGTAGATATACCAATTCTCTACAAGTTCTACATACAAGGTGAGGCAAAATTCTGTGATCTACGAGCTGAATTTGACGTGCACGACAGGCAGTGTTCTGAGGACCGAGTTTTCAGCCACAATTTCATTGCCGAAGGGTGCCGCACAACATGTGCAAACAAAACTTCTCTGGCGCGGATTGCCCCTCCCCAGTGTTTACATTGTACCACCCACAGGCTGGACAAGTTTGTGCCAAAGCGGTGAGTCTTCAGGAAGAAAGAAAGGGTAACGATCATTATGACTTATATACCGGCAGACGTCGTTCATGTGTCCAAGCTGCAGGCTCGTAATCGCGTAACTACGAATTTAGCCATGCATTCAGCTCTTGAACGCAACGTGGTCACTGTCCAAGGACAGAGGGATCGTCGCAGGCTCTATTATCATTACTCTGCCGCCCACTTCTATGCTTCTGAGCACCTGAATCCCTGAACAATTTTTCCAGTATGCACGAGCTCCTGTTTCCATCGTCGCCTTTCACTGCTGGATGAGTATCGTACTCCGTATCGCCGTGCGATGTCGTATTTATCCAGCAGACTCAAAAGGGAGATATGATGGTCAAACTGTGTTAAATTGGCACAGCTCACATGCTGTGGAAACGGGAGATTATGTTGTTCTGTCTCCAGGCATTCTGCCTGCGTTTAGTCTGTCGTGTGACTTATGAATTCCTCTTAGATAGACAACCAGTGAACGTTGGATGTACTCCGGAACGACACCGTCCTCGTATCCTATCTTCCGACCTGACCAAGACAACTGGGGTACGTCATCTTGTTCCTGAGCGGCTCCTACTTGCAGTGACAGGATATGAATTTCGTCGAACGGGTTCGCCGCAGGAACCGACGCTGTTCTGTCACTGGCGAGAATGTAGACGGCGAATTTTACATCCCTTTTACGGCGATCCACGTCTTCCCGTTGCACATCAGGACGTCGTTAGCACTCCGTCATGGCCGCAGTGTTCTCGGGCGGACACACTCACTTAATCGCCAGTGGAATTCTCTTTGCCAATCGAACCAGATACAAGACGGTTATCCGCGTCTGGGGAATAGCAAGATGAATTACATTCAGAACGGTTTGCTCCTCCGAGCGGATGTATGCAATCATGGTTGATCTTTATTATGGTATCTTTCACGAAAGCTTATCAAAAGTTGAGTGGCGGTAGCTGCGAGGTGGGGTGTGAAAACACTGGCCTAGCCGCCTACTACTGTACTAGAGCCTACTCTAGTAGCCGATTTCAATTGAAGAGCTTCCGCCATGTATTCTCCGAGTCATCCGGTCGGAAAGTAGATAAGATAAGATTGTCCTATGGCCTAGTCACCGTCCCTAGTGTGCACACGGCCACAGTGGCCAAGTACTGCGAACTCTATCTCGACTTTCTCGCAATGTCGTCGAGCACAGCCCTGAAGACATTCTCTCTGGTGAACGACATTCGAGATGTATCCCCGCAGGATGAAATCTTCAAATTTGACCCCGAAGCGAACAGACAGCTCCTCCGTGACTCGCCATGGGCACAAGAGTCAGTACCTACGCAGCCCACAATTTACGCTGGTGAGGGCGGCTGTGTGGTCTGCTAGGGTGTTTAAGTCGTCTTCCGTGGGTGTGGTTCCAAGGAGCAGTTGAAATATGGATAGGAGAATAGGATAATGAGTCTTTGTCATTATCCAGTAGCCCTCCGTGGAATTTCGCCCCTGCAAGACAGACATCGCATCTCTGCAGCCTGCAGCCGTCGCTTTGCCTTCCCAGAGCCTCTTCTCGATGTGTGGAACTCAGATCACTGACACTTTTTCAGTCCACACTATTTCAAAGTATGCAAGATATCTGCCGTTGCGCTCATCAAGATGGTGATCCACGCGCGCTCGGGCGTGCCACACGAGATCATGGGCATGATGCAGGGCAAAGTCGTCGGCAACGCGTTGGTGATCGTCGACTCCTTCGCACTCCCGGTGCAGGGCACGGAGACGCGCGTGAACGCGGCGAATGAAGCGTATGAGTACATGGTGCAGTATGTCGAGGGCAGCGAGCGGGTGCGTCATGCATGTTCTTTTCTGTCATTACATCTCGTATCTATCCCGACTGCAGGTTGGGAGGTTGGAGAATGCGGTAGGATGGTACCACTCGCACCCGGGTTACGGCTGCTGGCTGTCCGGGATCGATGTCAACACGCAGATGACGAACCAGAAGCACCAAGATCCATTCGTAGCTGTAGTCGTGCGCGATCTTTTACATTCATTTCCATCCACCCCCACTGAATCCTCTGTGATGCAGATCGACCCTAACCGCACGGTCTCCGCGGGGAAGGTTGACATCGGTGCATTCCGTACATACCCAGAGACGCACGTCCCATCCGACGCTCAGTCATCCGAATACCAGTCGATTCCGCTCTCGAAGATTGAGGACTTCGGTGTACACGCAGGGCAGTACTACCCGCTCGAGGTGCAGGTGTTCAAGAGCAGTCTCGACAATGAGCTTCTGGGCCTCCTATGGAACAAGTACTGGGTGAATACCGTCAGCCAGAGTGCGCTGATTTCGGTGAGTTCTTTTAGCGGCTCGAGTGCAATGGCGAGGATTCATGATGGGATAGAATCGCGCGTATGCAGCGGCGCAGCTTATCGACCTGCACCAGAAGCTGTCGAAGGCGCAGAGCTCGGTGTCGGGCACACGTGCGCCTCCTCCGGCACTGAAAGACGACAAAGTGGCGAAGGTGCGGTGATGTCGCTGGTCCGATACTCTTTTAGACTTACTGATCTTATGGGCGGAGTAGAAGGAAGAAAGGAAGAGAGAAGACGCGAACCAGTTGCTGAAAAGCGTCAAGGATAGGTGCGCTTTCTACTTTCCTCCAATTCAAGCGTATGCTGAGAATTGTGCAGCGGGAAAATTGCAACCGAAGCACAGCATGGCCTGATCGCGCAAGTGCTGAAAGATGTGATCTTCTCGATGCGGCCACAGGACATCGCCCGCGTGGAGGTGGGGGAGGTTGTCGACACTTCGATGGCCATTGGTTAGAGAAAACATAGCAAGGACTGCGTTGCTTGAGGATGTGTTTGTATTACTTTCTTGTTGTCACGCGCATTCGTTGTCTAGATACTAGGGATCTGTCGCCGTGCTATTTCAGTATCGTTGTATTGTCAGAATTGTCCTGCACCAACTTGCTATTCTCCAAGTGTTTAAGAAATTCTGCGCGCTGACTCGGGCCCAGTCGGAGTCTCCTCCCTCTAGTTCAAAGAGTACTGTATCATTACGACTACTCCGGCGGTCACGCGTAACACGGCCCCCATCGCCACCGGTATTTGGCCAGTGTCACATTGTCACCGGGCTTTCCGCCGCCTGACGGCGGCGTGTCACACCAGTTTTCGGGCTTTCCGGGCCTACACCCACTTTTCGCCTGGTCTCGTACCCAGACGGTTGTCAAATCGCTACCACCGCTGACAACACGTCTGGGGCATTTTGATAGAGGCCTACATTACAGTTAGCGCCCATTAGCCGCCCGAGAAGCCTCGCTTACCGGCTTCTTTAATTACGGACTTGCTTATTTTGTAGCGCTCACTCCGCGGACTCCTGCACGAGTTTTGCACTTTCTGCCCAACGACAACGTTCTGTGTACAGTGGTTATCTTGTCATGGACTTTTTGGGATAGTGGAAACCTTGTAAAACATTTATAGATGACTTCCAACTCACTCTGACCTTGGAACAACCCCGGGAGCACTCACAGTCAGCCAGCTTGAGCGAAAATATCCAGAAATCTGGTAACTGATGCACTCAAGCTGATTCATTTCTTACTGTAATATTTATACTGACTTCTCTAACACAACTCCCTGCTGTTCACACTTATTTCGGAGCCAATGAGCTCGCAGCAACTCAATCTTCGACAGAGGAAGATATTAGAGCGTCACAGCAGCTGCCTATTCTGGAAGAGACCTGGTCCACGGTCTGTCGCTTATCTAGCGCTTAATGGGCGCTAACTGTAATCACCGCGTTTAACACCCGCATAGTTCGAGTCTGACTAGCTGAGCTGATGACAAATAAACATACTTAGACATACTGTAAATTCCCCAGATAATGTAACCACGGCTAAATGTGTGTATGTCTGACGATGTGCAAATACAGTCATGATTCACAGATATGTCTATGCAGGGTAGTCTAAATGTAACTACATGACGCTCGGGAAGTAGTCATACGTCGAATACCAGAGACATTCCGCTTCTGAATACCAATGACGTCGAGTTGTAGTTAGAACTATATTGAGACAGCAGATGACAGGTATTCCAATACACGTGATCCAGTCGCGTCCCACCCCCCGGTTGCGCTCACGTCCACCCCTGCGCCCCTGCGGCTGCGCTACATTGTCCCGTCCATCGTCCCTATCCCTACTGTGCCATGGATGATGTTAGAAGGCCAGACTTCATCGCCCTTGAGGACTGGAAGAAGATGAGTGAGAATCAGAGAGCTGTATTTCCGCCGAGACCTAGTATAGATCCTCACCTGGAGCAACGTGTCCACGGAACATGGAATAGTGGTCCACAAGGTGATCCATACCCACCAATGCAGCGTGAAGAAATACCCGAAGGCACCGAGATTGTGAATTTGCGAAAGAACACAAATAAAACAGGCAGGTTAGTACAGCATATATGCACATATATTCAGAGACTCACCTAACTCAATATGCAATAGGAAGAAACAGAAACAGAAACAGAATATGAACAATCACCAAAGCACATCTGTCCCACCTCCCAGGTATGAGTAACTCTGCAGGCCCAGCCAGAGTATCAGAGGAACTCACCGTGACTTGTAGACACCCAGCATGCATGACTGAAACCACTGAATCCCAACCACGTGGGCACACATATCCTCCCCCAACTCGCCATCATCCGCACATTCCAGAGCATCCTCCATCTCAGATTCCGAGTGCACACCGGTCCAAATCTTCTTTACACCCTCCTTCGGATGCGTCCGATTCCAGCTCTCTTGCTGCGATTGCACATTCGCTGGAGACCTTGCATGCAAAGCAAGACAACATTCAACAAAGGCTGAACATGCCGGAGAGGAATGGAGAAGGCGCACCCACTGGCCAGGACTCTGAATGTCAGTGCGGCGCTATGGCGACTCGTGGAAAAACATCGGCAGCAAAGCGCAAGGTGCTGAGACAAGGCGGACGAGGCAGAAAGAAAGTAATTCTTCGTGATGATGACCAGTTAGATACTGCAGGAGATGATGAAAGTGACGATGATGATGCAGAGGACCTGGTGATCCCGAAGTTGAACCTGTCTAAGGCAGCCCAGAAAGCCAGGGCTGACCTTCAGGTAAGATCCTTCCACCAATATTCGTACAGGTACTCACGTTGTGGCAGGCTTGCATAATGGCAAAATTCCGCTTCATCTGTGGTGTTCCGGAAGGAGAAGAATGGCCGAGCCCAATGGACACAGGGCGTGTAAATGTAAAGACAGACAAAGAATATTTTACCCCGAACTTCAAGAAAGATGTGCGGCATCCTGACAACCAAGACATCTTTGAACGCATAGCCGACCTGGTGCAGAATGACATCGAGGTGAGCAACCACTGTAATGCACTTACAATGATTGATACCTGCTAATACGGACCATCTAGACATCTGACAAGTGTCTCGAGACTCTGAAGCAACGCCAACGTTACAGATGGGATCAAGAAACCCTTGTTGAGTTCACAAAAAGCAGCTTTCGTGGGTTCAAAGTTGCCTACAGTGCACAAGTGAACGACGAGAAGAAGAAAGCACAGGATACAAATCAACGTACAAACCATCACAAGCGTCGCCGTGAAGCAGTGAGTATCCTTTTATTACTGTCCGCTTGCTCTTTGTTTATGTCATATGGCTTTGAGTAGAAGGTGAAGAATCGGCTCACCACGGTGCAGCAGTATGCCACAAAATATAATGTGGACTCTACCGATCTGCTTCACGAGATGCACATGTCCGATGAGGCATCAGGTCCGGAAGAGGGCTCCGGATTGTCAGTGATTGCATGGAAGAGACAGATGGCTAACCATTGTCAGATGGATGGCAATCACATGAACGTCACGGAGCTTGAGAAACTGAAATTCCGAGAACATATTCTCCCTAGCTGGAGGTCAGATGAAGTATGTTTCAAATGCAAATCATGAATCACTCTGGCACTCACACTTTCCTCAGCTCTCAAACATTTTCAAGGAGCTTGATACGCTCGCTTGGCAGGCAAAATCGGCAAAAGAGAAAGAACGAATTGTCAGCATCTCTGTGCGTGATACAGGACGTTCGACGGACATACCTCCCCTTGTTGCCCCCTTTGACTTCGGCATCAACAAGACGTGGTGGGAGGTGAACAAAGACGATGTGAGATACAAAGAAGTTCTCACAGACTGGTATATGCATGGTGATTTGTTGGGCTTCGGGAGTGCCGTAGACAATGATGAAGAAGGCAGGACAGGTGGTGGCAGTGGTGACAGCGCAGGAGGTAGCGACGATGATGCAAATCCCACAGTCTCTGGTGAAGAGAATTCACATGACGATGACATTGAGACAGATACGTAGAAGGACAATAATGCAAACTCACCGACTTTTTCGACTTTTTCGTTGTTGTTGATGCTCCAACCTTCTTACCTTACCCACTAAATTCTCGCTACATAATATTGTCCGTAGACACCTAGCTCTGTGTTACAAATCTGCTCGCATGCTGAATTAGAATGTTACTATAGATCACGTCATATATGCAATGTGAAACTGACCCGATCCATTGTCATTGTTATCCACATCTTGGGATTGGTAGTCGACACGATTCCACGAGAGAGTTGACATTGAATTGTGAAAAAGAGAAGGACAGGGGGTGGGAATCCTGGTGCTTTCGCAAGAGCAAACTCTCCAAGAACCCAGGTCTCGACCTCAAGTTCAGGGCTGTTCGGTGAAAACAGTTAGTTATAGATAATTTCAAAGAGGGCATAGCATAGTACAATTCACTCCAGGGGTCATCTTGGACAGGGCTTAAATTGAGGGGCTTCATCCATTGGAACTCAGCAAACAGCCTCTCCTCTGCAATCTCTCGCTGACTATGGTGAAATATGCATACAACCTCACCACCATATGCTTTACCAGCATATAAGACCTTGACTATTGATGAATGTGCAGATTCTTGTTGTGTTCGAGATGTTGCAGTTATGCGACGACCATCGAGGAGTGCCCAATCATAGAACTGGGCTGTCTCCTGTAAAAGACGTGTACTGGAAGGTGGGTTATGATCAGTAGGATAGTGAACGCGCTGCATGTTTTGGTTATAGTAGACAAACAAGCCCAAATGTGCTTTGTCGCTCAACTGTGGAGCAACAGAGGCTACCGGGCCCGCCTGAACTTGTAGTGCACATAACTCTGTAAAGTACTTCACGATGAGTTAATGCAGATGAAAAGTCAGAATACAACCTACCATCATTCTGCGATGACTCAGCCGTCCCTGTCAGAAGTTGGTCTGCATCTCCGAGCATTCGCTTGAGAAGGAGTTTTGCTTCTTCTCTTGCCGGAGAGCCTGCAGAGACAACTTCGTTGATCTATATACTACTGGTATCAGTATGCACCACATTAATGATCAGCTAACGTACCATAGCATCCAGATGAATGCTGCGCTCGAATTCACGCAGCATCGAAATCTCAACCTGACCTCCAACCCAAGTATTACTCCTGTAACTTTTCAGAATCTTATTGAGGCGTTCCGAGAGGAAAGCCCAAAAGTTGTACACTGGCCCATAGTCACGTATCTGGTCAGGTAGGTGTACGACCCAGTGAAAGTTCGGCTTCATGGCACCCTCACCATACAACTGTAGACAACATGGTATGGAGAACAACGCAATGACTGTTGATAGGAACTGCACTGTTCTAAATTCCAACAGGTAATCTTGCAGCAAATCTAGTGCACGAACCACCAAGTCATCTGTGATTGATCGACCCAGAAAAAGTTTTACGGCTGTAGCAAGGCAGAGAAAGTTGATAGGTTCATCTTGTTGCATGCGTCTCGCCGGTTTTTTGGGTGGTGTTGACTTCTCGTGAGACTTCTGAGGGTCCTTCTTCTTTCGCATTGATAATGCACCATGCCTCTGCTCCTGGACATTCTTGTTTGCCTGTGTTATCTGCATTGATACCTCACCAGGCATCTGATGCTGCACCGGCTTGTTCGCTCCAGTTGATGACTCACCGGGTGGCTGATGCTCGAGCGCTATGTTCGCATGTGTTGATGAGTCGCCAGGCTGTTGATGCTGTGCCTGTTGGTTTGCCGCAGAAGATGTCTCACCATGTTTCTTTGCAAAGTTCCGCTCCCATGCTGCCAATTCCTTTTTGTACTTCACAAGTGCTGTGTCATAGCGCTTCTTGGCGCATTCATACTGATCTTGTGAGTCTTCAATAAATGCTTCCCACACAATAGGGATCTAGACAAATGTGTTCACATTAGCAGAAAGAGACAAAGAAGAAGAAGAACTTACAACAATAGCCAGAGGTCCGATAAGTGCTGATCGGTATTCATCAGCTGTAAGACTTCCGCCAGCTGGCTCGCCAATGCGAGCTGGGAGTTGACCGGCCCATGAAGGTGATTCAAACTGTTGTATGTTTAACATGAATTAGTGCTATAGTCAGTAGCAAGCGTCCATTATTTCTCACCATTTCGAGAAAACGATGAATAACATTGAGCTCTCGTGGTGTTTTCTCCGTTGAGCTCTGAAGCGCAGACCCAGACCCTTGGATCCAAACTGCATACCACTGAGTCTTCACTATGCCTGCAATAACGTTAGTAAAATAGCCAATACAGCAAATGGGATACTAAAAATTGCGCACCAAGCAGAATATTGTGCATAGGGTCAATGACACAGTACTGGACGAGATCGAAGTAAGGTAAGCGTGCAAATTCAGTTCATCGTGCGCTGACACTGTCAAAGAAATTCTTGCGCTCCACCTCAGTCTTGAGATCGTGCCAATGATGACAATTTCTTCGATGTTCTTCACCGTTGTGTCCCTCGAATTCTACAATATGGGGTTGTGGTGGTTATACGATGAGAGCCAACTTGGTCTATGCACAATTACTCACCATTCTTTAATGATTTCTCAGAGAAGAGCTCGCTCAACGGCACCTTGCACTTTGGGCAAGGGGCTACCTTGTGATTCTTCTCAGCAAATCCGCCCATCTTGCACATGGCTGGATGATCACAGATGATCGCAAGGAGAAAAACTCGCACACAGTGACCTGACAAAGAAGCATAAGCTGAAATACTTCAGCTTCACAGAAAAGTGTGGCGTACCTTTGGGAAACCTCTCAGAATAATAAACTACACCATTGTCGTACAGGTCTATCAAGTCATTCACAACAAGCATATTGTAATGTTGAATTTCCTCTGCTGTCGGCTTGGTTGGACCTGGCGCCATGTAAGATACAAGCATGTTATTTGTCCTGTATCTAGAAGAAGTAAGTTAACATGGTACACAGATGGTACGCTGACTTGCTGTTACCTGAGAGAATCCGGCAGGTTTGCAATGCATGCTGAAGCAACGGTTGATGAGTGTGTCAGGCCGTAGACACTGTTCTTTCGACTGAATCTATGCAAATTGTCTATATTCAGTATATGATAATCACGCTCAGAACACGAACGCACCCATCCATTTGTATGGTTAAGCTGATTCGCAGCTCACTGGATGCATCATCAGGATCAAAAAATAACTTGCCGTCATGTCCACGGACACTGCGCCATACCTTGCCATCAAAAATTGTTCTGTACGAACCAGCCTCATGGTGGTGACTTTTCCACTGGTCGCATGCTTCCTCAATATTTGGACGCTGAGATAGCATGTCTGACAAGGCTGCTGAGATAAGCCGTATGGGTGCAGATACTTTAGGACATGGAGGTGCCTTGCTTTGTCCGCTGACACGTTCCCACATTGAATGTGTCGTGGGATGGAATACAGAAACCTTACATGAAGGACATATAATGTCAGTCTTCACATCGATCTCGAAGACCCTATGACAGGAAGGACAAATTGGATGTATATCGAAGTGGTTGCGCAGGTCGAGTCGATGCAGAACAGTGTGCAATGTGATCGGCATGGCAGCATCGAGGGGGAGTACACCTAGGACAAGAAACAAGGCATTCAGAATAAAGAGGATCAGGGCGCATGCACGAAATGGGACATGATGCTTGGTGTGTAACAATGCGATGAGTGTCATCACAACTTGAACAAACCACATGGGGTGGCTGTTGTTATAGATATCTGTCAGGCATGGAGGGTGATCCGCAGCTGGACTATCTGAGCATCCCGGGCCAGAATCGTCAGATGATAGTTGTGAGTTTGGAGCCGCTGAATCTTGTACGTCCTCAAGTCGCGATTGGTCCAGTATTGCACCAACTTGACCATCTTCATAGAAATCATCTGCTTGCTCTAGATCGCCGTGGATGAGACTTTGCTCGTGAACCGCATCCGCAACTGCATCTTCTGGTGTATCATGTATTGGGGTGATGTCAGCCAGGTTGCCATTTCGTACATTACAGCGACGCGCACGTGTGCATTTCATTCGTTCAGGATAGTCATTCGTAGTACCCATCTGCTGTTCATGCGGGAAGTCCATAGACGCATAAGAAGAGTCAACTGGCGCAGGGATTGGGGAAGTGATTGGTGGATTGGATGGTGCATCTACGAGACTAGGCAGTACATGTTCATGAGAAGGGGAGACTGCTGCTGCTGCTGATGAGGTAACCTGTGGAGACGGGAGAGAGGTGACGGCAGAGGAGGATGATGATGGTGGATGTCGAGGAGCAGCAGATGTGATGGGTAACACCAGGGATCAGGACTCCAAGTGGTCAGAGAGCTGGGAAACATCTGCGTCACCAGATTGCATATTCTGTGGTGAATACAGAGTATTATTGTCCGAAAGCTCCATAAATTCCAGTGCAGGTGCAGCTGAGAAAGTAGCAGTCGATGGATCTCCTACTGGTCTCAGTGAACTACCATCTGTGCCGTCCATAGGATCATCTTCGGGAGACGGTGCTCATTGTTCTTCCGTTCCCATGATGATGTCTTCATTGCGATTCAAGGGTGCCGTTGTCAAGCTGGCTGAGTTGATGGCAACTGAGCTGACACGACTTGAAGTCGCTGGTGCTCCCCGAAATCCTCGGAATCCCCTCGCTCCTCTGTGCACACTTTGAGTAATGTTCAGGTGTGAATAGACTTTGCTTACTGTGTGGTCAAAGCTGGGACACGTCCACCTCTTGCAGAGATAGCTCCACCGACTCTAGCCGGAGACTGGAAAGTCAGTGAAGCACGTCCTCGTCCCCGTAGACTGGTGGAACCTAATGTGCGCGCATGCTCAACACCTCATGGTGCTGTCTTCTGTATTCCTTGTCCTCGCCGTGACAGTACAGATCGCGAAAGTTGCTGCTTTGACAGATGCTCTGTCCTCTCATACACCATCATCTGAATTCCTTCTCCGCATGAGTCAGCTGCTCTACACTCATCGCAGGTGCACAGGACCACTCTCTGACGTGGATCAACATCGGAAAGCTAGTAATAGAATGGAAAATCATCCGGGTCAGTGCAATTGAAAGCGGGCACAGACGAAAACATACATCGGACATATTGTGCAGTCTGGATCTGACTCAGAGGTTCTTAGTACCACAGCAGACACGAGGGGAATATCTAAGACTGAACGCGCAAGGGCGCCGCGGCGGATAGCTGCCACGTAGACATCAAATCGTGGTCAGACAAAAAGTATACTAGGGTCCCTCAGCGATGCCAGCGCGCCTTTGAAAAGTTTCCGCGTCAAAGGTGACAGTAGGTGGGAATGCTTCCTGTAGTTGCTTGGGATAAAATAGATGTATTGTGTCGAGATAACCACAGCTGAAATACATGTGAAGAAAGCAGGTATCATCTGTTAAACAGGGATTGGGATAGATGGCTGATTCGCGCTTCGAGTACATGAAAAGGTCAGCTTAGCCAAACATATAGGAACGGATGAACAGATGCGCTATTCAGGCACTTCGGCTACCCCTGATGACATGTAGCTACAGCGCTTACTCTTTGGTCATCGAAGTTCGAATACAAAGCCCTTAAACACAGTGAATGTAGGAGGCCTCTATCAAAATGCCCCAGACGTGTTGTCAGCGGTGGTAGGGTGCGATTTGACAACCATCTGGGTACGAGACCATTTTCGCCTAGTCTCGCCAGATGATCGTGCTGTGCCGTTCCTCGGCTCCGCCTCGGAGGCTGCCGAAAGTCAATATATCGGACATCGAAAAAACCATTGCAGCCTGCCCAGCTGAACATCTGGTAAACTTCAGTACAGCGGGTGTAGATAACCCTCCGCCTCTCCTGCACCCGATGGGCATCTCGTAGTCCCCTCTCCTCCTCCCGCTACTCTACATCCACTGACCTCTGTCTGTATCTTGTCTAGTGTATTTACATAACACTGGGATGCAAAACTGCCATTTATATTGCCCTCTCACGTGAACGGCATTGTTGAACAGTACAGAGTGATAAGCCCTTGCAATGATTGCAGCAAAATATATTTCTGGTGTCTATTTGTGGCTACATGTCTACTCGAGCCCTCCTGAGGCATCGAAGGGGCAACTCGGAGGGTGGGACGCGAAGATTGGGGGTTATCTACACTCACTGTACTGAAAGTCACCAGACGTTCTACCACGGAAGCTGCAATGGTTTTTTCGATCTCTGACATATTCATTCTCAGTTGCTTCCGTGGGTGAACGTCTGGAACCGAGACTACTTTTTGCCACCCCATCCGCAAAAGTCAACTCTTGCTTACCTGTTACTATCCTAGGCACAGTTCTGCAAACTCTTTCAGTATGCTGCTCATAGCTCCCTGACAACTTCATGAAATCCCTTTAAACTTGCAGTCTATGTACAATAATGTCCCCTCTACAAGGTTATCTAAGTAGCATGTTAAAATTCCCAGAACTTATGTTCTCGGAGACCTTCCGGTGACGAGAGTGCAAGTGCGCAGGGTAATGCAAAATCGTCACATGCCTGTCACGATGAGCGCCCTTCGGCATGCCCGGCAAATTTGATGGCTCGGTCAATGCAGAGCGGTGTGCATAGTTCTGCAAAGCCGCTTTGGGCGATGGAGTCTGAATTTCATCACGCTGTGGCAGATGGATATAACGTGTCTTTCTCGCAACATAGCATAGAGCAAGAACAACTTCGCATGACGTCAATCGGGGTCACTCTAAAGGTAGCTCCATGTTAGAAAGGCTTATATTATGGGTGGCAAAATTTTAGAATGAGTACTGCAGGAAGGATCTCCATATCAGCTGTATTTCCGGCACTTACATTTGGGTGCAAAACCATGCAATTGCTCTCCCATTTGTTTCCACATCAACAAATTATCATACACAGGGTTGAAACACGTTTAGATAGTGTCCATACAACTACTAACCAAACCCATTAAGATATTTTTGAGAATTGGACGAGATATTTGCATTTTGCATATTGATGCGCACTTTGCAGAACTGTGTCTAGGACAGTAGTCTCGCAAGCCAGACGATCATGCTGGGCCGGTCCTCGGCTCCGCCTCGGAGGCTGTCGAAAGCCAATATATCGGACATCGAAAAAACCATTGCAGCCTGCCCAGCAGAACGTCTGGTGAACTTCGATACAGTGGGTGTGGATAACCCTCTGCAGGTGCCTGGGCATGGTAGTTGTGCCCATCATCAATTTCCATTTCCTGCTCCTCTATCCATGCAATCCTTTATTTCTATCTTATATTGTATGCTCGTGTACCGTTGGGACCCGAAATCTCAATTTATGAAACTCCCGCGTGAGAGCGGCAATGTGAAACGCGACACATACAGCATGAAATGGTGGGCCCAGAGAGCCCCGAAAAGCATACGGGAAATTTAATCTCTATTATATATAAGTAGCTATGTATCTACTATAGGCCTCCTGAGGCGTCGAATGGGTGTTTCTGAGGGTGGGATGTGGGGATTGAGGTTATCTACACCCACTCTACCGAAGTTCACCAGACGTTCTACCACGGAAGCTGCAATGGTTTTTTCGATCTCCAACATATTAGCTGTCGGTCGCTTCCGTGGGTGAACGGCTGGAGCCGAGACTACTTACCTGTATTCCCTTGATTAAGGAAAAATTAAGGAGACCATCGTTATTCTTCTTAATTGGCCAAATAAGGAAGCAGACCTCCTTAATCAAGGCAATAAGGGAGCTAACCAAGAGTTGACTTTTCCTGATGTGCGGGGCCGTCAGGTCAACGTGTCACACGTCTCCGAGCCTGCCGCGCCGGACTGAAACTTCTCGTCACACGTCACACCCGACGCCGGAGTGGTTTCTCACTTGCCAAAAAAGGAGAGGTGTACAGTCACGTGATGACGCATACTTGGTGATGCGGCGTCGCCTTCTTCCCAGCTGCATGCCATGGTCGACGACGAGGACGACGAGAACAAGGACGGCAAGACCTGTTGATGCGCCCATCGCTCCATCCGAAATCAGCTCTGGTTTTTTGCGAAAAAAGCTTCCGTTATGTCTCTGTGCGGACCATACGCACCCGCGTCGCTTCCTCAACTCGTCCTCTCTCGGCCCCCGTGACAGATACCCTGTCCGTAGATACTGCTCCGAGCAAACCGATACCACCTACCGTATGCGTCATACAGCAGTGGAAATACCCCATTCGCGGCGGACAGAACCTCTCAGAACGATATGCTCGGCTGGAGCGCTCGCTGCGCGGCAAAGAGGCGTACGGGGCGCGGATAGGGGTGCTCCGGGTGGAGGCGGAGGGCGCGGTGGGAATTATGGCAGAGCGGAGTGAGGAAGAGAGCGCGCGGCGCTTGGGCGGGGGCGCAAGTGGGAAGCGGGTGCAGACATTCAAGGGCTTAGTTATACCCGAAGAGCCGCGTGCACCAGAGTCCGAAGGTACGTCTATTTCCTTCAAGCTATTGAATACTGGTATTTTTGGCATGTAGCTCATTGCCGGCCTAGAATGCTGCATGTCTGGCTGTGCGATATGCGTGTACGATTTGTATACGGAAGCCCTGGCAGACTACACGCGTTCCATAGAGACTATTCGCAAGTCACTTTCTGCGCGCAGAGTACCCGAGGACCGGTGGCCTGCGAGTATCCGGAGTTCTCCGAAGGAGGACACCGATTTGAAGGCGAAGCGGACAACTGCAAACGTGAGCCTGAGCACGTTTGAAGAGCTAGAGAGGCGGTTGCGCGCAAAACATGAGACAGTCAGTGTTGGTTAGTACGTGATATCTTCTTCCGTGGTTTGATGGAACGAGGCAAACATCTGGTTCTGTAGGATTTGGAAGCACCGAAATTTCTAGCTCCATGTTCCCTTGCACTGCAAGGCCGAAGGTGGAGAGGAATAGAGTATTCCCCGAGATCAGTGCAGTATATGAAGGCATTCGCTGGATGTTGTTCAGTAACCGTTAGAAATGGGAAAGATGGATAGTAAGTGCGCTTGGATGGTTGTATATTGCAATCCGTGTATTAACTTCCTGTTGAGTCGTACATCTAGAATTTAGATGAACCGGGATGTATTCTCATATATTACAGCGCTACATTAATTGTCATGTCTGCAACGGCTCTCTCACCACACCTACTTGGCCTTGTACCTTCTCAAATTCGTATTCGGCTGACCAAGGTGAGTATTGGGTATGGCGTTGCTTCCCTGCGCATTCCCTCCTGAAGCGGCACACGACGAAGATTTTCCCAGTGGCGCTTCAAGCCTGGCATCGTCTTCTAGTCATGTGCGTTCTCCACCAGGCAAATTGTCTGCACACTTCTCTGGTTATCTTCCTCCCGCGGAAGCTTCAAGTCACACGTTTGGTGTATGTTATTGGACATCTTATGTCGAGACGATAGCGCCTGACTAAAATTTACCAAGGTTTCCAACCATTTTGACGATTTCTAACTTCTCTTGTGCATCGTCGTGCCTCTCGTCCAGTCAAATTTCGAACGTACAACAACGGAGAAAGCCCGGCCATCTGGCTGATGAGCCGACGATGTGCCGCAAGTTGCGTCCCATGCTCAAAAAGCCGCAATTGATAACACCACACAAAGGGGAGCATAAGTATCCTCGTCGGCTTCAGCAGGCTCGTGTGAGCCTCCTTCTTCATATACCCGATGGTAAAACTGCCAAGTGATTTCGTCTGGGGCTACGCGACAGGTATGTCCCGAGTTTGGCTCTGTTCGCCTGTGCACATATATACGGCGAAATTGGTGTGAATGGCCCACCATATAGATGATCGTGGAAACTACGTTTATTGGTGCTCCGATCGTCCTCGTTATCTAACACGTTCATTTTCCAGCCAGCTACCAGATCGAAGGCTCAGCCAGCGCAGGCGGGCGTGGACCGTCCATCTGGGACACCTTTAGCAAGATTCCGAGCAAGATCCGTGACGGCTCGAATGGAGATATTGCCACAGACTCATACCGCCTATGGAAGGAGGATGTCGCGCTGCTCAAGTCGTACGGCGTGCGGGCTTATCGGTTCTCGATCTCGTGGTCGCGTGTGATCCCCCTCGGTGGGCGGAATGACTTGGTTAACGAGGAGGGAATCGCGTTCTACAGGGGTTTGATCGAGGAGCTCTTGAAGAACGGCATCACGCCCTTTGTGGTGAGTAGGTGATTGAGAAGATCGAACATGTGGAGGTTGATGTGAGGGTGGTTCAGACGCTGTATCACTGGGATCTACCTCAAGGTCTCGATGATCGCTACGGCGGATGGCTGAACAAGGAAGAGATTGTGAAAGATTATGTGAATTATGCTAGGGTGTGCTCATTCGTCTGGTATAATATCTTCATTATTCACGATGTTTTAGTTGTGCTTCACGAGATACGGAGATTTGGTCAAGAACTGGTAGGGGCAAGGCTATAACTGCCCATTGTATGATGGTCATTGATGTGTCTCTTAACCAGGATCACCCACAACGAACCGTGGTGCATCTCTGTCTTGGGGTACCAGAAGGGCGCTTTTGCACCGGGTCATAAAGGGGACGTAGAGCCGTGGATGTAGGTCGTGTTCACCAGACTGTCCCTACACTGATTTTAACGTTGACGTAACACGAAACAGTGTCGCACATCATACGATCCTTGCGCATGCATACACAGTCAAGCTCTATCGAGAGGAGTTCAAGCCTACACAGGGCGGCCAGATCGGTATTACTCTGGACTGCCATTGGCAGCTCCCTTACGACGATTCACCAGCTAGTACGAATGACATATTCAATTATTTATCTCGATTGTGACCCAGTTGCCGCTCATTGAACAGACGTAGCGGCGGCCCAGCGTGGCATCGACTTTAAGCTCGGTCCGTCCGCATCTTGTGGACGTTTCATGAGTACTCACCGTGACGTATTCATTTTCAACAGGGAGATTTGCAGTAAGACCACATTCTCTGCGCGTTGATGCTTATACAAGCCAGGACTATATTATCAGGACCCGATCTACAAAGGTCATTACCCCGCCACCGTAAAGGCCATGATCGGAGATCGTCTACCCGAGTTCACCGCAGAAGAGCTCGCCGTCGTCAAGGGCTCTTCAGACTTCTTCGGCCTGAACACATATACTACCCAGATTGTCCGTATGTGCGATCTCCCGCTTGTTTACGAATAGTTAGATAATTGCTCTGGTCCTGCCAAACGCGAATTTCTGCAGAGGAGGGCGGAGGTGATGAGATAAATGGCAGAATTACGGTTGGGTTCACCAGACCAGACGGGTCGCAGTTGGGAACACAAGGTGTGTGATTTTTCTTTTTCTGTACGTGCAGTCGTGAACCCGTTCAATCCATCACTTCTTAAGCGCATGTGTCGTGGTTACAAACATGTTAGTCACTCATCCATCCACGCCTGAACTTCAGCGCTGATAGTGGAGATATAGATCCACCTGGCTTCCGATTGGTGAGTGTACTCCACGTCGATAATTCTCGATGCACAATAATTTACGTACCATGATGATTACGACTATGATTAGCTTTTGAACTACCTATGGAAGGTGCGCCACTTCGTGCCTGTAATCGATTCACTAACTTTGTATGGTCTCCCTTAGACCTACGAGAGGCCGATCTAGTATGTCTCTCGTCCTTGATGCAAGTGCAGCAGGGACGTTGACGCATTTCTCCCTTCAGTATCACAGAGAACGGCTTCGCCGCCAGGAACGAGGACGTACTGCCTGTTGAGCAAGTCATACATGATGTGGATCGCGTTGAGTACTTCGAGGGGTATGCCAACGCGCTCCTGCAGGCCGTGACCGAGGACGGTGTTCCAGTTAAAGGCTATTTCGGTTGGAGTAAGTCCTTGTAGTGAATTATTTCTCCTTGCTCATTGCTTGATCGTGATTGTTCGGTGCTGTAGGTCTGCTAGATAACTATGAATGGTGAGTCTGGCAATACATTCTATCGCGTGTGCACCAAATGGGACCCGCACGAGCTAACTGGTGACCGCAGGGCGGATGGATATCTAACGCGGTTCGGCGTCACTTACGTCGACTATGCCACGCAGAAGCGCACACCCAAGGACTCTTCCCGGGTGCTGAAGAGGGTGGGCCCTTTCTGCGCGCGGCATAAATGGGAGGCTAATATAGCATCATTGCAGTTCTTCGAGAAGCACATCGAGGCGTAATGGAATGGGATGAAAACATTTCGTGGAATCCCCACTAAGCGACGTGTACACAATATCGATCAGAAAAGAGTCAATGGTAATATCACCTCGCGATGGAATCAGGGTTACAGATCTTCATCCAAGTTGAACAGGCCCATAGGTATGATCTTCTCGCCGTAATATGGTACTGTGTTCTACGGGGATCATCGATGAAGCTTAGTACACTAACAGACAGTAATTCATTACAACTGGACAACACTACTACTTACGGTCCCTTTAGACGGCCCAAAAAAAAAGAATCCATGGTATATCCTTCACCAAGGGGGAGAAGAGGAAAAGGGTATTTAAGTGTCCGAGAGTATGCCGCTAAACCCTCCCCACAAGGCCCAACACGAAGCCCTCCTGGCTCTCGTTTGAGATGTCCTCGAGTGTCCGCTGCTTGGTCTCCTTTATCAATAACGTGGAGAACACACCTGTCAACATGAAGAAAGCAAGTATCAGCAAGCTAGACGACACACACGTCAGTATCTCTCGTCCACCTTAATCAGTGGGACACCTACACGTAGGGAAGCCACGCATACTGCCCATCGGGTCCGCCTTTGTTCGCCAGGCGCGCAAAGCCAACCTGCGATATGACAGCGCCAAGTTTACCGCTCGCAGCTGCGATCCCATGGCTGGTAGAACGATAGCGAGTCGGGAACGCCTCCCCGGGCACGATAAAGGTCGTAGTGTTGGGACCGAAATTGAAGAAAAAGTTCGTGAGACAAGTCAAGAACATGAACGCATTGGTGCCGCGTGCGGTTTTATTCATCGCCTTGTAACCGGACCCCATCACAATGAACAAGATTGTGAGCATGATGAAGACCATGAGTTGGATAGGTCGCCGTCCCCAGATGTCGATGAATATGAACGTCGCCCAATAGCCCGGAATGAGACCTCCGACAGAGAAGACGATGTTGCCCACGCAGAAATTGTAGAGTCTAGCGTAGAGGCTCGTCTGCTTCAAGACAGCGAACTTGATTTTCTGCAGTAAGATATCTGTATTGAGTTGAATAGCGTAGAACGCGATCTGCACGTAGGACCCATTGAGTCAGGGATTGATTGTGGATGATATAGATGCACATACATCAAGAGCGAACCAGGAATAAGAAGCGCCGATGAGCTGACGCAAGTTACGCCATTGCGAAAAATACACGACAAAGTCGCTGCGAGTGGCCAGAGGTGCGCGAACACGCTGGACAACAGCGTCCGGATCAACATGGTACGTGTGGAGAGTCAAAAGGTTGTCGATGTCTAAGGCAGCTTGATTCACATCGCGCATGACGTCCATAATGAAGCGCGGAGTCTCGGGAATGGTGAGACGGAAATATAGCGCAATAGCGCCAGGTACGCAGCCCAGACCAATGAGAAGTCGCCACATTTTGTCAATGGAGATGAGTGCTTCAGCAGAAAGCACATCTTGTTGGAGGGTGTTCTTGTAGCCTCTAACGATACACATAGCTACAAGGGATGCAGCTGGGTATTTGCAACTAGGTGATCAGTAGAACGCAATGCCCGGAAGGTTGCAAAGTGCATACTCAATTGCCCCCAGCCCTGGTTTGCAAATACTGCAGTCATGAGCCGTCCGCGGGAACTGGCAGACGCAAACTCTGAAGAGATGACAGCCGATAACGGATAGTCACCGCCAACGCCCACGCCCATCTGGATATGAAAATGATGTTCAGTCGTTCATTGTGTAGTAAGTAGACGGCGGGAATACCACAAAACGCCAGAAAATGATGACAGCGAACATGTTGATTACTCCCGGAACGTAACCCGCGGTAGCCTGGCTCAGGGTTGCGACAATGATAATCATCAACTCGATCCCGTCTGCTCAGTCTCTCATTAACGATTATAAAGTTGCACATACTTCAGCCACGTACACATGCGTTTACGGCCCACAAGATCTGCCAACCAGCCGAAGAACAGCTGCCCAAAGAGATTGCCAACAGGCATGGCGACTTTGATACCCAGACCCAAATTGTCATTTAAATGGCAGTTGTTGGGGTTTGGGTCGCAGCCAGTGCCGTAAACGTATCCCAACATCGTCGACGCGATGCTTATAGCGAATATATCGTATCTGCCGAGTTGCTTTGAGTGCTCAGCCGCCAAAGAAAAAGGATATTATCCACGCGTCTGTGAAGAAGCCAGCACCCGCAACGAGCGAGACTCTGAAATGAAGCCACCTGGTGGACAAATAAAACTTAGCAGAAGCAGTTAGCATAGCTGAAATTGAGTACTCACCCGAATGGTGCTTCATCGATGTCAGCCAAGGCGGCGATACGTGTACCGTTCAAGATTCGAACAGCGTTTTCTGGCGCAAGCACGCCAGAACCGTTGTTGGGCGTGCCAGTCAATTCAACCATTCCGATGTCGCTAACAGACTTGGTGGAAGAGCTGCAAATGCTGGCGAAGGTCGAGGTAGGACGTTTGGCTCAACTCATGGTAGCTACTGTGCACAATGGAATCATCATGCTATATAGCTGACGGGTTGAATGTGCTGTCTTCCCGAACCCTTCTGTCACAGCAACAAAGAGCCGCCTCGGAGGAAGACAGGCTACTGCAACAGCAGCCAAGCACAGGTTCTGCGCCAGATGGGCAGGGTCATGTCGTAAGTTAGCTACGTGGGCACTGCGTGATACCGAACCTAATAATGACAGACGTACCTACAGGGGTCCTAATCAGCGCCCTTGTCGTGTCTGAATCTTGCATCCCATTCTGCAGCGCCCCGTCAGCCTGCGGCTCATCACGGTAGCCTGTATCACTGTGATCTGTGTGAAGTTATGGGCGGTACCGCTAGTACTTACACGTGAGTATGGACATGGTAGGAACGTGTCTATCCACCGGGCGTTCAACCTTCAAGCATGCATAGGTCAACGCAGGTCAACGCCCAGGCCTCAGGCGGCAACGGCTAGGATTCGCAATAGCAATATTCTCACCATTCTTGCCACATGAAGATCCAACCTTGCCGCTTCGTGATTGCCGCTGGGAAATGGCGTTGGACGCTGCGCCGAGGACATCCAGGCCGGCCAAATGCAAACCTAAGCAAGACTCCAGGGAACGTGACTCGGACGGGCCTGCGACGCCAAGGTGCCTTTGACATGCAGTGTTCGCACCGCAGTCGCAACATATCTGTTCTTCGAACTAATGTGCTCTTGCAGTGTCTAGCATCCGCCTGTAATGAATGTAGGCGTGGTGTATCAGCTTTCGTGGGTACAAACCGGTGAGAGTGAAAGATGACGAACGTAAGTTGGGTCATAAGTACATATGTCGTCTAAGAAGACTTCGGCATCCTGACTGGATAAGACACGGCACGACTTGGAAACCACCAGCAGCGACGACTATCTGCACGAACGTGCGGATTGCGGAACCCGAATGATCTTGCGCTACGCCTTACACAGCATCGTAGATGAATTGTCCGTTATCTGTAGGCTTTGCCAGCGGGAAAGCATCCGGACGTCCACCCGTAGGTGTTGTCCGTTTGCTGTGAAACAGACAGATTAGTACGTTGGTATGTAAATATCCAGGGCTGAACAGCCAATGGAAGAAGCAGTGCGAGTCTAGCTTTGATCCGTCAATTAACTTTTCTTGACAAGCGTCTCCAAGTTTGTGAACAGAGAAAACAGAGGGGCCCGAGACCAAAAATTCTTGAAATTTACCAGGCTGTCGGGGTGTGTGACCCATCAGTCCACCCTGTGCATGCCTGATACTTCAACAAGCCACCCAATGATTCCCAGTAAGGACACCTAAGATGTTCGCGGATCAATAGTCAGAGCTTTGAGAGTCATCAGGACGAGTGAGAGCCAATCCAAAAAAGTCGATTTCAAGTAGCGTACAGAACACGTTGCACAGCTGGTCACGAAGAGCACTCGGATACTTGTGGTGGCGTATGTACCAATTTGAATCTACGACGCCTGTCAGTGAACTTTAGTTCAAGCAACTGAAAGTCTGAATATGGAACCAAGGAATGGGAATACATACAAGGAATAGGCCTAAGTTTCTAATGAGAAGTGATTCTTGAATGGCAGTGTATGTGATGTCGATGGAGTTTCGTACATGGTCCCTCATACCATAGTGAGTGATCTATCTGAAATTTGCCCAGACCGTACGTATCAGACAAGAACGTAGCGCAGAACACTACAAGGTCACGGGCCACCTTAAGTACACACAAAGAGATGCAGCGTTCGCGGCCGCGGATCGCCTCTCACAGGAAGCATTACCACTTTTATCCATTGGAAATAATCTGGCAAAAAGCATGGAAATCAATAATATATTTTCAGAGGAAAAACCTCGAGAAAAAAGTGAGAAAAGAACAAAACATTCTCACGGTTTTTCCCATGGAAATAAGTTGCCTACCATATCAGGCAACTGGACATGCCAGGACATGCCAAATCCCGGACAAAATTACCATATTTGGCGACCAACTTATTTCCAGTGGAAAAACTGCGGAAATGCTTTGTTCTTTTTACACATTTTTTCCTCATGTTTTTCCCGCAGTATAACTTTATTGATTTCCACACATTTTTCCAAGTTATTTCCTCGGGAAAAAAAGGGTTATGCGTCCTGTGTCTGGGCGGTGGCGGCAAGTGACGGCGTACTTATTGGGTAGCGCCCCAAAATGGGAGCTTACCTCATCCAAACCACTAACGTTCTCTACATGGTGACGTTCACCCGTTAGCGTTAACTTCCAGCCCAAAATCTCGCTTTGAATATCCACTGACCTCATATCTTTATTAAACCACCCGAAAAACTGTGATCTATTAACTACTGAACTGCTTCGACATTGCACTCAAAACCCAAACTCAACAGTACTAGTACAATACCCCGGTTCAGCCACCTATAACGTTGAAGAATACACCTGGACATGTTGCAGACAGGGTTGATTGCGAACGCGCACAATGACTTGGTAACCGACGCGTCCTACGACTTCTATGGTCTTCGTCTCGCGACATGCAGTCTTGATCAAAGGTACTTGCTCACCTTGGTTCACCAAAGGTGGCGTTCGACGTGACCTTGTTCTTTGTGATACCAGGATCAAGATATGGCAATTAGACGAGAGTAATGGGTCATGGAGAGTGGAGGATGATTGGAAAGTGCGTCTTGGAGAGAACTCCTGCTTGACAAGTATCTTAAGGTGTTCGATCAGGCCCACGACGCTGCAATTTCCAAAGTCAGCTGGGCGCATCCTGAGTTCGGAAGTATTATTGCCTCTGCGTCGTTTGACCGCACAGTCAAAGTATGGGAGCAAACGTCTGCAGTGGACAGCGATGGCCCGCAGGTGAATGGTGGCGCTGGTCCTTCTAGTGCGTCACGATGGGTGGAACGCGCCGTTCTAGTGGACGCGAAAGGCACTGTGCGCGCAGTTGAATTCGCCCCTCATCATTTCGGATTGAAGTTGGTGAGTTCAATCCTATTCCAAGTTTCGCGCACATGTCTCGAATGCGATTCGCCTGGTTTAAACTTACGCTGCTCAGCTTTGAGACGCGTCTGTTTCAGCTTCATTCTGATGATGACCTGCGAGATATCATGGTACTCCCGTCGAAAGTTGGATCGCGTTTCGATCCCTTTGAGCATCATGAAAGCCGCCGGTGAACTCATCTTGAATAAGTTTCGACATCTTACTGCAATGATGGCAAATGGGACATGAAATTGACGATGCCAACCGTACAGGCGACAGTATCCTCTGACAACCATCTACGCGTATACGAGTGCGTAGAGCAGCGATCACTCACTCCCTGGGAGCTTGCGGAAGAGATCGACGTGCTTTCGCTCCCATCCGCGTCCCCCGCGGCCGGCGCACTTTCGGTCACGCTCGCGACACCAACGCAGACATCTGCTCCTCTGGACGGCGTTTCAGTCTCCATGGTGGCGCACGCGCTGCAGCAGCAGCAGCAGCAAAGCCAGATGCCCAGTAGACCAGGCATGGGTCATCGCGAGGTGAGCATAGGATGCCAATTGACGTCTACTGATAACTGACTGCGTTTAAGGCTGACGGTGGATGGACCATCTCATGGTGCAAAGACCGATATTGGGGGGAGATTATTGCTGCTGGCTGTGGGATCACTGGCGTTGTGAAGGTTAGCGTCCACCCTCAACTGCCTCGTGTACACGTCTGATCCTGGATGTAGATCGTACACCTTCCGCCATCTCGCCGACCAGTGACTCTCCTCACGCTCGACTCCACGCCAAGCGATGGTGCACCCAAGAGTATTCCATCGTTAGACGATACGCCTCCGCCGTATGCCATCACGTCTGTCGCGTGGGCGCCATCGTGTGGACGCTCATACCACCTGATCGCGACGGGCGGACGAGACGGGCATGTGCGGATATGGCGCGTGAAGCCGCCGACACCCAGCGACGAGCTGGAGGCCGAGGGCGAGCCGGACACTTCAGAGGGCAACTGGTCCGCCAGTATCGTCGGCGACTTCGATGACCACAAGTCAGTCATCCACTGTCTTCTTTTTCCACGGAACTCCTTGCCATACTGCCTCCATTCTTTGACTGTGCTCTTTTTTGCCTAAGATATGCGACGATTGACTTCCCGCCCATGCAGATCGGCGGTAGGCCGGGTCGAGTGGAACATTACCGGGTGCGTTTCGTTGCGATCGTCGATGTGCTCTTATCTGATCTGAGGCACCGTTTCGGTGTTCTGACTAATGCGATATATGTTGCGGTCGTCGGTGGATAATCTAGGACGATTCTCTCGTCCGCCGGCAACGATGGGCGGATTCGGCTATGGAAAGTCACCGCGGGTAATGTGTGGAGACCCGCGGGCCATGTCAGCATCGAGCAAGCCGAGGAGCAGCGGCCCGATGTCGAAATGGAGGATACTCCTTTGGCGGAGTAGACGCCTACACTGAATGAGCACCCTGTTCATCACGACACATTGCCGTCTCGCTGAGAGCTTTTCAGATTCCCACTTGTGCTATTCTGCGTTCACTGGGCTGTTGTATCCACGTCGTCTGTTCATCAAACCTCGAATCTTCAGCGTGAGTTTGCATGCAAGATGAGCACTACGGCTACACACCGCATGGTCGGTCTACGAGGTATCAGGGTACATATCTCATGTAAGATCGAAGGATGACAAACACGGTAGGTATCGTGGTGTTGTTAGTGCTGTCACTGCTGTGAACTTCTTCACCGCGATCGTCATCCTCCGCTGAATCGACACCAGGGGATCCAGACTCTACGATGGAGTCGCATCATTTCGGTGGTTGGCAAGATGCCGTCTTCCTTGCGTTCAGCCTTGGATATGAGTTGGCAGCCGCTCGAGGCATTCGCCAACTCAAAATTGGGGCGGTGTGATCTGGTGCCGATAAGGTCTAGTATCCCGAAGTCATCCAAGCACATGGTCGTGGAATTGTGGCGCCAAAGAGGTGTACTCCTCAGTCCTCCTTGCAGCTTGACACCGACACCGAGCTGAAAGAAATTATACCTGAGGTAGTTTCTCCGGTGTTTATTTGATCGTCTGATAAAGTGAGATGAAGTGAGTATGAAGGGTGGTGAAATTTTTGCAGAACCATTATGCTTACCCGGTCAACTTGCGGCGCATGTCTGGACAGTCGTAGCGTCTTTGACAGAGCTCAATTCCCAACTTCGACGTTGATACTATGCCGTGCGTAGTGTACTTCGTCCTGGGTGAGGGTCAGGAGAGGGTCAGGAGAGCGTAAAGAAGTGAACTCACCAAAGCAGGCTCACCGGAGCTGTCTGCAGCTTGCCAAAACGATTTCGGAAATCGGGTCAGGGCTGGGGAGGTCTCCCGGTCCCGTGAATTTGGCGGGTAACTTCAGGTACGTTCGCTCGATGTCTTCGCTGAGGTCCTCGGTTCAAGTTGTACCCACGATCACCTAATGTGGTGCAGATGGCCAGGTCCCAATATTGTTACTTCTCGGCTGTCTCTCTGAGCATGGCCTACAGTGACCCGAATTTCCTTGCAACCACCTGCGAGTCCGATCTCCAATGTAAGATACTATATCATCACTTGACGGCCGTTTTCAGTGTGAATATGCACCAGAGATAAAGTCCCCGGGCTAATCTTTATCCAGGCACTGATGCCATCGGAATGTATCTGCCAAATGTCATCCTGTCTCGAGCTGTCTCGAGGAGGTTGGCGTATCGGCTATCGTAGATCTCAATCTTCTGGAACAAATAGCTCCGCTTCGGTCATGGGTAATTGCTCAACGGGATACCAATGAGTGGTTTGCAGCCTCCTCCCCGCCGGTATACAGGACTACATATATGTATTGTTAGTCGTGATCTCGAGTGTGCTCGCCGTCCGGGACGCCTCCCCCCCTGCAGCGGCTTGCTCCCGCTATGTCGTTCATTACTGATATTCGAGGTGAGTGCTAGTATCTCCCAGACTTGGGTTATTGTGCATGTAGTGACGTTGTCGGTTTCTTCGTAGTCGTCGCCACCGTGTTTCCTGGGATCGCTTTTATATTGACTTTGCTTCGACTATATTACCGATGGTCAAGAAAACATCTAGGCTATGATGACGCTTGGGCGGCCTTCGCTCTCTGCTCAGTGTTTTTCATGACTGGAGGAGCGTGGCTACACTCGGGGCGGACGCAATCGAGATACCACAAGATCATCGGTTATTATTTTGTCAATGTATCATTTACCTGTGTATTGTGGTGAGTCTTTCACGTTCCGAGTCACCAATATCCGAACTGGACTGCTTGCTCATGCGTGGATAGGTCGGCACGCATGAGCATTCTGGCTTCAATCTTGAGGATCATTCCCCATATGCTAGTTTTGCGTCGTTATGCCTATGCAGGCTCGTTCTTATTCTTAGCGATGTGGGCCGCCAACATTATACAAAAGGTGTACATCTGCGAACATCACACCGCGTGGAAGAGGCTACCTGGAGTGCAATGTGTCTTGGGAAATTCTGTAGGCGCTGTGGAATTAGCGAGTAGGTCGCCTGGTCTCTTGCGAAGTCTCCATTGTGTAACTAGTCCCTCACTATGATTTACAGCGGATATAACTGCGGACATTATATTGGTCGCGCTCCCGCTACACTTGTTGTGGGGCATTGGAATAACATCACCACGACGCAAACTGCTCATTACGATCTTTTCCGCCAGTATGATTACCACCATCGTCAGCATCGTCCACGCAGGCTACGTCTTCAGCCCCATCCGTAACGGCGAGGCCATCGCAGCTCACCTTGAGGTATGTCACAAGCGGGAACATGCCTCTCATCTATCACTAACGTGGTCTTCGCACTCGCAGGCGTCCGTCTCGCTCATCGTCTGCAACCTCGCGGTGCTCGTGACCTGGCTCGTGCGTGCACTCCGGCCGAACGAGGACCTCGACGAGGTGCGGGGGATCTCGGACGACTCGCGACGCCTCTCGGGGCTGCGGCGAAGTCAGCTTTCAACGCTGCGCTTCGTGCGCGACCCGCCCATCGTGCTCGTGACGATGGAGCAGCACTCCGACCCCACAAGGACTGGCGAGTCCACCGTCAAGTCGAGTGTGTCGTCCGGAATGTTTCCCGTGCAGGATAAAAGCGGAGTCTTCGATGGGAAGGTCTTTGAAGAGACGGACAAGGAGAAGATCGGCGAGCAGGCGTTGCCCTGATCTCTCGGTCCGGATGAGGTGGACGAGAATCTCTGGAACGCCATATGCACCCTGTTCTCCTATCATACCGCCTTCCCACTTATTGAGGCCAATGCCCGGAGTGTATTATTACCGCTGCTGTCCATGGCGTACATAAATTTCGGTGACCGACGGACGCACCGTAGATGTTGTGTTAATATCATGTCGTAGTAGTTGAAGTAACCTGTCATTATAGTATCTGCAATAGAGGAAGCTTGTAGTTGTATGATTGGTATGTTATCAATGACTACCAGTGCTGACTTGGCTGGAAAGATCAGGGAGCGCTGACTGAGCGGGACTTGTCGCCGAGCAACGACCAGGTCCCACCTGCCTCTATGCTCCTGAACCTAACCACTTTCGATGCTTCGGCGCGATATATGATATCCGTACGGCATACTGCATGTCAAACAGCACGGTCCAATCCATACAAGTAAGTTGTCACTATGTTACACAGGCCAGGCAGCCATACCCCAGTCCACTACTACGGCTTCACCGCGATCTTCAGCGCACCACGGCTATTCATCTTATCCAGGGCTTTCTGGTAGTCTCCGATGGTGAACACATCCGTCACCTGCGGGATGGTATTAGTATGCAGCGGTTCACGGAAGCCCGAACAGTACGCACCATGCCCCTCACCCTGATCTTGCCGCTATCGAGGTAGTGCACTGCGCGGGGGAAGCAGTACGTTTGGGCGAACGAGCCAATAATCTGACGAGCAACGGCTGTCGTAAGCTGCGAGCAGATACAGGTAACTGGGGGAAAGAAAATCTATAAGACCCACGCACCCTAATTTCATCGCCGAAGATCTTAGAAGGTGCCCAGTGCACACGCGCGGCGTTGTCGTAGACGCCGTAGATCATGAGAGTACCGCCCCTTCGTACGTAGTTGATAGCTTCGTTCGCAATCTTTTCCGAGCCGGTAGCCTCGATCTGGAGCGTGTGAGGACTTTGTCAGGACAGAGCCTCATTCGTAGCTGTAACTAGACCCACGACTACATCAAACCCATACGGGTTCTCCTTCTTGAGCTTCTCCCACTGCGTCTCGGGATTCTCCCTGTCCAACTCGATATACTCATCGCCGGCGTCGAGCTGCCGTGCAATCTGCGTCTTGATCCCTTTGTTGGCCGCGATGACAACACGCATGGCGCCGTTGAGCTTGAGCAGCTGCGCGAGGATGAGTCCCGTGGGGCCCGCCCCGATCACGAGCGCGTCGACGCCCACCGGGCATGCGAGCTTGTCCATGCCGTGGATCGCGCACGCCGCTGGCTCGCACAGCGTCGCTTCCTCGTCCGTCAGATTGTGGATTTTATATACCTTCTCTGCCCCGCTGTGTCGCTGTGTCAGCCTGGCGCCATAAGAATAGTGAGATGATACTGACAAAATAATATATTCGCTGAACCCCCCGTCCAAGCTCACTCCCCGGCCTAGGAAGTTCTCGCAGAGCAGTGCTTGGCCCCGGCGGCAGTAGAAACAAGACCCACAATGTGTTGACATGAGAGTACGCTTACAGTAACGTACGGGTGGGGACTTGCCGTAACGCCGGGGTCAGCGACGCAGCGATCGCCTTTGGTGAAACCCTTGACATTCCCTCCAAAGTCTACGATGATGCCGACGACTTCATGCCCGGGGATCAGCTTGCGATCGTACAACTCTCATTCAGCTACTCTGAAGGCCTGGCGACTGAGGTGAATGCCTACCGGAAACTTGGTGATGAATTCTCCTTCATGCACATGTCCGTCGGTGCCGCAGACTCCTGTCCGTCTGCGTCTCAGTACCTAGGAAGTCTGAAGACATGTGACATACCGCAGCAAATAACTGTGCGTGATGTCAGCCAGAAATCCTCAGCTGGAAACGGTACAACTTGGGTGAAGCTTACCTTTGAAGAGCACTTCATCGTTCCCGACTTGGGGAATCGGAACTTGTCGCACTTCGAAGTCGCGGGGCTGCAGGCGGACCTCAGGATAACGATCGGGCTTCAATCATCATGTCTCGCACCTTGTGGTAGTACAACGCATTCATCGTAGGAGCCATGTCGTTTAGGAATGAGTATAGCTTGTGCACAGGAGGGTAGACCCGTATGCAGACTCAGATGTGGCGGTAGTCACAATCGATGTCTCGACTTTAGTCCAATTTATCCGCACGTCAGAAGAAAGTTGAAATCATCGACGATGATCCGCGAAAATACCTTGTCATTAGGTTTTTACTCAGGCTCGAACGACATAAGGACGTCGGACCGAACTAGACACGGTGACAACAAGGTGAGAAATTACGGTTCACATACAGCCGTGTTTTGAACAGTGGGAAGAGAAGATTGTGTCTAGTCCGCGTGGACGGAGAAATAACGAGACTGGAGAAAGCATTTGTCTGTCCTGTAACAAACAACGCGATGGTGGCGGCCGCGGGCTGGGCGCGCGCCGAGCGGCGCGCGTACACGTATCTTCCAAATCGGAGAGGACTTTTGACTCGAATTTGTCTCTGCGAGGCAGCGGCCACCTTCCTCATACGTCTCCTTATACGGCCCTCGACCGTTTGCGAGAGATAACTGGCACAAGGACGTGTAGGTTTTTCCAGGTATGGTGCACATAGCGGCTGGAGTTATGCGGTTTCATTAAATCTTACTCCAGGAGATTTGACGGGTTTCTCAAGGATCTACTGTAAGTTCAAAAGTCGTGTTTTTGAGCTTGAATTTACAATGGGCTGTACAGGCATCAGCGGCGACTTTGACGCGTCGTTTCACTATGACGAAGTACATTCTGGTTTCGGGGGGAGTTGTTAGTGGAATCGGGAAGGGTGTAATCGGTGCGCACCAGCGTGCTGCATATTGCGTCGACACCTCGTGTTCAATCATTATTGTAGCCTCTTCCACAGGCTTGCTGTTGAAAACGACAGGCCTGAAGGTCACTGCTATCAAAATAGACCCTTACATGAACATAGATGCAGGTACCATGCGACCACAAGAGCACGGTAAGATTCACATGTGACAGACGTGCAAAATGGGTGTTCTGAGTGCCATTGCAGGCGAGGTATATGTGCTCAATGACGGCGGTGAAGTTGACCTCGATTTGGGAAACTATGAACGATATCTGGATGTTACTCTGTCTCGGGATAACAATATTACGACCGGAAAAATTTACAGGGAAGTTATCGACAAGGAGGTTTGTCCTTAGACGTCTTCCATGTACGTTCTCCTGTTTAACTCATAGCAGCGCAGAGGAGACTATTTGGGGAAGACCGTTCAGGTGAGCTCAAAGCATCATTGCCCCTTTTTAGGTCTGTAATGAACCTTGACTGAGGTTTGTTCGCGCAGATTGTTCCCCATATCACAAACGCCATTCAAGACTGGATAGAACGTGTATCCAAAATCCCAGTTGATGACACTGGTGAAGAGCCAGACCTCTGCATCATCGAGGTATGCACAAGTATTTCGCCAGCTACCCGCTCTCATCCGTCATAGCTTGGTGGAACGGTTGGCGACATCGAGTCTGCGCCCTTCATTGAAGCAATGCGACAATTCCAGTTCCGCGTTGGCTGTGAGAATTTTGCCCTTATTCACGTCTCCCTCGTTCCCGATATGCACGGCGAGCAGAAGACAAAGCCGACACAGACAACCGTGCACGCGTTGCGTGGTCTAGGTCTCCTCCCCGATCTGGTTCGTCCTTCTCCATCGTAGTCAGAAATCTGATCGTTTATTGTATAATTTTAGATTGCATGCCGGCTGATCGTCCAAAAACCCCTCGAGCCGGCGACTAAGGCCAAGATTTCAATGTTCTGTCATGTCTCCCCGGACCAGGTCATCGGCGTACACGATGTCACATCGGTGTATCACGTCCCGCTGCTTCTGCAGTCGCAGGGCATTGTCGAGTTCCTGCAGAAACGTCTGAACCTCGGGAGCATCAAGCTTACGCAGGCGATGAAGGACCACGGCTCCAGTCTCGAGTCCCGGTGGCGCGAGTTGACCAAACGGTGACCTTTTCGACGCCGCACGTGAGGTGTACGACTGATTATTTTATTGTTGTTGACATGGCTCAGGCAAGAACGCTACCTGGATGAGGTGACAATCGTCCTAGTCGGCAAGTACACCGACCTACAGGACTCGTATATGTCCGTCTCAAAATCTCTCGAGCACTCTGCATTCCGCTGCAATCGGAAGCTGACCCTGAAGGTCCGCCGCCCTGCCCCTCACTCGTATAATCTGCACTTACATTCCACTGTGACCGGCAGTGGGTCGACTCGTCCGACCTAGAGCCAGAAATGCAAAACTCAAATCCCGCGCGATACCATGACGCGTGGCGGGCGCTCGTGTCCGCAGGGTGAGCCGCACTCTCCATCTCTGCGCGTTTGGCGTTTTGGGATACTCACGTTGCATTGCAGCGGGATATTGGTACCGGGTGGGTTCGGCGTTCGCGGGACAGAGGGCATGCTAATGGCGATTAAGTGGGCTCGAGAGCAGAAGATCCCCTTCCTGGGCATCTGCTTCGGCTTCCAGCTCGCCGTGATTGAGTTCGCGCGCAATGTCTGCGGTCTGCCAAGTGAGCCTTTTTTGCACTGCTTATTGTCCAATTGCTAACCACTAACCACTACCCCGCGTGCACCTCCGGCAGCCGCAACGTCTATGGAGTTCGACAAGGATACACCGCATCCACTTATCATCTTCATGCCCGAGATCTCGAAGACGCACTTGGGCGGGACGATGCGTCTCGGGCTGCGGCCGACCGTTTTCGACCAGGAGTCGGAGAAGTGGTCAAAGGTGCGCAAGCTGTACGGCGGCGCGGGCAAGATCTGGGAGCGCCACCGTCATCGCTATGAGGTGAACCCCGCGTACATCGAGAAGCTCACGGAGAGCGGACTCGCGTTCGTCGGCAAGGACGAGAAGGGTGAGCGGATGCAGGTGCTCGAGCTGCCCGGTACGTGAATTTGCTTTCGAGGTGTTTCTGGCATACTGATTTGTCGGGGTGCAATTTGTTGATACATGTAGACCATCCATACTTTGTCGCTTTCCAGGCTCACCCCGAGTTCTGTACACGTCCGCTGAACCCGTCGCCGCCCTTCCTCGGTTTCGTAGCCGCTGCGGCGGGTGTGACCGTCCTGCAGGAGCAGATGGAGTCGCAACTGAGGACGTATCATCCTCCCCATCCCGAGAGCGCGATGATCAGCGAGGCGGAGCTTAGGGAGGCAGAGAATGTCTGGCGGAGTACAGAAGTGTTGACCAATGGCGATTGACCCGCTGTGGCTTTTTTTCCTGTCCGTGTCTGCCGTCGACGAGTCTGCTAAACGAGCCTTACGCCACGAAGTAAAAAACTTGTATTACAATCTGGTTATAAACAACTTGTCTACCCGGGTTGTCTCGAGTCTACCGCAAGGGAAAGAGGTATCGTATAAAGCCAATCGGCATATGGTCCCGACGATCTAGCAAGCACGACAGCAAATAAATAAGATATTTCACTTCGAGTTCAGTGCATTGGCAGCACGGTGGATCCCGTTTGAAAGGAGCTTCTCGCCCTTCTCAACGCTTTTTTCGACCTTCTTTACGATCTCTTCCACGCCTTTCTCTGCCCTCGCGGGATTGAATTCGTGGTCCACGTCAGAATGCGCGTTGATAGAGCGCTGCAACACCCCGCCGTTCAAGTGCTCCAAATAAACCTTGCATACTCCCTGCAACGTCGTGATGCCACCATTGTATCCAAGACCGCCTTTCTCGGGCGGTGCGCGTGCACGAGAGTCATCAAAGAGGAGGTGAATGTTGGTGAGAGCGAACAGGGTGGGCTGCAACAGCACGATATCGCCGGTCAAGGGCGGGATGACTCGTCCGAGGAATGCAAACGGGGATTGCATGAGGAAATGGCGTCCAACGTAGTACGCCTCCACGACATGGGCGAGAGCGAGCATCGTCGTCGGCGAGAGGTGGTAGAATGACACCTCGCCCTTGGTGAGAAGCGTGAGCGCGTCATAGATCTCGCCGTACGTCGTTGTCGGACCTGCGTCAGCGACGCAGAACGCCTGCCCACCGATGTCCGGGTGTGCGGACCCACGCTGGAGCTCGATCAGGCGCTGCTCATAGCAAAGGTGAGAGAGCGAGCAGTTCTCAACGAAGACGAACGAGGACATGATGTTGGCGATCCACGTCATATTCTTCTTCTGGGCGAGGTAAAGTCCGATGAGGATGTCGCCACCTGGGCCATAAATCCCGTTCCCCGGGCGGATGCACCCCGTCCGGAGCACGCCACTGCCCGAGGGCGACTTTTCTGCCGCGCGCACGAGCTGCTCCCCACGGGATTTCGAGACGGCGTAGTTGGAGAAGAAATGGTCGTGCTGCTTTGGAATAAGACTGTCGTCGTCGTTGATCGCTTGTACGAAATACCCTGGCTGCATCTCCCACGGCCAAAGCCAGAATCGCGTGCGCCGTACAGAGATCGACCCGGAGGACGTGTACACGAGCGTAGACGCGCCAACCCGACGCGCTGCGTCAAGGATGTTCTGTGTGCCCTTCACATTGATATTGTCCGAGAACCGCAGCAAGTCGGGGTGACGCTCATAGAAACGGATGATCGCGGCGGTGTGGAATACGGTCAGCTCAGGCTCAGGCTCGCCTGATGCACGCGAATCTGTTGGCCATGGCTTGGTAAACGCAGCGTCGACCGCTTGCGCGTCCGACATGTCCACTCGCAGGAAGTCAACGTCCTTCGCAGCGCCTTCGGTGAGGTCCTTGCGGACGGGCGCCCGGATGTCCAGCACGCGAATTCGGCGAGGATCCTCGCCTCGAGCGAGCAAGTGCACCACGATCCAGCCGCCCAAGAATCCTGCCTACCAGAATATATTGAGAGCTATGCGGGATATACAGCAAAACACCACTCACCCCGCCCACCACGATGTATCTCCTACCGGTCTTTGGTAGGAGCTGTCCGCTCAGCAGCGATGGTGGTGCGCCGACCAACGCAGCCTCTGTCTGTTTGACTTCCTCCTTCGTCCACCGTTTCGGAGAGGTCGCAATAACCTCTGCCGGCAAGCTCGAGAGCTTGCGGTCATTTGTCCGGATATATAGAAAGACCAGTAGTGGTACGAGGAGTAAAAGCAAGATGCCTGCCATGATTAGCCGTGGTATGTCTATGATCTGTCACCACAGACTCGGAGTCAGACACGGCTATATTCCTGTTGAACCAGAATGTCAGTTTAGATGCCTTTAGGAGTCTAGCAATACATTTTACCTAGTCTGTGGGGGTATACGCGAACGACGGTGATGACCGTCACGAGTGAACTAAACGCTGAAAGGACTCGAATGCATATGTTTTTTCCGCAGCTGACGACGAAATCGAGCGTTTTGCGATCCGAGTGTAAACAATATAACGTCGAGGTAGACTTATAGACTCAGGAAGAGTCAAGATCCATTACCAAAAAGCGACCCGATAGATAGTCATTGTGCAAAAAATTATATAGGAACGACAACAAACAAGATACATATCAAGCAGGAGGAGGTGGAGGAGGTGCTGGATCATTCGGCGGCGGAGCCCCTCCAGCAGCCTGCGCATCATCGGTGGGCGCAGCCCCCGTATAACCCTGCTGAGCATAATACTGCGCGTACTGTTGCTGTTGCTGAGCCTGCCATTGCTTGAACTCCGGCGAGTTGACATCGTAGCCATATGCAGCCCTACAATGGCACGGTGAGTAAAATATCAACGAATAATGATACAAGACATACCAATAAGCCGCGTATGCGTCTGCGTCGCTCGCGTTTGGCGCCGCGCCAGCTTGTCCCGGAGATGCCCCAGCAGGCGCACTGCCGTCTGGTGGCGGCGGTGGCGGCTGCTCGCCCGGCGGCGGAGGCGGCGGCGCACTGCCCGGTTGTGGGGGCGCGTAACCCTGCAGCAACATCGCGTGTCAGCGCCAAACAGGAATGATACAGACCGAGACGGTGCAAAGACTGCGGACGCGAATGAGTGGAGCATACATACGGCGTAAGCACTGTAGGCAGCGTACTGGATCTGTGCTTGGTGCAGCTCCATTTGCTGCTGCTGCAGGACCGCCTTCACTTTCGTGTGCTCTGCCCGCACGACCTCGAGTAGGTCCTCCGTCAGCACCTTCGCTCGCGCGACTTGGCCTTCGTCCGGACCTCTGTTACAATAATTGAGAGAAGGGCACCGACCGCCGCGCGATGTAGACTTACGTGACGTGAATAAACATTGGCTCGTCGTGCTCGTGTCCCGTATCTTGATCGACGAACCCAGAACCGATGCCCTTGATTTGTACACGGGTCCCTGTCTCCTGTTGGATGTACTTGACGAACATGCCCTACACCGCAATCAGTACCACGAGCCGCCAAACCAGGCGAGTATCGTACCGAAGGGCCGACCACCTTCGCTCGGACGTTGAAGTTTCGAATCGTATCGATGCCAACGGGAAGTTTCTCCTCGGGCCATTTGCGCTGGAGGTATGAGGAGGATTAAGCGCTCTGGTCTCGTCGAGGCTGAAATACGGATACAGACCTTTTCTCGCAACCGATCCTTCTTGTCTTCGACGAGAGAACCCATGTCCATCGCGATGAGCTCGTTCACCTTTTCGATCGCCTTGTCGAGGATCTCCTGGGTCGTTGCGGATATGTGGAGATATAACGGTGGGTCCTTCTCCGTCGCCTTGGACCTATCCGGATACCACGTCCCCTTGGTACTGACGGAAGCTCCAGTTTCTTCATGAATCTGCATGCCGCCGACTGAGTGAAAAGTTGGGAGTAGCACACATTGTTAAAAAAAGCGCACCTGGGTCTGCGTCGACCCCTTGGTCAAGAGATACCTGTTGCGCACGTCATTGATGTCGATGTCGTGTATGTAGTCCCCGTCGTGCGGATCCTTCTGGCCGGGTGTGCCTCCTCCGGATCCTGCTCCTGCAAACTGGGCGGCGATTTTGGCAGCGATCGCTGCCGCTGCTGCAGCCGCTTCGGAAGCAGACTTTCCCTCCTCTGTCTTGGGGGCTTTGACTGGAGTATCACTGTCTGAGGCCTCGGGAGCTGCCTGATCCCACTTGCGTTTGGAGGACATCGTCGACTGGGTCGGTAAGTTTACTGTGCTCGCGGTTGGCAGGACGTAAAAAAATATCGCCGCGGCTGGAGCTGTGACAATTTAGCGTGACCTATGCATACTTCAGAGAGGTCAAGGCATACGATGGAGCGTTGGTTACATTTTCTTTCCGTAAAAATGTTCAATTTACGTGTCATATGTTGGATAAACCAACTCTGTTACTTTTCGTGTCCTACCAACGCTTTGCGGGAGAACACCCGTGGATTTTGGAAGTGTGACCAGTGACCCTGTGTGGATGTATTTGGCAGCGGTGGCACTTGTGACTTGAATTTTTCTGGAGAAATCGCAGCCACCGCTTTCTGTCCCTAACGGCCGTGAGCTCGCTGCAGCTCGGTACGATGACGGCGTCATTATGGACGAAAGCTCTCGGGGTCGCGGAGCATTCGCTCCTGATTCGTTCTGCGCGCTGCGCACGCTCGTCGTGTCGAAATGGTACGTATGCTGCGCCGTCATTGCGACACACGACATACTCACGTTTAGTCCCGAACTACCAGTCGTGCGCACAGGTCAGTTCACCGCTGTACGGCGCGTGAGTGCATATAGATCTTCTGCAGAGCCCGCTCCAAGTCTCGATCCGGGTGCGCCAGCAACACCAATTGACGTCGCCGAAACTCGGGCGGAACCCAATTCTGAGCAGCCGCTTTTTACTGCGTTGGAGGGGTCTCTCTCTCCGAGTACCTTGAAGGCGATCACCGTGAAGCCCTTCCAGCTCAAACACATGACGCCCGTCCAGACCGCTGTTCTCTCTCTTCTCCCGCAGCTTTCAGAGCCCTGGGCGAAGGTAAAAGACATTCCTGAAGGCGAGAAACGCACCCCGCGCGATCTGCTCGTCAAGGCGCGGACAGGGACTGGTAAAACACTCGCATTCCTCGTTCCGGCGATCGAAGCTCGGCAAAAGTCGATCGACGCACACGGCAAACAGGCGGTCATCGACGCTGGCTTGACGACCGACAGGTCGCTGGAGCTCCGCGCGAAACGTATATTTTCGCGCGAGAATGTCGGCACGTTGATTATCAGCCCAACGCGCGAGCTGGCGACCCAGATCGCCAACGAGGCAATCAGGCTGTCCCACCACCACGAAGGTTTTGAGGTCAGGCTTTTCACTGGCGGTAACAGCAAGAAAATGCAGATGCGCGACTGGATGAGAGGACGCCGAGACATTGTCGTCTGCACTCCTGGACGCCTCCGGGATCTGCTCGCAAGCGAACCTACCATTGAGAAAGGTATTGCTGCGACACAGATGGTAAGTCCAGTCCCCTGTCTCTGATATTGGGAGTGGTACTGATGACTGTCTCAGCTGATACTCGACGAGGCTGATACGCTTCTGGACATGGGTTTTCGCGAAGACATTGAGGCGATCATGGAATACATTCCCTCTTCCCCTGAGCGGCAGACGTTCTTGTTCTCTGCAACTGTGTCCACCGAGATTAGGCAAATCGCGCGTAAGACGTTGGCCAAGGAGCACTTATTCATCAATTGCGTAGAGGATAACGCATCGCCTGTTCACGCTCACATCCCCCAATACCACACAGTGCTCCCGAATGCCGCGGCCCAAATCCCACACGTCCTTCGTCTCCTTGCTCACGACCAGCTCACCAACCCCGGACGTGCGAAGAGCATCATTTTCCTGCCTACGACCAAAATGACACAACTCTATGCCTCGTTCCTCCGGCAGCTCTTAAAGGTGCTGCCCACCGGTAGGAAGACCACCATCTACGAGATGCACTCGAAGCGCCAGCAATCATCCCGCGATAACGTGTCGGAAGCGTTCAGGCGAGACAACACTGGCTCTGCGATTCTTGTGTCGTCTGACGTGTCTGCTCGCGGTGTCGACTACCCCGGAGTCACTCGTATCATTCAGATCGGTATCCCCGGTGGCACAGACCAGTATATTCACCGCGTCGGCCGTACTGGCCGTGCAGGTAGCACTTCCGGCCGCGCCGATCTCGTCCTCCTCCCGTGGGAAGTCGGCTTCGTCTCGTGGCTTCTAACAGATATCCCCTTGAAGCCGCTCACTACCAACGAGCTCAAGAACCAGGTGACGGAGCTCGCCAAAAAATACGACGAGGACCCCTCCAAGTTCTACCAGGACGCCGGGGTGATCGTCAATAGCCGTGCGCCCGAGCGCCAGCGCCCCGCGCTCTTCCCAGAGCAGTACTCGCCCGTGCTGGAGCAGTTCTCAGACGCGATCTCGCACCTGTGCTCGACGCTGGACGAGGAGGCCGTCAAGGAGACGATGATGTCGCTGCTCGGCTACTACCTGAGCAAGTCTGGCGAGCTTCGCGTGCAAAAATCAGTCATCGTGCAGGGACTGAAGGATTGGACAACGGAGGCGTGTGAGCTGCCTGTCGCGCCATACGTTTCGGAAGCATTCCTAGCGAAACTCGGTTTGCAGGACGGCCGGACGAAGAATTTTGGCAAGCCCAAGGACTTTGGCCGTGGTGGCTTTGGCAGCAGGGGCAGTCAGCCACACTGGATGGGCCGCGGCTCGTCAAGCAACAAGGACCGAGAACGGTCCCAAGAACGTAGCCAATGGGGTGTGCGTTCGGAGGACGGTGAGCGGAGTGTGCGTTCTGGGGACAGGGAGCGGGGTGTTCGTTTTGGGGACAGGGAGCGGGGTGTGCGCTCAGGAGACAGGGAGCGGGGTGCGCGCTCAGGAGACAGGGAGCGGGGTGTGCGTTCTGGGGACAGGGAGCGGGGTGACAGGTGGTCGCGAAACAACGAGGATGGGGGCGAAGATGACTATCGTACGGAGGGATACCGCCATCGCTCCAGTGCTAGCAGCAGATATTAGGGTGACCTCGTTGGCGTCGGCGTAGCATTGTATTATAGGATACTCTACTGCTCATGTAATTCATCGCATCGCATCTTATATAGACACGCTCTCTCTTCACGATTATTTAAATAAATCGCGGAGGACCGGTAAACACTTCAATCCGTCCATATGTGCATAACCTTTCGCCCCTCGTTTCTGAATCTCGGCTGAGCGCTCGTCGGCTTTTTTTTCGGTTAGCTCTAAGCCACACATTCAGCGTTTTCGCTTGTTGACCATCGGGAATACACCCGTCGAAGTCCCGATGGCGTGGCCGACGACAAGCACTCCATCGTATGCACAATGAGTCGTATAGTGACTCGATGGCGGTCACTCCAAGCTAGCCGTTCACTCAAGTTGCGGATTGGACAAACGCGTAGCCTCTTTGCCTGGGCAAGTCCCAAACAAAGCGACTTACTGCCGCTCGATCGTATGATTGAGGAAGAGAAGGTGGACGACTATTCCCCGGAGAGATTCTACCCTGTACAGCTGGGAGAGGTATTCCGAGGCGTATACCAAGTCGCTTTCAAACTTGGTTATGGAGGGGTGTCTACCGTGTGGTTAGCGCGGGATCTTCGTCGGTACGTGTCGGTCAAGCCTGGGTATTTATGTGGGTAATAACGCGTCATTACGACGTGTATAGTTGGCGGTGGCAACCCGATCGTCATGTCACGCTCAAGGTCTACAGAAACGATACGCCTCACAGGGCTGCGGCTGAGCGCGAGATCGAGCTCTCGCGCGTCGTGGCGGCTGCGAACCCTGCGCACAATGGGAGCCTGTATGTAAGGACAATGCTGGATTCGTTTGAGATAACTGGGCCACACGGTCGCCACTACTGTCTCGTACACGAGCCCCTCAGGGAACCGTTAAACATCATGCAGCGCCGTATGGCCAGTTCAAGATATTCTTCCGTAGTCGTCAAGGGGATTCTATACTACGTCCTAGAAGGGCTAGACTATCTTCACACGCAGTGTCATATGGTCCATACTGGTGAGCTCACATTTTTACGTGACGAGTCGCTTGGCTGACCCGGCGCAAGATCTCAAGCCCGAGAACATCCTCTTCGCATTTGAGGACATATCATGCATCGACAGGGCTGTAAGAGAAGAAGCAGACCATCCCTCCCCCCGAAAGACAGTCGTCGATAGGACACTATATCAATCTAGAATCAATATGGGGCCTCTCAAAACACCCCCAGAGTATCTGAGGATCATTGACCTAAGTCACGCTGTCAGGAAGGACGAATCAGAGTTCTTTAAAGGCTTCCTCCAGGTGAATTCATATCGAGCACCAGAAGTTCTCCTGGATATCCCGTGGTCATATAGCGTGGATATCTGGAATTTGGGTATGATGATAGGGCTTTCTCGCTGTCTAGCGAGCGTATATTGATGACATCGCAGTTATGGGATCTACTGGAGGATGCCGATCTCTGTGAAGGCTCGTCAAAGAAGTACACCCGTGAAGGGCATCTCGCTGAGCTCATTGCCTTCTTGGGACCACCACCAAACGAACTGTTAGAACGAGCGGGGCTGCGTCACTTCTTTGACGATAATGGTCGGCGTCATTTCCGCGCGGCTTGGGGCGGAATACTGAATGATTTACAGGAGGGTTCAGGTACAACCATCTGGTTCCACGCGGTTTGAGTTTGGAAAGTTCTGTTACTTCTCTCAAGGACAAAGACAAGGATCTCTTCCTCGGATTCGCACGTAGTATGTTGCAGTGGCTCCCAGAACGTCGTAAGACAGCCAGGGAGTTACTCAAGGATCCATGGCTGAAACTGTGAGAGGAGTACACATATCATAATAATGTAACGGAGATGACTTCCACCACTTCCTTCAGCCATTACCATAGTATATCTTCTGCCGTAGTCCCCTAGTATACGTAGTTTCTGTAGTAGCCACCACTCAAAGTCAAAACGCGTCTCATCATACGGTCACATGCATTTCACGTGATGGTGCTTGGTGAAGTCATCTAATCTGAGATTTCTCATTTTTGACCAAGTCACCTCGACTCGCTCGTCTTCACAAAAGACGTTCGTCATCAGCAAACTTTCTATATCCACTTAAAACATGGGGGACGAATGTCTACGCCGAGTTGTTGCACGACTGCAAAACCTGCCATCGATCTCTCTTCCGACAGACTATCCACGACCGACGGGAGGAAGCAGGTTAGTCGAAGCCGCAATTACTGCTGATTTATCCGAACAGACATGTCTCGGGTTGCTTAAGCTCGCGTTGTACAACGAGGATGAGGATGGTGACGGGGACGGGGACGACGAGAAAGGACACAAAACGCCGTCGGCATTCCACCTGCTACTGGCAGCATTTTCCGTCCTTCTACATAGATACACCGGCGACACAGATCTTGTCATCGGATCATCTGCCGCATCAGCGCGTGACCCTCTAGTTCTCCGGCTAGAAGTCAACCCTTCCGACCCTTTCTGGCAAGTGGTCAGGAAGGTGCAGCAGGTGGAGAAGGACGCTGAAGTGGATGCCTTGCCCTTCGAATCCATCGTGCGTGCACTAGGGAAGGGCAAGACGGATTCTGTAGAAAGTTCACGCCCGCTGTTTCGGGTTCGATTTTTTGACGAGACCGACACACCACAAGAAAACTTCCTTCGCACCACCAGCCTTACTTCCGATCTGACCGTGTTCATCACCCGCCAGCATGAAAACAGCCGCACGTCGTTAACGCCTCACATCTCTCTACGCATCTTATACAACTCTCTGCTCTTTACTCCTACGCGTATCACGTACATCGTGGATCAGCTCTCTGTCCTATTACGCAAGGTTGCTGCGAATCCCTTGGCGCCAGTGGGCTCGGCACCGCTACTGACGTCCGCTCAGCGAGCCAAGTTGCCAAATCCCATTGCAGACCTGAACTGGTGTGGCTGGAAGGGTGCCATCCCCGACGTGTTCTCTCGAAACGCGCGTCAATGGCCCGACCGGCCGTGCGTCATTCAGTGTCTGTATCCAGCATCCTCGAATGAATCGCAAGAAAAGCGGACATATACTTACAGCATGGTTCTCCACGCGTCGAATACCCTTGCGCACCATCTGCTGGAAGGCGGGGTGCAGCGAGAGGACGTCGTGATGGTCTATGCGTACCGCAGCGTTGAGCTGGTTGTCGCGGTGATGGCAGTGCTCAAGGCTGGCGCAACTTTCTCTGTGATAGGTACCTCATTTGTGCCTTCACTCGTTGGACGCGTCCGTAACTCACTGCTAGATTTCCTGGGCTGAATCACCCATTGTAGATCCTGCGTATCCATCGTCAAGACAGAAGATCTACCTGGAGGTTGCGCAGCCTCGTGCCTTGGTGGTTCTCAAGGGCGCCGGCACCATTAGCCCCCCTGTTCGTGAATTTATAACCAACGAGCTCAAAATCTGTGTCGAAGTACCTGCGCTGGAGTTGCTGACAGACGGCACGATTACTGGAGGTTCGCGCTCTGACGGTGGGGATGTGCTCAAGGGGCAAGCTCACTTGGCTGAGACAGACCCTGATGTTCCTTTGGGACCTGATAGCGTCGGCACGTTATCATTCACCAGCGGAAGTACGGGCATACCAAAGGGTGTCAGAGGAAGGCATTTCAGCCTGACGCATTTCTTCCCGTGGATGGGAGAGAGGTTCGAGCTGAACAAAGACTCAAAATTCACAATGCTGAGTGGTATTGCTCACGATCCAATCCAACGTGATAGTAAGTCCTTCCAATTTCGCTGTGTGAACGAAACGTAATCACGGTGCAATCAACGATAGTGTTCACCCCGCTTTTTTTCGGTGCAAGCTTGTATGTCCCTACCGCAGAGGACATCGGCACACCAGGGCGACTTGCAGAGTGGATGGCGGACAACGCAGTGACCGTCACTCACCTCACGCCTGCGATGGGTCAGCTGCTGTCCGCCCAAGCTACCCATCAGATCCCGTCGCTCCGCAATGCCTTTCTCGTGGGTGATGTCCTCACAAAGCGTGATTGTTTACGTCTACAGTCACTGGCTGCGAACGTTCGCATCATTAACATGTACGGCACGACCGAGACCCAGCGCGCTGTGTCGTATTTCCTCATCCCCAGCGTTGCGGAGGACGCCACCTTCCTCACGACGCAGAAGGACATCATGCCTGCTGGCGAAGGTATGATCGATGTCCAGCTGCTCGTCGTCAACCGCAACGACAAAAACATTCCCTGCGCGGTTGGTGAGATCGGCGAAATTTACGTGCGCTCCGGCGGTCTGGCTGAAGGCTACTCCGACCCCAGTGCAACCGCGGAGAAGTTCGTCAAGAACTGGTTCTCGGAGAACGCGCCGCCATGGAAGGACACAATTCGCGAGCCCGCCAATGGGCAGTCGGGGCCGGAAGCGCGGTTCTGGAAGGGCGTACGCGACAGGATGTACCGTTCGGGCGACCTTGGGCGCTACTTACCCAACGGGATCGTGGAGTGTACTGGCCGTGCAGACGACCAAGTGAAGATCCGTGGATTCCGCATCGAGCTTGGCGAGATCGACACACACCTCAGTCAGCACCCGCTCGTCCGAGAGAACGTCACGTTAGTGCGGAGAGACAAGGACGAAGAGAAAGTCCTCGTCAGCTACTTTGTGCCTGTAAGCGGCCCGCTGTTGGACGATTTCGCCAGCGACATACCAGAGGGTGAGGATGAAAAGGGGTTGATCACTGGTATGCACAGATACCGTCGGCTGATCAAAAACATCCGTGAATACCTCAAAAAGAAGCTCCCGAGCTACAGTGTCCCTACATGTTCGTGCTCGTTCAATCATTCATCGCAGCACTGTCGTTCACTCAACATTCCTCTCTGACAGTATTCGTCCCGCTCAAGCGTATGCCACTCAACCCCAACGGCAAAATCGACAAGCCGGCGCTTCCCTTCCCCGACACAGCGCAGGCGGCTGCAACCGAATCGCAGCGCGGGCCCACAGCTACACCGACCGAGGAAGCCGTACGTGCGATCTGGACGCGCATCCTGCCCAATCCGCCGTCTCCAATACCTCTAGATGAGAATTTCTTCGACGTCGGTGGGCACTCCATCCTGGCTACTCGGTTAATATTCGAGATACGCAAAGCCTTCTTGGTAGATGCTCCTCTAGGTCTAGTTTTCGACAGGCCGACTATCGGCGGGCTTGCTGCGGCAGTCGATGACATACGCAACGCTGACTTGGGCTTCACGACTGGCAAAACACCTGGGACGTTAACCCCAGCAACACATGCTGCGGTCGGCACGGTCAAAACCATCGCATACGGGCAAGATTACGACAACCTATTGTCGAAGCTGCGGCCTTCTTATTCACCGTTACCCGCAGATTTTGGCGGCAAACGCCTGACAGTATTCCTAACTGGTGCCACTGGCTTCCTGGGTGCCTTCATCTTACGTGATTTACTGCTGCGGGAAGATCGGGTCAAGAAAGTTATCTGTCTTGTTAGGGCACCCGACTTACAGAAGGCGCTGGACCGACTGCGCGATGCAGCGGACGGACGAGGAGTCTGGGATGAAGAGTGGCTGAAAACTTCAAGGGTTGAAGTTGTTAAAGGAGACCTCGACCAGGAGTTCTTTGGCATCGAGAAGGCTACTTGGGATCGTATCGCCGACGAGGCTGACGCCGTAATCCACAATGGTGCACTGGTATGTTGTTTGAGTTCCCCCCTTTACTCCGCTTATCTGTGCACGCCGCTTAGGTCCATTGGGTCTATCCGTACGAGAAGCTGCGGTATGCCAACGTGCTCGGCACGCTCATTGCCGTGGACCTTGCTGCCACTGGCAAGCCCAAGGCCTTCGTGTTTGTCTCGTCGACATCTGATATCGACACTGAGTATTATGTTCAGTTATCGGAATCGTCTCATGATCAGAGCAGCCTTGGCGGGGTACCGGAAAGCGACGATCTTGAAGGTGCCAGGACGTCCCTCAAGACTGGGTATGGGCAGAGTAAATGGGTGTCCGAAAAACTCCTTTTCGAAGCTGGTCGGAGGGGCCTGAGAGGTCACATAGTGCGGCCTGGGTACGTTGTCGGTGATTCCCGGACAGCAGGTGAGCCACATCCGATCCTCTGATACCAACGTGGACTTGACTTACGTCACCGTATCGCAGTTACGAACACAGACGATTTTATCTGGCGTTTGGTGAAGGGCTGTATCCAGCTTGGGTTGGTGCCTGATATCAACAACACCGTGAACATGGTGCCTGTGGACCACGTAGCGCGTTGCACAGTGCTTGCAGTACTTGCTCCTCTGCCGGCACCTCGTGATGCCCTCAGTGTGCTGCACATTGCGGCACACCCGCAGCCCACCTTCAACGACATGTTCTCCGCCCTGGCTCGCTACGGTTTCGCCACCAAGCGTTGTGAGTACCTGTTGTGGCGCAGCCAGCTCGAGAAGCATGTCATGGAGGTCCAGGACAACGCGCTGTTCCCCTTGCTGCATTTTGTGCTGGACGACCTGCCAACAAGCACCAAGGCGCCAGAGCTCAATGATGAGAATATGCGTGCGCTTCTCGCGCCCCACATGCAGCTGACGAATCGCACGGTGGACAAGGAGCTGATGGGTAAATACTTGGCGTGGCTCGTTATCGCGGGCTTCTTGCCCCCTCCATCAGATATCAATGCTCAGGAAAATTTGCCATGGCTTGCGAACGGCTCCGTGGCAAGAGCGGTCGGCCGCAGTGGACTGTAGATGCCGAAAACTCGATGTAAGTGAAGTCATGTATGTTGGGTGTATGTGCACTCATCGTGAATTTACACGAACATCTTGACAGGCTGCTGATCGTGCATATGACAGAAGATAAAGGTGATAGGGTGGACATCGGCCTGCCTGACAGCGCTAATCCTCAATTCTACATACCTGTCAGTCCTCCGGAAAGACAACGCAGAGGTTCCGTACTGGTATCATGATGGGTGTTCCATTGTCAAGTCTCCCTTGTCAAATCAACGGAATGTCCCAGCGTGACCATCTGGAGTCTGCACAGCGTTCAAGAGATGTGCCCTCTATTCTATGCCCTCTCCCGTTTCGTTGAACTCAATGCCAGCAGTCGGCATTTTATGCTTTCCCCTCCAGCTGAGACCTGACGGCATTCCTGACTGGCCACGATAGGGTTTCAGGAACAGACGCTCGCTGCCGTTGAGACAAGCGAACTTTCTGAGCACATGATACAGTACTTAACCTCCCAGCTGCACACACCAGAAAATTGCATGCATGAATGAAGCGAGGTGGCGGGAGACAAAAAACATTATGATTGTTGTTCGTGACTCAGCTTTGACTGAGAGTTCTGGCAGACTCCGCGGACCTACTCGAGGAATTCACTCGAAGTGAACGGCTGAAACATTCGATCTGATTGGACAGGTCAGAGATCCTGAGAGTAGATCTTAATGCCACCTCTTTCTCCGACTGATCCCATGTTTTATTGATATGAGTAGCGCTACCTTTCCTCTGTCCGTTTTGAACACCCACCATCGCCGGCGCGGGTCAGAGATTTCGTCTCGATATGATGGTCGATGTCGTTCCGACAATTCGCTCAGTGTACGACTCAGACCCCGATTGGCTAACCGACGCATCATCTTCGTACCTGCGAATTGCCGCTATATCCATCGCGGCCTACGAGTACGTGACTTTACAAAGGTCGCGCATTAGTCTGCGTTAATTGCTAGTAATTAGTTATTTGCTGACCTTACCTGCGGAATTGCGGTTTTACAAGGTTCAGCGTTCATGGATGCCAAGTCTGGGGTGCATTCTCTTTATTCTCATCCGGTGAGGCTTCAGTATTCATCTCAAGCAGGGATACGTACCGTATTCGTTAACACCATAACAGGTACGTTAGCATGATTACTGTAACAGTCAGCGCGATTGGATTTTTTGCTTCGTTTTCTCCCCAATCCTGTCAACGATGGTTTATGGTTACACCTGTCTTCAAAGGTCAGATTGTGTCCATCTGTTTCTTATTCTCTGGAGGTGAACTTAGCTTATTATTTTCTCAGTTCTGCAGATGGTGCTTTCCCAAATTATCATGGGCATAAGGTCAGTCCGTGACTAGATATGTTTATTTGACAATGCTGAGCCGTAGCATTAAAGAACAGTGAATATCTCCAGAAGGAAACCTTGGGTTGTCTGGACCATGCTTGTCGTTTTCCTCGTTGTTACATGCGTAAGTGAGTCAGATTCCACATCTCTTGAGTCTGTGCCCACTTTACTCTAGTTGGAATTCTTCACAAACCTTTATGACCGGAATTGTGAGTTGCGCACTTACATGGACGTCAAACACCCTAACGTACTCTTTGCATTCCGAAGACGTTCAAGACAGAGTGAGTGAGAGCTTCACATCTGCTGGACTTAGTCGCTCACCTCTTACGGACACAGCACAATAAGTGAGCTCCCACGTCTTGCGCGTCTCGTAGGGTCTCTTAGTGCCATTTACATGCGTCGAACAGCTGCACAGGGGGCGATAATTCAGCACATTTATCCGTTTGGCTATTTTACGTCGTGGCCATGTTCTACGACGTCGTTACGATTGGTATCTCAACGTACTTTCTGGTGAGCTTCAGTCCTTCATCTGGTCGGTGAGTATCTGGCTTCCTTCGCCCATGGAAGCCTCAGATTGACGTTGGCCGCCGATGTCTGACCAGGTTGTCTCGTCTTGTACGATTGTGCGTACCTTCCACTCTCTGATCATGCTCCTCCACTGATTCTGCTCAGAATGTTGTACGACGACATAGGATACCTTGTACTTCTGACTGGTGCGCTCTTTTTGAGCTCACAATCCATGACCTATCCTTCCTCATTCAGCGCTTTGGCAGCTGCGAATGTACTAAACTTGGTCCTATACCGGACAAGCGATGGAACGACACAGGTGAGCGATGAAATCCTCCGCATGATCATCAATTGATGAGCTGCCTATCCGAAGTCCTCAGGGTTGGCACCCTTTCCCGTATGTGACGTCAGCCTTAACACTAATTTGCCCACTATGCCAGAGCGTGCCTGAGTTTCGCCGTGGTATGGATAATGAGCCAAAGGATCCTGATCCATCTCCGCGGTGAGTACACGCCGTCTAGACACCCTTTCACTGGCATTGGCGCCTCACCCCTACGCCGTCCCCGCATACGCCGCATCAGAGCACACGCGCACGACGACACAGGTCATCTCGCGCCCGCTCCAGTCTCCGCGCGATATCTCAGACGCGATGCGCTCTCAATTCGAGACCAAGGATCAGCTCGACGAGGAGTTCGGCCTGCCGCACCCACGCGCAGCATCGAGCGTGCAGCTGGACTCTGTGCGCGAGGGCTGCGAGCTCGACGTGCAGGTGCACGTGGAGGAGACCGTGACTGTCGAGTACGCCGAGGACACGTCTGAGCGCGAGTCGTACCGCACGCCGCGGCCGATGCCATAGCATATGCTTGTGAGTACTTGTGGCTGCGCTGGTTGACTGGAGATCGCTCATAGCCTCTTTAACCTGCGTCATGCAGCGTAGGGTGTTGATAGACGTGTGGTTATGTGGTTGTATTCTTATTTGTGATATTAAGGTCGCGCTCTCGCGCATCCGCTGTGAATCTGCATCCGTTCTTGTTACTTCTTATACCCTTGGCCATCAGTCTCACACTAGGTGAGCACTCTGGGATACATGTACGAGTACATACTTTGTACATAGAACAGGATATCAACGGTGTGATATATGTCGCACTGATCATGCACTAACAATTGCTCCTACATATCTGGGAGAGCGCAGTTCGGTTGCTGAAGATACGCAGCTGCAGTGGGCTCGGAAAGCATACCAGTACGATCGCGATAGCTATAGGTCGCCTGGCGATTTTGATAAACATCCCGGAAAGGGAGAAATGTCAGTGATTGCGTTTCATCCGATCTTGATCAATAATTGCTCCTCCAGGTCAACTGTCTCTACTGGCATCGTACGAACCCTCACGGCGCCGAACGCAGACGGTCTTGATACGAAACTACTGTCTCCGCGAGAACGACCATTCGACTCCGAATCCACCATCATGAAGTACTCAAGCGCTAGAACATTGTCACCGCAGTCGGACAGTGGTAATCTGATTATGCAATGGGGGCACAGTGGTCTGATGATTACAGGGCGAAGCAGGATATGACGTACTGCACAAGGAAAAAGGTCACGAAGCTGAATACAACAGTCCGTAGAAATGGTCCGAGACGGTGAGTAATAAAGATCGTATCCACGTTGCGTAATGTCCATGTCCGTGTGGAACATAAGTACAAGCTTAGGAAGGCTGATAATTAGAAGTCTGACGCAGCGGCAGGCCGCACTACAAAAACCATCAGGCAAGGTTTTCCAACGAAAACGCGCAGCTATACCTTCGTGTAGATAGCGTCAATGACATGCATCTCATCGATCGAATCCTCCGCCGTCCTCCACACGTGCGGCTCACGGCCCCGGACCTTGTCCACGAACGCTTCGAGTGTGTAGCGATACCTATCGCAGCTCATTCATCAGAATCGAGACGGCGCACGCACGAGTAACTCACGCAGACCACCAATCCTCTCCCTTGCCCGTACCTGCCGGCGGCTCGTATGCCTTCTCGACCCGCACCTTCCCGCCCTTCGGGGAGACCTTGATGGAGTGCCACATGCTAGCTATGATGTAGTTCGACACCTCCACAGAGCCGTGTTCGCACTCCACCTTAGCATGGAATGCGATGAAGTGCGGAAAGAGCTTCAGTGGGCCCCAACTGTCCAGAGCGCCATCCGTGATGACAGTCGCAGTGACGGCGCCCGGGAAGGTCAGGTGTGCTTCAACCCTCCTGTCGATGGTATCGGACAGGTTGATAGACTCCGCGGACTCGACGGTCGGGTTGGAGGACGCCAGGAAACGCAGACAGTTGATAGGGTACGCTGCGTCACGGACACTAAGGTTGGCCTGGATTGAATCATCGGAATCGACACTTACGGCCCATGTCCATGAGCATGCCACCTCCAAGACTGAAATCGTAGCGGATGTCGTCTTCGGGGAGAAACATGCGCGATATTCCGAACTCGGCAGACATCTTAACGATCTTGCCGAGCGAGCCCTCGTCCAGGATAGCCTTTACTCTGTGTAGCGCAGGGTGGAAGCTGGTGAAGATGAGCCTTAGCGTGATAATTTGGAGGAAGGTTGTAGGAGGATACACACTGAGGCTGCCATGATTCGAGCAGCACCAGGCTCTTCTCCGCGGCGTATGCAAACATCTTGCGGACCTCCTCCTCGTTGTTGGAGATCGGTTTCTCACAGAGGACGTGCTTTCCCGCTGCGAGAGCCTTCATCGTCCACTCGTAGTGAAGACCATTCGGCAAGGGAATATACACAGCGTCGATCCCTGCGTCGTTCAATAACTCTGCATTCCAAGCCAAAGCCCATGATCGGTATGATACTAGAACTCGAGACAAATGGATGTACCTTGGTATGCACTCGAACCACCATACGTCCTCGGGATCCCCCACTTCTGCGCGAACGCGTCCGCGCGGCCCTTGTCGCGTGCAGCGACGGCGACCAGGACAGCGTCCTCATGACACCTCATCGGTTTGACTATGGCATTAGGTGCAATGTTGGCTGCACCCAGCACCCCGAACCGCAAAGGATTGGACGACTTCTCCACGGTGGGAGGATAGTTCGTCTAACGTGGTCGCTATCAGTCAATGTGACCTTGGACACGACGGAGCGGTTGTGCGCTCACCTTGTAGAAACGTTTTACGGAAGACACCAACGACATGATCGCGACGAAGAAGTGAGAAAGAGCATCAGGGGATGCGTCGCGTGGAGATAGGGCTTCGGCAATAATTATAGCGAGATTCTAGCGCATCTTCCCTTGGGTTCTTTGGGATGGAAACAAAATATATCGGTTTCTCGTGACAATGTTGGATACCATTTGGAGGAAAGCAGACATAAGGCTGGGGCCGAGGAACTGGAGCCAACGCGGATCTTGTTCTCTTATGGGAATTATTGTTGTACGGTCACATGATAACCATTTTCTAGTCACGAGATCTGAACGCGCCGTGGATAGTGCTGTCGACTACCACCGCGACGTCGCTGCTGCCAAGTAGCTGGCATATCTTCCACGCAGCCTGCACAGCTGACTTTGGTTGAAGAATGTTGCAGAGTGCATATAGCTGGGCCAGTACGAATATTTATTGAATCTACTGGCACCTCAAGGCTACTCGTAGGGGAACTGTTGCAGACGTGTCGATATGCCAGTCAGCGTCAGTAAGTTGCCCGCCATTTCATTCGTGTCTGAAGGCTGGTCTGGTGATATAGGCACTTTAGTCAACCAATATTGACAGAGTCCCGTCAAAAACACCCTCAGGCTTGACTCATCGGCTACAAGGGGGCCGTTCCGAGCGATGCCATCGCATCGCAGCCGACATAAAAACCCACGTCCCTACGCCAACACAGCGCATCCTTTCCAGATGGTCTGAGGAAGAAACGAACTACACAACAGGTGAAGGCCCCCGAACACCGGTTACGGCAGTCATGTGTACACTCATCACGGACGCAGACAGGGTCAGCTTACCCACAGAGCAGTCGCACTTAGTTTGCTTCGACGACATCCTGGCGCTCGCATGCACTAAGCGGCGACTAGGCGCGTGTATATCTCGCCTCACCTGACGGAGGTGAACCTCCTCTTCTCGAACACTCAACAGCTCCTGTCTTCCACCGATGTCGCGTCCTCGCCTTCCTACACGCGCTATACTCAGACGACCTACGACGGTACAGCCAAACGCAAGGCGTTTTCTGGCTCTATCTGCCGTGGAAGGCCCGTCGCACCCCCCATTGGTGACCAGCACTCTCCCAGCATACTTTGCTGAAGAGATTCTGGGGAAGCACGGCTCTCGCCCAGCGTTGATCGCCAGAAGTGAGCAACCGCGCTCACATGGCGGCCCGCTCTCTCCCAATATGGGTGTCTCACGCCACCTCGCCTGGGACTACGTTGAGTTCGATAGGCATGTGCAGGCGCTCGCGCGGGGACTGCTGGATCTCGGCGTGAAAAAGGGCGACAGAGTGGGCGTGCTCATGGGGAACAACAGGTGCGCTCCGTGTACTTCCTGCATTGGTGTGGCTGCCGGAACGTGTATGGGGCAGCGCCTACGCTTGTATGCAGTGGGCATGCGCGAGGGTAGGTGCGATTCTCGTGACGCTAAACCCGGCGTACAGACTGCCAGAGCTGGTGCGTGGCTAGTGTGTTGGGTGAGGCGTCCCTGACGAACTTGTCCCGACAGGTGAACACGCTCAATCTCGTGGGAGTGAGCCACCTGTTTGTCGTACCGCGCCTGCGGTCGTCCGCCTACATTTCCATGCTGTCAGATGCCTTCCCATCGCTCGGCAACTCGTCCCCCGGAGATATTCAGGAGGCCGCGGTTCCCAGTTTGCGCCATCTAGTCGTAGTCGACAACACTTCGGACTTCAAGAACTTCGAAGAGCACCTCGAGCGTGTGAAGTGTGCCGTGGACTTTCGCGAGATCTTGGTTTGGCGGGAGGACAACGTGGAGAAGCGCAAGGTGGATGAGGTGGCGGCCTCGCTCAGCTGTGATGAGGTCATCAACTTACAGTTCACCAGGTAAGGCATGTTCATTAGCCTGCGAACATCGACTGAAGTGGTGGCTGCGAAAGTGGGACTACGGGTGCCCCCAAAGCCGTCTCAGTAAGTTGCACTGTCCCGTCTCTTCCCAGCGGGGTCATGATCCTTCTTCGCAGCTCACTCATCACAACCTCCTGAACAATGCGCTCTCAACCAGCGGCGCCATGCGCATCACCGCATCCGACGTGCTCTGTACGCTCTCACATCTACTCATTCGCTCTCCACGCTCACCACTGCACCCCAGGCAACGTCCCGCCGCTCTTCCACTGTTTTGATACGTACCTTCGTTCCCACCGTTATCTAAAGTCCAGCTGACCTCCCCCCGCACGCCTCGTCCTAGGAAACCTCGCAGCTTGGTCGCGGGGCGCGTGCATAGTGTACGCGTCCGAGGGGTTCGATCCTCGTGCGGCCGTGGACGCAGTCATCGCGGAGCGGTGCACTGCGTTGCACGGCGTGCCGACGCACTTCCTCGCAGTTCTCGCGGACGTGCAGGCGCGCCGCGATGCGGGGGAGGCCGTCGAGACGCGGCTGCGGTGCGTGTCGTGCTGATGCGCTTGCGGAGCGGAATGCTGATGGGCAGGTTGCAGGACCGGCATCGCAGCGGGCTCGCCCGTGCCGATCGACCTCATGAAGCAGCTCATCGCGAAGCTGGACTTGCGTGAGCTGACCGTGGCATTTGGCATGAGTGAGTTAGCTATTTCCTGGGTGAAACGTGATAATTGACACGTCCTGGTATAGCTGAGACGAGGTGAGTGCGTTAGGCTGCGCGGTGCTGCAGGGTTTACATGCGAGCGTGCAGCCCGGTGGCATTCCAGACCTCGCCGGAGGACCCGATCATGAAGCGGGTGGAAACCGTGGGGCGGGTGCAGCCGCACGTGAAGGCGAAGGTCGTTGATGTGGAGGGAAATATTGTGCCCATCGGCACCCCCGGGGAGGTCCTCGTGTCGGGATATGTCCTCCACAAGGGGTAAGGAGCTTGCTGAAACGAAACAGAGGGCCTTGCGAGACTGATAGACACGCAGGTACTGGAACGACGAGGAGCAGACTGCGAAAACCATGAGCAAGGACGCAGATGGGACGGTGTGGATGCACACGGGCGATGAGGGCGTGCTGGACGAGGAGGGGTATCTGAGAGGTAAGCGCCTACGCAGTCGTCAGAATCGGACTTGGCTTACGACGCACATCTGCAGTGGTGGGCAGAATAAAGGTAAATATCTCAGTCACATCCACGTCAGTTCAGTTGGCTCAGATTTTTCTAACGTCAGGATATCATCATCCGCGGCGGCGAGGTGGGTTCTGCGAGATCCCCGCAAGCAGCGGCGCTCATTTTTCTTTCGCTAGAACCTGTTCCCGGTGCAGATCGAGAACGTGCTGAGCGCGCACTCGGCGATCCGTGAAGCGGCCGTAATCGCAGTGCCGGACGCGAGGTTTGGCGAGGTTGTCGGGACGTGGATCGTGCGGGAGCCGCGGAGCACGATGTCGAAAGAAGAGGTGCGGAAGGTAGTGTCGGCGGGGATGAACCCACAGGTGCGTGGTCTGCGTATGCTTTGAAGGCAGAATTTTAAACTTGGGTTCCAGAACGCGCCGGCGTGGGTGTGGTTCCTGGGGGAAGAAGGTGCGCCTGGGGAGATACCGAAGACGGCGAGCGGGAAAGTGATGAAGCACGTCCTGCGCGAATGGAGCCGGGATCTCTCCAAGAAGGGTGTGGGGAGGGTGGTGGCCTGACCGCTGTGGGGGTGTCTAGCTCGGCACAGATTGGGTAAGCACATTGTTACATATGTTCACGCGTGGCCCGCCGTCGCTGCCGCGGACCGTCCCTCTCCAGGATGGATGCTGCGCCTCCATTTTTTTTGCTTTCGCGTATACTGTGTTTTCGATGTTGTCGGGCGATTTCAACAAGTCTTCTGTGCAATCGTTATCCGACACAAGTTTGTGTAATACCGAAATCGTGAACGCACGCCTTTGCCAAACTTACGTGGTTGCTCCCTTTCGGCCGCCCTCAAATTGCGTTGAAATTTTGAGACAAGGTCAGACTTGTGACTTTCCATGTAGACGAGGTCCCAGCGCTATTGGGATGTTGTGGAAGCACCACAGGCAAAACCGTCAAACAATTGCACTATTGAGCCGTTGATAGTGGTCACTGAGTACGGATATGTAGCTGCATGATAACTTCCAGGTGTGTCTCACCCAAGGATGCGTCGATCCGTACCGGTTGTGATCTTGAACGAAACAACGATAGGTGGTGGATCTCAAAAACTAGTGTGAATTTTGACCTGCCGATCCGGAGTAGTGGGTGGTTCACTGTATATGAAGTGAGAGAACGGGTTTTCGTTGTCTTCGACTCAAAATTTCCCAGTAACGTGGATTGTTATAGACTATCTCTGCGATTGACAGCTTCTCGCGTAAACGAGTGTAAAACATACAGTTAGCCAGATAAATCACAAGTAGCGACTGTCATGCAGAGATTGTACCAGCACGGCATAACAACAGATCCTGACAGCTGCGGTGGCCCAATTAATTCCTTAAAAAGTCATGTAGCCAAGGATCTCTCAGTAATTCCTTCGCCGTCTTGCGATTCTCTGGCAGCCACTGCAACATGCTACGCGCAAAATTGAGGAAGAGAGCCTTCTCCTCACCCTCGAGAACTGTAACAGATTGTTCCAAACTCCGAAGCTGTGGAAACAAATGCTTGTGTTTCAATAGTCCTGTACATCATCGCACGTCCAGAGTCAGCTTCCCATATACGTTCCAAATTATGCCACGACACGCACCCTCATCATCAAAGAACAAATGACGTGATCTCGCACGATCTAGGAGCTCCTTTGGAGGGGGTCCCAACAATGCTATGAGTTCAGCAAGATATCCTTCTTGGCTATAGTCCTTCACTGAGGCGTCGCATAGTGGAGCACCCTGGAGTAAATCCCATAACTATGACGAAGTTAATGTGGATTTTCGGAGAATCAAGGAAGCATGCATACAATCATGCCCAAATTCCAGATGTCCACGCTATATGACCATGGGGCTGCCAGGACAACTTCTGGGGCTCGATATTGGTCCACCTGAATGAAACTACACAGAATCGCTTGGCCATCGCCCTGGACAGATTGATCGAAATCAGTAATCTTCGGAAGTCCTGGGGGTGTCAAGGGGGGGCCCATATCGAATCTCGAAAGATATATCGTTCGGTCAGTGGTGACCTTCCTAGAGGAGGGATGCTCTGCTTCATCCTTCACAGCCCGATCAAGAAGAGATATATCCTCAAGCCCAAACAGGATGTTGTCACGCTTCAGATCTTGAGCGACGAGTTGAGCAATCTCAATCAACATGGTAACCGTAAACGCACCAGTATGAATTATATGACACTCTGAGTGGAGGTAGTCTAGGCCATGCAAGACCGCTTGCAATATCGCCTTGAGCGTCGAGGGAGTGTATTTACCACCGGTACGAAGTTGCATCATCCACAGAGGTTCCCTGAGGGGTTCGTACACGAGGCAGTAGTGATGACCATGCGGTCCTTCTATCTCAAAAGAATCGAGCATTGTCCTTACACACTGCCTCCCCAGGTGTGCGGGATTCGCAGTCGCTATATGGCGCAAAAGCTCCATCTCGCGCAGGGCGGCGGCCCTGAAAAGTCTGTCGTTTCTGGTGACCTTTATCGCCACATACCGATCGTGTTGCCACCACCACCTGCCAAAGATATTAATCGAAGCCGCATGGCCAACAACACGCGACAGATACCTACCGCCGGGTGTCCCGCGCCAACCATACAGTAGCGCCCCTCCCGTACCCAAGTTTGAACGCAACCTGGTACACGCCACCAAGTACCTCGCCAAGTCGCACAGGGTAGTATGCCTGCGGGTTGTATTCATCCTGTCTCTCTTCTTCAATGAGTTCATCTGACGGCAGCAAGGTGGCCTTGGCTGAAGAGACCGTGGAGAGAGATCTCGTAAATCTGGCAGTTGAAGCAAATCTGAGCGTCGGTAAACGCATCGTGAAGAGAGCGTCCTGTGAAGTGCGGCAGAATGCAGGGCGCTGGATGATCTTCCGGGACGAGGTGGTTGATTAGTCTTTATTGATCGCGAGTTTGGACGGGAGTGCGCCACAACATGGTTGTTTGTTCTGGGAAATTGGTGGTAATATTTCTACCGGATCGGTTTTTCCATAAATGAAACTCATTCACGCCACGCCATGTCGACTGCTATGTATCGTCCCAAAGCACGAGTTTGACTGAGTGCAGTCGACACCGTCGCATTCAACTAAGTGCAAACACCACGAATCCAACAGGAACTACGTTTGAGGCATCCATTCGAGTCACTTGCAGTACTGGTACTACTAGTAGTATATTTCTAGTCTAGGATCATTATCCGGGAGCCCACTGAGAAGTCCCCCGTGGGAGTTTTTGAGCTACGTGCCAGACACCGGAAGGCCCGGGAAGGGACGGCTGCGTCATCGGCACTGAACTATAATTCCCAAAAGGCGTTGGTGGCAGCAAGATGGCAGAGATGTCAATGTCGTATCTACTCGCTTCGTTCGTGAACTTATGCATGTATGCTATGCAGCTGCAATCCATGTTATTTTCTATGTCTATCATACCTGCAGCTGAACACTTTTCAGAATGGCTTTGATGCACTGATCACACCATGACAAGAATGCAGGCTAGGACATCTGGGAAAGACTGAAGGATAGGTTGAGAACACATCTGTACATTGGAAAATACAGCGACATCGCCATGGGCATCGTCTGCAGGTGGATCGATCGCGCCATGAGCTGTTTGCTTCGCGCCTGTGGCTGCACGCGACTTGAGCGCTAAAGATTCGTGCATCAAATTGCCGTCGGCATCGTTCAAAGTCCGGTTTCCCATGGGCGACTTCTCAGCGGGTCATCGATAATGATCTCAGCCTCTATTACAAAGGAACGACTGTCTTCCTCAGGGTAACTAGAGGCTGTATCTATGAGCCTAGTATATTTCCTCCGATATCCGATATCCGAGTCGAGATGCGAACGAACAACAACAACAACAACAACAACAACAACAACAACAACAACAACAACCATCACCACCCCCCGTTTCCGGCTCACAACGCCGCTACAGCTTTCAGACTCAACGTGCAGACATCATTCATAGCCTTAATACACTCCATAAAACCCTTGAATAGCTGCTGTGTAATTTTTCCGGACAAAACCCATTCAGAACCGAGGAGATCTCGATTTTGACTTTTCTCTCGCCTGATGCGTACCCAAATTTTGGATCTCGTTATCCGAAAGCATTAGAGCTATCATCCGCTGACACTCCTGCGCCCTTCCAATGGAAGTAGATGAACCAGTGACACCAAAAAGAAGCCGGTCCTTCCAGCGCCGCGTGGCAGAAGGCCCGGCGACTCCCTTCAGTCCCATACCCTCCCCGACGGTCGTTCTGGCGTCAGGCAATGAGCTCATCGTTCGCGGTGTTTGGGACCAATCCAAACCTCTAATTGACCCAGTCCCAGTCGTTGAACGACTCATCAGCGACATCGCTCAATCGATTCCCGACCTGGCCGATGTCCATGTCGTCATCAAACCGTTCCTCTCGGGCAACCGAGCCAATCCTACTACATCCTGCTACATACGTCTGCACCCCTCACTGGAACCTCTGACCCCTGACGACGAACCTCGCTTCGACCTGCTCGGTCAGTGGCACAACGCGATCAGTCGAGAGAAGCCAATGTGGGAGGTCAGATGGTCACCGCAAAAAACAGGCAGAGACAAGCGAATGTGGATCCGCTTCACTGATGTGGTCCCGTGAGGATCGATTACGAAGGAGACTCCTCTGGACAAGACAATCCTTGAGAAGCTGAGATCACACATTGAGCATCAAGGCTTTCGCGTCGTTGACTCATTTAGCAACAGCAGTGGTCCGATCCTCATTCTCGCAGATCCCTCCCATGTCGATCAGATTCTCGACCAGCGCAAGCTTACCATCACCTCTGTATCCCCCAATGAACTGACTGTCCTCCCTGGATGCCAGATCGAGATTTTGCATGCGTTCGAACTGGTTATCATGGGAATCAGCGACTTCGAGGGTATCTCCAGCCATGTCCTTCGCTGGATCAATGCCACCTTCATCGATGGCAACGATCGGCTCCTAGTCGGTCACCGCATTCCCCCTGGTGAACCCGATGCGCTCGTCTTTTGGATGAGTGACTGGAAATTGACCTCGAAAGTCCTTCAGGCTGCCAAAATGTTCAGTGAACAATTCAAACAATACAAGCTCATGCCGCCGCAGCTCCTCTGGCAAGCCAATACTCATGGAACTTGGCACATCAACTTCACCCAGACATTTACAGCCGGCGCCGAGTCCATGAACTCTGGACTTGCGGCACTCACTCATCGCGTGGACCAAATGCAAAGGGAGACTCGAGCGCAGAATGATGCAGTGCAGCTTCAGCTCAGTGGGGTCACCGCATCTCTAACGACAATCACCTCCCACGTTGGACTTATTGTGGACCAGCTCGGAAACCAGCAACGAGCGCTCCTTATCGCAAGTGGGGAGGCCGCCACTCGATCAAATCTCGCGGCATCCAGCTTCAAATCACGATTGAATGCGGGGTAGCACGTCACGGCATCGATGAGGTGGAGTGATTGGATGCACGCGCAGAGGTCGACAGACTGACCAGGGAGGAAAAGCGGCTAACTGTCGCAATACAGGCCTCCTCGGATGGATTCACAGCGATTCTCGGTGGCACAGCAGGCGCGCGTGTTGGTGCGCCTCCACTGTGAACAGTCCCTCCCACTCCTTCCACACCTGGAACTCCGTCGCCTTCACCTCGGCCAAGCCGCGGACTCACGAGCAACTCCACGATAATTATTCCGCCTGCACTGCGCACTTCCACCAGACGCTCTTCATCCATCTTGGAGGACCCGCTAACTCTCAGGCTCCCCAGCTCCTCAGTTCCCCTCTCTCGTGGCACCTCCACGGATGCTCTGGGCAGGTCAAGTGCCAAGAAACCTCGCACATCGAAGAGCAGCCCAGTCAATGAGGGCGGCACCTCGCAGAGTGACCAGGTGCGTGACTATGGCAGTGGCTCTATGTCTCTCCCGCTGAACGCGGCTCGTGGCATCTCCTCAGACTTTGTGCTGAAGTCAAAACCGTTGCACAGTTGCATGCCAGCTCATCGAAAAATTGGGTGTACATGCTTCCTCGTTGTTGAGGCATTGAGGGAGGCAGTCGGAAATGTCACGGGTCGCGTATTTGCTTGTCCCCTAGCTAGATCGCAATCTATTGTAATCAAACTGGTGCTCTCTACCCATTTTCCCCTCCTCTTTATCCTGCTGGTGGTTCTCACCCTGGTCAACCTATCCAATGCGGTACCGACTGCTCCCCCATCCACACAACCCTTATCCATATTCGCGTTGAATGCAAATGGCCTGGTGCATGCGGGCAAGGTTCACCATGTTAACACAGCCATTAATGCAAGGCAGCCTCATGTCTTCGTGCTCTCGGAAACCAAGACTGCAACTAAGCTGAGTTCCACACTGCTTGACCATGATTATGCAATATTCGAAGAACCCGGAGTGGCACAGAGCAACTCCCACCATTATAAGTGGGGCGTTGTTGTCGGTGTCCGCAAGGATTTGCAAGTCTCACAAAGACATGTTGTGACTCATCGCGCTCTGCGAGGACGAATTGTTGCCGTTGACATTGTGCTCTCGACAAACTCCGGTTGCGGGTTTGTGCACCGAATAATTGGGTGTTATTCACCATGGGATCCTGGCAGCACTGATGACACCCGATTATTCTGGCCAGAACTCACCAAGCTATGTGCAGGAACAACGACCTCCTGGACCATGGCAGGTGACCTGAATGCAACTGTATCTGCAATAGAATGAGCCGCCGGAGGTGCAGACTCTCAGACTCAGTTCCGGCATTTTCTCGAACTTACAGGAGCGTACGATCTTTGGTCGCACAATGAGGATCACAACCGCCTGTTTGACTGGATGAGCCATGCACACGGCACAGGTGGTGGCGGCAATATTATCGACCGGGTCATCTCGTCCTCAATGACGCTGCTTGACTCTGAGATCACCGTTGCCACCAGACAGACGCCGTTACTGCACAGATCATCTACACTTCGCCCTTACTTGCAGGTGCAACCCGAATGGCAATTCCTAGCTATGACACCGCATTCAACAAACCTCACATCAAGTACCCAAACAAGAATGAAAAGCATCGTTTTCAATGGTTTCGTGATCGCGTGGACTCCCAAGTTGCAGACAATGCGACTTCTCACCTTCCTGTCATGGACAATGAATCATATCTCTCACGATACAACCTCCTAACTCAGATAATACTGACATCCGCTGAAGAGTGTTTCGGACGTGTCAAGCGCTTCCGCAAACAGCATGCACTGATTACCTCGCCCTCCATAGAAAGCCTGACTGCATCCATACGACATCTAGGGGGCGCAATCCGCATCGCACGGTCTGCAGGCCAACCCGTGACCGTATCGTTCACTGCACAGCAGGCCTTCAACTGGTATATTGGACGTTATCATGCTGAACCACTCACATTGCCCTTTGTAGATTTCCTCATCAAATCCCGTCGTGCACTCTATAAGAACCTATTTGCAGAACGTATGGCAGAGATAACCCGCCGTGCACGGCTCACCAACAAGAATCGCATTACAGCGGCCCTGCTTGGCAGGTCAACCAAGCATTTTGTCACCCCGGCGAGCTATATCCCTATGCCGCTCGCTGTCAATGACCTGACTGATCCCGCGCACCTCATTACTGACCCCGATGCCGTGAAGGAAACAACCCGCCAGTACTTTTCCAAACTCTACCACCACGACCCACCTCCAGACATCCCGAAACCCTGGATGACAACCAGATCAGTAAAGGAAGTATGTGAACATGTTCACGCTGACCCTTTTCAGTGGCCGCAACCAGCATCCATTGTAGCATTTCGTGCAATGCTGCGCAAAGGTAATGCCCGACCCTCTCCAGGGCCCGACGAATGGGAAAAATGGTGCGTCAAGTCACTTTCCGATAACACACTTTCGCTCGTGCTGGACCTGCATAACTATATGGTCATGCACGCACATTTCCCCGGTGATCTAAAGGATATGTGGATTACCATGTTCCACAAACGGGGCATTCGCACGGACCTCACGAACTGGTGTGGGCTCTTTCTTTCCAATTTTCTTGCCAATTCTCCCCTCTCTTGGCTGAACCATTGCCTCATGCCATACTCGGCAAGGCTTGGTATTATACCTGAAACCCAAGTCGCCACACAGCCGGGTGTTCAGATGCACGACCTTATGAGCTTTCTTGCTGGGCTGAAATGCTGGTCTTCACGTCATCACCAGCCCATCTACACACTCAAGCGAGATCAGATGAAGGGCTTTGACTACCTCTCCCCACAGGGCTTTTATGATGCCATCACAGCATATGGACTTCCACAGGCAATTATTGACCTTGACAGAGCTTCTCAGACTGACACAAGGTGCTTTATTCGCACAGCCCATGGAACGACAGAGCCGATCATTGTCACCGGTGTCACAAAGCAGGGTGGTTCACTTTCTCCTGTCAAATCAACATACACCACCAGTCTCGGCCACCGATATCTGAATGACATTGCCTCACAAGACCCCAATACTGTCATCGTGTCAACAAGCAGCGCAGAGCGAGGCGATCCACACCTACCCGAAGATCACACCCACCTATCCATTGTAATGGTGGAGGCAACTGACGACTCTTACATCTTCACCAAAACACTGAAATCACTTCGCAACAACACACTCCATATGGAGCGCTTTCAGTTTGCATACGGATGGCTCACCCAATGGACTAAAACCATAGCTTACCTGCTCGGAACAACCGGAGTGCAGCCACCAACACTCTCCTTCCCTTCCATCACGAATCTCCCTGGTGTTGACCCACTCACTGTCACTGAGCACACAGTCCCCCTCGTCCTCAACAGCCTCGACTTTCTTCGGACCAATGTCGATGATCCCACTGCATGGTTTGAGGAGCTTCGTGAATACATCGACACATTCACCTTCCCGACACTCATCGGGCGCCCACCCATTACACTCTTGCGCAAGATCATAAGCCAGAGTGTTATCTCACGATGCCGTGCCCTCCTTTCACTTCAGCCTGTCAAACTTGCAGATGCCGAGATTCTGGATAACTGCCTCATGACAAAGGTACATGCTGTCCTGGGCCTTCCGTTCCGCTTCAACACCCACATTGCCACGCTGCCCATCGCACTTCACGGAATGGAGTTTTCGTCAATCTCCCGCATCAACAGTGCTGCGGCAGTCAAAGGACTCGCTCGGGACTTGAACCACCACGTTCCCGCATACCGAAACATGGCGAGGGTCACGATGGCAGACTGGACCTGTGACAAGAATGGCTGTGTATACCCCCTCGATGGTACAGGACTCTCGAAAGACTTTTCTCACTATGCAAAGAGCATCCCATCCACATGGATTACCGCACAGAAGGTTATGTCAACAATGACTCCAAAGCTCTCACTGCGGATGACAGACAGGTCCGATATCGGCTCTGGGGACATATTCCTATCCCATGTGATAGCGATATGCAATCACCACATACCGAAATGTGCGGGAGACCCCGACGGGCACACCCTCCGCTCCCTCCGAGGCAAACACATACGCACACTCAGCGACATGGGCACTTGGCGCCTGAGTGCAGATAAGCGGCTCAGCTTCCACTGTCTCCCACCACCCACAGACACTGCATGGTCCCTCACAGCACAGCAGAACTGGCAAAGGATATCCACGCGGTTAGCCTCCATCGACATCACCTGGATGCTGAGTGGACCCATCGACCTCCTCCTATCGAGATCAGATCATCAGCGGGCAGCGAAAGATCAGATCGTACACATGGCTAACGTGTGCGGCTTCCTCCCATCTCCAACCTCTGGAGGACGACAGTTGTGGGGATCTGATGGCTCAATGCTACCTGCCTCGGCGGGGCTTGGCGAAAACAGGTCTGTCACGGCATCTGCGACAGGGCCCTCCATGTTGGTGGTCAAGCTAAAGGGCCGTAACGTCAATATCCTTCATGGCGAGCTCATGGGACTGATAATGGGCCTCTGCCTCGCAGATATCTCACTCGAAATCCCATACCTCCACTCTGATCACATGAACTTGACCCGCCTGATTGATGACTCGAAAACCGCAGTCAATCAAGAAGCGAGACTGCGAAACATAAATGGTCGCTCGTACTACAGATGGATCCTGTTCCTCATACAGCGCAAGCACATGCAGGTTCTATACACACCTGGTCATTCTTCTGAGCAGTCGGTCCCTGCAGCACTCAACCATGAAGCCGACCATTATGCCTCCCGGTCCCAGAACTACATACACGACATCGCCTACGCTCCCATTCCCACGTTCTCCATGAACACATTCACATATTACACAGATGACGACAGATGGATCGAGTCCAACATCCGTGTCTTCATCAATCACTTCTTGGCGATGAACACTGCCGCCTCCCTCAGTCTCGGAAACTGGCAAAGGATGGCAGCACACCTATACGACTCACACCCCCCTCCCGCCTATCCCTACACCCATGCGACGGCCGCATATTCCATCATCATCCAGCTCTACGCACGCTCCGGACAGCTGCCAACAGCTGATCTCCTCAACAATCATGAGAAAATGTTGAGCAACGTCTGCTGCTTCGGCTGCGATGCAATTGAGGATGCGTACCACATTTTTGTTCGATGCCCCCGGTTCGAGAGTTGGCGGGAGGAGACAAGTCAGGCACTGGTGGCTCGCACCGAGATGAAGCTCGATGAGCAGGAGACTGAGACAGACGATCAGAAAGCTATCTTACATGCAGCTAAGTCACTATTCAAAGACACTCCTGTCATTTGGCCACTATACTACACTTTCTATTTTCTAGGCCATATTCCGAACTTGGAGCCCTTGCTCCCTGACCCACCCAAAGACCGCGACGGTAGAATGCGACGACGCAAACTCTTACATCACCTGTCGGCCGACTGGCATCTAGTCGCAATACGATTGGCCGGCCGGATCTTCGGTGATGTGCAGTGGGAAATGGCGAAGAGGAATGAGCTGCTGTGGGGCAAACATTGATTGGCATGGAGAGGACACTTATTTCTTCCCGCAAGTGCGAGTTCACAGTACTGGGTTCGTCGAGGCCTGTCATTAGACTTGTCCTAAGCCCACTGGGGCGAAGGCGAATATCATATTGTAAACATTGTAAACACACTGCGTCCGCCCCAGAAGTAACCCCGAAAGATGGGAGTCCACCCAGCAAACTTGTGATACTGTCAAATCGGCTAGTGGAACCCTTATATTGAGGCCATGCCTTGTGGGTCTCCAAGCCTGGGGAACACAATTGCATACGAGCTAAAGATAATTAAGCCTAGGCGAGAAGATGATATAGTTGCCCGAATGGACGGTGATGCATATCCATCAATCAGTGCTGTGGCAAATTCTGACGAACATGGTACGATTGAGCACCGAGCGCACAGCATACACATCCACATACATGTCCACATAGTCAAGACCCCAGACACAGAGATTAGTTATACCGCTGCCAACGAAACCGACAGACATGCATTCCCAAGTTCCAACAGCCAATTTTTTCTTGACGGCCATGGGATCGAGCTAGATGTAATCAATGATCTCAACGGGACAGACACAACAGCCATGAGTAACATCCCAAATGAACGAATGGAGTGAAAAAGCCCCTGCCTTGTGAGTCATGTCACGTCCCAATAAATCATCAGGACAGCGAGCTGTTCTGGCTTTCCATACTGCAAATACCAGCACCACATTTCATGGGGCACTGGTGCTGCAGGAATAATATTGTGATGTCGCGAGAAATTTTATGAGAGATTTGAGCGGATATCAGCAGCTCACGTTGCATGAAGTGAGTCCGAAGTCATTACCAATTGCACGAGGATGAGTCATTGTGTACCTCTTTGACCGTAGCATGAGGCGACTGATGGAAAACAAATACCACAGATGAGTCGATATGAAAGACCCAAGATCGGATAAACTGAGTCAGGGACACGGTGAGAGCCTTCTCGTAGAATGGAAGTCTCAACATTCTCGAGCATTTGGACTAGTCCAAGAAGATGGGCCAGAGATGATATAGATCATGAACTGGCACACACAAGATTCGTGGACACGATCTCTAGTGACATTCAGACCACCAGATGCAGCTCCCTTGGCATTTCTGGCGAGAAATAGCGGTCCGAACATCACTAGGGAAGGCAGGGCAAGAGAACTAAGCAAGAGAATTGCAGGACGGCCCGAAACTAGTCAGCATCACACCTGTACGCAACGTGAATGTCGGCGGTCCGAAAGACACCCCACCCTCGTGTATAAGAAGGTGCTCACCTATCCTATACCTCTTCATCGCCCGCAAATATCTCTCGAGCATCCCTGGGCACTCTACGTTACTCTCAGACCTTCATCGACGCCGCACAATGAGAGGCTTTCATAGTACAGTGTGACAGCTTTTAAACTGGACATACAAAGGCACATCTGCACGCTACCGGACCGTTGAGCAGAACGTGGAGATAGCCGTCAGTACTATACCCAAGTTGTGCGACTTGATCGTGACAGCAGAAGTCCAGTGAGTACTTCGTGTTATGATGTAACTGAGGCTGAGCTGATGTCCTTCAAGGGGTGACATGCACACCTCGGCAAAGGATCCTGAAAAGAGGATCACCGCAAAGCTCCTTGATGGGCTGGGCAAAGCTGTAGTCTCCGTTCACTTGTATGCCAATGGCGCAGTGATATTTTCACGGGCGTCATTCAATGAGGAAGCGAGGAAGTATGGGGTCTCCGGGATACCTGATGACGAGAATGCGGGTACGGGCGCAGGCGGAAGCCAGTAGCCGGCACGAAGAGAACTAGATATTGACCTCTCGATGTACGCTATGATCTGCGAAAGCAAGTGCGAGTGCGAGTTACAAAGGGATGCTTACGTGGGTCGAGGAAGGATGCAACAACGTAGATGTCCTCGGGTGCTTCATTGATCATCTCATGGAACCTGCGGTTGGTGATCCTTCGAATTGTTACCATCGTCTTGACTGTGAGTTTGAGGCGATTCTCCTGGAACAGATATTCAAGCTGAGATGTGACTGCTTGCCAAAATAGGTATACATCTGCAGCAGTAGATTGCATCGATTGGATGCACTTAATGGCCCTTGCAAATGGTAATGTTACCGCAAGGAGTTTGGTGAGCTCGAACTCGAAATGGGCAGACTCAAGGGCATATATCATGAAGAGAATCTGCCAGTCCAGATACGTCAGATTTTGGTGCGTTTATTGTCACAAGTGCCAGCGATACTAGTTGTAACTCACTCCAAAATCAATATTTAAGCTAGGATTGTTTACAATCTCACAAAAAGCAGGTAAGCAGCATCAGACAGACAGTGCTGACCAGGTAATAGTACTGAATCAAGTGTCTCCGATGCGCTCTAGTCGTCGTGGTATATTTAATTTCTTTCTGGCCACGTCCAGCTGTTCCGAGGTGTAAGTCGACTTGCTCATGTAAGCCAGTATAGCCTTCATATTAGCAACTGTCTATTACAGTATGAACATCAACTAGTGCAACTCTGGCAGAAATCTTATGGTACTTGCATCTGCAAATTCTTCCAACTCATAGATCTGGACGAGCGCAAAACACATCTCATTGGCAACAATCTTGCATATTAAAGATGTGACTGTACAATTGACAGATTATTCGTCGTGCTTTTGAGGTGTTGCCTGTGTTGTCAGATACTACTCCAGCGACATTTCATTCTCTGACATCTCGCACTACCTGTCAGCCTTCATGAGTGCTAATTCTGCATAAAAGCTTGGTTCATTGTACTCACAGATTTCAAGACTTCTACAAAGTACTCCACAATGTGGCTCACACTGGAAGCTTCATTCAAGTCCATCAAAAGCGTGCAATGACCTGGGGTGGGAACCCGACGCGGGTCGGGAATACTGAGCGGCTGCGGCAAACAGTGATGGAATGGAAAAGAGACTTCATTGCATATGAGTAGAAGTAAGGGAATGCAATGAAGGACAGTCGAACACGAGTGTCGTCAGGGAGCAAACAGATACAAACAGTGCGAACTATGTCATGTGATCGTGACACGTTGTAAGTACGCGCGGTGTGCTTACACTCTTCCCTACCATCTTCTTTAGATCATCTTCCGCATCCCATCCCTTCCAATGGACGAGGTATTGTAGTCCGCGGCCTCATTTGAATTGGTCGATAATGTGATCGATCTCCCATTCTTCCGAACCGACCTCAGTGATGATGGGTCCTGGACGATCTGGTTGGCATAGGGGGAAAAGGAGTGGGTCATTGGGACGGTAGTGCTCTAATTGCGAGGAGTGGAATGTGGGGATAATGTTCATTGTCTCTGGTAGGGCCAATGTGTAGTGTGAGGTGTCAGGAATGCCGCAATGACCTTGTAGGAGCCATCAAAATGAGGCATGAACTTGGCGATGCAGGTGTCTCCATGTTGGATGAAGTCACACTGACAGTGTAAGGTGGGTAATAGAACACTATCCCCCACAGTGAAATGAGGGTCAGGATCGTGGTGTGCATTTGTGGCATCAGCTTGAGCAACTCTTGCTGTGAGTAAATTGTCCTGTGCTTCGAGTGAGTCGGTCTCGATGCATTGCAGGAGTTTGGCAGCAATGCTCACATCTAAATTCGATGTTTCTGCTGCAATGGCAGAGATGTCTGACTGGAAGAGTGGGGGAATGATACAGGGCGAGCATCCCATACGAAGTTGGAATGGGGTGAAACCAATGGATGCGTTGACCGTGTTCATGATGCAAAACTGAACATATGGTAAGGCCTTATCCCAATCCATTTGGTTCCGCTGCACATGAAAATGGAGGCATTGGATTGTTGTTTTGTTAGTGCGCTCGGATCCATCTGTGGGTGAAAGGAGTGGACATCTTGTGTTTCACACCAGTCAAGTAACACAACAATTTTCAGAACACAGAAATAAATTTGACATCTCAATTGGAAATGATGTCGACTGGAAGCCCATTTTTGCAGTACCATGCATCAAAGAAAGTGCTGCAAATTCAGGTGTGGTGACATTGGTACGCATGAAGATTAGACGTACATTGGAGCCAAGGTGATCGGACACAGTTGCAATGGCATTGAATCCATCATCCTCAGGGAGGGGGCCTATGAAGTTGATTATGACCGAATTACAGCAAGGAGACTGGCATGAACATGACGCAGGTGGTGGACCTCTTTGAGAGAGTCTTCAATCTGGGCCACGCGAAACTGATGCTCCTTGTCAGCGATACTGGACCTGCAGCCAGATGCTCACTCTGGCTGTGCTAGCTCCGACGGCAGATACAACTTCAGGTGCTCTGTGGGGGTCACTTGATTCCCCTCTGCTGCAGTCTCATCGACAGTGTTAGTATCGCAGAATATGGAGATGACAGGCATGTATGTAGCTTGAAATCCCATCCATGTCTTGATATGCTGCATGAGGGTGTTCCTTTTCTCCTGCAAGGTGGCCTTCTTTAATGGATTGTGGAGCACTTTCTCACCTTTGACATGCAGCACGTGCCTGTTGGCAAACAATAAGCTAACATCCCTGCTGATAGGCAGCCAAAAAAAAATTACTTACTGTCTGTCTTTGAGTTCGAGATCAAGGTGAATGAATTTGCTCACTGTCAGCTGCTCATGGGGAGGTGGTGCACCCTGCAGTGCCTCTAGTGCTTCTTCCTCTGCAAGCTCCAAGCAAATTGTCGCCATGGTTGTAGCTGTCCAACAAGGTGAGTTATATAATATCTTTCAGCAGTCGCAAACTTACATGTGGTCAGCTCCACATATGGATTGGGCTGTATTTTGTCCACATTCCAGTCTGCGATCATTTCCTGCCACTTGATGATGGTGGCAGGTGCAAACATTGAGGAGAATCTTTCTGCAATCTTGTGGTGCTTCTTCGACATGAGAAGGGCCTCAGCAAGATGCTTCAACAGATGAAAATCTGCAGTTTATGACATTAGCAGGAGAGTATGGAGATGAGCAGCTGGTACTCACCAAGATCAACAGGCTTCTGCCAGTTCCACAAGCTCCAGTAGTCATCCAGTGTTGAATGTTGTACACCTGGACCCATCTCACATGTGCTTATGCTGACATGACCGATATGCGCCCACTCCTGCTCTACTGTCTCACCATGTGTCCGACCTACTCCAGGCAAGAAGTTGAAGGACCATGTCATTCAACACTTTGCTCTGTGGCCTTCAGTATGGGCTTTAGGAATCATGGCATGTGTATCGACATCATCCAGGATCTGCATATCATTGGGCATATCATTGAGCCACTTGTAGAAATTCTTATACCAGTTGCACACAATGTCATGAGAAAAATTGAGGTCGGGCACAGCTTTCTGCTCTTGTGTCTTGCAGCTGGCTTTGAGCACTGACAATATGGTGTAGTCGACATTGCAGTACCTGTAAATATGGCAGCATGAGAAACTTAACAATATCTGGGGACAAGTGAACATACCTCTCCCCCTTCTGTAGATCACCAATACTGTTAGGAAGGACAAAACAATGGCATGCACACTTCACACCTAGGATGCCGGTCATGCTGAGGCTGCTGTTTGTCCCTTTACTGTAGGCCTGCTTGACAGCATTGAGTTCCAACTTGCACATCGTGATCTGGTATGCAATTTATTAGCTACACCATGCTAGAGAGCATGATAGCCCCACTCACCTTGCGCTGATCCTTACACATTTTCAGATAATCCTGATATGCATTCTTCATGACAAAATACGCCCAGCCAGAGCCTAGCTCAGGATCCTTGAAACTACACTCCTTGAGCTTGAGGCAGAAGCACACATCAATGGTGATAATCTTACAATTCGCCCATCTGCGATGGTGAAACAGATTAGTTGTTTCTGGGATGACATGATCAGGCAAAGACATACCTGGTCTCTTCGGACTCAGTTTCTCAGCCATCTTCAAGATTAATACTGGGGTGAGGACATGCAGGGCACTCTACTGTGCACTTGCTGACCTTTGTGGCTTCAATACCAGTGAGATCGTGCCCTCTTCCAGCCTTCTTGAGCATCTTCAGATGCTGCCACTGATAAATCACCATTGAGGCCTTGTTCCAGTGATACTAACAATCGACCATTAGCTAGTTCGCAAGGAGCTCTCAGTAAGTTTACTCACCACTTGTTTCTGTAGTGCCACATTGTCTGTCTTCCATAGGATTGCTTTGTAATAATCATACAAATTGATCTTGCCCTGCAGTGTAAGGAGGTGAAACGTGTTGAGATAATCAAAGGTAAAGGCAGTGCATGGGTGTTCAGGCATAGCTGGATACCATCTCATGCACAAGAGCTGTACCCAGTTATTATACCCGCCAGGAGAGTTTCCACACTGGCAGAAGTCAATGTTTACTTGGTGGATGCCATTGATGTCTATGACAGTGAAATGCACAGGCCCACATTGCTTTATGTAGCATTTGCCATTCATGTGTTCTAGCTGAACTTATAGTTCCAGAGCACTGAGGGTCATCTTCTCAAAGAATTCACCATTCCAGTGCTATAATAACGAGAAACCAGTGATCAACACACAGAGTGTGTGAGACATCAGATGTACCTGTATCTGATGGAGGGGCAACTGAGCATGCTGCTCTAGAAGGCACTCGCTGCAGCACATGCATCCCCTGAAGCAATCCGAGCAACACATGTCAACCATGCAGTGGTGGATTACACAGTTCCCAAGCTCCCCCATGTCTCCTAAACCCTCATGTCAAATCAGCTCCTCAAGATACATCTCATGATAAGCCAGCCAGTGCTGAAGGCCCGCCTGCAATCTAATAATTAGTGCAAAAGTGGACTAGTGATGTGGAGACTTACCAATAATGACTTCTTCTTGTTCCTCACTTTTTATCCCACATCTCCCCGGTCTTCTAGCTGAATGACATTGATGAGATCATCCTCCCACTCTGGGTCACCATCATTGATCTGAATTGGAGCAATTTGCATTGTGGTAGAGATTGTAGTTGAGAATGGTAGCTAGCTGAGGTGCAGAGTCCCCTGTATTGAGACTATTGGCAAGGGTGAGGACTTCAACTCGATGACATTTTGAACGCCTGCCACCAGCTGAAGTCCACAGGCGTTTGCCCATTGCCAGCAGTTGTGCAGCCAGAAAAATTTAGGTTGGTGCAGAAGGAAATGGTAGGCTAGAGGTTGTGAAAAGGAAGACATAGTGAGGCTGATGGTGGATAAAGAGGTGTGACAGAGGCAGTGGGAAGTCAGTGAGAAGTCAAGGCAAGATGCAATGTGACTTGTACTTGTGTCAACTCGCGCTTGTCTGCAGTGTATGCGAGTTGATGGTCTTGCCTCACACCTCCTTTCCACTTCTCGCAAGTATTGTATGGTCAAAAAAATATTTTTGAGAACCTATAGATTCACTGCTAGAACAAAATGCACAGGTACATGCGGTATCTCCTGGATTTGAGACTCAACAACATATAACCTGCAATGAAATATACTTGAACTACACTACTGAGAACACATCATGCACCACAGAGAGTCTGAGATGAAATATATTTGACCTACACTACTGTGAATGCATCAAACAGCACATTTAGTTCACACCGAAATATATCGGATGTACACTACTGCGAGGCCTTCAAACTAATGATGGAACATCATCCCATGAAGAAAAGCACAAAAAATCCATTCCACTCTTTGCCATGACAGCAATATGTTCTACAACAACAATATTCTATGTGAGCAATATGATGAGCAAACCCCACGCAACAGCCCATTCAGTCATGTTTGTGAACTGGACTCCCATTTACCCTGACATTGTCATGAACTGGACAGCCAGCGGACGTCGGCCCATCGGTCTGTGTAAGGAGTTGTAAGCGATCGGCTCATGGAGAGAAAGGAAATGCTAGAGCGATCGGCCCACCGCCATAGGAGTATTTCTGAGCGATCGGCCCACCGCCATGGTGCTACTATTATATAGGCATGGGCCCACCCCCACGGTGATAGTTCTGAGCGATGGGCCCATCACCACTGGGGCTATTATACAGCCATCGGCCGACCACCATAGGTAGTGTTCTGAGCGATCAGCCCACTGCCATAGGTAGTGTTCTGAGCGATGGGTGTTATTCTGAGCAGTGGGCCCACCGCCATAGGGGTACTTCTGAGCAGTGGGCCCATCACCATAATGCTATTATTTAGTGATGGGCTGACCACCATAGGGGTATCTCTGAGCAGTGGGCTCACCGACATGGTGTTATTAGTCAGTGATTGATTCACCATTATAATGCTGGCAGTGCCTGGACTCAGCAAGACACCTAATCGCTAACCTGACACTACATCTCTAGTGGAGTTTTTACAACATGGAGTCCTGCCTGAAACTTATTGTAGCTGTCGTATAGAGTGCAGTGCCACCATTTTATGAGTTCCTGATATATGGCGAACCATGGCTTTACATTCTAGTGATGGCGAGACTCAAGCTGCCAAAAAGTCGCCAACCTGGCTGTCCTTCTCTGGCGAAGTGTGTTAAACTTGGAGGACTATTTGAAACTTGTAGCAGAGGATTTATAATGTGCAGTACTGCTATTTTAGACTTCCTGCATATATGAAGAGCCATGGCTTTACATTCTTGTGATGGCGAGAGTCAACCAGTAAAAAACTCAGCAATCTGGCTCTCCTTTGGCGAAGTTTGTCAAACTTGGAGGTCTGTCTGAAACTTGGAGAAGAGAATTTATAAATGCCATTTTATGAGTTCCTGATATATGGCGAGTCATGGTTTCCCATTCTGGTGATGGTGAGACTCAACTAGTAAAAAAGTCGCCAGCTTGGCTCTCCTTCTTTGGCGAAGTTTGTTAAACTTATAGGACTGTCTGAAACTTGTAGAAGAGGATTTATAAAGTGCAGTGCCACCATTTTAGACTTCCTGGGTATATGGCGAGCCATGGCTTTACATTCTGGTGATGGTGAGGCTCAAGCTGCCAAAAAGTCGCCAACCTGGCTGTCCTTCTTTGGCGAAGTTTGTTAAACTTGGAGGACTGTCTGAAACTTGTAGAAGAGGACTTATAAAGTACAGTGCTGCCATTCTATAAGTTCCTAGCATATGGCGAGCCATGGCTTTACATCCTGGTGATGGTGTGACTTAACTAGTAAAAAACTCGCCAACCTGGCTCTCCTTCTTTGGTGAAGTTTGTTAAACTTGAAGAACTGTCTGAAACTTGTGGAAGAGGACTTATAAAGTTAAATTCCATCATTTTATGAGTTCCTAGTATATGGAGAGCCATGGCTGTACATCCTGGTAATGGCGAGACTCAATTTGCCAAAAAGTCGCCAACCTGGCTGTCCTTCTTTGGCGAAGTTTATTAAACTTAGAGAACTGTCTGAAATTTGTAGAAGAGGACTTATAAAGTTAAATTCCATCATTTTATGAGTTCCTAGTATATGGTGAGCCATGGCTTTACATCCTGGTGATGGCGAGACTTAATTTGCCAAAAAGTCGCCAACCTGGCTGTCCTTCTCTGGCGAAGTTTATTAAACTTGGAGAACTGTCTGAAATTTGTAGAAGAGGACTTATAAAGTGCAGTGCTGCCATTCTATGAGTTCCTAGTATATGGCGAGCCATGGCTTTACATTCTGGTGATGGTGTGACTCAACTAGTAAAAAACTCGCCAACCTAGCTCTCCTTCTTTGGTGAAGTTTGTTAAACTTGAAGGACTGTCTGATACTTGTAGTAGGGGATTTATAAAGTGAAGTGCCACCATTCTATGAGTTCCTGGTATATGGCGAGCCATGGCCTCACATTCTGGTGAAGGTGAGACTCAACCAGTAAAAAACTCAGCAATCTGACTCTCCTTCTGTAGTAAAGTTTGTCAAACTTGGAGGACTGTCTGGGATTGATAGTAGCTGCAGCATTAAGTGAAGCACCATCATTGTTTGAGTTTCTTGTAGATGGGAACCATGGCTTAATATCCTGATAATGGCTAGACTCAACCGATAAACATATCGCTAACCTGGCTCTTCTTCTCTGATGAAGTTAGGCAAACTTGAAGCACTGTCTGGAATTTATAGTAGACATTTCATAATGTGAAGTGCCATCACTTTCTGAGTTCCTGATTAATGGTGAGCTATAGCTTCATATCCTGATAATAGCTAGACTTAACCAGGAAAAGAATGACCAATCTGGCACTTGTTCTCTGATAAAGGTTGTCTAACTTAAAGCACTGTTTAAAAATTGAAATGTTATATCAAGTGGTGCCAGCATTTCGTGAGTTCCTTATAGATGGTGAGCCACAGGGAAAATGTAACTGGCAATCTGATACTTCTTTTTCCACATACACTGATGAATTTCATATGATATAAAGTACTAACTATAAGTTGTAGCAGTAGCTATATACTGTGATGTCCTTTTATATGGACTTCTGGCTGATGTCAGGCTGTGTTTGTACATTTTGGCAAAGTGTGGATGCACTGAGTTTCAATGCTGACAATCTGCTATTTATTATAAAGTGAAGTATCTAAGCCTTTCAAAACTTAGAGCAGCAGTTGCATTACTGTTCAATGCCAGTGCTGTATGACTTCGTAGTTGGTTTTGAGCCACATCTAATCATCCTAAATACACTCACAAGTTAGCATGCTAACCGGCTGTGATAATCTTATATATGTATAATATGGAAGAGTGACTAAATCTTACAACAGCAGTTGTATGCTCTCAATTAGAAGCCTTGCATTACTTCTTGAAGTTTAGCAAGATACACACAGCCATTCTAATGATCTGTGAACACTTTGAGAAGTTCAGCATACAACTTACCATTTCTCTGCATGATACTATGTGTAATAAAGTACAACACTTTATATGCAAAATATGATGTTGTGGTTAGTTTTGATTGTAATCACTTAGTGTTATGTGAAGAATTCAATATTGTCTACCTTTAATGAACTTCACGTGACTTGCTGAACTGGTCAAGAAATCACACTTTCCTTTTTAGTCTCTGAGTGCATACACATCTACATGAACATAATGGCTCCTATATGTGTTTTCTTCTATATATTTGAGATTCTTCTTCAATACATTTTTCTATCTACATTAAAGGATGGTGATTACATAGACCTTATATCAGAGCTAGATAGATTCTTGACACACTTATAAGAAGTCTATAGAGCTCAGAGTGAAATATTGCTAACTCTTCGGAAGTGAACTTTGCTGTTTTTTGAGAAGTAAAGCTTGCCAATCACTTAACATTACAGTTGACTACATGTTGTCTTGAAAAAGATACATCTGTCATTTTCTAACAAATGTCTGGCATTCACTTATATGAAAAGCAAAACACACTTCATAAACTTAAGTATAGCCCTCTCCAAAGAATTACACTTAATTGTTATTGAGAATTAATAGCTGTTAAGTCACAATATGATATTGCTACTCCAAGTTGCAGTTCATACTCCACAGTATATAACTTTGGCCATAAGTTTCAGATAATACTCCATTGTATACAGACTTTATTACAGAAGCAGCTAGTCGTTTAGCATTTTTATGTGTGAAACCATGGCTGACCATCAATCAGGAACTCATAACATGGTGGCCCTTCACTTTATATAACAGCTGTTATCAATTCCAGACAGTGCTTCAAGTTGAATTAACTTTACCAGAGAAGGACCGCCAGGTTAGTGGAAAATCACCAGATTAAGTCTAGCCATCCTCAGGATGTGAAGCCATGGCTCAACGTCTATCAGAAACTCATGAAATGGTGGTGCTTTACTTTATATACCAACTACTATGAATTCCAGATAGTGCTCCAAGTTTTGTGAACTTTGTCAGAGAAGGAGAGCCAAATTGCTGAGTTTTTTACTGGTTGAGTCTCACCTTCACCAGAATGTGAGGCCATGGCTCGCCATATACCAGGAACTCATAGAATGGTGGCACTTCACTTTATAAATCCCCTACTACAAGTATCAGACAGTCCTCCAAGTTTAACAAACTTCACCAAAGAAGGAGAGCTAGGTTGGCGAGGTTTTTACTAGTTGAGTCGCACCATTACAAGGATGTAAACCCATGGCTCGCCATAGACTACGAACTCATAAAATGATGGAATTTAACTTTATAAATTCTCTGCTACAAGTTTCAGACAGTCCTCCAAGTTTAACAAATGGCACCAGAGAAGGAGAGCCAGGTTGGCGACTTTCTTACTAGTTGAGTCACACCATCACCAGAATGTAAAGCCATGGCTCGCCATGTACTAGGAACTCATAGAATGGCAGCACTGCACTTTATAAATCCTCTTCTACAAATTTCAGACAGTTCTCCAAGTTTAATAAACTTCGCCAGAGAAGGACAGCCAGGTTGGCGACTTTTTGGCAAATTGAGTCTCGCCATCACCAGGATGTAAAGCCATGGCTCGCCATATACCCAGGAAGTCTAAAATGGTGGCACTGCACTTTATAAATCCTCTGCTACAAGTTTCAGACAGTCCTCCAAGTTTAACAAACTTCGCCTGAGAAGGAGAGCCAGGTTGGCGAGTTTTTTACTAGTTGAGTCACACCATTACCAGGATGTAAAGCCATGGCTCGCCATATACTAGAAACTCATAAAATGATGGAATTTAACTTTATAAATTCTCTGCTACAAGTTTCAGACAGTCCTCCAAGTTTAACAAACTTCGCCAGAGAAGGAGAGCCAGGTTGGCGAGTTTTTTACTAGTTGAGTCTTGCCATCACCAGAATGCAAAGCCATGGCTCGCCATATACCCAGAAAGTCTAAAATGGTGGCACTGCACTTTATAAATCCTCTTCTACAAGTTTCAGACAGTCCTATAAGTTTAACAAACTTCGCCAAAGAAGGACAGCCAGGTTGGCGACTTTTTGGCAGCTTGAGTCTCACCATCACCAGAATGTAAAGCCATGGCTCGCCATATACCCAGGAAGTCTAAAATGGTGGCACTGCACTTTATAAATCCTGTTCTACAAGTTTCAGACAGTCCTATAAGTTTAACAAACTTCGCCAAAGAAGGACAGCCAGGTTGGCGACTTTTTGGCAGCTTGAGTCTCACCATCACCAGAATGTAAAGCCATGGCTCGCCATATACCCAGGAAGTCTAAAATGGTGGCACTGCACTTTATAAATCCTCTTCTACAAGTTTCAGACAGTCCTATAAGTTTAACAAACTTCGCCAAAGAAGAAGAGCCAAGCTGGCGACTTTTTTACTAGTTGAGTCTCACCATCACCAGAATGGGAAACCATGACTCGCCATATATCAGGAACTCATAAAAGGGCATTTATAAATTCTCTTCTCCAAGTTTCAGACAGACCTCCAAGTTTGACAAACTTCGCCAAAGGAGAGCCAGATTGCTGAGTTTTTTACTGGTTGACTCTCGCCATCACAAGAATGTAAAGCCATGGCTCTCCATATATGCAGGAAGTCTAAAATAGCAGTACTGCACTTTATAAATTCTCTTCTACAAGTTTCAGACAGTCCTCCAAGTTTAACAAACTTTGCCAAAGAAGGAGAGCTAGGTTGGCGACCTTTTGGAAAATTGGGTCTCGCCATCACCAGAATGTAAAGCCATGGTTCACCATATATCAGAAACTCATAAAATGGTGGCACTGCACTCTATATGACAGCTACAATAAGTTTCAGGCAGGACTCCATGTTGTAAAAACTCCACCAGAGATGTAGTGTCAGGTTAGCGATTAGGTGTCTTGCTGAGTCCAGGCACTGCCAGTATTATGATGGTCAACCAATCACTGACTAATAACACCATGTCAGTGAGCCCAGTGGCAGTAGGCCCATCTTTCATCTGATACTCTTGGAGATGGGCCCACTGCTCAGCTATTGTACTCTGGCTATAGGCCTATTGGTGGCGATAACATGCTCTGGTGATGGCCAACCCTCTGACCTTTGGTGGTGAGCCCATTCTTCATCTTACACTCATGGTGATGGGCCCACTGCTCATTGATCATACTTTGGCAGTGGGCCCATTGCTTAGAGAAACATGCTGTGATGATGGCCAACACTCTGACCTTTGGCAGTGGGCCCATTCTTCATCTTACACTCATGGCGATGGGCCCACTGCTCCTTGATTATACTCTAGCAGTGGGCCCATTGATGGCGACAACATGCTTTGGTGATGGCCAACCCTCTGACCTTTGACTACTCTGATGGTGGGCCCATTGCTGGAAGAAACATGCCCTGGCGATGGCCAACTCTCTGGCCTTTGGCAGTGGGCTGATTGCTGGCGAAAACATGTTCTAGTGATGACCTATGCCATGGGTGCTTGCACTAAGGCCCTGACTGAGGGTACTTTGGCGATGGGCCCATTTCTGGCAGTAACATGCTCTGGTGATGGCCAACCCTCTGACCTTTGGCAGTGGGCCCATCCTTCATCTTACACTCTTGGTGGTGGGCCCACTGCTCAGAAGTACCCCTATGATGGTGGGCCCACTGCTCAGAACATCACCTATGGCAGTGGGCCCACTGCTCAGAAGTACCCCTATGGCGGTGGGCCCACTGCTCAGAATAACATCTATGACAGTGGGCCCACTGCTCAAAAGTACCCCTATGATGGTGGGCCCACTGCTCAGAACATCACCTATGGCGGTGGGCCCACTGCTCAGAAGTGCCTCTATGGTGGTGGGCCCATCACTAAATAATAGCATTATGGCGATGGGCCCACTGCTCAGAAGTACTCCTATGGCGGTGGGCCCATTGCTCAGAACTACCCCCATGGCGGTGGGCCCATCACTTCAGCCTTCCCTTCATCGCCATGGGCCCATCGCTGACAGCTCTCTACACAAACCGATGGGCCGACGTCCGCTGGCAGTCCAGTTCATGACAATGTCAGGGTAAATGGGAGTTCAGTTCAGGTAACATGACTGAAAGGTGTGCACGCAATGCCAGACATACCGCAGTCAGCAAGACAAGCCTAGGGCACAGTAAGCAGCTGCATGCAGTCGAGGGCCTCCATTATGCAGTACTTGCACCAAGTGTCCTGGTACAGAGGACCCTTCTCAAAAGTGGAGCTGGTGACCCTGATGACAAGGGGCTGGACAACGGTCCTGTTGCAGGGATGGTCAGTGGGTAAACACAACAGTGCATTGCAGAAAGACTTACCAGCCTTTGAACACCCCAATCTCCAGACCCCATGTGACAGTGTACCACTGATGCCCCGTAATGAGGGAAGTGGTTTGCAGAGAAGGACCAATGTTGCTCACGGTACTGGCCAACACCACAGTGCCAGTTGCAGTGGGAGTGATGGTGGTAGGCAGAGTGATCGCCAGAGTGACACTGCCCATTGGAGGTACAGCGATGAGAGGGGCAGTGTTCACTTGCAACAGCAGCATGGGTACTATACTGACAGCCATAGCTAAAGCCACTTGGTCAGGCATGCGAACAGGGACATCGGCCCACATGACCTCTACTCGCTCTCCATCGGTACAACCCATATCAGCCCATGAGCACTCCAAGTTCTCAGCAGACATGCACCCCAATATGCATTTGACTGGGTACCTGCCATCGCGATGCACTGCCATATCCCGCTCATCGTGATGGCTGAACAGATTATCCTCCTGCTTAGGCTAACACTTAGGCTCCACCTCAGCTACATATGTATATACTACAATCAGTATGTCTTTTGTTGGTGCATGGCATATGTACCTTTGCTGACTAATCACCCTCACACCGACGCAACGATGCCCTGCCTATTGGGAGGTGAGGGCTCCTCAACATCCAGCTATCCCACATCCGCAATGTGCATGCAAAGGCCAGCTGTCAGTGGTGGTGACTCAAGCAGACAGCAATGATGGGTGACTTACCTCAAGCTTGACCATTGCACCCTGCTATGACTTGTAAAGAACTGTAGGAAAGGTAATAAAAAAATAAGTAAGTGAAAGGAAAAGTAAGTAAGAACTTACTTTGCAAGTGGTAGCTGAGAGACAAGGAGGGCAAAGAGCGATGAGGACAGAGAGAAATGGGGAGATGATTTATATATCTGATCCACATCGATTAGCTGAGGGATCAGGTGGTCACGTGCCAATGCTGATCTCTTTCGATGCCGATCCATCATTCCCGATGATTCCTGTACTCTCTGACCATTCAATTGTGAGTGTCCATTTAGAGTTTGTGTGAAGCCGCCCACCTGCAACATCAATGGGCCGTAAGCCCTGGGCTTCTGATGATCAGCTTAAGCTTCTCAACATCCACATACCTTCTTTTCTCTTACACCAACAAGCCTTGACACTCAGCCTCTTCTGGGACCAGATCTTGCTCGAATGGGGCAAGCAATGGCCTCCAAGTGCCCCCGCTGGTAACAGCCCTGAGGAGAAAAAGTGCGTCACCTCTGAACAGAAGGTTCTTATAATGGTAAGCGACCACCACGAAGCTTCAATTAGGCACTTACCATCCCAATCAGCACAGCCCATTCAGTCATGTTTGTGAACTGGACTCCCATTTACCCTGACATTGTCATGAACTGGACAGCCAGCGGATGTCGGCCCATCGGTCTGTGTAAGGAGTTGTAAGCGATCGGCTCATGGTGAGAAAGGGAATGCTGGAGCAATCGGCCCACCGCCATAGGAGTATTTCTGAGTGATCGGCCCACCGCCATGGTGCTACTATTATATAGGCATGGGCCCACTGCCACGGTGATAGTTCTGAGCGATCGGCCCACTGCCATAGGTGTATTTTTGAGCGATTGGCTGATTGCCACTAGGGCTATTATACAGCCATCAGCCCACCGCCATAGGTAGTGTTCTGAGCGATGGGCTCACTGCCATAGGTATATTTCTGAGCGATGGGCCCACTGCCACTGAGGCTATTATACAGCCATCGGCCGACCGCCATAGGTAGTGTTTTGAGCGATGGGCCCACCATCATAGGTATATTTCTGAGCGATGGGCCCACCGCCATAGGTAGTGTTCTGAGTGATGGGCCCACTGCCATAGGTAATGTTCTGAGCGATGGGCCCACCGCCATAGGTATATTTCTGAGTGATCAGCCCACTGCCACCGTGGTAGTACTGAGCGATCAGCCGACTGCCAGGGGGTAAGTTCTGAGCCATTGGCCGACCACCTTGGGGCTACTATACAGCCATCGGCCCACCACCATAGGTAGTGTTCTGAACGATGGGTGTTATTCTGAGCAGTGGGCCCATCACCATAATGCTATTATTTACTGATAGGCTCACTGCCATAGGGGTACCTCTGAGCAGTGGGCTCACCGACATGGTGTTATTAGTCAGTGATTGATTTACCATTATAATGGTGGCAGTGCCTGGACTCAGCAAGACACCTAATTGCTAACCTGACACTACATCTCTGGTGGAGTTTTTACAATATGGAGTCCTGCCTGAAACTTATCGTAGCTATCGTATAGAGTGCAGTGCCACCATTTTATGAGTTTCTGATATATGGTGAACTATGGCTCTACATTCTAGTGATGGCGAGACTCAAGCTGCCAAGAAGTCACCAACCTGGCTCTCCTTCTCTGGCGAAGTTTGTTAAACTTGGAGGACTGTCTGAAACTTGTAGAAGAGGATTTATAAAGGGCAGTGCTGCTATTTTAGACTTCCTACATATATGGAGAGCCATGGCTTTGCATTCTGGTGATGGCGAGACTCAACTAGTAAAAAACTTGCCAATCTGGCTCTCAGTTTGTTTAACTTGGAGGACTGTCTGAAACTTGTAGCAGAGGATTTAGGAAGTTAAATTCCATTATTTTAGGAGTTTGTAGTATATGGCGAGCCATGGCTTTACATTCTGGTGATGGTGTGACTCAACTAGTAAAAAACTCGCCAACCTGGCTCTCTTTCTTTGGTGAAGTTTGTTAAACTTGGAGGACTGTCTGAAACTTGTGAAAGAGAACTTATAAAGTTAAATTCCATCACTTTATGAGTTCCTGGTATATGGCGAGCCATGGCTTTACATCCTGGTGATGGCGAGACTCAATTTGCCAAAAAGTCGCCAACCTGGCTGTCCTTCTCTGGCGAAGTTTATTAAACTTGGAGAACTGTCTGAAACTTGTGAAAGAGAACTTATAAAGTGCAGTGCCACCATTTTAGACTTCCTGGGTATATGGTGAGCCATGGCTTTACATTCTGGTGATGGCGAGACTCAAGCTGCCAAGAAGTCGCCAACCTGGCTCTCCTTCTCTGGCGAAGTTTGTTAAACTTGGAGGACTGTCTGAAACTTGTAGAAGAGGATTTATAAAGTGCAGTGCTGCCATTCTATGAGTTCCTAGTATATGGCATGCAAAATATGATGTTGTGGTTAGTTTTGATTGTAATCACTTAGTGTTATGTGAAGAATTCAATATTGTCTACCTTTAATGAACTTCACGTGACTTGCTGAACTGGTCAAGAAATCACACTTTCCTTTTTAGTCTCTGAGTGCATACACATCTACATGAACATAATGGCTCCTATATGTGTTTTCTTCTATATATTTGAGATTCTTCTTCAATACATTTTTCTATCTACATTAAAGGATGGTGATTACATAGACCTTATATCAGAGCTAGATAGATTCTTGACACACTTATAAGAAGTCTATAGAGCTCAGAGTGAAATATTGCTAACTCTTCGGAAGTGAACTTTGCTGTTTTTTGAGAAGTAAAGCTTGCCAATCACTTAACATTACAGTTGACTACATGTTGTCTTGAAAAAGATACATCTGTCATTTTCTAACAAATGTCTGGCATTCACTTATATGAAAAGCAAAACACACTTCATAAACTTAAGTATAGCCCTCTCCAAAGAATTACACTTAATTGTTATTGAGAATTAATAGCTGTTAAGTCACAATATGATATTGCTACTCCAAGTTGCAGTTCATACTCCACAGTATATAACTTTGGCCATAAGTTTCAGATAATACTCCATTGTATACAGACTTTATTACAGAAGCAGCTAGTCGTTTAGCATTTTTATGTGTGAAACCATGGCTGACCATCAATCAGGAACTCATAACATGGTGGCCCTTCACTTTATATAACAGCTGTTATCAATTCCAGACAGTGCTTCAAGTTGAATTAACTTTACCAGAGAAGGACCGCCAGGTTAGTGGAAAATCACCAGATTAAGTCTAGCCATCATCAGGATGTGAAGCCATGGCTCAACGTCTATCAGAAACTCATGAAATGATGGTGCTTTACTTTATATACCAACTACTATAAATTCCAGATAGTGCTCCAAGTTTTGTGAACTTTACCAGAGAAGGAGAGCCAAATTGCTGAGTTTTTTACTGGTTGAGTCTCACCTTCACCAGAATGTGAGGCCATGGCTCACCATATACCAGAAACTTATAGAATGGTGGCACTTCACTTTATAAATCCCCTACTACAAGTATCAGACAGTCCTTCAAGTTTAACAAACTTCACCAAAGAAAGAGAGCTAGGTTGGCGAGTTTTTTACTAGTTGAGTCACGCCATTACCAGGATGTAAAGCCATGGCTCGCCATATACTACAAACTCATAAAATGATGAAATTTAACTTTATAAATTCTCTGCTACAAGTTTCAGACAGTCCTCCAAGTTTAACAAACTTCGCCAGAGAAGGAGAGCCAGGTTGGCGAGTTTTTTACTAGTTGAGTCACATCATCACCAGAATGTAAAGTCATGGCTTGCCATATACTAGGAACTCATAGAATGGCAGCACTGCACTTTATAAATCCTCTTCTACAAGTTTCAGACAGTCCTCCAAGTTTAACAAACTTCGCCAGAGAAGGAGAGCCAGGTTGGCGACTTCTTGGCAGCTTGAGTCTCGCCATCACCAGAATGTAAAGCCATGGCTCGTCATATACCCAGGAAGTCTAAAATGGTGGCACTGCACTTTATAAATCCTTTTCTACAAGTTTCAGACAGTGCTCTAAGTTTAACAAACTTTGCCAAAGAAGGAGAGCTAGGTTGGCGAGTTTTTTACTAGTTGAGTCACATCATTATCAGGATGTAAAGCCATGGCTCACTATATACTGGGAACTCATAAAATGATGGAATTTAACTTTATAAATCCTCTGCTACAAGTTTCAGACAGTCATCCAAGTTTAACAAACTGCACCAGAGAAGGAGAACCAAGTTGGCAATTTTTTGGCAAATTGAGTCTCGCCATCACCAGAATGTAAAGCTATGGCTCGCCATATACCCAGGAAGTCTAAAATGGTGGCACTGCACTTTATAAATCCTCATCTACAAGTCTCAGACAATGCTCTAAGTTTAACAAACTTTGCCAAAGAAGGAGAGCTAGGTTGGCGAGTTTTTTACTAGTTGAGTCACATCATTATCAGGATGTAAAGCCATGGCTCACTATATACTGGGAACTCATAAAATGATGGAATTTAACTTTATAAATCCTCTGCTACAAGTTTCAGACAGTCATCCAAGTTTAACAAACTGCACCAGAGAAGGAGAACCAAGTTGGCAATTTTTTGGCAAATTGAGTCTCGCCATCACCAGAATGTAAAGCTATGGCTCGCCATATACCCAGGAAGTCTAAAATGGTGGCACTGCACTTTATAAATCCTCATCTACAAGTCTCAGACAATGCTCTAAGTTTAACAAACTTTGCCAAAGAAGGAGAGCCAAGTTGGCGACTTTTTTACTAGTTGAGTCTCACCATCACCAGAATGTGAAACCATGGCTCGCCATATATCAGGAACTCATAAAATGGTATTTATAAATTCTCTTCTCCAAGTTTCAGACAGATCTCCAAGTTTGACAAACTTCGCCAAAGGAGAGCCAGATTGCTGAGTTTTTTACTGGTTGACTCTTGCCATCACAAGAATGTAAAGCCATGGCTCTCCATATATGCAGGAAGTCTAAAATAGCAGTACTGCACTTTATAAATCCTCTTCTACAAGTTTCAGACAGTGCTCTAAGTTTAACAAACTTTGCCAAAGAAGAAGAGCTAAGTTAGCGACTTTTTGGCAAATTAAGTCTCGCCATCACCAGAATGTAAAGCCATGGTTCACCATATATCAGAAACTCATAAAATGGTGGCACTGCACTCTATACGACAGCTACAATAAGTTTCAGGCAGGACTCCATATTGTAAAAACTCCACCAGAGATGTAGTGTCAGGTTAGCGATTAGGTGTCTTGCTGAGTCCAGGCACTGCCAGTATTATGATGGTCAACCAATCACTGACTAATAACATCATGTCGGTGAGCCCACTGCTCAGAGGTACCCCTATAGTGGCGAGCCCATCAGTAAATAATAGCATTATGATGATGAGCCCACTGCTCAGAACAACACCTATGGCAGTGGGCCCACTGCTCATTCATTGTACATTGACAGTGAGCCCATTGCTAGAAGAAACATGTCCTGGTGATTGCCTACCCCCTGGCCTGTGGCAGTAGGCCCATGTTTCATCTGATACTCTTGGAGATGGGCCCACTGCTCAGCTATTGTACTCTGGCTATGGGCCTATTGGTGGTGATAACATGCTCTGATGATGGCCAACCCTCTGATCTTTGGTGGTGAGCCCATTCTTCATCTTACACTCATGGTGATGGGCCCACTGCTCATTGATCATACTTTGGCGGTGGGCCCATTGCTCAGAGAAACATGCTGTGATAATGGCCAACACTCTGATCTTTGGTAGTGGGCCCATTCTTCATCTTACACTCGTGGCGATGGGCCCACTGCTCCTTGATTATACTTTAGCAGTGGGCCCATTGATAGTGACAACATGCTTTGGTGATGGCCAACCCTCTGACCTTTGACTACTCTGATGATGGGCCCATTGCTGGGAGAAACATGCCCTGGCGATGGCCAACTCTCTGGCCTTTGGCAGTAGGCTGATTGCTGGTGGAAACATATTCTGGTGATGACCTATGCCATGAGTGCTTGCAGTAAGACCCTGACTGAGGGTACTTTGGCGATAGGCCCATTGCTGGCAGTAACATGCTCTGGCGATGGCCAACCCTCTGACCTTTGGCAGTGGGCCCATTCTTTATCTTACACTCTTGGTGGTGGGCCCACTGCTCAGAAGTACCCCTATGGCGGTGGGCCCACTGCTCAGAACATCACCTATGGCAGTGGGCCCACTGCTCAGAAGTACCCCTATGGTGGTGGGCCCACTGCTCAGAATAACATCTATAACAGTGGGCCCACTGCTCAAAAGTACCCCTATGGCGGTGGGCCCACTGCTCAGAACATCACCTATGGTGGTGGGCCCGCTGCTCAGAAGTGCCTCTATGGTGGTGGGCCCATTGTTAAATAATAGCATTATGGCAATGGGCCCACTGCTCAGAAGTACTCCCATGGCAGTGGGCCCATCACTCCAGCCTTCCCTTCATCGCCATGGGCCCATCGCTGACAGCTCTCTACACAAACTGATGGCCAACGTCCACTGGCAGTCCAGTTCATGACAATGTCAGGGTAAATGGGAGTTCAGTTCAGGTAACATGACTGAAAGGTGTGATCAGCAACTGAAGGATTGGTTCTAGAATCACATGTGTGCTTCCACGACCAGAAAGGGGCACTCGGCAGTCTTGTCCCTGAAATGGAAGGTCAAGCGCAAGCCTGAGAACTGGCAAGCCTACATGTCAATGTACTGAGATCACCTCAAGGATGACTGGGAGGTCACATTCACATGTAATGCTCTTGACTTCCCACCTGACACTGTCATCACCAACTCTATGAAGTTTTTCCACTGCTGCACCTATGCAAAGGGTCAGTATGAAGCCATGCAGGATAACCCCGAGGTAAAGAAGACCATCCAGGAGTATCACGGGGAGTTCGATAAGTTGACATTTGACGAGTTGAACACACACGCGAGACTTCTGCAGCAGTAAGAACTTAATTTTTTTTATTTGAATTTGTACTAATCTATTGCCTTATAGAAATATTGACACACTGTGGCATACTGTGGAGATGGCACTGGATGAAATACAGCACCAGATGGGCATGATAAGAGTTTTTTTAGTAGGAGGTCCAGAACTCAGGAGAGGCAGTGATTTGATATGTTATCAGTGAGTGTTATCACTTAATGATTTGTTACAGCCATTTGACCTTGTTCTCTATGATGGGAATGTATACAAAGGCATACAAAAAAAGCTTTATGCAGCACCTGTCTAGCTTTGATGAAGACATCTCGAAGCCCTTTGGGCAGTATCTTGAGCTTAGCTATTGTAAGTTTGCCCCCTTTTTTCATATTCGTGTTCTCATCATCAATATGCAGCTCTTCAGGCTCACTGCAAAGTAGCATTACCCACTCCCATTACTGCCAATGCATCTACCCCCATGGTGTTCATTTCTGAAGACAAGTCGGTCACTGTGATGTCCAATGCGAACAGTGATGCAGGATGCTTAGTCAGTGCATCTGCATCGTGCAGCACCTCCATTATACAGGCTACAGCAACATTGACATTCTCACGCATGAGAAACTCTGCCTCCGCCTCTGTGTCTTTGAACACCTCAGTTGTGCCTTCCATCTCAGTGAGTGCATCTGTCTCCATGCCCACTTTGGCAGCCGCATCTGATGGCCAGGTCACTGCATCAGCCACAATCTCATCGCCAGCCTCCTCTTCTCATCACCTCAGTCCAGCCTCTCCCTCGCCATCCCTGCTGGCAACTCAGGCATCCTGTTCATCCAGTATGTTGCTCAAGGATGAACACCTCATGAACATCACTCACAATTAAGAGATCTTGTGTAACCTGTCTGCTGAGCATGGCTTTGAACTCCCCATGCAGCAGCACAGGAAGGGTGGACTGCAGAAACAGCAAGCCAAGAGGCTTCCAGCCTCTTGTTGCTCTAGCAGACTCACCTCTGACATCCAGCCAACTAGTTCCGAGGCTGAAGACCTCATTGGCCAGCCCGACTTTGTCCCCGTGCATGTTTCTGTGCCCGTCATTGACCCTGTCCCTGCACACATCCCAGACATGCCCATTGACCCTGTGCCTGTGCATGTCTCTGTGCCTGCGGTTCTCGACTCTGTCCTCATGCATGTCACTGTGTCTGTCATCGATCCTATTCTCATGCTCATCATCGACCCTATTCCTGTGCCCGTCGTTGACCCTGTTCTCATGCATGTCCCTGCTGTGTGCGTCGACCCTGTTCTCACACATGTCTCTGCATCTGTTGTTGACTCTGTCCCCTCACATGTGTCTTTGCCTGTTGTCGACATTGTTCCTGTGCATGTATTGGCTGCACCTGTAGACTTTGTCCCTGCACATGCCTCTGCCGTGCCCATTGACCCTGTTCCTGTGTATGTCTCTGTGCCTGCTGTCCTCGACCCTTTCCCTGTGCATGTCACTGCACCTGTTGTCGACCCTATTCCCATGCCCATCATCAACCCTATTCTCACGTCCATCATCAACCCTGTCCCTGGACATGTCCCTGCCATTCCCGATGATGACACTCCACCACTGTGGCTGCTGAAGGCACTTGGCCACCTGTGCACACTGAAGGGAGTATCTGGGTGGGAAGATCTTCTAGTTTTACTCATTGTGCTCAAACATCGGTCAGGTTACCCCCAAAAAAAGGTGCATTCTCTGTTTCTGCAAGTGATACATTTATTATACTAACTGTTCATACAGGCTTACTATTCTAAGGACATCTACAAGTGCAGGCTGGATGCACTTAGCATGTGGATGGGTTACGGGTGCAAGTTCAACAGCCTACCCCATGGCATGAGAAAGGTGTGAAAAATGCGGGTAGGATTTCACAAGTGGTGGGGTGCCTTGTAGCCTGCCGCTAGGGCTGCCAGTGAGTGACCATTCCCTCAAGACCATGACACAATATGGGGCATGTGGGGTACCATGGCACAGGCAGGTGATTCGGGGGTTTTTTTTATTGTGATGTATCTCTGGTGGTGGGCTTTGATGTTGGACAATGACAATGAGCGGCTGCAGTTCTCAGAGGCATTATCGGATGTGTGGTGGATGCTAGAGGGGATAGTGCAAGATTTGGAGGCAGGGGCACCTGACGTCATGGCAGGATCTATGTCATCAAAATGCAAGTCTGAGACCCCACCAGCACGCGCACAGTAGTAATGTCATAGGGTACAGAATGGCTTTTTAATAAACATTTCAAATTCTCGAACATATGCCTAATAAGAAATTTCTCCTCAAATATGTTTTCTAAATGAGAGTCAGGCTGACATATGCCAAATAAGGATGTTCTCTTTGTATATGTTTTCTAGATGAGATCGAATCTGTGCTGAACCTGTGCTGAACCTGTGGTCAGGCCATCTTACGGCATGGGCTCAGGGACTGTTTTCATTAGCACTGGGGCTGGGAGCTGTCCTAATATAGACAGATCAGAGCTGAAGGCCAAGTAATACAATGGAGCCTTCTGTAATACAAGCCTACTAACAGGTGAAGGCCAATGTTATGCTGGGGCATACCACTAAGACTGAGTGTTGATCGTCAAGCACACACGAAGTTAAAGGCTAAGTGTGGTGAGTCACAAAGTATCTTCACACTAAGGCTGAGTGGAAAGCCTGTCAGTGGAAAGCCTGTGTATTGAAGATAAAAGTAACCAGATCAAGACTGGTGTTTCAGTCGATGATCTCAGTCTTATATACTACTAGTACATGCTGTGTAAGACGTGCCAGTAATGGCTGAGTAAATGAGTACCCTCGCGGTGAGGGATGAGTCAGTATATATCTAGGCTATGACATCATAGTCTAGTATAGTCCGGGTTAAGTCAAGAGATGTCTGGACTGGAGGTCTCAGAGTAATACATGTAAAAGTACAATGTAATCAAAGAAAAAGATAGGTATGCAGTGTACTGTTGTAACATAAGCCCCCCTCTATGCCATCTTTGCCCTCAAAAATGTTTCCTATGTGTCTCCTGCCTCTAATGGTGTTACACTGTTCATCAGAAATCCTTCAGTATATAGCAATCTCGTTCCATCAAAGTCTGCAAATTGCGGATCTGTTTGGGGATCAGGATGGAAGAATAACAGGTTACATGCATTGTAATTTGCATAGTAGTCATCACACCTGGGGCAAGCCTTTAAAGAATGACCAGGTGCTTGCTTTCTGCAGTAGTAGCAGTGCATTCTGTTAGACAACAACGCTGGACACACGTTTGGGTCGTGAGATGCGGTGACAGCTTGGCAAAAGATGCAAATGGAGAAAGGGCAGGTGTACCTCAGATGAGTATACTGCCCACAGAATGGGTATTGGGGGTGCAGTCACTGGTATGCAACATACAACAGGATGGTCCTCTGAGGCCCAATGAGTGCAGTAGAAAAGGTGAGAGAGAACGGGGTTTTGATCTCTCCGGGGTTGACAAGAGTCTGAATAGACTGGTCTGAGTGTTCGATCATCTCAGTCTGCATCGCCTCTTCTGCCATTTCTGGGGTTAACCCTTCGGCATGATGGTTAGGACTTTTATCGAAATTCCAACTAGGTACATAGTCTGGAGGGGGGTTTGCATGCAGAGAATGTGCAATAGAGATGCCATCATGAGTCGTGGTTGAGATGGAGGATGTCGAGGCACCTCCTAATAGGTTGAACAGTTGTGGGGTAGGAACCGTTATAGGATCCACGATGATGAGGTGAGGTGGTTGAGGTGGGGGCATGGGGATTGTTTCCTCTTGTGGAGTTTCTGGCAGCATTTCCATCAGAAAGCTTGGGAGTGACAGACGTGTAACATGTTTCAATATAAAACTTGCATAACTAACACAATACTTTAGATATCGAGCTTGGCAAGCAGAGCGATCCAAGGCCAAGGCCAACAATAAGATGATGAAGGCCAAGGCCAAAGCTGCCAAGGCTGCACGTGCCAGAGCTCATCTTTATGGCGAAGCTTATGAATTGGACTTCACATGCACTGGAGACCAGGAAGGAGTTGATGCTGAGGAATTTAGAGGGAAAGGAACATTGCGGGTCTAGAATTGATGAGGAAGTTTCTTTGTACTTGCTAGCACACTTGCTCAACCCCTCCACTCATGTGCATTCATGTATTATGCTCAAGTATTCACCACTGCTTGCTTCCACTGTCTGTTTTAGTCACTGAAGTGCTTGGTCATTTTTGCGGACTAATGTCTGACACTTAGAAGGACAATAGCAAGGTAGGTTTCTATTGTCTTTATTATTTTTATTATCCCCCACTCTCTTTTGTTTTATCCAGAGTCATTTCTTATTGTTATGACTCAGACTCCTATTATCACATTTTCTATTGTTATTTCTATTGAAGGCACTTTTCTATTATTTAGATTTTCTCACCTTCTTTAGTATATAAACCCTGGAAGCCCACTTAGACTTCCAGAGGAAACCTGTTGTCCTAAAGGTATAGGACATTCTTCTCACCCCAGTAGTTACTAGTCGGTATATACTCAAGTTCATACTTACCTGAATACAGTGTTATTCAGGCATAGCATTATAGGCATCAAGCAAGTCATAACTCGGTCATTTGTCAAATCGGTCATCTGTTACTCGGTCACTTATTACTCGCTCATACTTTTTGTCTTATTACAAGACAGTCTCTCCCTCTTACTCACACACACACACTCACACTTGATTACTACCAGATAACCAAGCGATTACTACATCGAATATACTGAGGAATATTTTCCCAACTTTGTTCAAGTCCGGTGACCTCAGGAGAATTTTGTTTTGGTTTGTGTTTTATCCAAGACACCATTCATGTCTAGTTCGATGAGTCGTTGATATGAATTCATCTGGGCAAACATTAGTGCCAATGTTTCCTCCTGTCACTGAATCCTATCCCCCATGCTCAGCATCAATGCTTCCATCCTTTCTACATATCGTCGTGCCCCTGCAGCAGCATGCCGCATTGAGCTGATTTCTAATTTGGCAGCTTGCTGTGAATGGATAATCCTGAGTGTGTATTGGGCGTGAGAGTCATCCAACACAGTTAAGGCTTGGAGATATAACTCCTCGTATTCTGCTAAAACATGGACCGCCCTCAATTTGTGGAGCTCTCAATTCATCCAGGCCATGTCAGGCAGGGATGGTGTGGTGGCTCTAGAATGGATGGGATTGATCGAGTCAACTACACCAACAATGAAATCTTCTAAGTCACTGATGGTTCCAATTCATTGTGACAGATGAAGGTGGGCCCTTAGGCTGTCCTGTATATCATGTGGTGATACTCCTCTAAAATCTCTTGGGTGTGGTGAAGGGGTTGGAGACATTTTGGGGAAGTAGTCGTTAATGGGGGATTATCCTCCTGACGATGGCATAGTGAGGGGGTCAGCAGTGGTGAAGGTTTATATAAGCAATGCAGGCAATTGCTGAGATACAGTGAAGGCATCGTCGCCTTTTGTATTCTTTTAGTAATTCTTCGGCATTCACCAAATTTTCTTCTGGTTCTCATGAATTTTCTGCTGAGGCATATCCCTTCCACTTTACGAGATATTGGATCTGTCTGTATCTTTGTCGGTGGTTTAGAATGGCTTTGACTTTGTACTCCTCATGTTCTTCGATAAGGTCAGGTGGTGGTCTCATATCATTCGGACTGTGGATCTTCATTTCCTTGTATAGTGAAAGGAGGCTGGCATGAAAAATGGGTGGATTCTCCATCCTTGTGGTAGGGTCAGGTGATAATCCACAGGGCCTATGTGTTCTTCTATGACAAAGGGGCCTTCACATTTTGGGGCCATCTTTTGCGTTGGGTATCCGATGTTCAAGTTCTTCGTATTGAGCCAAACCTTCTGACCTTTTGTGAAGTGTGGTGAGCCTTTCCTGATCCATTCCACCATCTGCTGTCGTGCTAGTTCATGCATGGCCAGGGCTTCATCTCGAATCTTCTGAAGTTCAGATAGCCAAGTTTCTATCAAGAGTATGTTTGTCCTAGGGAGTACCGATGAGATTCTGCATGGTTTGTATCCCATCACCATATCAAATGGTGACATCTTCTGTGCTGAGTGCTCCTGAGTGTTGTGGCAAAACTTGAAGTCTGATAGTCGGTCTACCTATAATTTAGGGTTATTGCCGCAGTAAAGTCAGAGATACACCTCTAGTTCTTGATTTACATGCTCAGTTTCTCCATCCAATTGGGGATGATAGGCAGTGCTCATCAATGATCTGATTCCTAGGATACAATTCCTGGAATACGTGCAATGTGAATTGTGTTCCTCTGTCTGAAATCAATTTGTCTGGTAGTCGAATCGTGAATAAACATTTTCATAGAAAAGTTTTGCTGTTTGATCCACTGTGATCATCTTCAAATAAGGGCAAAGAATTACCCCCTTCATAAGGTCATGGTCTATCATGACCATGAGAGAATCAAAGCCACGTGATGGCAGTAAGTCAGTGATAAAATCGACTGATGAGCAGGAGAAGGGAGAGCATTTGGAGTTGCGGATATCGGCATGGGAAGGAATTTAGTGGGGTGTGTGTTAATTTTCATCTGTTGGCACCCAGCACATCCTTCCACATAAGCGCATATAGCAGAGTAAAGTCTCAGCCACCAGAAATCATGTCGTAGGAGTTCAAGGATTTTGTAGGAACTCGGGTGTCCCATGGCAGGTGTATCATGGTATAGCTTGAAAATATTGTGTCACAGTGGTTGTACCGGAGGTACATACACACATCCTCAGTATTGGACGAGGCCGTCGATGATCTTCCAGTCATCAAGGGCTGATTTCATTGGTGGTGGTCCTTTATGCTGTAAGGCTTGTAGTGCATCATGGATGACTTGGTCTTTAATCAAATGTGCCTGAATGTCTTGAGTGAGTTGCGTGGATATTGAGTGTACAAATAGTGCTTTGGGGAGGAGGATACAGTCTTCATTGTCATGATTCTGGTCTCCTTTTCCAAGTAGGCAGGATAAGGTGTCCGATTGGATCATCTGGGTCCCTGGGATGTGTACTAGCTGAAGCTCAAATTGAGACAAAAAGAGGCTCCATCGTGCTTGGTGTCTGTTCAGCTTCTGCACTGTTCGATAATAAGTCAGATTCTTGTGGTCGCTACATATTACAATTAGGTGAGGTGAGCCATCGAGGTAGTGATGCCATTCTTTGAGGATGCAGACTATTCCCAATAGTTCTCTGTTGTAAATCTCGTAATTTGTCTTTGTGGGGTTAAACGATTTCGATAGGTATCCACAAGAGTGTAGATCTCCATTGATATCCGTTTGTCTTAGCACCACTCCTGTGGCCACAAGTGAAGCATCAGATTCAATAATGAATGGCTTCATATTGTCTGGCATAAGAAGCATGGGTGCAGAGACAAATTTCATCTTAAGCATATCAAATGCTTGTTGGCAGGCAGGAGTCCATTCCCATATTGGTTTCTTCATCATCATCATGAGGTCCATGAGTGGTCGCACTACTTTCAAATAGTGATCAATGAACTTTCTGTAGAAATTTGCGAAGCCGATGAATGCACGGACTGCTTTCACTGTCATTGATTCGGGCCAGTCCAAATTCCTTTCAGCTTGATTGAGTTCATGCCAATGTGGTCTGGGCATATGATTATTCCAAGATATTCAACTTCTTGGGAGTTGAATGTGCATTTCTCCAGTTTGACAAATAGATCATTTTGTTTGAGTCATTCTAGAAGTCAAAGCATATGCTATCGATGTTCTTTCATGTTATGCAAGAAAATAAGGATGTCGTCCATATAGACAATCATCCATCCTTTATTAATCAAGTCCTTGAAGATGTCATTTATCATCTTTTGGAAGGTCGCCAGAGAGTTGCAAAGTCCGAAAAACATCACCGTTGGTTCATATAATCCTCAATTTGTCTTGAACGCTGCTTTTCACTGATCACCATCTTTGATCTGTACATTATTATATCTGGATCGAAGGTCTAGTTTTGTGGAATATTTTGCTCCTTTGAGTTTGTTGAGGGTAAGCATTTTTGACTGTTCCTTCGTTCAGGTATCAATAATCTTGGCAAGGTCTAAGACTCCCATCCTTCTTTTCTATGAAGAAGAAAGGGGATGTCATTGGTGATATTGATGGTCAAATATAGCCTTTTTGTGTATTCTCATCTAAGAATTTGTTGAGTGCCATTTGCTCTTTAGAGGATAGGGGGTAAATCTTGCAGTCTCTTGGTACAAATTCTGGTTTGAGGTCAATAGCATGGTCCCATGCTCATGAGGTTGGGAACTGTTCTGCTACTTTCTTTTTAAAGACGTCTTTGTATTTCATTAGATAGGAGGGTATAAGCTCTTCGAGTGTCTTTTTTACTCCTTCTGCCTTTTGGATTGCTTCTTGTATCAATTCTTGTGATTTCCCGCTAGCCTTATAGAGTAGCGTGTCCATGCCTGTGTTACACAACCAAGTGTTCTGGGCGATGCTAAACTGCCCTGATCGTGTATCTCTTGTTATCTGCCCTATACTGGGTCCTGAGGTGGGTTTGCTACCACCTCAGATTCATCATCCAGGCTGTGTTATTTCACCTTAAGGGTTAAAGATCACCAATACCAGTTCTCCTTGAATATAGGAGATGAGTAGTTCATTATCCTCTACTTCAATTCTGTAGTCAGAGATTCCTAACTCTGAGTCTCCTGGTTTAATTTAGTTTTCTGGATGTTTTGGATCATTGTTCGCCCACGATCATCCATTGTCATCAATTGGTCCAATGTAGGGAGTGTTTGCTGCCTT